ACTCATTTCTGGTACAACATCTTTGAAATCGCCATTGGCAATAGCCTGCCAGGGCTCCTTCTCATGTGCATTGCGTGAGGACATTGCAATCTGGATGATGAGTTCCTTCTGTTGACGTGTCAACAACAGGCTCCTGCCGCGTCCTAAATCGTTCTCATAAAGGATATCGTCCCATAGAGCTACAGCATGATTGTTGGCCTTCATTTCTACCCGTTTAAGCAACTCCAAAAGGGTGCCTTGTGACCGTCCCATAGTGGTTGCAAGATCACGTTGGTTGGCATAGTCTCCCTGCATTGCAGTGAGAGCGCCCACCGCAAATGCCCTCTCAACCACCCTCAACTCAGTGCGATTTGTCTTAGGAGCTTGGGCCTTCTTGTACTGCTTATAGTTGAAGTTTTTGCAACACGCAATAGTCTGTGCAGGCATTGTGGTGGTTGATTTACTATATGCAAAGTATGGTGTTGACATGAGATGGTTGGGGACGATCGCGCACAAGCCCCTGATCGGCCAAAAAAACAAGCTCCTTTGTACAAGAGGAAGCGCATCTCAACCATGACTTTTCCGTTGACTCAGGAACAAGCACGATTCATGCAACAATAGCTGCAATACTTCATCAACTCAACCCCTCACCTCGCCCCTGTCGAATTCGAGCGTCAAGTCCAAGATTGGCAGCAAGGAAATATCGACAAGCTGTACCAGAGCATCAGTTCGCTGAAGATGGACTCACAAGAGCGAAGTATCGCCTGTGCCACAACTCCCGAAAACCGTCGAGCTCATCCGCACCAGGACAGAGTATGCATAGTCAAGTTAATGCAACTCCGCAATCGGACGACGTTGATGATGGATAAGCCAAAGCAAAAGGTGGACGAGACGTGGGCTAGCGTGGAGCAAAAGAGTATGGATTAGAGGAGACCGAAGTTATGGACAGTTTGCGCAACGAGTATTACGAGGATTGGGAGGGGCAGGCGAATGGGTGTCTGGAGATAAAGGGCGGAATAGAGGCAAAAGGCGAGAAGTGGAGTGAGGATTTGTGGTTGAGGGCAAGGTGGGTCGGAGATGGGGCTGATGATAAGATGAAGGGTGAGGATGGGATGCCGGCGCTGGCGCCAGGGTTTGCACCTGCAAATCCTCAGACGTGGGACGAGAGTGAAGAAACGAGGCAATAAGATCAACATGATAGAGATGTAGCCATACAAGAGTAAGGAGCAGTCAGGCGAATGGAGACAAAGAGATGTGTTTGGTACATGCGCGTCACTGAGACATATACATTGGATGTCTCAACATTTGACCGCTCTTCGATGGAAACCATGCACGAAACTTCCAGCTTATTGGGGAAGCTTGTATTGTGTGTTCACCGACTAGCGATCTACCGATCACTGTATAAGACGACAGTGTTCTTGCACTTGTTCTGCACCATACCACAACGATGGCAACCGTCAAACCCTTACCGCGCCCGGAGCCCTTTCCTCTGAACCTCGGCGACTTCTACGAGTCACTCGGTTATCTGCCTCTAGACAAGTAATTCCAAGCGCAGCAAGACTACATGAACCACTCCTTGTTTGAATCGTCTTACATGGGACGGATATGCGCATCCAGGCCACCAAGTATACCTCCGAACTGAATGACAAAGAGCTAGATATGACTGCGAGAGCGGTAGATGAGCTAAAAGGACTGGTCAAGCTGTATAGCATTATTGCTACGTTACTGGATGAGCTGAAAAGGTGAGGTCAACGAGACTTGGAGGAGAGTCAAGGTTGGCTTTTTCATCAAGAGGATGGAAGCTATAGAGGACCTGTGGATGCAGTATGACGGAATTGTTAGGCCTCAGCTCAGGCATGAGGAAGGATGCAGGAAGAAGGCGAAGATTCAGACTGAGGGGGTTGTTAAAGTTGGGGAGACGGATAGTGCTGAGAACAGAGCAGTGTAGGGATTTCAAAAAGCAGTCGAATGTGGTGTTCATACTAGTCGATTGTACATGGGTATATCGTCGTGCATTGGACAAATCACACAACCAGGTCGTAGCCCTTGTAGTCGCCCGTGACAGACGCAGCTGATCAGTGCCCAGTATCAACATCGTTTTGGCCTGTAGGTCCTGCACCAATTGTCCACGCCCATTTCTCTCGCCAGAAGTTTGCCTGCTGAGCCCTCTGCATCATTTGGAACCGTCTTCAAGATCCCTACTCTAATCTTCAATCTTCCCTCTTTCGACCTCGTCAAATGGTCACATGCCACACTCGTGTCGGGTCTACTCGATATAACTTCGTGTCGGATCTAGCACACTCGATGCTATGGTGGCTTATGAATACAGTCGCCAAAGTGGTCGTTTGTACTGTGTACCGGTGATCCTGCGTCGCAACTTGACACCCTGAAACTTGGATTCATGATGTGTGCTCGTTGCAAGGCCGATGAAGCGCAGGAACAACGTTGTGCACGCTCACAGATCATCAAGCGTTGTAGCTTTGATAAATTTTACGATGTTCGCATCGCGTGAGTCGAGATTGCTTGTCGTTGCGTTCGTAGGCGACAGTCTGACAAGAGCTGAGAAAGCCCATAACTACCCGTTAATGGGATAGTGTGGCCACCCGGCCCGAGTCGGCAAGCACAACGCTTGCCAGGAAAGCGCTTCCAAGTGTCTGACGTAGATGCCGCCGACGATGATCTTCGTGATGCGCTCTTCCTTTGCAATGAAGAGGCGTCTTTCTTTTTCGCGCAAGGTTTGCGTTGGCCTTTGCTTCGTCAAGTCTGGGTTCGATCGTTTTGATCCAGGGATAAGTCTTGCGCAGGCCGCATGATTGTATTAAATGAGTTCGGTTTACAGTAGGTTATCTCAGACTCACATAGGACGTTAAACCAATCAATTAACAGTAGGTTACCGCAAACCATGGCCTCCGGGGCTCAAGTAGCATGTCCAGAACGTAATATCTTTCCTAGCATCCAGTGCGAGAACTGAAGGGCCGGCATGATCATCGCCGCAACGACGCGTGATATCGCCTCGTGGAGCTTCCAGAGGATGGTCTCCTGTATCTGGTCCGCGCTCATCTCTTTAACTTCTTCAATTTGCTCGCGTAACCGGGCGGCTTTGCTGGGAAGTTCCAGTCCAAGGAACAGGTAGAGACCAACGACAATGTACTCCATAATGACTTGCCTATCACAAGATGTCAGCAAGAAGTCAACGATTAAATTATCGAGACGTGAGTAGGACAGGCTCGCAGAGTACCAAACAGCAGGAGCTGATGTTGCCGGGAGAATGTCGAGTCCCAGCATCCCGACCAGATGCAAGGTGGACGAGGAGGCGCTGATGGAGCAGGTACGTACATGCACAACTGGATCGTAACATTGCCGGAAATAACGTTGAACCGCATCTCGGAAGTTTTGTCGACCCAGCTCTCGAATGCGAAGCATGTCATATAAACGATATCGACAACGAAGAATGGCAGACTGAGCACAACGGTGGTCAAAATCTTGACTTCCTGAGAGTCCGCGAGATAAAGACGAGCAGAGATGACTGCTGTAGCCCATATAAGAATTAAGAAACAGGCGATGTAAAGACTGATGCCAGCTTTGGTTGCTTCGGTTGCTGCGTAGGTCGGACCTTCGCGGGAGTCTGGATCAATGCCGCCAGCGACTATGAGGATGAAGGAAATGATTAAAGGAATATGCACGAATAGTAAGATCCATTGCATGCGTCGTCCTTTCGGTTTGGTCGTCGTGTTGAGTAGACTGCTGGTTGACATGAACAGTGGCGTGAGACCCATAGAGGTCAGAATGGCGACACCGGACGAGACGGATGTGTTAGGAACTTGTTCGATGGGGGTGAGCTGTGTCGTCGCCAAATCCATGGAGACCTGCACAAGCCGGCAAACACATAGCGTCGCCAGCCAGATCCATGGCCAGCTCCGCCCCAGGCCTTGGCGTAGAATAAGGTAGAGCGATATTACGAGGTAGATGAAGAAGACGACGAGAGTGACGATGTTGACGATTCCTGGATAGCCAAGCGGTTGACCCATCGGTGCTGTCGACGAAGCATGGTAGACGTCGTAAGGGAACAAGGAGATCAATCTCGAGGTTATCATCTTCCGCTGAGCTCGGACGGGTGTTAGCTTGCCTGGGCGTGCTTGGCAGTCATCACGTGTCGCAATTTTGTTCAGCATCTATCCATGAACTTCCGCGAGGCCAGCGCACTTTCATTAAAAACATTCTCAGCGCATCGCAACATCGTCAAGACCTTTGTTTGGCACCTTTGTGAAGCCTGCAAAGCAGTAAATCGCTCAATTGCCCACGGAATGGTACGCGTCAATCTGTGAAGTTTGCCGCCCTCTCCAGGCTGTGTCGCGGCTGTGTTGGCCTCGGACCATTGTCGGACGTCATTTTGCGACCTGCATGTTTTCCCTGCTTAGATACCGATCATCGTGTTACCGACGATGATTTAGCCAATGCAGGTGGTTCGGTGCTCAGAGGAAAGGTCTGTCGCCGAGCGTATATTTTTCGATCGTTTTGGGGAATACGAAAAACGTCGTATTCAGGAAGAGGGTCACTGCCTCAGGCAAACAAGCTAAAATAAGACGAGACGTGTCTGGTCGCGGGCGCATGGACGGTCGAATGCACCTTATCGACATGAACTGCGCACCAAAATTTAGGGATCAAAATTGCAAAAAAAGTATGCGCTTGCCTATCAAGCTAGGCTTCTCATCTACAGAGTACCGAGTGGATATGCAGGGCTTATATTGCCCCCATCTGGCATGATCACTGGCACACTCTCGTAGTGTGGTACCTCCACAACATCCTTCGCCCATGTCGGCGCTCTTCTGACTTTCATCAACTGCTCGATCGCATACCCGATGCCCAGCAGCTTCTGCTCCTCCCAAGGCCGACCCAGAATCTCCATGCCAATCGGCACACCAATCGGTGCATCCTCACTCGGCTCGCTGAACCCTGCAGGAATTGTCACGACAGGTACGCCTGTGAGCGCTGCGAGAATACCGTTGCGGCCACTCTGTGATGGAGACCCAATCTTCACAACGAGGTTCTTCTGCTCTGGGTAGATGATCGCATCCAAATTGTTTGCGGCGAAAGTTTGTTGCAATGCGAGACTGAGGTTGCGAACGCCGTTCTGACGCTGAACGTACGTCTCGTTGCTCGTTGAAGAGACAAGCGCAGTGTTGACGTATTCGTATTGGGATGGCAGGACAACGAATTCGCCGCCAGATCCGTTTACTGCTATGTGCGAGTACAATTCGTTGAGAGTATTAGGATGGTCGCCGGAAAGCGATGGACGCTGGAGATATTCGTCCATCAACTCACGGTACTCGTAGCGCTGAACGTCGAGTGCAGCTTGGATGGCAGTCGCATTGTATATGGTCTCGTTGATTGGGATCAATGTGACATTCTCGGCCTCCAATCTCGACATCACCGCATCTATGGCGTTGTTGACGGGTGTGACCTCTGCCGACTTAGAGCGGTTGAAGAAGCCGTTGAGAACGCCAATTCGAAGGTCCCGAAGTTTAGCAGCCGATATTTTAGCAGTGTAGTCTATGTTACGATTCGGCGAAGGGACAAGTGCCGTTGCATTGTCCGCGGCATCGTAGCCGGTAGAAGCCATAACCGTCAGAGCTGTGGCAACGTCCTTGATTGATCTCGCAATAGGACCAATGGTATCGTGAGTGTACGATATCGGTATGATACCAGTACGTGTCACGAGACCTCTGGTAGGTCGTATGCTGCATAGTGAGTTTGCTGATGCAGGACTTCGTAGCGAATTGACAGTATCTGTACCGGTGCCGAAAACGCAGAAGGAAGATGCAACAGCCGCTCCTGTGCCGCCAGAGCTTCCACCAGGCGTGCGTGTCGCATCATACGGATTGATGGTTTGTCCACCCAAGGAAGATACACTGATACCCTCTAGCGCAAGTTCATGCAGGTTGGTTTTCCCCAGGATGATGGCTCCGGCATTCTTCAGTGCCACCACGCTAGGTGCATCTTCAGTCGGTTGTGACTTTGCAAGCGCCAAGCTGGCGCCTGTAGTTGGCATTTCTGCAGTATCGTAATTGTCCTTCAGCAGAACGGGTACGCAGAAGAGAGGTCCGGTTGCATTTCCTGCCGCAAGCTGCGCATCAAGGGCGTCCGCAACGTTCAATGCGTTAGGGTTCAAGGTAATGATAGCATTTGTCCGGTTGTCATGAGCTTTGATGCGGGCGACGAAAGCCGAGATGACCTCTCGACACGTTGACAGCCCAGTGTAGAGCGCATGGTGGACTGAGTCGATTGTCGCTTCGCGAGCGTCAAAAGGCATGGTAGTTGTTGCTGCCAATGTTTGGCTGCAGATCGCGGCAACGACCAGTGCGAGGATCGATACCATACTGGGGTTTGTGGTTTTAGCAATTGTTCAGAGAGATGAATGCAGATATTACCACTCTCGCAGTACTGAACTGCTTTATACCGCTCAGGCTTACAATGTTCAGTTGAGCTTGAGAACCAGGGTAGAATCCGCGGACCACCTTAGCTGTGCTTGGCCTACGCCATGTATCACGGTGCATACATCCGATCGAGTTCAGTCAGCGATGTTGATAACGCGTATAGCACTTGCAAGCTTATCGTGATGGTCTTGTGAAGATACCCGATAATCGGAGTGACGTAGTGCGGCTAACGTTAGCACCTGCCTGATACATGGCCCTTAGCGAATTTGCTTGAATAGGTAAATATACGCTGAAGCTGAAGAATGATGAAGCTATAGACTGAAGAACAGCGACTAAGTTGTGGGCATACGCGATTTTTGAATGTTAAAGGTTGTAGAGAAGCTGGTAGAAGTACAACGCGCCTCAACGAAGCAACAACTTGCTCATAAGGTGCACAGCGGAGGTCCATAGAGTTGCTGTGATGTGGCAGACAGCCTTTTCATGCTTCAATAAGCACCAACGATCATTTCGCAGCCAAAAGTTGTCTATGAAATGCATTCCCTGCATGCACCATGCGTGTCGTGTCATGTTATAGCTATTCCCTACGACAGACAGTGCCTACATTTTCTGATTGAGCTGACGATGCGCAGCATTCGTGATTTCACCAGGTAACTGTCCGACTTGAGATCGTAGCAGTGGATCGTAAGGGAAGCCCGTGATGGGAGTTCGATCATCGCAGAGCAGGGCACCAGCGCTGGCGGCACTGTCGTACATCGTGATTCCGGTTTAGGTAGTGCATCATACAAGCGTACATTCGTAAAAATTGTCGAGTCCGAAACTATACAGAAGGAAATTGGTTGCCGTCAGCGCCTGTCACCTATGATGGGTGATCGACCTTCGCGCGCACTCACTCGCCAAGCAGGCTCACCTGCCCTTCCTGGCAGTGCACGTGTAGGAAATTACAAGTGCGTATATGGGTATATTGCTTTCCATAATGTATGTTTACAATGTTGAGGAAGGTATCGTGTCCGGTGCTTGCTGCGTTTGGCGCGAATCGATGGTGTTGTTTGTCAAGCCTGGCGACTTCCTTCCTCCGGAGCTCTGAGCCTCACCAAAACCTTAACACCACATTCCAGAGCCTCCACTTTCTCGACGAGATCCACTTTAGCGCCTCTCCACACTGTGAGCCACACTTTGCGCGACATCACAGACCGGAACTTGGCCTGCCCGGACGCAGAAACTTCCCCAGACTTTGCTCGATTGGGCGCCTGCACGTCTGTGAAACCTGCGGTGTGGCACTAAACCAAACTCTCCGCGAAACTCGGCATCACGAAACTCAAACCCACATATAACCGTAGTGGATCGTGCATCACCGTCTGCAATCACAGGCCTGACCTAGCCTTCTCGGATGTATTGCGTCCGTTAAGCCATGGGCTTACCCTCTGGTGAGTATTCTATTGAACGGCTGAGGCAGGCACAGCTTGGAAGACAGCTACATGACATGCCAAATTTGTCATTGTTCAACAACGCTTTCTGTTGATGATGCATGCAGAAGATTTCAGGGTTGATTCGAACCTCGAGACGACTAGTTTTGAGTTACTCACTACGGCAGCTGCCGTATGGCGCCACTCGAAATCTCACCGGTCGAGCATGTCTCCATCACACATACATTGCTGTGGGTGCCGACTCAGCCTCATTCAGTTTCACTAGCCTCAGGGATCACTTAAGCTGCCTGCCAAGTTTTGCACCTTGAGACGGCCTGAAGCTTAGGCATTGTCAAAGATGGAGCTAGGCGTGGACCAAATGCAGCAGATCTGCAGCCTGCATGTGTTTACACCTCGGGTGCTGTTGCTGATGCTTGGTTTCGAACAACATCAATCCTATGATGATACGGCCGACACCCTACACTTCACTGTCTCACATTACCTTGCGATCGACGCTCATAGGTTCCTCATCCGGTACCATACTCGATCGACCTGGAGTATCTCGGCGCAAAGTCGTGTCAAGACCCACTGAAACAAGTGAACATAGGTTTCCTCCGATCTATTGCTACCTCATCCACGTTTCGTACGTCCTTAGTAAGGTCAAAATTCAGGCTGAGTCTGTGTTTTCGTGCCTCACTGTCTGCTACGAAACCTTATGTCGACCTCTTCTTACGTCTTGGCCAAAATTTCAGTGCCTCACCAGGTCCGGACCAACCATGGCCGATGCAACTTCACGGAAGTCGGAGGCAATTCTGCGATGGCTCACCTCTTGCAGTCAAGTATAAATGAGGGTAAGACCGCGACTGGAAGAACAGCATCAGCACACAGGTTCCCAACCCAGCTTTACAGTAATCACTACTTCTCTTCCATTCATTAATAACTCTTCTACTTTATTCACTTAATCATCTGACCGGTTCAGACTATTTTCATTCAAAATGTACTTCACCAAGTCCTCCGTTATTGCCTTCAGCCTTTTGGCTTCTTCTACCCTCGTGGCTGGCCACGGTGCCATCATCAAGGCCACTGGTGACGCCGGCGGTGCCGGCTCTGCCATCGGTGTTGACCCCAGCACTCCTCGTGATGGCACAAACCGCAACCCCTTCCAGCAGGACTCCACCCGCTTCCGTGGTGATGCCGCAGCCACCTGCGGTGAGACCCTCGGAGGAGGTGACAACGACATCCAGGCCGGAACCGCTCAGGTCATGCAGCTCAACGGCGCCACACTTCCCCAGGTCACCGCTGGCGGTGCTCTCATGATGACTGTCCACCAGGTCAACTCTGACGGTGCTGGTCCTTACAAGTGCATGATCGATGCCACCGGCACTGGTACAAACTGGGTCCCCATGACCGTCACCCAGAACCTTCAGGGTAATGACCGTGGCCGCAATCGAGACACTCAGATGCAGGACCTTCCCCTCAACGTCCAGATTGACGCTGCCCAGACCTGCACTGGTACCGTCGCTGGACAGAGCAACGTCTGCATGGTCCGCTGCGAGAACCCCGCTCGTGCTGGACCTTTCGGTGGCTGTGTCCCCGTCCAGATGGCTGGCGCCGCTGCTGCTGCCGCACCCGCTGCAGGTGCTGCCCCCGCGACCGCCGCCAACACTGGCGCTGCTCCCGCTGCTGGTGCTGCTGCCCCCGTCGCTAACGGCCAGACCGCAGGCGCTGCTACAAGTGCTGCCACCGGCGCTGCCACCGGAGCCAACACCGTCTCTTCCCCCGCTCAGCGCCGCAAGAACGCCCCCGCTCTTACCGACGACGACCAGGAGGAGGAGATCGACCTCATCGAGGGCGAGTTCTAAACTTCTCGGCTATCTCGAGCTTGAACAACGATAACGATACGGTGGACGCAAGGCAACAATCGAACGGTGGATCTTATGACTAGTGTATATACCAAGCAATGTTTTCCCCTAGTACGAGAAGATGAGTGGTGGAGTGCGATGTAGTCCTGCTGGTCTGCGACCAGGGGATGGGACCATGTATGAGTTAGTGGTAGATGGTGGTGGAGGAGTGGTTGCGTAGAGCCTGGATTGGGAACCCTGGTCTGTTACGCTCCTTTGTATAATGCTTATCTAGTAGTTTATCAATTGTATTTTCAAATATCGGTGCCTTGCAAAATGTACGAACCCCTCTGGATTTTGGCTCAATATCATCAAGCATACGTCACAGGTGGGCGAGAGCTTCCGAGTGGCTAGCTAAGGCTGATTGATAGGATGGGTGACAGTCTGAGTGACAGCTGAGTGACAGTCTGGGTGACAGGACGCTGGGCAGAACGTAGGATACTTTAGGGCACCAAGACAGTTAACCACTCACGTATGTGCACTGCATGCTATACTGTGGTACATACAGTCACTGTGCCAAAATCCAGGAGGGTCTGTACATTTCGCAAACGATTGTGTCTTCCTCTTCTCTTCATGCAAAAATCTAACAACTGCGGCTCACTCAGTTCTGACCACTGGGTTGCCGCAGCCTCAACAACGATACCGAACAGCCTGAGAAACAAGGTGTAGTCGAGCTAAGCTTTGATGTGCATTGTGTGGCTGACGCCTGATCTGATGCCTGGATGTGACGGTGTGTGGTTTCAGGCCGTTTCATGGGGTCTCCAAACCACTCGCACAGACCAGACGAAAGCAGCAGAATATCATAGGCACGGCCTATGTATCTCTCAAGAACGTCTTTGGGTACGACGAGACCTTCGTTTCGGTAATTTCGGATGATGTCGGAGGTGATTAGTGAGGACAGATGGAGACTTAAACCGAATTCACGAATGCTTGACTCTGGACTTTGGAAGGGAAAGAAGCACAGCTGATTCTCGAAATGCATCACGATTGATCATTACTTAGTAGCTTGTAAAAACAGTACAAACGGTGCGCACAAGTCGCTAGAGAAGTGAGAAAAGGCACCTCAATCTTAGGTATGTTCGAATGCTTTCAGAGCATAACGTTCGCGGATATTGACTTTGAATAGGTGGAACCAGCCGCCAAGTGGACATCGAGAACCCCTCAAACTTGGGCCAGCAGAGCACTGGTTCCGACACTGTGCCGAACCTCAAGTGGCGCTTCTCCGACTCTAAAACTCAAATCTATCCTGGCGGCTGGGTTCGCGAGCAGGTCGACAACGACTTGCCGCAAAGCCATGACATCGCAGCATCACAGCAGCACCTAAGAAGGGTGCCATTTGTGAGCTGCACTGGCACTGTGTTGTATGTTGTATCCAGCCAGCCGGTCCTAGACTTATTGCTGACAACTTCTATAGGCAGGATGGGGACAAGTGCTGTTCGGTCGTGTGCTCGTATCGGCGGTCGAAGAGAATGGTCGTCATCAGGTTACCGAGCTCGGTTTCGGAGACATTTGGTACTTTCCAAAGGATCAAGCACACACTGTGCAAGGTCTGGACGACGAGAACGAGTATCTGCTGGCATTCGACGACGGACACTTCGATGTAGTTGGGTAGTGGGCCCTGACCATTGTTTGTTAGCTCTCTGACCAGGTCCCAAAACAACCTTCAACCTTGACAACTGGCTTGCGAAAACGCCCAAGTCGATCCTTGCGAAGAGCTTCGGTCTGCCTGAGTCAACCTTCGACAACTTGCCCAAGACGCACCCGTACATTCAGAACAGTACGACCAGTGCCCCTGCAAGGCAGAGGAACACCACTGGAGGTGCCGGCGAGCTCGTTGCAGATGCCTCGTATGTATACCGCACGTTCCAATACACTCCTGAGCCTGCGCCTGGTGGTGCTGGTGTCTGGTGGAAGATTGACACGACCAACTTCTCAATCTCGAAGATGATCGCGTCGATGTACGTTGTGCTTGAGCCGAAGGGTATCAGGGAACTACATTGGCATCCTATTGTAAGTCAGCTCGGTTCAATATTTATGGATAGTTGTACTGACGGGTAGTAGTTCGAGGAATGGCTGTACTTCCACGAAGGCAAAGGTCGTGCGACAGACTTTACTGGTAACAGTAACTCACGTACTTTCGACTTCGGGCATGGCGACACTGCTGTGTTCTCAGATAACTCTGGGCATTACATCGAGAACACTTCAAAGACTCAGACTCTCACCTGGGTCGAAATCAACAAGGTCGACCGCGTCGATGACGTGTCGTTGACTCAGTTGTTGGCTCTGGCACCAGCAGATATTGTTGCCGACCTCAAGCTGCCACTGAATGTTGTCGAGGGCTCGAAGAAAGAGAAGCAGGTGCTGGTGCATGGCAAATAAACGCTTTCGGTATTATCGTAGCTGGCTGTTGCCATGTCGAGTGGGAAATGGTCGGACTCGGCGAATTCTTCATTTCAATCCAGGCGCGTTGCGAGTGCCGAAGTAATAGTTATCATATTCTTTGACCTCGTCCTTATGCCATTATCTTATGATGCATCCCCAGCGAGTTGTAGCCAGATTGCGTGGTTACGATAGAGTGACAGACAAGAAGACCGGTATATATCCACTCTGAGAAGTGACGAACGCGTACGAGGTGCCTGAGTGGGTGTTCCAGTGTGAACATCGGTCGTGACGCATGCTTGTGCTCGACTCGCCTGCCCCACTTCACTAGCGCCAATTACTAAGCCTCATTCATGTAATTTGCGGGTACTCTTGCCGAAGACTTTCAAGTAGGGTCCTCAGTACGCAGTTGCTTTGAGCTTCATGAAGTCCTCTACGAGCTCGCCATTCTGTCGTACACCTTGGACGTACATCTCGCGCCCCGGTTTGCCCTGTCTCGGCAGCTCATTCAACCAACCCCATCGTGCCTTCTCCTTGTATCCTTGGTCTTGCCAGTCATTCAGGTCCTTCTCGTGCTGGTCATTCAGAAAGGGCAGTACTCTAAGCAGGGTCGAATCATGTGCTATACACACGAGCACGTCGGGATGTGCATCGAACCTCTGCAGTTCCTCGATGCACTGTGCTGCCGCTTCTCGATCCACGTACGCTGACTGCGCAAAACCCGAGACCTCGAAGAAGGGTGATGTCTTCGACGCCTCTGATTCTGGTCCAGCAGGGTGTACCTCTGTGAAGAGCGAGCAGGGGCATGGGTGTGGAAGATGCTGGTCGAGGTGCTCGTCTGGCACCGGATCTGGCATTTGGATCGAAGTGCTAGGCCGAAAGCTGCCACCAAAGTGACAGATATCGCCCCCGAGGAACACGAAAGTTGAGGGCGTTGTGCGCGCGAGGCCGCAGATATGTCCGATTGCATGACCAGGGGTGTCGAGTAAATAGAACGACCCATCACCGAAGTAGTCGTGTGCTCTGAACTCGCCTATCTTGAACGCGTCCGAAAACGTCATCTCGTGTACCTCACGACCTTCGAAGTTGGCGTTAAGGAGGAAGGCGTCTGGGTTTATGGGATATCCTGGCATGAAGTTATGTTTGAAGCCTGGTCCGACCACAATCTTGACATGTGGCGGGTACTTCTCAGCTGCGCCGTGGTGGTCCCAATGCCAGTGAGACCAGATCATGGCATCCAACTCCTTCAGCGGTATGCCAGCATTTTGCACAATCTCGTGGACATCCTTTTCAACACTCAAGCCTTTGATATTGACGTTCAGACGTTTCTTGGTGGCAGGAGAGAAGTTCTCGAAGTCTTTACGTGCGCCGCAGTCAAAGAGCACCTTCTTTCCTAGTATTGAATGTTCAATAAGAAAAGTGATTGATGTCAGGTTCAGGATCTCAAACCCAGGGATCAGTGGTTGGATGAAGCCTCTCGAGGAGACGCACATCTGTGTCTTTGCATCGATAGCGCGAAGGCGAACGCAGGAGGCTGACGGCGGAACATTGAGGCTTGTCATCATACAGATCGTGAGGAGGTTAATTGAAATACTGGAAAGGTTGTCGTCGACTTGGGACTGGCCAGCGGTCTTTGGAGGCGCATTGTTGCAGAACACAAATTGAAGGAAATTGTATGACGGTGATGTCACGCTGGAGCTTTATGTAAACTTTAGATCCACCGTTAGGGCTGCTAGCTCTTCTAGTTCTCCACCGGAGGATTCAGGTCGACATCCAGCGGAGACCACTTACGATAGTACGTTTAGGTCACGTCAGCAGTTCAACTGCGACAATTGTAGACATGATTCTTCTTGCGCTGCAATCGTAGTGAACTCAAACAGCCAATCAAAAACTGCTCAATTGTGTAGACCAACGGTCAACCCCCACATCACAATGCGTGCGTCGCAGTATGGTGTCGCTCGAATAACCTCTAAAGGTTAAATGCCTCTGAGAACAGGCTGTACGGGTCATGTATGCGCTCGAGACGGGACGCCTGAGCCTGGGTCGTCTGGAGTGATCTGTCGGTTGCGAGTGTCGTTCCGCGCGCTCAGCCTCCTCCACAACGGGCATCTGTCATCTTTAGTGCACCACTCGGCGCTTTCTAAAACGTGCGAAGGCCGAGACAGTTGTGAGAAGACAGAAATTGGCGGTCGCGAAGGGTCGGCAATGATTCCATTTTGGTTCTGTCGGCCGAGCCTCGACCTGAGACAGACGGTGGCCTTCCTCTTGGGTCCTTGCCGTGCATGCAACGCGCAAGACATCATGTTATGTGATAGGGTGCGCTGCATGATGCGGTCGTGATGGTCGAGATAGAAGGGGGAGGAATTTCCGTTGGTTGGGAGCGCCCTTGCCGTTTGGGTGCACTGCACTAGCGGAAGGATTTGAGAGCTTTGACAGCTGTTCCCTTTCGTATCCGTCAACGATCGTCGAACCCTGGATCAACCTCCTTAGCAAGCTCAATTACTCAGGTCGGTTCCAGGTGCATCCCGCAAGCTTCCATGTGGTTATCGTTGCAGAACATTCAATGGCTATACACCATGGCACCGTTCACTCCAGGCTCGGGCAGGCTCGGTTGCATTGCTCGCACTGCGCTGGGCCGCTGGACTTCAGCTCAAACCGGTAGTCAGGACGTGGCCCTCGGTTGCAGATAGCAGGCTTGTTCACCGTATCTGCAAACTCTTCGTCTCAGCTTCGCGGGGTTGGTGACGATCAAGCCCCATTCAAGGAAACCTGCATGCACTGCCCAGCGTCCAGGTCTTGATCACTTATCTGCCTCTACGAAAGCGGGAAGCCGTTGGGAACAGCGTTTTTACATAACTGGGTCCTCCAGTCACCTCATCAGGGTTCCACTCCGACTCCACTCCGACTGAAATCTGCTGTTGCCACCCTCTGCCGTTGGAAGGCCCGTTCCGTTTCCTCGTGTAAAGTTTGCGCCCATCCTAGTTGCTCGTAATGCTCGTGCAGGACCGCCACAGACCGTCTTCATCCATCCGATACGTACATGCTCTTGCAGCTCATCGAATATGAACACGGACAAGAAAGCAGCTGCAGAGATAGCTGCGCAAGATATTGACAGCAGTGAGATGGGCGTAGTCAATAATGTGTCGACAAAGCAGAGCTATGTGCTCAAGATGGACTTGCGCTTGATCCCTATCCTAGGATGCACGTATACGATTCTCTTCCTGGACCGGACTAACAGTGAGCCGATGACTTCCACGTGTGGGGCTCAAGCTAACATGCCGTAGTCGCGAATGCCAGAATCGAAGGCCTGGAGGAGGGCCTCAATATGCCATCCCACGGCTACAATACAGCTTTGTGGATCTTCTTTGTCCCCTTTATCCTGATCGAGGTGCCCAGTAACCTGATCATGGGGTTGCCTCGTGTGCGGCCTAAATGGTTCCTGGGTGTCAATATGCTTCTCCTCGGGATTATAGCGACTTGTCAAGGTCTAACCCGGTCGTATGGTGGGCTGCTCGCGTTGCGATTCTTGATGGGCATTTTTGAGGCAACTCTACCAGCTGGTCAGTCAGCGACACCAGTTGTATTGGCGAAAACTGACATAAACAGGGGCCGCGTTCTTGATCAACGAGTACTACACCCGCGCCCAGATGTCTCTTCGGTACGCGTGCTTCTTCTGCTTCGGCGCCCTAGGACCTTGCATTAGCGGCATACTGGCATACGGCATCCGCAATATGCATGGCATTGCTGGACTGGAGGGCTTTAGATGGATCTTTATCATCGAGGGCCTCGTCACCATCTTCATCTCCTTCTTCGTGTTCGTCTTCGTGCCGGACTTTCCAGAAAGGACCAACATCTTGAGCGCCACAGAACGAGAGCACCTCCTTGCGGTACTCCGACAAGATAAAGGGACCCAGAAGTTGGATCTCAAGAAGGTAAACTGGTTGAAGATATTGACCGACTACAAGATCTGGTTTCCGTAAGCTCATCATGTTGATCTTTGTGTAATGCATACTGACCTTTCTTTAGAACACTGATGTTCTTTTGTTGCGATATGACAGCGGCATCAATGGCCTCCTTCATTCCTACAATTTTGACCGAACTCGGTTGGACAGCTGCCTATGCTCAGGCAATGTCGGTACCCATCTGGCTCACCGCTATGGTCTTCCAAGTCACGGGTGCCTTCCTGAGTTGCCGAACAGGTTGGCGCTTCCCGTTCATCCTCTTCGGTGTCGTCTGCGCTATGATCGGTTGGGTCATCCAACTTGTGTACTCAGAACATGGCAATGTGTCGGCTGCTGTACGCTACTTTGGTCTGTTCTGCATGAGCGGCGGAGCGTTTCTGCAGATGACCATGTCCACGGCCTGGATGTCGAACAATCTGCGCGGCCGCGCTAGCATCGCTGCCGGTACAGCCATCGTACTGGGGTTCGGTAATTGCGCGAACTTTATCGCTACAAACATTTTCATCAAGGCCGAGGCACCATACTATCCCTCTGCTTTCAGGACAGGCCTGGCTATCACTGTGGCCGGCGGTGGGTTCTGCGTGACTTACGCAGGGCTGCTGTGGCGACACAATCGGAAGCTGGCAAGGAAAAGGGTAGAGGATGGCGGCGAAGACGATCAGAAAGAGTACAGGTACCAAGTTTGACAAAGAGCCAAAATTTGCATGCACTTGACGATACGATCCCCAATGGACACACAGAGACGACCTCTTGAACGTTGAAGAGCGCTCTGGACGTACAATTTGAGTTGGACGCCTTGTCGAGACTGCCGTGAATTAAGAATTCGAGACTCTGTACCTGCGGCTGGGATCAGCAACGCTAGCGCAGCGTCATCGGTGAACAAGCGTTGACAGGAGGGACGTGTCTGCACACTAAAAATATCCTCCGGCCGACAGAGGTCGCACGTGCTGCGCATACATTTTCTTGGCTCTGTTTCTTGGTCATCATCATATTTACTACTCATACTCACATGGTTGTTACAATATCAATGTTGGAGTTGCAAATAGGCTGTTGACAATGCGCTTGCTCACCAACCAGCAGTCATTTGGCCGTCAGATTCGATACATTGCTAGAGACACTCAGGCATACTGTGTATACGTGTGTTGATAAAGTCCTGACTAACTCTTTTCCATCCTTCCTTTGCCAATTGGATAGTGTCTTCCTCATCCCAATGAGGGAAATTTCTCATATGCTTTTTAGCTGGTTGCCAGCAGTTCTCAATAGGAGCAAGGTCTGAAGATAATGCGTGGTTGAAGAAGTAGTTAAGGTGATTCTCATGCTCCTTCAGGTCTGCACAATGTTGTTGTTGCTAGGTCCATGGCTGCTGTCATTGTCTTCCTTTAGAGTGAATTGATCACCTCTTTCAAGCCACTTGCCAACATGAGGCTTAAGAACCTGTTCTAGAGAGGCTTTTTGTGTCATCTTGCCATTCTTGAACACGTCCTCCTTGCTGTGTGGGATGCCCTTAGCTTCCATGTATGCTATTGCACCACAGACACGTGCTTTTGTTGGTGTCTCATATTTGTATGTATTCCATGGGTCTGCCATTAAAAAATCAAGTAAATTGAAACAGTATAGCGTGTGTGGTGTGCGTGAAAGTATGGGTGTGTTGAGGTTTGGTGTGGGGTTGCCATTTTTGGTGTGCGGCCAAATTTGTCACCCGAGTAGTACTCCTACACCAGACGAGGGTGCAGCAGTGGCTGTCGGCCCAAATCAAGCACCTGTCGTTGAGAAACATGGCCACGTTGTGTCCGAGTTGCCCGAGGGAACGAATACACACGAAACAGAATCTGATGCGGTAGCTTGTGCAGTCTAACTAAATGGAGGCAGCCAACTCGTGGAGGCTCCTGTACGACAGTAGTCTTATAGCAGTCGAAACGTCGGGAATAATGAAGCGCGCAGAGCTTGTACATCAGAGTGTACAATAAGTCGACACTAAGCCCTGTGCAAAGTGCCTGCGATGCGACTCTCCGAATTTCGTACACTTCGTACATCCTCAAATGGCAGTTGGATCGGTGGGTTTTGAACCGGCCCACTGCGGTACCTGGATTCGTCAACTTACGCCAGAACAACAACAATCGAACAACACGAAACGAACGATCGACTGAGGAAAATGAATTGCTTCACATGCTACGAGAATTACAGATCAATTCACGATGGTATGGCGTGAGCCCCTTTGCTTTGTTCTCGACGCCCGATGACGCACGCAGTCGGGCCGTGCATGTATCCTTCACGGCTCCACTGCGGGCGCTAGCACTGCCACAACCGTGCTCCACGTTGTAGCACGATAAGAAAGCAGCATTTTCTTCGTACATTAGATAGTCGCGGCCTCGATATCAAAGACTTCGTATTGCGGTTCATGACCAACGTCACAATTGCTTGTGTGACACCAATTCGGAAGGTTGCAAGAGGATGGATGCAAGCCACGAACAACGTCTAGGAGCCGGCACTCAAGGAGAAAGGCCGTGCCTTGTGCGCACGGCGCCTCCCGGAAAATGACACCAATAAACGTTTTCCGCATATTTAGTACGTCCATACGGAGCCGCACTAGTGCAAGGAACAAATTGGGTTGAGATTGCACAACCCATGATAGGCAATGACACTATTACGAATACAGGGCCAGTGCATGGTACTTTTGCCGGATTTCTACCGGGTGTGAGATGCGGCACTCAGATTAGATGAATCGCTCTTGCGTGCGAGTTCCTAGATCATTGAGAGGATGTACGATGAAGGATTTGCTGTCAATGTTATATCTGCGTGGACGTCTTCCATGAGTGAAGATCATCATCAGGTTCGCTACATTCGTTTTTACTTTCATTCTCTGGGCTTCTCTGTGCGTCATTGACCATGCTTCTCTTCGCTTTTACATCACTCGTCGGCCTGGCTGCATGCCTTCCATCGAGCTCGCACGCTCTTTCGAAGCAAGCAGTCAGTGATCTCATTGTGACTAAGGTACCTGACCATGTGCGCCCATACATTGTGCGAGCATACGCACTAGATGGGTACCGAGTTGGATCACAGGTCTACCGCTTCCCGGTGACTGGCCCTTCATCGGACTACGCCTTCACATTGATCAGTACCGCTGCGCCGGCTGGTACGAGTCTCGGCGTGCTCCCTCACGTAGGTCTCCTGTTGAGCGAAGTGTTACAAAGTACATACTGATTTGAAAAAGACGCATGCGGCTCACTACGAGAACTTCTATTGCCTCAAGGGTCGATATGCCCTCTGGACCAGCAAAGACAATGTCACATCAGGCCGTATCCTCACACCTGGTGACTACGGAGCTGTGCCCCACGACACGACCCACACCTTCCAGCTCCTCGATCCTTTCGTCGAGCTCGTTGGCGTCATCCAGCCCGGTGGCTTCGAAGACCTCTTCTACTTCCTTGCAAATGCCAACTATAGCTCCTCCACCAACTCACCCTTCCCGCAAGGAAACTTCTCGGACCCGGGTGGTGACTCTAGCCTGATCACCACACTCGAAAGCTACGATGTGTACGCCAAGTTGACTTTTAGCCCCCCTACAAACTTCGGTGCGAACGGCGCAACAGAGGAGGACGCAATCTGGCACAACGGCACCAACGTACTGGGCAAGGACGCTCAGACACCATTTTTTGTTGCTAAGGGCTATGGTCCCAAGTACCTCGCCGGCGACAAAGACTCTTCGTATGCCATTGTTGAGCCCTTCATCACGAGCCAGCAGTCTGACGGCAACTTCACCGAGGGAACTATCACCCTATCAAAGCCAGTTGCTGGATCTAAGCCTGCTACGTACTTGCTGCCCGGCCACACTGCACTCGAAGTTGTTGATGGACTTGTCAGCGTTGACGTTGGTGGCTTTGATGGTACTACAACCCTATCCGTTGGTGATGTTGTCTTCGTGCCTGCGAACACAACCTTCAGCTTCTGGGGCGAATCAGTGTACTCGAAGGTCCTGTATGTTGGTGCTGGAGAGGACACAGTGGATGCTAGGATCAGGCAGAATGCCAAGGAGTGGGATTCGGCTACATGGCCGCAGTGAGCTGCATGAGCATCATAGTTGAAGTTCAAACCAGAACTTGCGGACTTAGAACCAAGTCTGTAGTGCTTGGGTATTACAGGATTGGCGTAAGCTGTGGCGTACCAAGGAAGGATGTGTGCAATTTGTAAGCTGGCATTTAGTACTTCTTAGCCATATCGAGCATAACTACAATCCCGAGCATGCAGTTATCGATTTTACTTTTGCACATTCAGCTTGGCAGCACTGCTTGCCTGACGCCCTTTGGCGACTGTTTCATCATTCAGGTTTGCTCGAGTTCCTCGACGATCAGCTGTACAAACTTGGCTTGAATGCAACGCATGGTATAAAGGACGATGCTGAAACCTCATCTTTCCGGGCAACAGGCTAAGTTCTCATTTCTCAGAATCTTCATTCCAGCATTTTCCGTCACAGCAATGGCTATGAAAATTGCGGTCGCGGGCGGCACTGCTCCACAGCTTGGTCGAGCCATTGTGACAGCCATTCAGGACTATCCTGATCAACTACAAGCGATCGTACTTACCAGACCCAGCTCAAAGATCCCGTCTTGGTTGGAAAAGCTGAATGTGGAGACACGCCGAGTCAACTATATGTCTGAGGAGTCTCTGGTAGATGCATTGAAGGATGTTCACACAGTAAGTTGACTCTCGAGTTTCTTATTCATCCACTAATCGCGATAGGTCATTTCGACCGTCGGTGCCGATAACTGGGTCAAGGTCCAAAAGAACCTTCTCAACGCCAGCATTCGCGGCGGTGTCAAACGTTTCGCACCTTCCGAGTTTGCTGCAGGCGTCAACGTAGCCAGAATCATCGAGGGTCTGCGTCCAACCTACGAAGTCATGGATGCATGCCGTGATGCCCAAAAGCAAAACTCAGAGCTCGAGATCGCCGGCTTTCACATTGGACTATTCATGAACTACTTAGGTTTCGGTGCGTCCCACAACGAAGAAGACCCTGTCCACGGCATCGTATTCGAATGGCCTGTCGTTTGGGACATGAAGAACATGAAAGCAAGGACCCCGTTGTCACCCGAAGGCAACATACCACGGCTTTTGCTGACCGAGCTCAGTGACGTAGGTCGCTTCACCGCTGCAGCATGCCTGCTGCCCAAGGGTGCTTGGAGGGAGGAGTTCAACTTCGTTGGCGAGACAACCAGGATGGACGAGGTTGTGAATATCATCGAAAAGGTGCGTGGGAGGAAGATGGAAGTCAGCTATCGTCCGTACAAGCAGATCGTTGAGGAAGAGGCCAAGGAGACGGTTGAGTGGCCGAACAAGTTCTGGCTTCAAGCTGAGATAGTGCATGCGCTGGACAAGACTGGAGAGGGCGTGATTGTGTGACGGTTAATGGAGTATAGAGGTCATGTGTGCCACGTGTGTTGGCGCAGTGCTCTTGCCCTTTCCAACAAGCCCTTTCTACCTCTGTTTGAACGACAAATACGTCATGTAAACAGACCCTGATGGCCCGGTGAGAGAGACAGAACACTGAACAAGAACAACAACAATATATACCGATTTTACTGCTCGCGCGGTTACCCCTGACTTACTGCTCTGCGCGGTTACACCTTCACTTATTGCATTTACTGCAACAGATTGAGCCTATCCACAATGATATGGTGCTACAGGGGAAGCCAGTGTCGGTTGAGGAGTACCTTAAGAAGTTCTGGTCGCCGTAGCCTTGTCATATCAACGCAGCGACTGAGAAGTGTATGTTCGTTCCTGCATGCTGAGATGGTGGTTGAGAGATGATGGGCGCCTGAAAGTGCACACCTCAGAAGCAACGAAAAGTGGGGCAAGCGCGAAGCGAGCCACCACATCATTCGAGCGCGTCTTTACGACGGTCGTTGATGAAGGAGTGCACGATATCTCCTTCGGACACCGAGGGTGCACCTGCTATGATTATAAGTTTACATATCATGTTCGCAGCAGTGGGTGCATTACCATCACTACGATCTTTTCATTCCCTGTTTATCACACTGCATCTTATATTCGTTCGGAGTCTGGTCACTCATTATATTATACACTTGTAATCGTCACAGTTTATACCCAGGCAACCGCATCTCATACCAACTTTTTTTTCAATCAACATCAAGCCCATAATCGTTGCTTTTGTTTTTTTTGCTGCAGCGTTGGGCGCACCGGTACGCCGTCAACCAGGCATAATCCAAACACTCACCAGCGCTCTCGGTGGTATCGGAACCACCCTCGTCGAAGACTCTGGCAACCTAGATCGCCCATTTCAAGTGAAGGGTGACACCTTTGTGAACATTGGTGCTGCACTGGCACGAAGCTGCGATCAGCAGTTCAACGCTTGCGCGAATGCTGCAAGTGGAGGAGACGCGACTCTGAGCGTGGCTCAGTGCTCGACTCAGAAAGGTATGTGTTTAATGAGCAGGGTTGTTGGGGAGGAACTGACAGCTTTGCAGACCAGTGCAGTGCGAGTATCCAAGCAAGTACGGCCGCGACACAGGGCAATGCTTAGCACTGGTAATGCAAACGGTGCTGGAGCTGCAAACGCCAGTGGAAACAATTTTGGAAACAATGACGGCAATGCTAGTGGGAACGCTGCTGGAGCTGGAAATGCCGCCTCGTGCATATGGTTGGTAAGTGCTGGATACATGTTATCGGCAGTAGATAGCGCAAAACGCCTTTGTACTGAATTTGTGCGTATCACAGGACATCTGCATCTTGTTGACCGGCCATTGTCCGTACTGTAGCATTGCGGGTCCAAATATTGATGTTTGTCCCCTGCAGCAAGTCATGAGAGGCTTGTGTGGCTTACTTGTCGCGGCCCCGCAGCGATACAAAAAGGCCGACCTTTGTGACCCTCGGGCCCTAAAGGTTATATACACCGCAACATTATTTCTAGCTGTGAAAATATTGCTTTGACTGCAAAAGTAAATTGACCGTCAGCGAAACCTGTCGAGAGAACGCACTCAAGTTCTTAGCGCTATTCGACCAAAAAGTGCGGGTGCTGCGGAGAGCCACCACGCCCTGGCAGGTCGTGATCCAGTTCGGGCTCGAACTGGACACCTTCAATAAGCTAATTGTGTTAGACTGACATGATAAATAACCAAGTGCACCATCGAACCGTTTGAGCTTTCTGGTTTGCGTCTTACCGACTTGCAAAAAGCTCTGCCACCACACCCCTAGTGACCCAGACAAAAAGATGATTCGACCCAGACTTGAACTGGAGACCTTCAGTGAGCTAACAGTGTTAGACTGACGTGATAACCAACTACACCATCGAACCATTCGAGCCTTCTGATTGGCTGACGGAAGCTTTAGTATTAAAACACAATATATCTGATTAAATCGGGACTCTTAGAACGATGAGTACCCATTTTCCGGGTCAATCGCTTTGTGAATCAGACACTTGACATTTCAAGAACCTAGAGTTCAGGCAGGAAGCATCTGAAAAATTTAAACTGTGTGGTGGGGCCATTGAATGGTCTGCATCGGCGAACGAGCCACCTTTCGGCGACACGATCTTAGCCTTCTCACATCGCCAAAATCACGAAGACAAGACTGTTAATGAACAGCTACAGCCTCAAAAGCCTTTTCATGTTAATCAAATAACCGAACCTTCAACGAGAGTCAGATAAAAGACCCACGTTTAGACCTTCACATATCCGCTAGTTAAGTCGGCGTACTCGCTGGGGCTGACCGCATGCTTCTTAACTTCCAAGCAGACTCTTGATCAAGATCTTCAAAGCTTCTCAGAGCATAAGATGTAGCCGCGATACGAAGTAGCATAAAAAAGCTTGCGTACTCTTCAGGGTTATCCTCAGCTTGTTTATAACGCCGAGGCGCGCTGTGACGACATCTTGGCTTCCCTAGTTGTCGGGCTTAAAGTCTTGTCCACTTCTAAGAGTTGTCTGCCCCTACCAAGATGCCTGACTTCTTGGGAGCTGATCAAGAGTGGATTTTGCGGGGGGACAGCTGGGCAGTGGGTCTACTCCACTTCAACGTCTTCCAAGAGATGCCAGATGAACCCTATCAGTGACAGTGCTTGGTATCGCTCGTCCTTCGGCTTCGTGTATGCTTGATTGACGGTATATCGAGGGATGTTGCTGGAAGCGTTGAAGAGGACCACAGACAATTTGCGGCTAAGTTCCACTGTCCCATCGCCATTCCAGTCTACTTACTCCGAGACCTGAAATCATAGACATTGCAAATAGCGCATTGCTGCCAAGTCGTGGTCCATCGTCGTTGTCGATTTGGGGTGAAAGCGGCGCCAGTTGAACGAGCCGCCGCTTTGGGGTTTTCGACCCATCGCGACTTCGCGTCCCAATCATATCTCTATCCCAACACCTCGTCGCCTTCGACACCTGGCGCAACGCACCTGAGACCGTCCTCTTACCTGTGGTTGCGGAGAAGCCTGTCTTACCAGCCGTTCTATGATGATGATGGAGTTGATGGTTGACCGGTGAGACAGCCCAGATCTGGTCCAGCGTCAGTCTCCCGCGTTCGCACCTGCCACTCAGCAACAAGCATCGCCAATGATGCACAGACTCAAGTCTTGACACGACCGGAAGGGTCACAAACTGAGCACACAGTCCGCTTTGCCAAGGTTGAGGTTGTCGCACCTTCGTCCGAGATCGAGTCCCAATTCGGTTGGTTCCATTCGATTTTCGCCTGAACGCCTAGCGCAACACCCACCTCAAACATCGAATAGCGTTCACAAAGCCGCCTCCCCAGCTTGCACCTCGCTCAAGCTTCTCGGGCTCCGCTCAACTAACACATGGTCTGTTGCAGCAAAAGCTTCTCCAGTTGAAGCTCAAGGGCCGAGGCACCCATCCTGGAACAGTGATCCCCACACGAACACTGTGGAGAAACATCCGTTGCCAAGAAGGTATCTATTTTCTACCTGCACGACTCTGAACGGCGCTGATCACATCTGGGCTTGTCCAAGAGCTGTCCCGTCCGGTCTTTTCCACGTTCTGTACTTGGCAATGCCAGCCTGGCAGGACAACTACAGCCTTGGGATCTCAAGCCTTCCTGACTGTTTTCCTACAGATGTAGTCGTTACACGTCAAGCTTGGCTATGCACGAAGGTCATCGCCGCAGAGTCATGACATCTGCTTATGAAGTCCAGTGGGGGTTTATTGATACTGCGAGAACTGGTCCGGTCCCCCATGCGAACACCTATGCAGCGCATATAGAAGTTGCCACGACATCAGATCAACCTGGTAGTAAATCCTCCTGCCAAAGGCGACCAGAAGGGGGCTACTCAGGCCCATACCATCTTGGTGACCTAGTAAGCAACGTGTACGATGCTCTAGACCGAGCTGGTCTCCACCCTTGCAGGAACTCCCTGTGGGCTCAACTGCCCCTAGCTACAGACTCCAAGCTTATCAGTGCTTGGCTCCGCATCACGAAAGTTTCAAGTAGACTTCAAACGGCGGGAGAAGCTTGGCAACGAGGCTGCAGAGGCAAGTTTTGCCACGCCTGCCACGGGTATGCTTGCATGGTCTTGAGGCTCTTGGCATGGCTTCACAGAAGTTTCAACCTCACCCCAAACAGCCGCACGGCCTTGGCGGGGTCAGGCTAGTGGAGCACACACATCAAGGCTTCCTGTACATGTTGCAGTGTATATAAGATCTTGAAGGATGCACTCTTTCAGTTCTCCAGTCCGGTCACTCCATTCACTTCTAATCCTCTATTGAACCATAATCAGTCGCTAGCGACCTTTCACGAAATCTTCAAAACGATCACATAATCGCTTCATATCGAATCCATCGCTAGTCGACAACCCTAATCCCAACAACACCATCAAGATGCTTCCTCAACAAGTCCTCCTCGCTGTTCTTGCAGCCGTCTCCGTCTCTGCCGTTCCCCTCAACATCAACCTTGGCGCCTACTCCCCTGCCCTGGTAGTGGGTGATGGAGAGATCTCTCTAGGATCAAAGGAATCAGCCTCGGAGCTGATGGCAACGCTCGCCTCAGGAGCAGCTACTAAGGGCGGCGAGGGCCAGCAACAAGGTCAGCAAGAAGCACAGCCGGCAGCTGCACCTGCGGCCGAGCCGGCAAAAGAGGGAGAAAAGTCTGCTGAAGAGAAACCAGCTGCCAAACGATCAATGAACCTCCGCCGCGCAGTCGACCAGCTCCTTGGAAAGCGCGAACCCACACCCGCCGAGGGTCAGCTGGCGGCTGTCGAGGACGCCATGCAGTGGATCAAGCGTGACCTCCAGGGCTTCAACGCAGCTCTCGGCTACGCTAAGGAGGCTATGAAGAACTCGCCCAAGATCGAGATGGGCTCAGAGGGTGCTGGTGTTGGTCTCGTTGTCAGCCCCGGTGTCAACGTTCCCCAGAACTCCGCCGCCAACGGTGCAGCTGCAGGTGGTGAGAAGAAGGCAAAGCGCGATGAAGTCGAAGTTGCAGATGAGGAGGGCGATGTGCCAAAGATGACACTCGTTGCCATCACTGAAGTTTGAACGATACCCTAAAAGAGATGGAACGATTTCTCGTCAACAGCATATTTTCTTTTCCTTTGTCTTTAGTGCGATCTTCAGCGATTTTGGGACTCGGAGTTTTCAGGAAACAGAGCTAGGCCTTGCAGCTTGCAGAACGGTAGATATTCAATAACAGTCTATGCGATCAACCCTTTCCTCACTTCTACTGACGTGAGTAAGCAGCGGTGAGTCGAAATCGAAGCCCTGAACTTTGGGTCACCTCGGCCCGTCCCACTTGCTCGAAACACTTTCGAGTCGATTTGCCACGCGGAGCTCCACTCCGACCTTCCAGACTTGCATACCGGGGTGAATGCGGCTCTACTCAAGCACCAGCTAAGTATCACCGAGGTCTCGGTGACACCTTGGGGGGCTTGGCAAGACTATTGGGTTGGTGCGCGATCTGAAACGCGGATATGCGCAAGCGCACATGGCGAAGGGAAAACCGAGACGGTTGGCCAGTAGACTGTGACTTCAACAGCGTCGACTCTTAGCAGTGGTCATTATATTGCCAATTAATGACTGAACAAAGATTGTTTGCGCATTGTTGAGGTAGGTGAGTATAAAACTGATAGTTGCACCTCCGTCGACATTGACAAAAACGGCACCTATAGTGCGTGTTTGCTAGTAGCGAGAAATCGGCGCTCAAAAGACTGACAAAATACAATGGCCCAGAACTTCTTTGCCTCTTCTCACTTTTCTTGTCGCTTTTGCGATGCCCTTCATCTTGCTTCCTCTTCAGATGACTGCAATCTTGGCCAACAGCATACCTTTCTATCCTCCGGTCAAGCGTCGATACCAGTCTACTACCCTCACCAGCTGGTTGTGCTGTAGTTGGAGGTGGATTTGTGATGTTCTCTGTAATATTATCTCTCAAATCCTCAAGCGATGGGGGTTCCGCTGGAATGTATCTCAGGCACTGTCTGACCAGGCTTTGATTTCGTTGCTCTAGCGAGCTGAAGTCCAATCGCGGAACACACCGATGAGCAGATCCTCATCAAGCCACTCGTTGCTTTAACTCTTTCCGCTGACAAGATTGTCACCATGATCGAATGCAGGGGGTGCGCAGAAGTCGTCGATTGATCCGTTGGTCAGTAAGTTCTACATCGTCGAACCTCAGTTAATCAGCATTTCCAGTAAAGATATTAAATACCTCCTGGATACATACCAATGCCGAACACGTCGGAGCTGCTGTTCAGTTTCGGACATGGCTCGGTTCTGTAGCTGTCGTGATCATGGAAGAACTGTTGCAGGGTTGATCAGGAACAATGGCTTGAGAAACAGTGTGCAAGCCTTACTGGTAGGTATCTGACGAGCCTTGGGTTTTCGGAGACTTGGACTGTCTTGTCAAGGAGGTAGTCAGCGGGGTTGTCTGCGTACGCGTCTCCCGAAGCTTGCAAGTCAAATATTGCACAATCGTAATCAGCGAGAACAATGTTTGGCAACTATGAATATCCGCATGCGTAAATTTCGGTGTCTTTGGATCATTTGTATTGTTCTCCGTGATCACGACGCAACGATACGCTGCTTGATGATAATGGGCATTCTCTACGTACTCAACGAGGTGATGCTAGAGCTAGTCTTCGGGCGATGGTACAGTATGACTTTCCTTTTCTGGTCGGAGGAAGACATTCTGGAGATGCAGGTCTCGGTGAAGGATCGGTCGCCAATCTCTAGCGGCACTCAAGTCCCTTTCGTTGCCGTCCCGCAGAAAGATACAGGCATCCACCAACTGTTAAAAGACGCGCCAGAGGAAGAGTTCCGGAATCACCTCCATCGTCTATGACGACACCGAAAGGGTCTAACTTCACCCACACACCTACCTGGCCACTCACTCCTTTCCCGAGCTCACAGGCACCGGACCATTGATAATTATTCTGTTCTGGGTGTAAAAGCGCACTGTTAAACCACTGTCGATTGAATTTTAGATCCCCATCTGACGGCAACCGTACTTGGCTGGCATCGTCTTGGGGCCAGAATGCGAAGTTCGTTGTGTTGTCAGCCGGCACGATCGAATTGGCAGTTGCAATCGAAGTTTCCGGTACACTTGCGGCATCACCATTGACACGCGGCGCGGCACGAGGATCAGCAGGCATATTCTTCCCTACTGATTGAGCAGGCAAGGTCGTTTTGTTGATTGTAGGTAGTGCTGTTGACTCATTTTCGACCAATCTCTGACATTCGTCTTCTTCGCCTTGCGTTCCCCTCTCCCAAAGCCAGATTGGTTCTGACCGTGGCTGCGAGATGATTTATAAAACCTCAAATATAAAGCTTTGCAAGTCAACGTACCTTTATTCCAGCGTGGGCGTTGTCTTTCGATGACAGCCCTCCATACTCGGTCGTAGCAGCTTCGGGCTGTCTTGAGGGCCTGAAGCGGCCATACTACTTGCTTGACTTTCTATTTCGGAGGCATGATCTGAGGGGTTAAGAAACGTTCAGTTTTGTTTTCTTGCTCTGTTGAAAACCGCGGCGAAGGAATTCTGCTTGTTTTGTCGGGTGTCTCAAATGCTTTGTCGTGTGGAACAAATGAAACTCTAGGATGTTGCCGCACAAACCCTTTCTTTGTAGTTAGGAAATACACATCTACTTGTAACCTAATACAAATATTCACCGAGATTTGTTTAACTTCAAGAGATAACTGGGGCACTGGACCTGCGTTCCCAGAATCTCCAACTTTTTATTGTCCCGCGCTTCCGTGAACTGCCGATAACTTTTCCTTCCACAGGCTGCTTCATTTGATCAAGCTTGTAGTTCTTCAAGCAGAGGGACAGTGGCAAGATCGGCACGGCTGCACATATTGCGCCAATGAGCATGTAGCGCATGGTCTCATTATAGGCTTGATTGATAGCCACACGTACAGGGGAGCCCGGAGGATACAGCGTATAGTTGGACGCGACGGTAACATCTGCGTAGATGGTCGCGTAGTTTGGGGCGAGATCTGACGGTAGATATTGCTGGAGCTTCGATGGGACATACGTGCTCCAGATTGCGCCAGAGACTGCTGCACCAACAGCACCACCGACTTCGAGAATGGTGAGCCAGACTGTAGTTGCGGCAGCGACCTGCTGATGCGATGCGGACGCCTGCACACCAAGCTGTACTGGAACGTTGAGGAACCCTCCGCCGATTCCAACAGCGATTTGGTTGCCAATTATAGACCAAGTTGATGCATTCTCGGTGCGGTAAGCAATCATGAGTCCACTGCATACTGTTAGTTCACGCTTCTCGTATTGGATGCGATGAAACTTACAAACCCATGATATAGATACATGCTCCAGCTGTAACAAAATATTTGTAGTGTCCGGTGTACTTGATAATCAATGAGACTACAATAGAAGCGACGGTCGATGCGAATGTGAAGACACGGGTGATGTAACCCGCGGTCACTTGCGATTTGTTTTGGACGATGAGCAGGTATGAGAAGAAGTACGGGAACACGCTCATGTAGAAAGCCACTGCATAATGTCAGTACAATGTAGCATCCCAAGCCCTCATAGACTTACTAAAGTAGAAGAAGGCAATCGCAGTACCCGCCACGACTGTCTTGTTCTTGAAAAGATTGGGAGGAAAGAAGGCTTTTGGCGCAAGCTTCTTGCTTCTTTCCCAGAATGGGAAGACAATGCATATGACACCGCCAATGACAAGCATAGCTATCATACTGGCGTTCCGCCATTGATCGTCGGCATTAGGGGCGAGCGTAAGGGGTAGCAGCACCAACGAGATCCCTGCTGCTAGCAGCAGAAGCCCGAATACGTCGAGGTCGTACCAGAGGTTCTTGAAGATTGCACCGATGGTGCGGCCCTTAAATGGGCTTGGGAAGTCTAGGCCGAGCTTCTTCGCACGACGTTGGTTCATGAACAGGCTTACAGCAAGAGGTATGAAGCAGATTGGTAAAATAACAGCCCATATTCCATAACCCCAACGCCAGGTCGTGTGGGTGAGAATGCTGTTCGCTACCTCAGGTCCCGCCCACGTCGTCCAGAGGAAAGGTAGGTCGAAGATAGTTGAGAACAGTGCGCGGTTGAGTAGATCCGTTGTATCAGCAACGAAGATCTGCTGCAGAACCTGGAGTCCATTAAAACCAGCAGCCCAGAAGACTTGAGCGCCTGCATAGGTCTGGACGTTCTTTGAAGCAGCTTGTTGAATGTAACCGAGCGTGTAGAACAGAATTGAGATACTGAATGATTCAAGCCGACCAAACACGTCGGCAATCTTGCCCATGGGAGGCTTGATAACGGCTGCGTCTGGTTAGTACTCCAGTGGTAGAACAACTAATTCGAAAATGATCAGGCGCTTACCGCTTACAACACCCTGGACCACAGCAACTGTCGATACTAGAGAGTGCGATCTGAAGGCACTTGTTGCGTAAACTGTGAGATTAGAAGTAACTTGAATTTCCAAAGATGTGATATTCGCAATGAGCATAAGCCTGCTCATATGTCAAAACCTTATGTTCATGATACTTGAATGAAAAGCAAGCGGAATATTCGTACGTGACATATGCTATGATCAAGCTGGTCAAGGTCCAGGCTTTGCTCACAGCTTCGATGCGTTTGACTCCAGCTTGAGCTTCTTCGCTACTGCGTCGGCTGTCTGATTCGTCAACGGACCGGTAATCAGATGGTGGTGCATTGATATCGTAAGCTTTCTCATCCCCATCGTGGGAATGTCCATCGTTTGGTCTCATTGACGTCCTCATCGTAGCTGAAATGTCTCCTACCTCAAGAGCGGAGAATGCAAAGAGAAGAATGTTGGAGAGGCTGAGACCTGGCGACGATCACATTTATCTGATCGACCCTGCGTTCACTCAGCCGTTCACGGCTGGTAAACACTAGGCTCAGCTCAGTAAGGCGCCGCTAGCCAAGGACGACTGTTGCATGGCGGGAGCGAATCATTACCAGTGACTCGAGCTCCGGATGCTGTGTGACGATGTGCGACTGGCGCTGCCCGCACTGCTGGGCCACCCATTGTGGATGCCTCATGGCTTGGTGAGAAAATTCGATCTGATAACCTGTCGACGGTGGCATTGGCGAAGGCTTGGGCGATGTCATCATGCCTCGGAAACGCCGATGACATGTAAATGTCAACATCTGTCGAGGAAACTTTGATTTTGTCCTCGCGACGCTGCGCAAGGAAGGAATAGCCTGCCTAAGCTGACATGCGTTCGTGTAGCGCCTTCTACCGTCAGATTATGGTGTCGCATGAGGTAAGTTCAAGGTAGGTAAGTTCGAGGTAGGTAAGTTCAAGGCTGAAAGCGGTCCGTGGCACACGTTCCTCGGAACACCAACAGACTAGTTAGGCGAACACCATCACTCAAGTGACAAGAACCAGGATCCTATCAGAACACCAAAAAAGCCACTTTGCACACAAGAGATTGATCGAGCTTGACAATGGAGCGACAATGTAGGGCATGTCAGACTCGCTGCCGTCATATCATGACGAACGCACGACGCAGAATCAGAAAGTGTGACCTATTGCAGTCGAAGTCATTGATGAAAGAGGACTCCGTATCTCTTGTGAAAGTACGAGATGTTGCGAAGGATGAGACTGAGCCCTCGACATCGTCGTCAGCCCACTACGCACCCACAGAAGTACCACACACGCAAACTGGCATTATACACAGGGCACAACCTGTCAGAGTAGATGGAAGCGCACAGCACACTGACAGCCAACAGTACATTCACAGATAGCACAATATATACGTAACGATGCCACTTATAAGACATGGTTGCCAACCATTCCTTTTCGATTCATCGACCTAGCGATCAGAAAGGCATCATCCGCATCTACCCCAACGTCCAGTACTTCCTCATATTCTCCGCCCCAAGCATCTCAACCTCCTCATCCATACGCTGCCAAAGTACCTCCCCAAATCCCTCCGTAATCATCCTCATTCTCTCCCACTGAAACCCCTTGTCCTTCTTATCTGCCTCACCCCTCTTCAATTCCTTCTGCTTCTCTTCGAGAAATTCTTTCAACTCCAGCAAATCTCCGTGAATCAGCTTACGTTGGCTCAGCATCTCCATTTTCTTCGCGAAGCACGGCATTTCTGCGCGAAGATGGGGAAGTAGTGTGTTTCTTCGAGGTCATGGTGGCCTTTTAGGTGGTTGCAGACGTGAAGGGCTATGTCGAGGAATGAAGATAGTGATGTTCGCGGTGGAAGGAAGTGGTTTTTACAGGCTATGGACATGGTATTCCAGGCGCCGCGGAACATGTTGTGCTGTGGGATGTGAGTATGAGGAGAGCGGAGTGTGAGGCGGGGTTGAACGTAGTAGACCATCTTTACTGCGAGCTGATTGTACTGCTTGAACTCCCATGGGGCCAGAGGTGGTAGTGTCTCTTTTGGTTTCGGCTTCTCTACCAGGGTAGTGATGTGTTGCAGTAGTTGCAAAAAATGAAGGTGTAACCGCGCAAGGCAGTGAGTCAGAGGGAAACCGCGCGAAGCAGTAGAATCAGTATATTGTGTTGTTCTATGATCATCTCTCACCCGGCAGTCATCAGGGTCTGTTAAATGACGTATATCTCGTGCAGTCAAGAGCAGGAGGTGCTTGTTGAAACGAGCAAGAGCACTGCACCTACACACATGGCACACATGGCACACATGACCTCTTTACTCCATAAATCGTCACATGATGGGTGTTGAGGTAGACATTGAAGCAGGACTTCCCATCATAATTGGCGTCAAGAAGTTTACAACAGCTGGATTTCTGCAGATGTTCGGAGACTTTGCTATGGCAGAGACGATGAAATATGGAGATAGAAGCAGGCGCTTTTGCATTGATGGTGGAACACAATCATTTTGACAAAATTACTGAAGATATACTATTTCATTACTCAAAGACCTCTCTGGTATTTTTCGTATACGAGCGAAATGGTGCGTTACAAAGCCTCGCCATCCCCGGATCTACCGTGCATCCGGGCCATGGGCTGCGGATCGCCTGGCATTAGACTGACAACACCAGTGCGGCAATAGATCCCACTCTCGAAGCTCTTGTCCCTCCATAATAGCAAACAGTTGACCGACAAGCCTTGGGAATTCGACAATTTTTATATTGGCATTACAACAAGGTTGGGACTACACCCCTGGGCTCCTGTGCAGACTGACATAACTCATTGGAACCCATTTCTCGCTTTTATCAGAGTTCAAGTCATCGATAGCAACCTCCCTGTCGCTGGACACCCACGAATAGCTTGGAATCAATGTCCAGTCTGGCAGTCTGAGACCGGAGAAGCGCTTACGGCGTGCATGACGGTTTGCTTCGTGCCATAACAGCTGACGAGGTATATCATTTTTCCATGTGCCGGACAGGTATTCGTCGTAGGGAAATCTTGCAGCGAACACAGAAGCAAGACCCGCGAGTGCTGGCAAGCGGTCGGATGCATAAGTCAACTGCGTCCTGTTTATCGGCCCACAATACCCAGCCAGACATCTGTATTGAACGCTTCGTAGGTTAGTTTCGGTGAACGAATGTAAGATCTCTCAACATATATCGTTATACCCGGTGCCGATGCTGAACCGCCAGTTTGGATACCATTTTTCCGGGCTAGCGAAAGTATGGTCGTTGACCGTGTCCGTGAACACTTTGCCCAAGGGCAGTATCTCGGCAGCGAAAAGCTCTTTACACTCCCAAAAAATCTGACTGCGTTCAAGGTGCGACGCCCTCCTCGCCTGTCCCCGGTCAGTATGTATGGATGAGCGTGGGTGTTGTAATTTACTAAAGCCTGCTCTTGGAACACCCAAGCTTGTTCAAACAAAGCACCTTCGCAAATCTCGTTCGGGACATCGCGATACACGATATGAAACAACTTGCTGTCCCTGACTGCAGAACTCACTTGTGGTGGTATTGGGTTGTTCGCTAGTTATCTGGGCAGAAAACCTTGCATTCCGGACTCGGAGTCGGAAGCTGAGACATTGCACACAGCATTCTTATACACTCGTGCTATTTGCCCGGCTTTTCGCCTCCAGTTGAACCAATCGTTTGTATAATACACAGTGAGTCGACCCACGCATACCGAAAACCCAATCGAACTGTGGCATACAAAGCGTCTTGGAAGCAAAAGAAGTGAAGTAACGGGTATGGCTTGTCGAGATTGCTCGAAGTTCTCGAATGTGAGTCAAAAACTTTTGAGAGAGTGGGCACTGTCTCTAAGATGCTCTGAAGGTACGATACTAAGTCGAATATGTGCTATACAGAATTGTTAGTAAGTTAAAATTGAGAGGGATCAGCGGGATAGGTCGTCGACTTACGGCTCACTTTTAGAGCGAAGAAAGATATTTGCCAAGTCGGAAAGGGAGCCAAATTAACGAGACCACAGACTTCAAACTCGATCAGCAGTATCTCGCCTGCAGTGTCTGAATGACCTAAGATTTCGCACGAGACTCGGTCAAGTATGTATTCCTCAACTCCCAGTTTGATCACTTGAGGCTTTCTGGGGTAATGTTTGATGTGCCTCCAAATGCTGACGCATATATAGCAATCATTTTGTGCACCTTCCGTAAGGCTGTCTAATTCCCAGGCCAATCTCGAGTCCTCTACTGAGATCGTGGGATCCTTGTCGCTGTCATCGCGAATATTCTGAAGAGAAAACCGACATCTCTCGCAGACACGACTTCCGCGGTCGAAAGTCAGGTTCCAAATACCGCACACTTTGATTGCATTGTGAGAGATGTGCTGGAGCGAAGGAAGAGGGGGTTTCAGCTGCCATGCCCATTGTGGGTGCCATCGTTTCATTGGTCGAAGTAATCGCCAGTCGTGTTGCGCTGGCTCTTAAAGGTCCCAAGTCTGAACAGCGACATGCTCAATATGTAAATGCACTGAACGCCTCTCCATGCTCTTTGTCTCGATTTTTCGATCATCGTCGTCAACAATGGTGCTCAAACGCTCTTTGCTGCCTTCCACTTCTTTACCCTCTTCTTGATATCGGCCTCCGTCTGCTGCATAGGATTGAGTTTCCTATCCCTGCTCATCCTCCCATAATCCTCGCCATACTTATTCACCAGCCTCTCTAACCACTCTCCCTCCCGTTCACTCTGTTTCCTTGGCGCCTTCCTCACTCCGTTCCTCGCCGCCTCCTCCAGCTCACTAATCACCGGGTTCTGCTGTTCATTCTCCCTGCGCTCAGGCACCATCGCAAACCCATTCCACTCCTCTGCCTCGCCGTCGCTGTCCTCGAGCTCGTTCAATGGGTCATTGAGCGGGTTGAACTTCTCTTCCTTCTGCCCTGTTATGCGCAGGATGGCGCCGGTCTCTGGGTCGCGCTCGACTTCGATTTCTTCGATCTCGGTCGCTTGGATGGGCTGCTTCGAGACGATGTTTAGACGGTTCGCTGTGCTGTCGGCGGCTGTGTCGGCGCGCGAGGATTTGGGGTCGTTGAGGCCGAGGAGCGCGATTGTCTTTTCTGTGCCACCTGTTGCGTGGTTGAGGCGCGATGTGAGGCCGAGACGGCGGTAATTTTGTGAAAGTGTCTCCTTCTGGTTCCTGCCATCGCATTAGGGAGCTCCAGGTATGTGTAGTTTTGTATATGCATACCAGTGCTTTGCGATAATGGGGTTACTCAGAACCTTCTTCTTGGAGGGGCCATTCTGACGCTTCTTGGGGAGCGACGACTTGTTCTTTTTCTTCTGGAGTTCGCGACCCATCTTGTGTGATTTGTGAGGTTTATGGGGGTATCAAAAGTGTTGTAAGGTGTGAAAGTCAAAACGCCGTCCCACTCGGTCGCGGCTTCCCCAAAAATTTAGTCCAGTCGCGCTAGTGTTCTTATCTTAGCGTGATTTTCTTATCGCAGCTCCACCTCTCGGCTGATGCATGTGTTCACAGCTCGACCCCTGGACCGTCACAGGCCTCTCAAACCAACAACTGTCCGGGTCAAGCTAGTGGGTACGCGTCCATCATGGTGTCGCGTCGCAATCAAACACTATTCTCGTTATCGATATTCCTCGGCGTGCTCGCATGGAATGTTGCTGCAGCTGCTGTCAAGGGCGAAACCGGAGGTGTGCCAGTGGGGCAGTTAAGTGTACATGAGATTGAGGAGCAGTTGCAGGTACGTTTCTGTAAACCATTCGTCTCGAAGTTCCGATGTCACTTAGTGTCAAACTGGATTGTTCAGTAGATCGATGCACGTGAACAGGCGTCAATGAAGAGCTCCATGATGTCGCGTGCTCAACAGCAGGCTAACCTCACCAGGAATGCCCACTCGTGAAGGCTCTCAACGAGCACAAGGTTGCTTCCAACCCTACCACGTCATCGTTGAGCTCTCAGATCTTCGCCGTGCTCTTCCCTGGCAGCCCAGCTGTCAACGCCCTTCTCGCTACACTCTACATTTCTGGACCCCCGAACTTCCTCCTAGCACTATGCCCACCCAACATCGACACCTCCTCGCTCTCTGTCATGGTGGCATTTGCTGTCGGTGGACTGCTTGGTGATACACTATTCCATCTTCTGCCTGAGATCTTCCTTGGCGAGGATGAGCTTGATAACGTCAAGTTCGTTATGGTCGAGCCAAACAAGAATCTGCTGCTGGGTGTGGCTATCCTGGTGGGCTTTGTCACCTTTGTGGCTATGGACAAGGCTCTGAGAATCGCGACTGGCGGCGAAGGTGGTCACGATCACTCCCACGGACACTCCCACGAGAGGGTCGAAGCTACAGCCAAGTCAACTGGTATCGAGACAAACGGTTCGAAGGACGGTGTGCGTGCTCGTAAGCCCGCTGCGAACGACGTGGCCGTTGCGACCGAGAAGGAGAAAGAGATCAATGCCAGCGTCCAGCTTGGCGGTTATCTTAACCTCATCGCCGACTTCACCCATAACATTACCGACGGCCTTGCCCTCAGTTCATCCTTCTATGCATCTCCTACCATTGGCGCGACCACCACTGTCGCGGTGTTCTTCCATGAGATCCCTCACGAAGTGGGTGACTTCGCTCTGCTCATTCAATCAGGCTTCAGCAAGCGGGCGGCAATGGGCGCACAATTCATAACGGCTGCGGGCGCCTTCCTTGGAACGTGCATTGGCATCGCGGTACAAGAGTTTGGTGGCAGCTCGGCCACAGCGGAGGTCCATGGGGCCGGTCTTTGGGGAACCAGCCTGCAGTGGGGAGATATGCTGCTTCCGTTCACAGCAGGCACGTTCTTGTACGTTGGTACAGTCGCTGTTATTCCCGAGCTGCTTGAGACAGGACCGAACAAGAGCGAAGAGCTCAAGAAGACACTCATGCAATTCGCCGCTATGTTCACAGGTGCGGGTATCATGCTTGCGTAGGTCGCTCCGCTTTACACGCGTACCTTCTTTTGCTGACACGTATACAGGATCTCTTGGTCTTGAATTGTGCCCATCAGCGCATGTTGGCATCTCATGCCCTCTTGGCTTCACTCTCGGTGCCATGTGTATCTCATGGCGCAACTACTACCACATCGCCGTTTCCTGGTGAACAAAAGCATTTGCATTGCGAGACCGGAGTAGTTTAGACTTAGACTGAGTCGGCATTGTGGGCACTGGCGCCTGCTACACACGGACGCCTCATCAAATACAACTTCAAAGCCGCATCATCACGATGCGTACACACAATCACAGCTTACATTGTACGAAACACTTTCTGGATGTGGCTGGGCCTTCGTCCGTTTCAGCTTGAACCCCTGCTCTACTGCGCAAACCAGAGATCCACGACCCATGCAATATCTGGGGTCACCCTAATCACGACCTCCGTACAATCTCGCGTTCCTCGCTTCGTCCGTTCTTCGGATCTTCGTGCAAACCACTTCCGTCGGCGACTTTCATTAACTCGCAGGATCGAGGTGCGGGGTGGGCTGCAATTGAATCGCTGCATACTCCTGCGAATAACAATAGATCTCCATGCATCAGCCTCTCTGAGTGCCTTGCTCCTTCAAAATCCTTTGACGACAGACTGTGCGCGCCATTGCCAAGCCAGGACTATTTTGAGATGATGGCTGCGCTCGAGCCTCGCACCATGCATCTGACAATGGGCAAGTGTCAACGGCTCGACACGAAGCTTGCAACGGCACCCGCTTTTCAAATTGCAGCAACAAGACAACGAATCACACGCCATTTGATGGTGTCTGTCGAATGCTCGCAGACAGGCTGATCTGAGTAAGGAGTGCGAAAGCTTGGTAGAGATTTTCCGATTTGGGAGCTTTGGTCACAGAGCTGATGCTGCATCATCGTGCAAGCCACACCTCGGGTCGCACTAGCGCTGCCACCTTACCGTACACATGGCATGCTTAGGTATGCTGACCGGTGCGCAGGCTTATATCCACCATGAACCTCGAAGTGGTTCTCACGATACTTGACCATTGCGTGTGCTCTTGACTTTTCCCTACAATTCGTCGCACATCCTCCTGTACGATATTCATTCGACGCCTCAGGTCTTGACCTGCAGCTCAGCCGCACCACTTGCACGACACTTGCATCTTACATCTCTAAAGACACCTACTTGCCCGCACTCCCACGACCAGATCAGCATATACCAACAGTACCTGCTTGGAAAGCATTCGAAAGATCCAGTAGAGATGTTCAAGAGCAAGATGTACACCGTTAGCCGCCCATACTCGACCCGATCACGCTCTCGGTCGATCCTCATTATCCTCCTCTTCATCCTTTGCGTACCGATCTTCCTCTACCAGCTTATACCTGCCTTCACACAGTCAACGGACACCCTTATCGAAAAGCTCGTCACCCATTTCCAGGAAAGTCCCTGCACATCAGATATAGGAGACGCACAGTGCTGTGCGCTCTTCATGAAAGCAACTCCATGCGTCGAAGAATGCAGGAAGCAGTTCGTTGACCGAGAGACCTTCACACTGACACTCGAGTACGACCAATGCGCCGATACGTGCCTGCGGGACTGGGAGGGCTGCAACGGAGTCCAGAGGGAAAACACCACATGAGCCAAAGCCCGCAATGAAACAGCAGAAACTTCATTCAAAGGCCCAACCGCAACTCGAAGATACAACATCTTACATCGATATCACTGTGGCTGGTGTTGATGCGCAACACACCTGCCAAGCCCTTGGATGGTAGTCGGCCGGATAGGACGGCAGGATTCTTGAGCTGTGCATGCACAGTCAGCATGGCAATCTGCTGTGAACGACATTGCGATGCATCGGATGCGGGCGGCAACCTGTCGTGTGGGCAACCGACAGCGACTCAAGCGAGCCAAGGGTGGTGGAGCTGGGCGCCTACAAAAGTGTGGAGAAGAGATGGAGACAAAAGATATTGCAAAGATATTGAACGTCCGTGCGCACGACGGATTGAAAGGGGAAGATGGGTGCTCGTACGAGAGACTCGGTCGGAGCAGCGGAGGACCCCTTGAGATGGAGTTGGATGGAGAAGAATAGGAGAGAAAATCCGTGCTCTTGCGGGTCGATATGTTAAGCGAAAATCGCTACAACATTCATGATTGATGAGATAGCTAGACCCGAGAAATACACGGCCGATACAACATCCTGTTCAATACAACTTTGTTCCGCGTCGTCGCGTGAAGAATCATATTCAATGGAAGAAGTCGCCGTCAAAACGTGACATCACGCGAAAGTACGCGCGACACCACACTGGTCATCTTCTACCTCCTTTCTACACCACAACACAACAGGGCATGATCACTCTTCAGCTCAATCTATAACATCCCATCTCGATACGCTATAAGTACCTCAGAGGCGTCAATTTGGTGTGCGCTCGCTGTTTCTATGGTCTCCCCTTTTCACATTCCCAACTAGACCTACATCCCCACACAGTGCAAACATCGAGCTTGCGCTACTCAGCTCTTCAAGTCGACCCATCTTGAGCAACATCTGTCCAGGTACCTCTGAGCCGTCATGATGAACTCCCCAAACGTGCACTCTCTCACACAGGCCTTCCCTCGTATGGTAGGCAGCGGAGCACAATCTGCGACATGGCGCCTCGCGCAAGACAGCCACTGAATTTTCAGTGAAGCAACGCCATAGTGTTGCTTTATCTACCTGCTACAATCCTGCTCGCTTCACCATCACACATAGCACAAAACGATACAAAGCCTTAAGCGAATCACTTTGTCACCATGTCAGGATCGCAGCAACCGACGTCCGCCTAATTCGAACGGGTGAAATGGACACAAACAGGAACGGGACGGGGCAACCGTGGAGATTTCGGCGGTTCTTCCAATATACCCACGGATCCTAGGTGAGATTTCGGTGCAGGACATGGCTCTGGACGTTACGGCAATGCCGCCGGCAACTCCCATGGTTCTGGGATGAGGGGCGGATGCAGCTCTGTGAGATAGCGCCTAACGTCCAGTGCAATGAGCAGTCTGATCGTCTCTCATGTTACATAGAGTAAGAAAGCCAGATACAAGCGGACAAGCCCTCCAAAATCATGGGAGGTAGTGGAGTCATGCCTGCCTTCTTTTCGTCAACTAACCGCTGGCTCAGAGACTACAGACGGGTTGACTTGCCTTACACCACGGTCCGAATTACTCTAAAAGCCTCTGAGCTTGCACGTTCAAGAGGAAGATTCGCTGCTGCGTCCGATCTGTCTTGCAACACGAGTATCCGTGTGAAAAAGGACTAGCATGTGTTGCGCCACCAGGGCCTGATTGTAGCACTGATTGCCATCAATCACAGCACGACTTTACAGCAGGGTTCGAATTGGTAAGCGCGAGCGCAGACTTGGGAATCTCGCGCTCGCAAGCTTGCTCGTGATCGCCACAGAAAGCGCCTCAAAGGTAACAAGGGTTTACCCGATGAACAGGAGCAAGCCGATGCAGCAATTGAACACTGTGACACTGTTTCGAAACAGATCGCACAGGCTTTTCCAGCGACGAATCCGATACTGTAGGGTATATGCGGCGCATGGCAATGCGTCAGTGCATCTACGGATGAACAATGGTCGAGCCCATATTTGATGATGGAGTTTAGAAGACGTCGATAACAGATCAGCGTATCATACACATCTCTGGTGTACCAGATAAAAGCTTCTGGCAGGCAATGTTGAGTAGACACGCGTTTGAGTTCGATGCCTGACCACTTGCGATGATAAAAGCTCATAGCCTCCGCAAGGTTGCCCCCCGATGCATAATCTGTATAAAGCCGGAACCTTCGCTTCGACGTGAGCAAGCGATGCCCCCGGTACTTTACAATGTACTGACATGCGTCCGGCTCTGCTGCTCGTCGCGATCCAACACGTCGATGCATCGATAATTCTTTAGGAAGATGATCTCGCCAATCCTTGGGGTCACGCCAGGCTCTCCGGGTAGCGGTAGCATTGTCCTTGACAACCCATTCCTGTCGACCACGTTGCTTTGCTCGTCAGTCTCGCACCACAACCCTGCTGCGCCCAGTAATCCAAATCCTAGGAACTTTGCACCGTGCCAATGCGTCTCTTCGTCTGACATATGCGGCTTCGTGTTGAAGAATTTGTCTTGACTCTTCAAAGACAAACGCCCTGCCCCAATATCCGGCAAATGGAGCCCGGAGGACCATGGATGCGGAGGCCAGTGCTCGTACGGCGTGCCGTTCCGAGTTGGTGCAGCGGCTGGTGCAGCGGCTGGTGGTTGTGAAGTTGGGGCTAGCTGTGCTGGTTGTACTGGCAGTGTTGTTTGGGTTCCCCGAGACTGTTTTGGTAGACCGAGCAGCAGATCGTATGATAGGCCCAATGATAGTGATAGTTTGTGCGATAGGCAAAGTGTTGGGTCGTATAGGCGGAACCTGCATTGAAGCAGGTTGTCCAGGCCTACATTCATGAGATTTAGCCGCTTCCATGTCTGCTTCCATGTAATCTGGCTTGCCCTCAAATGGGCATAGCATGTCTGGAAACTTTCTGGCAGGGGTTTGAAGCCATACTGTAGGTATCAACTGAGATCTCATCCCGGTGGCGTTTTGGAGTGTCGATTCGAGTTACTGGAGTTTTCGTAGTGTGTATGCAACCACCGGACGTTTGTTATGTATCATCATTGGGGAGACAAAGCCACAGTGACAGAGTAGCAGAGGTACTGAACAACAAAGAGAAGTAGCAAGCGAAAAAAAGAGCATTATAGAGATTGTAGATTATTGGAGGCATTCAGTGGTGTGCACAACATTGTAATTAGATGCCTGTCTCTCGGACTGTGAGCTGATCCTGGTCTCTGCATGCGATCATTTGTCGTGGTATGACTGTCGTTTGTCGGCTGGGTATTTTGAGTGCTGTGTTTCAAAGAGTAACCATATAGTGCATGGCAGATTCGTGTCCAGATCGCAAGGTATCCCGGAAGTTGCCATTTGCATATTTTGCTGAGTGTATTTCGAGTGAATGCAACGGATCTTTGGGACATCAACCTCAACCACGAGTAAGTGTTCCTTGGGTCTCCCATAAAGGTCGTCACAGTGCTCATTGCTCGGCTGTCATTGGAGCAGCCGCGGCGTTGGCTGTGCGCTGTCATCCGCAGCACCAATACCCCACCGTCTTAGCCAGGGCCGATCTTGGGCATATCATGGTGCTCGCTCAGCCCGCTCAGATACTTGTTCAGCTCCTCCACCTTCTCCTTGTGTGTCCTGACACCTTCGCGCTTCAACTTCTCCTCCAACCTCTTCCTTCTGTATTCTTCATGCCTCTTCTCAGCCTCGGTCTTTTTCCTCCCGCCGCTCTCCTTGATCGCTTGTTCGGCGGCGTCTGGCGACAATGATCGGCCGAGTGACTTCACATCTTCAGGATTCAAGGTGCGCTTCTCGATGTCTGTAGTGGAGGATTCGTCAGCTTCGGTGGGCTTGGGTCGCTTCTTCTTTTTCTTTTTGTCGACACCGACGCCTTTCAATTTGAGGCCACCGCCGGTGGTTGTGTAGTCTGACGGCATTATGAGGGTTGTGGTTGTGACGCAAAGAGTTGGCGTGGAAGGAGCTTCAAGTAGCAAAACTCGCTAGTATGTCGCACGTGACGATGCGCATGATTGCGGCAAGTTGCCATGGATCGCTCTTTCCACAACGCACAGCCTGCTTGCAACCATGATTTGGCCCTCCAGTCGCGCTTTGCAAAAGAGAGCATACGATGACCGAGATCTGAGCTTCAATGAGAACTCGATTCCGAGAGACAGTGTAGTCATTCACCGAAACACACGCCAGGCCGAATCTTTTTTTCACTAAACCTTGCTTTTGAGCGACAATATGTGGTAATACTAAGTATCTACAAAGGAGGCAAAGCTTCTCGACAATTCGGGCAAATGAGACGGTAGCGCATCCACCCTTCCAGACACGTAGCGTGGAAGATATGTCGGCAGGGCGTGACCATGTACATCCGTCTCTGGAGCACCATACTAGTCCCTCCAACCATGCCCTCATCGGTGCTTCCACCAGCAGGAACAACAGGAACTTCAATGTCCATGGCGCAGATACTGCAGTCGAAGACTTTCTTCCCCTTGTTTTTCGCTTCGCCAGCGCTCCTGCTGCTTTCCTCGCCCTCGATCGCATCGTCCGAGGGGGAAGTGGCGTTGAGTGGCAGCAAAGCGCCCTCTTCGTCTTCGCGCAGGATCGGGTGGTAGTCGTATGCGGGCGGCGCCCAGCCTTCTCTCACAAAGAAGCGCGGTCCTAGAACGGACTGGCTCACCAGCGCAACAATCTGGATCCATACCCACCCCACCAGCACCGCGCACGTCTGCCAGTCGGTATTGGCAAACAGCACATTATCCTCCTTCAAGTAGAAATACGCAATCGGCACCAACCTCGTCACACTCGTCCCAATCGTATAGTCCCACCGCAGCGCACGCCCGCAGTTGCGCATCACGTTGCGGTAGATCTGCGGAACCCAGAAGGAGAGGTAGATGAATGAGAGAATGCTGAAGTAGATGCTCCGGTAAAGGGTTCGGACGGTGGCAAATTGGATCGTGACGAAAAAGGTTATGATGAGTAGGAGGCAGAAACGGCTGTAGAGCGCGCCGAACTCGGCACGTGGGTTGGGTGCTGCCTGAGTGGGTGTTGGCGTGGTAGCGGCAGCGTTTGTAGTAGGGAGGAGCGGTGTGTCGTCGTCTGAGAGCGGGTCGTCTTGGTCGGGGGCGATGAGGATGGGTGTTTGTGGGCGGGGAGGGGGAGGAGGGCGGGATGCTGTTACGGGAAGAGGGAGCCCGGAGGGGGGAGGGGCCGCGGGCGTTGCTGGTGTGCCAAATGCGTCAGCCGCAGGAAGGGGGGCGTCTGAAGTTGCTGGTACTGGCGCTGCTGGTACTTCTGGTGCTGCCGGTACTGCTGGGGCCTGTTGTCGTTCCTGGCGCGCGCGTTCAGCGGCTTGGACAGACCAGATGTCCATCAGGAAGCGCAGGTGTGCGAGGACGGAGAACAGCGCGACAAAGGCGATGCTGTACATGGCTAGTTGCGCGGTGCCGAGGAAGAGGTACATGAAGATGAGAACCAGGAATGTGAAGCCGTCGCCGAGAGCCATCGTGGCAATGGTGTAGAAACTAACACGGCTGCGCATCGATGGGGTTGCTGTCTCCTTCATCTGCTTGATGAGGAAGGACAGCTGGAAGGCGAAAGCGATTGCGAAGGCGACGATGCTGTGTCTGGCTCTGTCGTTGTATTCCTCTATCTTGGAGCCGACGAGGTGCATGGCTTCTGAGGGCGGGTAGTCTGGTGGTCCTTTCGATTCGATGACATATCCGCAGTCTGGCGAGAAGCCCACCATAGACATTGATAGCTGCGAGCGATGGCCCAGCGGTGCGCCAGTGGGGAATCGCATCTCGTGCTCAAGCCAGTTCATGTCCATGGTCTGTACGCTCGGCGGCTGCTGCAAGTAGAGAACAAACTCGCAATGGTGCGTCACCCCGACCGCATCCTCGTTCGATCCGGCAGCCGAGCTCGTCCACGGGTTCCAGACAGGGAACGGTCGATGTATCTGCCGATGGATGGTCTCGTGGATCGTCCAATTCAGAAAGTTCTTCGAGGTATCGTGAAGCCCGTGCGAGAGCTGGAAATGCGGTAGCGCAAAGATGCCCGCAAACCGCTCACTCGTCGTAGTCAACACCGCATGTCCACTGTCCCTGAAATGCACACCATGCACATAGAACTCCCACCAATTCCCGCCAAAGCTCTCATCGTCCCCTACCACGACCTTCGCACTAATCTCCGAGATACTCTTATTCACATCCACCATTACCTTATCCTCCAATTCCGTGAGATGCACCCTGAACGGCCCACCCGTACCCGTGAGATTGCGATCAAACCCCATCGCCGAATTCGTGAACGGGTCTTTGGCGGGATGCGTCGTGTTGCCCATATCCTCAGGATGGCGCACGCGACTGCTCGGATCCCGCACCCACTCGCCCTGCACATACCCCGAGAGATTCCTATACACCGGCAATCTCCCCTCTTCGCCTCCACGCTCATGTAATGTCCCGTCCAGGACACTCCCCCACTTGTCCCCGAGCGCCCGTCTGCCATGCGCATTCGCCTTCTCTTGCGCGCTAGGCAGCATGTCCCATGCAAAGCCGTCCGCATCTCTGCACCCGCTAATGTTTAGCCACTTCTTCTTGCTCACATTGAAGTCGCCATATTGTGTTCGATTTAAGACATCGAGTTGATCCCATTCGCGCTGTATAAGCTCGTCGTAGCGCGAGCGCGTGTTGAAGGACTGCTGCTGCGGTTCGGGCGAGTTAATGAGAAGAAGCAGAATGATGAAGAAGAGGAAGGAGCGAGGATCGCGGCGGACTTCCATCGCGGTGGCTTTGGTTGTGGGCTGGTGGTTGCCATCGAGGCGTGTGGGTGCTGTGGTTGTGGAGTGAGGTGGTGTTGGTGATGGGTGATATAGGAGCAGGGATGCAGCTCGGGAGTGTGCGGAGCTGCGCTGCGCTTGGCGGGGTTTCCAGGTACAACTGAATAAAGGAACTCAGATACACACGAACGGTATAGAACAAGAGTTCATCAGTCGTTTACTCCAAGATGGACGTAGTCAAATATGCGATTAGTGCAATATGGCTATATAGTTGCTCATGGCCCTACAGATATCGCGCTCAAGTTCGTTCCGAATGGTTTGACAGGTGAAAGGTAGACCGGTAAATTGTTGGGTAGTATGCTCAACGGGACTGTTGGAAAGCTGGTGCGATTATAATACAGAGCAGCAGCGAGACTGAACGTATTGTATTTAACACTATGCCTGACAAGCCCAGATTGCGGCGCCCATCTACGTGAAAGCTGTTTTTGGAACGCGCTATCCTCTACTTGCCTAGCGTCCTGTCAAATGGACTCTTAGTGTATGGGAAACGCGCAGATACTGAGCGCTGCCACGCTTGCTACTTAATGTAGCTGCGGATATACTGCGGCTACCGCCGAGTAGTAGACAATCATGTGAATAAACAAATGAATGACCAACCAGTTGCTCATGCGTGCCAAGCATAACACCACAGACTATTGGAAGTAAAGTTGGGTGTATGTATTATTATATTTATCAGACGTCGAGGGACGCAGCTAAGTAGGTAAACAGACTAGCCCAATTGGGTAATAGGCACCCGTGGAAACCACCTTCCAACACAGACTGATGGTACCCATAGCACGTTCTTGTTTGCGTGCCTGATTCATGTGTTGTCTGGGCTGAGGCTTGTGTCCAGATACAGGCGTGCCAGAGTGCCAGGCGCCAGGCTGACAGTGGCTACATCAGCGGCTGAATGGAGATCGTCTCGGAGTACACATTACCTACGTCTAAACGCTTTTGCAGCGTGCGATAATGTACGTCTAGATAAGGCTTTCTATCTAGCATTTAAGAATTGGAAAGAGCGTCGATGGCGGCGACAGAGCAGCGTCACAAGGCACAATGGTCGCTAACGCCGCGCGCGACATGATCGCCGGCATGACCCACAACTTTTGTGTTTTTTGTGTGTTGCATTACAAAGAGCAAGGCAGAAGTGTCCAAAGAACAGGAGCACATTAAGTGTGGATCTGTAGATGCGTGTAGGGGAGGGAAGGTTGAGGTGCGCGAATAGTGGATCCATCTCGGTGAGGGGCCTTTCTCGCTTACGGGCAATGGACGTTACTTTCACTACCATTTGAGAGACCATGTGCGTGTGCGTTGTGAGGAGGGTTTGGCCGTGCCGCATTATTGTAACTGCTATCGCTCGCTAATGCTAAGATATACTGACGCCTGGCTGTATGCATGTACTCTATCTTCCACGCTCACTGTGGTCTGTCCAAAGCAATCGACAAGAACGGTGGTATCTGGCCTTGTGTACCCAAACACTCAAAACGACGCTCAGCTACCCGGGTCTCTTTAGTATGAGCCGGCGAAGCTGTCGAGCGCATACGCCGCCATATCAAACCCCAAGTCCCTCTTCGAATTCTGACTCGTCGTGGTAAGATTGAGACCGCCGATATCGCACCATTCTACTCCGTTGGTCTTGATCGGCTACAAACTCGTTAGCAAATGTTCAAATCCTCAAGTTGTATGTCATCGACTTACCAAGCACGACAAATGCTTGCACCACGAGCACGTGTTCCGCCACTCGTAGAAATTGCGTAGAAGTAGAATGAACCCAACAAAAGCAGCAACCAATCCACCGGCGCGCAAGATCCACCACGCCCACCACAGCGGCTTGCGGCCTTTGAAGAAGGATACCGGCTGTTTTGCGAATTTGCTGAGTCCGACGACGGGATTGTTGGACGCCATGGGCGGGTGTGTGGGGTCGGCCTGCGGATCGTGAATCGGGTTCGAGACGGTGGTGTACGGCAGTTCGTCTTCGCCTGTGCGCTCGCGCAGCGCCTGGGGAGAGTGCAGGAGGCAGATTCCGAGAACGATGCCCATCAGGAAGCCGCCGATGTGGGAGAAGTTGTCGAGTCCAGGAAGCAGGCCGAGCACGAACGCGATGGCGATGTCGAGCAGCAGGAACAAGAGGTCCTTGACTGGGCTGCGGCGCGAACTCCAGTTGTAGAAGAGATCGAGCAGGGTGAGAGCTAGGATGCCGAAAAGGGAGCCAGACGCGCCGACAGATGTGATACCGTCGGCGGCGTAGTTGCCGCCGAGGACGAAGCCGAAGATGCCTGCGCTGAAGTAGACGAGTGCGAAGCGCAGGGGCCCGATTTCCTTCTCCATGTCCCGCCCGAGTGTGAGTTGGAGGAGCATGTTGAACCCGATGTGGATGATTCCCGCGTGCAAGAACATGGGCACGATGAAGCGGTACCATTGGTTGGGTTCGTGGGAGCGGTTTGCGAAGTCTGTTACGCCAGACTGGTCGGGGACGCCGCCGAGGCCGCAGAGCTCGTTGAGCGAGCAGGTCAAGGAGCCGGCGTCAAGCGAGGTAGTATTGGGGCACGGCCAGGACTGGACGTCTGCTTCGATGACCTGCTTGATGTTGTGCATGCAGGGCGTAAAGCGAGCGCCCATGTTAATCAGCACGTAGGGTGAGGGCCCGATCATGATGTTGAAGTTGGGCTTTGTTTGAATGGGTGACCCTGTGAGGATGCCGTTCTTGATCAGCTCGCCTACGAAGACGCCGATTTGAACGATTGTAAGCGTGTACACGACCCATGTGATTCGACCGCTGAACCAGCCTTCCTTCTCCTTTCGTCGCCGCCTCTTCTTCTCGGGCGCGTGGTACAATCTCTCTGGGTCTGCATTGTACCGTGTAGGACTGGCGCTCATGCCGCTCATCTTGTCCTGCAAAGGAATAGCGTTCTGATCTGCGAAGGGGTCATTGTGCCCGTGCGCCGGCGGTGTGTCGTACGGAGAAGCGGTTGTGTTGTGGCCATATTGCGGCGGGCCGTGGTATGATGTGTCTGGGTATCCGCCTAGTGCGCCGGACGAGTGTGTGGTGTTGTTGCTGTTGGCAGGGTAGGGCGGGCATGTGTCGTCGTCGAAGGGCGAAGACACAGGCGAGACGACGTGCTGTGACTGCTTGCCGGGCAGCGGCGGTAGCGGCGCGTCTGTTCGGTCGTGAGGACTGGAGGCATGGCCTGTTGCTGGGCCCGTAGGCGGGTAGGACGTGTTGTAGTAGTCGTTCGCCGCCATGCTGTGTATGTGTATGTGAGGGTGCAGGTGAGCGCGCAGGGAGAGGTCGATTATGAGGCCGCAGAGGCGGTATGCAAGCGCTGGGGTTCAGCAGCCGTGTGCTGTAGATGTGGATACGCAGAGAACAGTGGTGTTCATATAGCCCGCTCGGAATCCGGGGGCGGTGATGCGTTGCTGCCGTGGGTGCTACAAACAGTTCTAGCGAGCGTGTTATGGGTGGCGAGCGCAACACTCCAAAGCGAGAGAAGAGCGCAAAGAGTACCAAGAACACAGCGCTATAAGTACGCACCCAGGCTATCTCTTCACAGAGCCTAGCTGCGTGATGGATTGGAGTACGAGAGATGACGGCTACGCAAGCCGTTCGGGATTGCTGCACAGCCTTCAGCCTTGTCTTCACCCCTGGCCCCTTAGCCTGAAATCACCCCGATCTGCAGTGGCTTGGTCCGCAGCACGCTTTAAATATCTCCTGCCCAGAGTGAACGACACTCGACAAAAGCCTGCCTTGATCTAGCCACGATGAGCCTCGTATGCCTTGATCCTCGTCTTTATAGCCGTTGCTGCCTTCGTGCCTTTGCCGTTCACGCTTGGCAGGCTGACAGCTTGGCCCGCTGTCAACCAAAGCAGATCACAACCTAAGCTCGGCCATATAGTGTTCGGCCCTATATAGTGTTTCGGCCACATATAGTGTTCGGCTTTATATAGTGTTTCGGCCACATATAGTGTTCGGCCACATATAGTGTTCGGCCATATAGTGTTCGGCCATATATAGTGTTCGGCCACCTCACCCACAGTAGCCACACAGTATAGAGTTGTGATCTTCTCAACAACAACGATTATGTTTGCCACTGAGTACACATAGAGTGTGAGGCAACAGCTCGGCTCCACTGCGCTACACAGCCCAAAAAGGTACAGTGTGCTGAATAGCAGCACTGAGGCCGAATAGTCTATATACCCAGCCGTGGCTGAGTATACCCGTGACACAGAGTTGGAAGTAACTGCTGCTACTGCTGCTGCCTTTTGAGCTTCTCCTTCTTGTGAAGTACTTGCCTGGGAGGCTTGTAGAGCTGCTGCGCGATCGATAGCTGCCTTGATACTCTCAACGTTACTAAAGCGCTCATTTGGATTCACTCGAACTCGCCTGAGCGAGTAACTCTAGTACTATCTAGTTGGTACCTTTAATCTAATACTAGGATTATAGTAGAGGACTGGATTGATAACTTTTATATATAAATATTCTCTATCTTGTATTAAAATCTTACACATATCTATCAACCTTAATTTTGTAATTTTGAAGTAGAAGTACTAGAATAGCTATATTTTAAAAAAAAAAATTATACATAAAAGTTGTAAATCCAGTCATCTACTATAACTTTAGTATTAGATTTTTTGATATCTCTTCTAGCTAAAGAACTGGACTATCTTAAAGAGTACTAGAAATAGGCTGTTTTGGCGAGGATTTCGGCGCATTGCGCGCACGGGCACGGTATACGGCCGAGCTTAGCAGAGTGGAGATCTGCCACGCGGCAGAGCCATCAACAGGCACGCTAACGCAGCCCGCTCGACACTTCTTCAGCAATGCCGTGTGCAGTACGTATTCAACAGCAAGTATAGATTAGTACACGCAATCTTCACAGGCACACATACGAAGCTTGAGAAACACAATCCTGTTCAGCTATGGAACAGCCGCACCAGCATGGCCTCCTCTTCGACCTTGACAACGAGGCTCAGAGCCTATCGTCCCTGCGCCAGATGCCCAAGCAGGCATTCCATCTGCCAGAGCAGAAAAAAGCACGCCAAAGAAAAGCTGTGAGCGTCAGAGTGCCTGCTTTTGCCGACCGTCTGTCGTCATATCGTAAGACCGATGCTTCTTTCTCGCTCATAGCTCATCTCGTACACGCCGAGTTCGTCAACCTTCACGATCCACTGCAATAGCCCAACCACACCATGTAGCAGTCGGGAGGATGTTACCAGTCTGTCGCTTCGAGCATTCTACCACTGACTCTGCTGCATAGCAAACCCTATCTGAACGCCAGCCTTGGCGGGCTCCTTCCAGTCTGGAGGCTTGGTGACCATATACTGCAGATATGAAGCAACAGGAGGCTTGTAGCGCTCCATCCTGCCCGTCTCGGGGTTGGTGAGCATGACAGTGGGGTTATTGAGGTGATCAGGGCGAATCTTCTCGTCAACGCCGAGGAAACCACCAGAGAGCCGGTCCAGGAAGATGTTGAAGTTATCAGCCTTGTTGATCTGGCACTTAGGCCCCCGACTCTCGCAGTGTGCCATCAGTGCAGTAGCTGACTTGAAGTACTTGAGGCATGACGGGCACTTCATGCGAGTAAGACGATGATCGCTGTTGATGTGCTTATTGAGGTCGGCAGGTGTAGCCAACGTGAGCTCGCACACGAAGGGACAGTTGTACTTGTTGATAACAGAGTCGTAGAAGCGCTCTGGGTTCCAGTCGCTGCTCAAGGGATCCCAGAAACGCGTCTTCATGATATTGATGCCATGTTCGCGTTCCATCTGCTCGTCATGCGCGGCGATAGAGAACTCTTTGGCCACGGGTGTAGGTTTAGCGTTAGGGAACAGGGTGCTACTAGCTGTCTTGCCGTTGCGATCGCCCCATACCTTGAGTTGACGACCAGTTGATGTGGACGCAGCGCACGTGGAGCTCCCGTAGGCGGAATGCGGAGCAGAAATGCGAGGCCCGACCACAGTGCTGGTACCATCGTCATCATTGACCGACTTAGCGCCGATTGTAGAAGCGGCCTCACCGATGCTGTAGCTAGCAGCCCGAACTTGTGAAGGGAGCGGAGGATACGGAACAGCGGCGGCAGGAGGAGGAAACGCGTTGGAGACATCAGGTTGAAGAGCAGCGAACTTCACGTCATCGATTTCCTCATCTCTGTCCAGCGGATCATCCAGACATATGCCGCCTTCTTCTTCGAAGTCACCATGGGCTGCTTCAAACTTGGCTTGTTTGGCCTGAAAACGAGCATAGGCAGAACCATCCTTCAGCAGCGCCGTGACTAGGTGCTTGTGTACGATGTGGCCTTGGAACTGCGAAGCAGAGATGACGTCGCAGTAACCGAACTCGAGGTGCTCGATGAACAGGCATGCCCGGTAGAATGACTTGTGGCATCCAATACAGGTCAGTTTCTGGTCGATCTTGTGCGACTGCAGCAAGTCAGTGTTGTTGGTTCGTGTACACTTGTGCACTTACCAGTTCGATGTGGCGCTTCAACCCAGACTCGGACTTGAATTCTTGGCCACAAACGCGACAAGCCTTGTTGTGCATGTCAGGTCTGAAGATCTTGTGCTGCGCAAGATCGTCGTATGACTTGAAGTCCTCATCGCACTTGTGGCAGTAGTCATGGTCGTCGTCATGTTTCTTGTGTCTCTTCATATCCTTCTCTGTGTCGAAGTGCAGGTTGCAGTCGGGGTACGTACACTTGACTCCATTCGGGTCCACAATTGCCGGCATGGTGGGCTTCTGAAGCAGCTCGTGCTAGTCTGTAGTGCCGGTCAGTGTATGCCGTTGATTGAGTGAGAACACATGCAACTTACCTCGCGAATGCAGGACTGTGATGCAAGGTTGCCTTTGTTGTGCTGTAGCAGATTTTCGCGCCTTGATATTTTGACCAAAGATCGCTGTGTTTGGGTCTGGACAGGCACAGCTTGCTTGGATGTGGATGAGCAAGCAATTGGCAAAGTTCAAGCGCAGGATAGCTGCAACCTAAGCCAAGATAGTGGTGGGGTGAAGAGTAATAAAGAAAGAATGGTAAGGCGAGAACAAATACCTAGGCAGGTTGTTGTGGGGCCGACCAACTGGCGGGGTGCGAGGTGAGAGAGAAGTCAAGGAGAACGTGCTGGTGAGGAAAGAGCGGTCGGGTTGCGAACTAGAAGGCAAGCACCAAACTGACAAAAGCAGAACGTAGCGTAGTAAAATTCACATCTTGTTTCGAACACCTTGCCAAGAGGAGGTTGAGATATTGAGATGTGAATGGGACTAAATCGTGCGCCTCTTTGTCGCGCATTCGCATCCTCGTCTTGGTACACACAATGAGAGATAAATGGGGCGTGGTAAACTAGTAGAGAGGTTTGATAGGGAACGCCGATCGACTGCACACTTGATCCGGAAGATGATTATATTGTATTCATTCGTCACTTATCAAGATTCTAGAATCGCGAGTATGGCAGCCTGGAGTAAGTCAGCACGTCAACGAACCTTAGACCACTTTAGCTAGAACAATACATACCACTTGCCCCTCAGCGTAATCTTCGCCCAATCACCCTTCTCATCAGTCTCCTTCTCCACCTTCGTCGAGAACGAGATCGCACTCATAATGCCGTCACCAAACTTCTCGTTCAGCACAGCTTTGTACGCGTATCCATAGTTCTGTACGACCTCATACAAGCGGTATACAAGCGGGTCTTTCGGTGGCATCTCGAGCGATCGGCCGCGGTCTGGGAAGCCGGAAAGCTGCGACTCGAGAGTTTCAGCGGGGATATCGAGGATCTTGGAGAGTTTCTGGATGTCTTCTGGTGAGGCCATTGCCTGTCCGTAGAACAGAGCGGCAATGGCTACTTCGTCGCGGCCGACGTCCTTCGCAATAGCTTCGAAGCTGAGGTTCTTCTTCTTCTTAGCCTCAAAGAGGGTTGGGGAGGACGGAGGCAGGCGTGGAATGAGATCCTCCTGAAGGTTGTCAGCTATGGTCTAGGTATTTACAAGTTCCGTCCGTACCTGGAGAGTAGCAATTGGGTGCTGAGACATCTTTGCTGGTGTTGTGTGGAAGTACCGGGTAGCTGTGAATACTGCTGGTCGCAATTGAGCTGTGGCAGGAACAATTGCGCGAGACGCGAGACGGGCAGACACTGCAAGACGAGAGACGGAAGACATGGTTGCGGAGGTATTCGTGATTATGTAGCTACTACACAGCTGCAGGTATGGTGGAGAGCGGGGAGATAAGACGGGAAGTACGAGCTGTCTGGTTGCTGAAGTCATTCAGATTAATCTACAATGACGTACCATCTCCGCAGCGATAACGTCTTGGACCCATCAGTCCGAATCTATACCTCTATAGGGTCGTTGTAAAGTATTCTGGCCCCGAAGATGCCGCAAGCATATCTCCGTGGTGCTCTTACATGCCTACACAACAAGGCTAACAGGGCGACGGCGCGTGGGAGATGGAGAAGGAAGCGGGAGCTTATCCATGTGCGGGGAGCGAGGGGCTCAAGCTTCGAAGCTAATCGTCAGGAGCCGATACCAAATCGTGGATGGATAGCAGCACTAGGAAAATTGTACAACGTGTTGTTTGGTGTCTCCATGATTCAGTCCTCTCGTATTGCGCGTACCTCAGCTTGCTGGCAACCGTGATGTCTCAGTTGCTGCGCCTTCCCTGTTGATCTCGGTGCTGCCCCACCTTCCAGGGTCTCGAGCGGACCCCGCGTCATCACCGCCTCGAGCTTCGCAGCGCACCACCAACAGAAGACACTCGAGCTTTGATAGGAATTGACGCAATTAAGCAGCATCCCTATCATTCAAGATGTCGCGTCGAGACGATGACCTGGCATACGGTGATTATCATGGCCAGGGCGAGGAGCAAGAGGGAGACCGCGGCATGATTGGAGACATGGGGCGGCGCTTCTTTGGAGGCAAGAAGGAGGTATGTGCTTTTCTTCGGCCACAATGCTGTCATCAGTACACAGTGTGCATGATGCGCGGTTTCAAGGTTGCGAGAGGCATTATGGAACCTGACTAGCCCCTCGCGGCTTCTGTCTTCTTGCATCCTACCCTGCTGTTGTACTAGCTGCGCTCCCGCTACAGCTATCGAGCCTGTTGCCCGTTCTTTCTTCCACACACGACCTTTGTCTGATACATTCTGCCAGCACTCGCAGCCCCAACAAGGCTCGTCCAGTTCAGGCGGCATGTCTTTCCTTTTCGATAAGCTCCACAAGGAGGTCCACAAGATCGGTGCCGACCTGAAAGATTCCTTCTCAGGAAAGAACGATGAGCCTGTTCAGGCACAGCAGCAGGGCGAGCCACAGCCCGGACAAGAGTATCACAACCAGCACCGCTTCTTGAGCTTTGCTCCTGAGCGTCATGGCAACGACATCAAGTGGTATGTCGATGGTGCTTCATACATGCACGCCGTATCAGTCGCATTGGAGCAGGCTCGCGAATCGGTCTGGATCCTAGATTGGTGGCTGTCTCCTGAACTCTACCTTCGACGACCTCCAGCCAGGAACCAGCAATATCGAGTCGACCGACTGCTTCTAGCTGCTGCCGAACGTGGAGTCAGGGTCAACATCATAGTCTACAAAGAAGTCACGCAGGCTTTGACGCGTAAGTTGAATCCATTGCTGCCCAATTACCTACATTCCCTTTTACCACACTCTACGGACCCTATTACGAAAGGCCTTACTCGAGTCGGTCTCGACGTTATATTCAAGTCTCTCGAAGAAGTGGAAAGGACAACCCCGCTGATTGCACCACCTGTAACAGTATCTAGTGCACACACCAAGCACCACTTGGAGGAGCTCCATCCGAATATTGGTGTCTTCAGGCACCCAGACCACACGCCAGATGCCGCAGTACTGTCCGGCCAGTTTTTCAATTCTATCAAGAACATGACCTTCTCTCCCGCAAAGATCGCTCAGCTGCCACTGGATGGCCTCAAGAGCGTCTACGGTTCAACCGACGGTACTGTCCTGTACTGGGCGCATCACGAGAAGCTATGCTTGATTGATGGAACAATTGCATTCATGGGAGGGTTGGATCTTTGCTACGGACGATGGGACACCAACTCTCATCCAATTGCGGATGCCCACCCTGGCAGTCTCGATCGAATTGTGTTCCCTGGACAGGACTTCAACAACGCTCGAATGCTAGGTAAGAAGTCACGGAGGAGGTTTTGGTTTCAAGGAGCGTTACACTAACATTGAATCAGACTTCGCCGCTGTTGATCATTGGGAGGAGAACAAGCTCGACAGAACACAGAGCTCTCGTATGGGATGGTCCGACGTAGCGCTCAACTTGCGCGGTCCAGTCGTTCAGGATCTCCGCACGCACTTCACACAACGCTGGAACTTCATCTACGATGAGAAGTACTCCCACAAGGCGACCAGATACCAGAGACTCCCAGACACCACAAGTGGTGCTCAACAGGGCGGCCAATATCCGCCTCCGCAGCAACGCGGATTCGAAGAAGGAGAAGAGGGTTCTCGAGGATTTGGCGGCGATGGTGAGGAGGGCGAGCGTGGTCTGTTTGGTCGCGGCGGCGGATTCCGTCAGAAGATGTACAACCGCGTCAACGAGGAGTACCAAGAGCATTACGGCGGTCATCACCAACAGCAGCAGCACTACCAGTCGCATGCGGAACACGGTGCGCAAAGGGCCAACGTTGATTGCCAGATCACTCGTAGCTCTACTAAGTGGAGTCATAACATCTCCACTGAGGTAAGCGGACGTCCAGAGCTTTTAGAGTTGTCCCACTGACAAACCCTAGCACTCGATTCAAAATGCCTACATCGAGACGATCAGGAACAGTCAGCACTTTGTCTACATCGAAAACCAATTCTTCATCACAGCTACTGGAGACCAACAGCGTCCGATCAAGAACCAAGTTGGTGCGGCTATTGTCGAACGTATCATCCGCGCTGCTCGCAACGGCGAGAAGTACAAGATGATCGTAGTGATCCCAGCTGTACCCGCCTTTGCCGGTGACCTCAAGCTCGACGAGGCCCTGGGCACACGTGCTATCATGGAGTTCCAGTACGACTCTATCAACCGTGGTGGGCACTCCATCTACGAGGAAATCGCAAAGGCTGGCTTCAACCCGATGGATTACATCAGGTTCTACAACCTTCGTAGCTACGACCGCATCAACGCCAGCAAAGTTATGCAAGAAGCTGAGCAGCGTTCTGGCGTATCGTACGGACAGGCTAGCGAAGGCTTCGATGCTGCCCACGAAGGTGCTCGTGACTACCAAGCTTACCGTCCTCCACCAACAGCTGAGTATGGCGTCTACGAGATGGACAATGGTGGTCGCCCCCCTCAGCAGCAGGCATACGAGATGGATGCCGGTTACGGAGGCCCACCAAATGATGGCAGGCAATCCGACTACAATAGGTACCAGCAGGAAGCTGAGAAGATTGGCGGTCGTCAAGGTCTTGGAGATGGTCGCTGGGACTCGGTCTGCGAGTGCTACATGCTCAATGGCGAAGACATCCGCAACGTCCCCTGGGAAGGCGGCGCAGTCGACGAAATGGACGCATTCGTCAGCGAGGAACTCTACATCCACAGCAAGCTCCTCATCGCCGACGATACAACCGTGATCTGCGGTTCCGCCAACCTAAACGACCGCTCGCAACTCGGCGATCACGACTCCGAAATCGCAATCATCATCCGCGACCCAGACATGGTCGACTCCACTATGGACGGCCGCCCCTGCCAAGTATCCCGCTTCGCCTCCTCTCTGCGCCGCGAAATCTTCCGCAAGCACCTCGGCCTGCTGAAGCACCAGCCCATTGACGCCGTCGACGAAAACTGGCTGCCTGTCACGACCCCCCAAATCTACGACTGGGGCTCCGAAATGGACATTCAAGTCGCGGACCCGTTGTCGGACGAGTTCCAGAACCTGTGGAACTGGCGCGCAAACACAAACACGCAGGCCTTCGGCAAGATCTTCCACCCTGTTCCCTCAGACGAGGTGAGGAACTGGAAACAGTATGATGATTACTACTCGCGCTTCTTTGGACAGAATGAACAGGATAAGGAGAATAAAAAGCCGAGTTTGTATAAGTGGGGTCATGTTGTGGCTGAGAATTTTAGCCAGGGCGAGCAGGGTGTGAGGGAGGTCAAGGAGATTCTGAGCACGATTCGTGGCACGCTTGTCGAGATGCCATTGCTATTCTTGAAGGAGGAGGATATTGCGAAGGAGGGTGTGGGTTTGAACGCGTTGACGGAGGAGATCTACACTTAGACGAAGTTGGAAGGATAGCATCTGTCATGTTAGGTTCCTCCTGAGTACACGAATAATGAAACAAAAGTACGTACTCATCATTGCTCGAACTCTTGCAATGACGACCTCTGTCATGTTGAGCATACAACACACGCACACCAAAGCATACACGCTAACAAACGTGACCACCAAATGGTTACGAAAAATTGATTGTTGTTTTTCACTTACAAATAACCGAAAGCCGCTCTACCCGCCGTCATTATTCTCATCAGCCTCACAAGCCTCGCGCTTGCGGGGAACTACCTATCCCCAACTTCACCCTCGTCACCGGGCCGGTCATGCAGCCCTGCCAGCGCACCCACACCGTCAGCGAGCCGTGCCGTCCATGCATTGCAGCCCAAGGCAAAGCATAGTCCGCAAATATGCGCACCATGATGATTTGCCTCTTGAGGCTCAAAGCTCTCATGTTCGCAATCCATGCTCCGGTTCGGGTTGCTTGACCACCGGCCCAACTGACTTCAAGCAGCTCATGAAGGTTAGTTTCTAACACGTGCCTTCTCTGCACCTCTTTCTGTGGTCCGGAAACCAATCCCAGCGAAACATTTCCTTCAAAGGCCCATCTAACCGTCTTGGTGTGGGTGTGCGACCAAAGTCCACCAGCACGATCGTCCCCAGCTCGGGATCGATTCCGACGCTATCCGTATCGTGGTAGCTATATGGCTTGCTGGGTTTGATCATGTACACAATGCTCCTCTCATCACAAACTGCCGTGATAGTCTTCTGTCCGGAGCCCATTCCAAGGTTAGGTCGGCTGGTAGGGCTCATGATACGATGCAGACGCGCAGAACAAGCGCATTTTGAAGGCGGAGGGGGCCACATGCGAATTGGCGTGTAGCGATACTGTGTGTTGTCATCAAAGTGTACTCGCTCGCCATGTGGACCATCTTGAGCCAGAGTATAGTTATCCCCTTCCCTTCCACCTTCGTAGCCGAAGAGATCGTATCCGTATGGTGCAATTCGTCGACTTCCGATCCTTAGTCTGAGGCATGGCAGCAAAGCCGGTGGGCGGTTCGGACAACATTGTTCATCTTCGACGAGATCCAAGAAGGCAGAACATGAGAGATTGTAGGCTCTGAGTTTTGTTCTTGCGAGGATGAATGACCGTGGGTTTGGTAGGAGAGGCACTTTGGAGGGAAACTCGGGATGTCGCGTCCAGCTGTACTGCTTGGGTGTTGGCATGTAGTTGGCACTGTGTGACGACTCGAGGACAGTAGTTAGGATGTCGTTGTCAGGCAGAGGCAGGGGTGGTGCAATGTTGTTTCTTGAAGAGTCGACTTCCCAGGAAGAATCGGTAAAGGCCGGTGTGGGGAAGCTGATGCGTGATGTGTAGAAGGTCCTAGCTTGCTTTGAAGATGCTCCAACCCACTCACGCCTAGACTCGACAATATACAGATCATTGGTTCTTTCATCGTGTTGAAGCGTCAAGTTCGTCCAAGAGTCGTGTATAGCGCCTTCAGCGTGCTGGCGCCGGTACACTCGCTTATTCTTCTGTATAGCCTCAGTGGTGGGATTATCGAGCGGAAACCGGACACAGTGGTAGAAAGACGTCCAATCTACCTCTTCTACCTCGTATGTGCCTTGGTTTGAGACGGCGTAGAAGTAGCCGTTGTGGATTTCGAAAGCGACAGTGGATCCGATGTCATGGCCGTGAAAATCTTCGAGAAGGAGTTTCTCGGGTTCGGGTTCCTGCTCATCAAAATCTCCAAAATCCATGGAGCAACCCTTAATCACCCATTTACGATGGCCATCGCTTCCTTGGCCATTATGTGTTCCAAGATACATGTAGTCTGCTGTATGGCGAACAAAGACCTTCGAGTTGCTTAGCCCAAGGTCCACGAAACCCATAATCCGGTCATCAGGGTTGCTTATATTGTCAGTGGTGCTGAGAAATCGGATGAAGCGTTCGTTGTAGTCGAGACCTTCGTTCGTGACAAGAATTGCGAGAATGCCGTCGCTATAATACATCATTTCATAGGAATCACTGGGGTCATAAACTTCCTCATCCTTATATAGATCGCGAAGGTTGATCTGCACAGCGGGCGTGCCAGAGCGCAAATTTGAGATGATGACAATATCACCTGTTTGTACACAGAGAACGCCTTGTCGATAAAGAAATGAGCTTCCTCGACTGACGACTCGAGCTGAGAAAGGCTGCGCATTGGAAAAGGCATCTCGTCTGTCGTAAATAGCACACAGAGCTTCTCTGTACGATGTTATTCCTTGACGTGCTTGCAGAGCTTCGTCCGTATACTGATGGTGTGCCTGTAGCGAGTATTAGTAGTACGTAGGCGTGTATGGCCTAGTGACACTCACATCGACTACCTTTCGTGCCAATTTATCGTCACCGTCAAGAAGCAGCGCTCGATATTGGCGACATGCTTGGGATACATGCACAACGTCGTCAAGGTCGAGAAATAGGCTGAGCTCAAATAAGATGTCGGCTGGTAGTGTCTCGAAGGCGGGCATCGGAGAGTATGTTGAAGAGGGTTGTCATAGATTGAAACAAATACTGCGTGCGCGAGCCAGAGGCCACGAGGGTATATGCTTGCGCCAATGGATGGAGAAGAAGAACAGTAGTAATGCTGAAGGGGTGAATTTCCAATGCAATTTGGGTCCTCGAATGTGGTGCGTGAAAAGCCTCCGGTCTGCAAATTGACTACATGGTGCTGTTTACTGGCGACGGCTTCAGGTAGGTACGATGAGGCTCTGCGGCCAGACTGAGGTAACTGCGGACTTGCAAGGGGCGCCGAAGCTAGATGGTCTCGCCGGAAGCGCAAGGGACATGACACAAACAGAAGGAAGCGTCGACACCCTTGCCTGCATCCGTCATGGCGCATCAGGCTGAGGCATATTTTTGTAACCAGAATGTACGACAGAGATGGCGCAGTCGAGCAAGAAATTGAGGCCCATTCTCGCAACGACAGGTCATTCGTAATGATGTTGGGCTTCGTAATAGCAGCTAAAAACTGAAGATGTACTAAGTGGTGTTGACAAAGAGCAGCTGACGACAGACGTGGTCGATGGTGGCCGGTGTGATCAAAGAAGAATGCGGCTCTGCTGCAGCATCAGCCAATCAGGAACTACACTAATGAAATTACCCAACGTTCACCACTTGGGTTCGTCTCAGCCTCGTGTCTCCATGTCATTCCAATAACTTACCAGCAACCAACTTTGGAATGCTGTGCCGTGTTTTCTCGACGGTTGAGGTCAAATTTGATTCGCTGTGCAACTGGTGTAGATTGTCGTTCCTTATGCGTTGGGTCCTTCAACACGCATGAAGGATCCAGCCTGACGGACGAGGCTGTCGCGTCAGCCTGTAAGATTTGACGTAGTCCGGCCCGATTCGACACCATGCTACATCCACGATAGCATTCTTCCATATGTTGGGTGCCATGCGTACACATGCGCATGAAGCTGCAGGTGCGTAGGACATAGATGCATGCAGCCACTCTCATGTCTCTACCTCCTGTGCCCTTTGCCCTGATGCGTACCGAGGTCGGAGGCTTGTCTAAATAATGACGGCTGTAGCTGAATTGACGAATGAGCTTACAGCGGGGAAGCGGGTCGCTGGTGGAGAAGTCCGAAGTATTGAGGTACCTGATCCAAATGAACTGTATTGATCCATCGTGAGTACACTCCCGGTCTCAAAACTTCCAACAGACTTCCAGGCGAATGAGGTGCCGTACTACGCGAAGATAATATCGTGCTACTATCGTGACGTGGTTCGTTTCGTGTGGCTGAGCGGGTTGGAACTGTCGACCGATGAATAGTGCGTATCATCATGCCAGGCCACCGCATGAGAACGGTGAGGGGGAGACCAACAAGAATGAGGCCACCGTAGCTCGACGATGACACCGCGAGAACGTGGATAACCGAGATCGCAGTCGTGTGTGGATCATTCTTCGCTACCCATCCTCTTTCGCGGCTCTCCCTTCCAACCCACAAACGGCCAGCCTTGTGGCAGAGAGGAAAACGGGGGAAGAATGTATCGACTTTCACAGCTGCTAGGGCCCTTGCAAGTAAGGTCGCAGAGACCAAATACTTTACAATAGCACTCTTTCGCGCTAGGGCAGTGAACTGGCTCTTTGCCAAAGACCACTTTACCAGCACGTCAGTACAGCTTACAGCCTTGCAATGAAATCATCCAAACTTACTGTGCCATGAGTACTCCAACACTCTCCCACTAATGCTGTCTGCCAAATCTGTATTCACAAGCCACTTCCTGTACCTAACATACTCCTCCCTCTTCGTCTCCCTAATCTTGTCCTTCGTCGCCGCAAACTGCGCACAGCAACTAACACCGACCTCCTTAGGGACCTCCTTCCCCGGGAACAACACCTGGAACGCCTTCTTATAATCACCGCCGGCATGCACCGCTTCTCTATGCTCGCCCTCTTCAGCCAGCGGCTTGATCTCCGCAGGGCAACCGAGTGACCACGCGCAGCGAATGTTGACGTAGCCTTGTTCCTCGAGGTAAGGGAGCTGAAAGTGGCGCAGCATGGGGAGGCCATCGTAGTCGGGGTCGTCGTTGTGCCATTGGTAGCGGTTGGGGTGGATGAAGAGGATGTTGTCTGGGAGGGTGTCGTAGTGGTCGATGATGTATCTGTATCGGACGCAAAGTCAGCATGTACACACAGCGCAAGTTGCACGCAGGAGAGCTTTCCATAGCAATGTCTTGCGGAAAAGAAGACGTACGTCAAATACACCATACTCTCCCTCCCCTTATTCTTCGGCACCGTCAACTTCGCGCCCGGATCATCAACCCTATATATATTCTGCTCCCACTCCGGAAACGCCTCGCCAATCCACGTCGCATTCTCGCTCGCCTGGCTCGCAACCACAACCGCCGTCCTCCTCTCCTTCTTCCCCTTCCCACCCTTCGCACCCAACAAGTCACCCGCCGACCCACCATTGACCTGCAGCGTCTTGCCATCTTTGCTCTTCCACTCATCATCACTCTTGACGCTGTTCAATCCCAGCACGGCGTTGCGGTCATCCGCGTTCCCGCCGTCGTAGCCGACGTCGTCGTCGTCGTAGAGGTCGTCGAACAGGGAGCTTGCGCCGTTGATGGCGCGGCCGGGGTTCTTGTCCCAGAGCACGGTTTTGAGGTGGATGAAGAGGACTGTGAGGAGGGCGACGTTGACAAGGACAATGGCATTGCGTGCTGAGAAGCGAGGCATCTTGCCGGCGTGGCAGCTACTAAACGAGTGTGGTGTATGTATCTTGTTCTACACCTTAGGAGACTTGAGCACTGCTGTATGGACTGGAATGCGCCGCGGCAGGGATACGGGCCGGCAGCCAATGAGAGTGATACGGGGCCGTTGTACTCCGCATGGGGGTCTTCTCCACTTTTGCGACCATGAATCTCTCGTTCACTCTCGAAATCGTATATTCATGGCAAATAATTTATTACGCACTAGTAAAGGGTATACTACATATCGTGTTCCTCCTCAAAACCTTCGTGGTATCATGTTCATTCATCGTCATCGACCGTTCAGTAGACATCTTCCGTGGATCGTCTAGTGGTCCTTGGAACCAATGTGGAGCTTGGTCTTGAGCTTGTCCTTCAACTTGTCCATCTTGCCGTTCTTCTCATCGTCGTCGCCAGATGGTGAAATCGAAGAAGACTTCCTCTCATCTGAAGGAAGTGCAGATGAGGGACCACCGTGACCGGATCTCTCACCAACAAGGCCTGCTACACCGTCAGCTTTGTCCATTACGTTTCGGACCTTATGGGCCCACGTACCTCCAGAGTTGGAAGACGGCTGGTGGGTGTCCGCACTGTAGTCGGGCTTGTCGCCAGGGGACGTGTTGCTTAGGTCTGGAGGGCTAATGGCAGACTCACCAGTCTTAGTCTCGGAGTGGGACGTGGTGTTGGCAAAGCTGGTGTTATCGCTGACAGGCTTGGGAGGTGTCTCCTTGCCACTGGTCAAATCGCCAATAGAGTAGTTCTTGGGCTCTGCGTCTATGGCGCCCTTGGGGCCGCCATTTGTCGATTCACCAGAGGTGTGACGGGTTGGCTCGCTGCCAGTGAGCGTAGAGCCAGTGGATGTGGGCTCAGTGGCGGTGATGCCGGTGGTTGTAGGGCCGGTAGACGAGGTGTCCTTGTAGGCATCTACGCCCCTCCAGAGAGTGTCCTTGCCAGTAGAAGCGCTGCCGGTGCTGCTATGTGCGCCAACGCCGGTCTCAGGAGCGGCAGTAGGGTCTGTGGCCGAGGGCTTAACAGCATCGACATCTGTGGGCTTCCAGATCTTCTCGGTCACACCGGCCTTGTCTGTGATACCTGTGGCAGTAGAGCCTGAACCAGTAGCGGTGGTGGAGGAGGTGGTGGAGTCGCCAGCTTCGTTGTTGTAGGCCTTGATGAGGTCCTCGGGCTCCTGGATAGAGCCAGTGGGCTCTACTTCGCGCGAAGGCTCGATACCTGTGCCGGTAGTCGAGGTAGTGTTCCTGTCAAGAGCGGACTCTGCAAGTGATGTGAGCACGTGCCTTGTCAGTGAACTTTCTACGCTGAGCCGGACTCACCGGAGTTGCCCTGGTCGTAGGGCTCGTCGGCAGTGCCCTTGCCAACCTGGCCGGAGACGGGCTCCTTGCCGGCTGTCTCGTTGGTCTTCGTAGCTGTGTCCTGGTTTCCATAGATGAGGTTCGAGACTGTAGACGTCGCGGTGGACGCAATGTTGCTGATGGTCTCCATGTTGCTTGTGTGGATTGTTGTTTGTGTGTGTGAGAATTGAGTTATCAATTGAAGCGGAGGGTCAATGGTTTATAGCAGGAGCGCGTCTTGAGGCAGTTATGGCCTACGAGCTGATGACGTACTTCGATCGACAACAGGAACAAACAGGCCACCCCGCGATGCACAGGTAATGCGGAACGACTACGTACGAGCGTCACAGCGGGGCGCGGTTTATTCAGGTTCTCTTTCTTGTGCCTGAATGGGCCAATTACTCCACGCTTGCAGTCCAGTGGATTGGCTACAACTGTAGCGGCTCCGTGCTCGTTGCTGGTGGCGCAGGGTCACAACCTTGGTTTAAGTCGCGTCACAATTTACAGGTCTAATTCTAGATCTTGATCGCGTGCTAGATCGCAAAAGCCTGTAGCGCTTTGATGTTGCAAGATTGAGCTTGCTGTTGCAACGCTGCGCTCCTGCCATCGTTGTTGCTGTGACGTCATCGCTTCTCTCAAGAAGTGTCACATGCGTTGAGCTGTTACCCTTCTCGAACACAACATCTGTCATCATGAAACAATGTTGGAGGGCTTCCAATCTTTGTGGATGATCACATTGATTTAGTCTTCTCTATGTCCCTGTCTTCGGACACTTCTCATGAGAATGCTAATGTGGTATAGAATCTTAAAAACGCTACAATCGCTCAATAAAATAGACAAAGAAAATGCTCATCAAAGGGGTGGATAGCATAACAGCCGGTCTCTGCTCTACGTCGTGCGCTTCCAGTGACCAAGGCGGAATACCTGCGCGACTTTCGACAAGAAGTACGATGACCGCCAACCAGACTGCGGCTGCGGCTTCGTAGACTCAAACGTACCGACAGTGGAGAGCATCGAACTAAGACGCTCGTAATGGCTGTCATCGGTGCTGTCGCCGTACACAAACCCTTTTGGATTGAAAGGCTCGCGTTCAAAGAAGGCCTCTTCTTCCGGCGACCACTCACCCAAGCTCTCGTCCTCCTCGCCAATTGCGAGCTCCAGAATCTGCTTCGCTCGACCCTCGCCTAAAGCGAAGGCGCTTACAGCTCGATAGATGTACGCTGTGAAGTCTCGATTTTCCAGCAGCTCTGTGGTGCCAGTAGGAAATAGCTGGCCTCGGACCATCTCGAAAATGTCCTGCTTCAGATACCCATATTGCACCAAGGAGTCCAGCTCTCGCATGAGGTCGGATCGACAAAGCAAGTGCTGCTCTCGTACGCCCCATTTTCGTTCAGTGCCTGAGGTTTCTGCTTCGACAAGTTCTTTGTACAGATTTGAAGCCAGAGTCCGGCACTCGGCGTCTCCGTACGCAGCAGAAAAGACGATAGTCTCGAGGATCTGGAAGGGCATCGTCTGTACTACAGTGCTCGATCCAGAGTTCGAGCTAGCCGCTGAGATACACTTTGATGCTGCAGTCGCGTTGTTGCCAGGCCGCTGGTAATTCGAGACAGCCAGGCTTTGTCGCTCAGATGTTTCAACCACCTGCGAGCGCCGAATGTCTACGACATCTGGTTCAACACCACGGACCAACAGTGTAGCAGAAGCTAATGCATTCTCTTCGTACACCTCCAAGTCGTCCGCACAAAGGCCTTCCTCAAGGCTGGGCGCCAGGCGTACAGTCTTCTTCGCCTGACTTTTGTCTAGTGTCCACATCTTTGGTACGCTTAGCACAGGAGGACTTGATGCAGGCTCTGATGCCGAATACTGAGATCGCAGTGAAATCGGTTGCAGGCTTGGAATTGAGCTCAGAGCTGTATGTCGAAGCTTTGGAGACGGTGATGGAGTTACCATCGGAGACGCCGTTATTGTTGATATAATCGATGGGGTCTTTGTTCCGTGACCTTGTTCCATCGCGTCACGCAACTCGAGCATAAAGCTGGTCACGGGGCGATCGATCTGACATGTCTCGTTTGGACTGGAGAAGACATCATCGTCTTCTTTGGCGCTGGGCGCGTAGTAGAAGGATGTCTCAACTGCAGAGTTACCGTCTTTCGACACTAAAGCCAAGTTTGACGAGCGCAGGCGAAGGGGTACGACATGGAGGCTGCCATGCTCGCTATCTTCGCCGTCGTCCTCGTCTTTATCGCCACCGCTGCATTGTTCAACTACAATCGAACTGCCAATATCGTTATCAGATATGCTGATCGTCGATGTAGGCAGAAACTTCGACACCAGGCGCAGTGGCACGATCTGATGTGGCTCATCTGAAATTATGGAGATGTTAGTCTCTTCCGCCTCCTCTTCGTCCTCCTTCGTGATCAACCGTCTAGTCGAAGCGGAGTAAAAGCCCAAACCAAGCGAGTCTCGTGAGCCTGCCTCAGCGATGCCACCCTTCTCGCTTCGACGAAGGGTCTTGCTGACTACACTCTTCATCCGACAGAACGTTCCATGCACCTTCTCCCCTTCCGGTGTCTTTGGGACAGTGCTTGAGCGAGGGCTGAACAAAGCCTTCGTACGGAAGATCATCAAGCGAGGTGATGGCGAACCAGGTTTTGGTGATTTCTCAGAAGGGACATCCGTATCAAGACGTCCCAACGATCCCAATACGCGACTGCTCGCGGCTTCGTACTGCTTCCTGGAGGTGGGGAGGTGGGGAGTCTCGGGAGGGTCAACTGCGGTAGCTTGGGACGATCTGGACCATCGATCACCTTCTGGTGTCACGGTGCTCAGATGTGAACGTGTCTCGGCGTACGAATCAGACACGGGACGAATCTTCGGATGCGGCCGCAACAGCTGAACCGCTTCGTAGAATGTGCCGCTCACTGGGCGTATTGGTGTAGATGGCTGCATGGTGTCGGAGTTGTGTTGGTTGATGGTCGTGCTGCACAGTTGCTCGGTGGTTGTGGTGATGGTAACGGATGGGTATGGCGAGCCGAGCAGGTAACAAAAACCTCGAGGAGCCGCAAGTTGAGTGAAGCCAACCAAGGAGTGATTCTGATTGGAGGCTGGTTGCATTTCTCGAGGTAGTAGATGCACGAGTCACTTGTCTGCAGAAGGTCTTCGACTACGAGTGCTTGATTTGATTTGTCAAGGACGCATGAGCGGTAAGGAGAAACTAATTCGGGCAGTGAAAGCCGAGGTGCGTGGCACACTGGCTTTTATTTCATGCTAGGCTGCACATTGAGTGAAATGTGTGTGTTTTGATTCGAGTCTGTTGAGATGTGGGTCACTTCAAGTATCGAAAGCAGGGCCCGGTTTACTAGGTTCCTTTGCCTTTGATTTCAATGTTTGAACATGCTCAGCTCTTTGGTGACTCGCTCGACCAACGCTCGACTTTCTCGGGTGCTTTGTTCCTTTGTCATGTTCGTTGAAATCAAGAAAGGCCATAGTGAATTTTGGTTGTGGACGTAGGCTGACTGGAACAAAGAATCAGAGTCTCTCCACCTGAGACAGTTCCATAAGGTATATTCAGAGTAATCTATCGCAATTCAAAAAAAACAAAAAACAAAGGACTATAATATCTTTTCCTGTAGCATCTCCAGACCTTGTCTATGTATCCTCTCACATTCGCGGGCAAACATGACCAATAACACTCCTCTTCAGACCCCGCATCCATTCGATGCTTCGCTGGAGCAGCTGGATGGCGCTCATGCGGAGTTCGGTAACATTGCACGAACAGCAGAGGACGAGGAAGATCTAGAGCAGATACGCAAGAGAAACTTCGCAATCCTCAGTGCAGTAGATTACAAGGCTGAAATTCAGTCTCTGTTGGATGATTTGCTGACGTTTATGAACAGACAGTCCAGTCTCGATATACTTGAAGGCAACAGAGATTGGTGAGACAGGTAAGAGTCGAAAGACGAGGGCATTACTTCTTATTACGTTCTATCTTCCTGGACAATCTGGGTAGAAGTAATGACGAGGGTTGTGCTGCATTGCATTTACCACAGCTCTGGTCTCGTACAGTTATGTCCAAAGGCGGTATCCCGCACTAGCAAGTCATCTCATTTTTCGAGCCCCCCGTCTTCATCGATAAAAGGCTCCCACACCGTCCCATCCGGATATACAGACGACATTCCCGAAGGATAATTGCCAAAATCGACCTTGGTCCGGTGGGTCGGGTCGGGGTTGTCATTGTGGTCACCCACATCTATGTCAAGAGTTTCCCATACTCCGTGCGCAGCCGTTTGCAATTTGTAGTTAAAGTCTTTGCTACCAGTGATCCGATATCAATGCCGTCAGCTTGGTGCTATGAAAGCGCTTCGTCTGCGCTTAAATCATGAATGATCCTTACCGCCAGATCAATCATGCGACCACCGGCGTCGCCATATGGTGGCCCAAGGAATATGTTCTGGCTCCAATTGCACCGAGACAACTTGCCAGACATCATCTCCCATTTATCAGGCCAGTTCGCGTTAATACTCCCGATCCACGAGAACACACTGTTCACGTTCACATGAACGTCATGTTCACTTTGCCACGGGTCCGCCTCCACTTGGAAGTTGGGGATCTCCCGCAGCTCAGCAAGATCATTCCTGATCTGTGCGCGCGTCTTGTTGACCATCATTGCCATCAAGGCGTCTTTGATGCGGCAGTAAGGAACCTGCATCACGTCAGAGAACACAAGACTTACAAAGTAGCGTAGGAAAAACAGACGTAGGGAGTATAGATAAATTTGCCAGGATGAGAGATTGCTGCATCACGATTGTCCCAAACTTGGTTCTGGCCATGGTATAGCATGGTTTCTTGTACGTGGTCTACTTCTTTGAGCGTCTCCCACTTCCACTCTCCGCCTGGATCTTGGTCCTCAACTATGTCGTCAGATTCATGCACGCCGAAATCAGTGTACGACCTGAGGTATATCATCGCCGATGAGTTTTGCACTTAGGGACCCGGCTGCATCAAAAGACTTGGTTGTCTCTTCAGACGAACATCACTTCGTCGTTCGAGAGCAGGCTGAGTTATTCTTATAGTTTGTTGGTGACGCACAGGGCTATGCTGCAGGATCGTACCTGCACCTCGCTAATGGATGGACACCATGTACCTGGCCTGTCAGCCGGTCAGCCGTGGCATAAGCAAACCACATCAACTGGGAGTGAATCAAGGTCACGGGGCTGAGCTATGGCTGTAAAGCGCTATGTGGTGTATGCGGACCTAACCAGGCAGAACGCGGCTCCAAGATCACGACGTGGGAGGGCAGAAATCAAAATGTTCAAGGGTCCTGATCCTGGCAAAACCGAATGGAGAGTGCATATCGACGATCGACTTGGCTCTGTCAAGTGACTTGAGAGGTGCAATGAGACGTCCCAAGATTCAGCAGGTACGAAAGAGGAAGTAGCCACCAGGCTTGCCAGGCCTGCTTCAGAATATAATAGACACCAACACCCACGTGGCGATGCTGAACTTGTCTCCCACGAAAGGTCAGCCGAAATGACAACCAGGTCAGAGGGATGGAGATTATAAAAGACAACGTTTGTATGTATGCTCGAGCAAGAGAAGAAACCATCGCGCCTCCGCTGGATATATGAGCAATTCCCACCTTCCCAATCAATGCGCCATATCATACCAATCATGCACATGCTTTGCGCCGATGGCATGCATTTACTGCTACTCCGACTCTACTTCGGTCGCTAGTCAATGTTTGACTCGTCCCGATACAGCCTCCCTTGTTTGATGGGCGTGTTTTTAGGTCCCGGATCGTCGTTGTACTACTCGTCGTCCACGCCTTCCAACAATGTGAATTCGAGCACGTCGCTCAAAGTCAGTACGCCTCTGAGCTTTGCATCTTCGTCAATGACGATGAAGCGGTGGACGCGTGATTTGCGGATTGTGTCATAGATGGTCGACATGCTGTCTTGCACTGAACAGGTAAAGATACCCGGGAAGTCCTGCGAACTGTGAGCTATGCTGGCACGTGTGAGGAGGGGTGAAAGAGGGCTTACAGGTGAGCGCTTCAACAGCGCATCGCCGACTGTGAGGTTCAAGTCGTCGTATGAACCGCCCTTGATCAACGCGATCACGTCGACTGATTCAAACACGTTAAGTACCGTGCCTACTCTCGTCAGCTCTACTCTTCACTCCTTGATGACTAGAAACATACCTTGCTTGTCCACGATCGGCACACTACTGATGTTCCTCTTGACCAGCATATGAATAACGTCCATGACCGGCGTATCCATGTAACACGTCGCAATATCCTTGTACGTGCCAACGCTCATTTCCCTCAGCGGCTTGCGCAGTTTCTGCGTCTCCTTCACGTTCACAGCAATGAACTTCAGGATACGGTACTGCGTGATCACGGAGACGACCATGGTGCGTTTTGTCTCGTCATCGATGTCGACCACAGGAATACGGCGCGCGCGGGATTCGAGCATTTTTCGGCATGCCTCGTAGACGGGGCGGTCGGGGTGGCAGGATATTGTTTCGATGGGCTTGACGCCGAGCGCTTTCTCGATTTCTGCTGGGCTTAGCAAGGGGTTGGTAGTGACGAAGGGCAGTGAAGGGTACCTCGCAGGCTGCTCAGGCGGAACTTGTCGACCTTTTGAAGGGCATCAGGATTCTGCCAGTAGTACTGGATGACGTTTATGTAGTCGGCGGTGGTGAGTAGACCTGCGAAGGTGGAGGACTTGGAGTCCCATAGCGGCGCTGATACAATGCCTGGGGGTTGTCAGTCGCCACATCCCCACACATTGTTGCGCGTCCTACCATTCTGGGTGAGGATGTTCAGGCTCTTCTGCACGCGCAGGGCGGTGTCGAGGATTATAAGGCGGTAGCTGATAGGGAGCACGTCATAGCTGGTCCTGGCCTTCAGGAAGGCGCGAATCGTGCTCTGTTGTTGTTGTTGTCAGCCTCCATACACCGGCTCTTGTTTACTATGCAGGGCCATACCAGGCCGTCTAGCTGCTCGCGGTCGAGCGCGGTGAAAGTGCGCGGCGGCAGGATCGGTCGTGCCTGCTCGAGCAGTGTACGTGGTGAGACAAAGGTCGGGCGAGCGTCGTTAGGGCGGGCTTCTGTGTCGCCCGACATGGTTGCTGCGATGCTCGCAAGGTTGGAGCCAGAGCCGCATGGAGGGATGTGTGCAGCTCACAGGCGTAGCGTCGACAGTCGAAAGGTGGGTCGAGCCTGCGCCTTGATCGTCGTGGGGAACATCGCGGCGGAGCTCCGAGTGCTGCAAACAACGACGTCGTCGTCCGCCGCACAGACCTGCAACGCGGGGCATCCCAGTCACGTCTATGAACGAGCATGTTGTTTCAAGTGGGAGTTGTTTGATTCTTCTGCCAGAACGCCTGGCTTTGTGCAGCTAAAAACCTGGGAGTATGCCTACATTGGAAAGATTCAGGAGACAAAACTCCAGGCACGATAGGTGCCGAAAACCACACCTTGCCGCCCCCTTCTTCTGATATTGAGTACCTACGAAACCTAAGCTGGGTTCTTCTGGGCTGCCTTTGCTGCATCCAGGTTCAGTTCGGGCCCTGGTTCTTTCTCTTCTTCTTCTTGAATGATCTTGGCTACAGCGCTCTCAACAGACTGCTGTGGGTCGCCAATCGACTTCCTTGCCTGTGCGACAATGGCCTCGGCTTCCGTGACACTGCCTCTAGCAGTCAATGGGTCGCCCTCAACACCGATGGCACTTTCGTTCTTGCGCTGTCTGACAGCCTTGTTGTCGAAGCGAACGACCATGCACGACAGGTTATCGGTCGAGAAACGTGCCAGAGCGTAGTCAACAAGCTTCTTGGACGCCTCTTGTGGGTCCTGAATCTGGCGAACAAGATCAACAGCCTCCTGGTCGGTGCAGACGTCCCAGAGCTGACTTTCGTTAGCAATCGTTTCATCTCTCTGTTGTGACTTCACTTACACCATCGCAAGCCAGGATCAGGAACTCATCCTGATCTGCTTGGATCACAGTCTCTGTAGTGTAAGGGTGGCCAGTGACCAGGTCCTTCATATAAGCATCGCCAAGTGCTCGCGTGACAGCAAGTACGCCGTTAACGCGATTGTTGAGGATCAATCCACCGGCGCTGGCCACGCGGCGTCCTTCGTTCTCGTCACTACCCTTGTGGTCGTAAGAGAGACGAAGGGCCCTGCCGTTTCTGCAAAGAACAATACGTGCGTCTCCAACGTTGGCTGTGTATAGCACTCGTTGACGACTAGCCTCGCTTTGTAACCGGTCTGCCACCGCATGTGCCTCAGCAGATTCCACCTGGACGCTTTCTCCGCCCTCATTCTTGATAGCTGACGCTGCGGCAGGAGCGAAGAGAACAGAGCCGGTAGAAGACTGAGCGTTAGGCACTCGGTCTTCCCATCTCAGAACTGCGGTGACTGCGGTGCATCCACTGTTCTTGAGAGGTAGCTTTTCGAGTTGGTTGTCGACCGTTGTGAAAGTCTGATCGAGCAACTCAGGAATGGGTGTGTTGGGATTCTTCTTGATGGTCTCCTCCAGGATCAAATGAAGTTTCTTTCCACACCAGTCGGCAGCGAAGGTTCCAGCGTGGCCATCGAAAATAGCAAAGTATCCATTGTCAGTCTCGGCGACTTGCTGACCGGTGACCTCAGACTGTACAAAGCCAGCATCAGACGTCGAGCCCCTCTTCTCGCCGCCGAAAGAAGGGGCAGGTGTGCTTAAGAAGTTGTATAGATATGCGTGTGTATCCTCCATCGTCCGCCTGCATTTCTTGTTCTTGTCTTCTGTCACACCAACTCGGAACGTCGACCGCGGTGTAGGTGCAGACTCGCCAGCAGAGTTGTTGAGGGAGCCCTGGGGAACGCTGAGTGCCGCATCGGATTTTCCAAGCTTCTGGATGGGCGTCTCTGCCTTCGCTGGCGAAGAACCAGGCGGAGGGGCAGCATTAGGGTTAGCGCTCAGGTGTAGTGACTGCTTTGCGCTTGAGAACATATCTCTTGCACGCGATACACCGCTACTCCGTCGCTTCTTCTCCGTGTTAGGGCTCGAAGCATCGCTGGCTTTGCGGTCCAGTCCATTACCGGCGGGCGCTCCTCCCATAGCTGAGTCGTTTACCGAAGCAGCTGGCGCAGGTCCTCGTGGGTCGTTGACCGCAGCACCCTCGTTAACAGCAACTTCGTCGTCTTTTCCAGGGGAGGTGCCGAACATGCGATTCAGCAAGCCTCCGTTACTGGAGAAGCTGCGGCGCTTGTTACCTGCCAGGTTGAAGGATTGCGATAGCGTTCTGTGTCCGGGTGTGGCGGATATAACGGACTCCTCTGCGCGGGGAATATCACGAAGCTGGCGAATTGCGCGTACTCGAGTGTGACGTCAATGACCTGCGTAAGATCCCAGATATCAGCGCAAGCTCTCCTCAAGCGAATCGACGACACGCAGGGCAAGCAAAGAGGGGCAATCAAAACGAGTCCGTGCGTCGATATGTGTAGTCAAGCGGGTAGGTACACGTACGGTGTGCGCTGTGGGTCGGAAATTGGAATATTCGGCCAGGGGGCGCGTGCGGGCAGTGAAGTCGTGAATGGGAGAGGAGATGTGGTCTTGTTGCGTGCGACAATGGTGATCGCTGGTGTTAGGTGCCGTGTGGAAATGACGTCGGCGTTACCGGACAAGGAAGAACGCGAGATGATGCTGCACAGGAGATTCGAGGAAGCGGAAAGAATTCAGATTGGATAGGGCCTAGGGATAGCGTGTTGAAGAGTTGTGCAGAAGAACACTGGGCTGTGCACTGCCTGCTCTCTTTGAGGGAAGTGCGGGGACGAGGCTTGAAGGTGCTCTCTTCCAAGGTTGTTTGACAGCTTGCTCTACCCCGCTGGTGCCTTACAAATGTGCAGAGCTGACCGTCGTGACTGAACGACCCTGAAGCAGTTCAAGGTCTTGTGACTTGCTGCATTCCCGGTGCATGCAGCCCGCGAGTCTTCTATGGTCTCGTTTTGGGTGCGTGGGAAACGAAGGATCAGCAGTCTGGAATGTCTGCCGGCTCGAAGGGTGGAGAAAGCAGGGATATTTTAGACTGTAGTTCATGTAGCTAATTCCTAGTCTGCCGCGGAGAGATACAGACGGATGGAGTGCCATATCGAGCGGTACACAGCACGAAAGCAGCGGTTGCAAGCAGCCCCAGTATCTTGATGGATAGGTATGAGACATTGTTGCCACAGAGGGCTACGTGATAGTCTGCAACTTGAGGACCATCACAGCGTTGCTCATACTAGATAGGTGTAGGCAGAGCAAGGTCTGCAAGAGAACATAATACAACACATCATTATCTCCTCAGGCTGTCTAATCGTGCCTGGAGGTCATCATCGTCAGGGTCAGCGCCGCCGCCGATTGCCTGCGCTACCCTGCCTTCAGGCACAGCAGTCTTCTGGAGGCCACTTGGTGTCTCTCCCAGCTGTGGCTTGTGAGCGATTGATCCTTTGAAACGGGACGAGAGACTCACTGCTTGGCCAAGGTCGATGCCTATTTCATCCAAGACCTGGTTCACGACGTCTTCGCTCTCCTCTTCATCCTCCATGCCAGTAGCGTCGTCGATAGCATCGTCCATCATCTCCTGTCGCTGGTCCATAATGTCGTTCTCCTTCTCGAACTCCATGGCGATGCGCTGCAGGGCCGGCAGGTTCATCTGCCTGTTCATGCTCCCCAGCAATGCTGTATGTTGTTAGGAGTATGATTGTAGAAGCTACTGCCTGCACGTACTTGTTGCTCCCTTCATAGACTGCATCATCTGCTCGTTACTGCGGACAGTCTGCCTCGGGTTAGCACACCGAATGCATAGCACCGGATATCAACCAACCTGTATCCTCAGCGATATCGCCTGCAGCTGTGTCCTCATCTGGTAGAACTTCTGGATGTATCTCCTTGTCCGTACGAGATCCTTTGCCTGTATACGCAGTGGTCCCATCTGTCCATTCTTGGCGCTCTTCTTAATGTCTGCAACCAGCTTCTTCTCCTGGTTCTCGAGCTTCACGCGCTCTCGGTCGAGTTCCCGTTGCGTCTTCTCGAGCGCTCGCTGGTGTTTGCGCAGACGCTCCGCCGGCGTCATGCGCTTTCCAAATGCCCATTCCACGATCTAGACACGGTCAGAAGCTGTGAACACCGAAGACAACAGAACATACATTCATGGTTGCCAGGCAGCGTGGGGGCTAATGGTAGTTGAATCGATGCGCGCTGTCGTAGCAGGCGACTCCAGTGATGCCACCACAGCGAGAGTGTTTTCCTGTATACTATATCAGGCTCTCAAGGCGAATGTGGTGGTAGCACAATCTGTGAATGCGCGCGGTGGTGAACGTGGAGTTGCTGGGGTTCGTGATAGCGGGTAGGGCCCGGTACCATATGACGCTACTGCTACGGAAGCCTTGGACGATGGTCAAGCTTCACTACCCAGGAGATACTCGACACCAGCGCTTGTCGCGCTTGTCGCGCTTGTAAAGACGACGAAACAATCACAGTAACCAGCGTCAAATCAGACAGAGCATTCGCAGCCAGAGCGTTCACCGCCAGAGCATTCACAGCCAGCCAGTTTGGAGAAAGAGCACAGATTCGGCATCGGCACGTGTCAACGGTCTGGCAGTGGCCGACCAATCCCTGCTTGTGCCCTTGGGACGCCACAGCAGCTCTTTCCTGCATCATCGATCACGTGACGACATTTCGTTTCATTTCCATCCAACGGCCTCTCGCCGCACCACCTACACAAATCGCCCTCCACGACATGCCCCTGTACTGGACTGCGCACACCACACAGCCACCTCGATGAATCACGATCACCGCGACGCCGACCCCTCCACGCCGGAGGAGTCTTTTTCGTCCTCGAGCCGCCGCAATGTCTCCACGCCCGACCCCTTCGTCCCGCGCGTCCCTGGTGCGCCCGGCTATATGACGGTGGGCTCCGGGTCAACGCCTGAAGCCGCCGCCCGTCTGGTGTCGATGCTGGACGATGATTCTGGGTATGGAGGCAGCATGCATGATGGACAGTGCTCCGTCCCAAGCTGGCACTCTAACATTGGCGAGGACAGGCCCTCGCAATCGCCCACAGCCATATCGCCTGGCGGATCTGGCAACTCGGAGCACGACAGACAGCGCAGCCATGTCTTGCAGCTGCGATACAACCAGAACAAGAACGCCCTGGGCCGGGCGATTCACGGCACCATCGATACCCTGAAGAGCTTCCAGGAGATGAACCTCAAGTGGCCGGCCCACTACCCCTCCGTGCACGAAGAACGCAACCCTTCACAGAGCCGCGACGCCCGCCCCGGCATCCACCACGCACAATCCTCGATCGGCGACTTCGACCCATTTGTACGCTCTCCCGAACGACCACGACCTCCCCGACGCGCTGGCACGTCTATAGGAGACGACCCCATTGCTGAGTCAAGCTCTGCTGCTGCTGCTGCTGCTGCTGCTGCAAAACAAAAGGAAGAGCCGCGTCTAGTTACCCAGAAGCTTGCGCAGGACTTTTCCGTTCTCAAGTTGGAACTCCGCATGGGTGGACGCACACAGACCGACCTCGTACATTCGCTAGAGAAGAACTCGATCGCCTCGCTTCTCGATGGACAGATCCAGCAGAGCATCCGCCACCTATACTCCATCAAGGAGCGCATCGAGGACACTTCGAGCAAAGTGCTTGTTACTGGAGATCTGAATGCAGGAAAGTCCACATTTTGCAACGCTTTGCTGCGGCGGAAAGTGCTGCCAGAGGATCAGCAGCCATGCACAAGCATCTTCTGCGAGGTCCTGGACTTCAAGGAGAATGGCGGTGTAGAAGAAGTACACGCAGTTCCCATTGGCTCAACGTACAACCGCAACAACGAGAGCACCTACACAGTCTTTGACTTGAAGGATCTTGAGAAGATCGTCATCGACAACGAACGCTGGTCTCAATGCAAGGTCTACATCCAAGATATCCGAGATGTGGATCAGTCAATCTTGAACAACGGCGTTGTCGACATTGCACTCATCGACGCTCCCGGCCTCAATGCTGACTCCCTGAAAACCACTGCGATCTTCGCCCGGCAAGAGGAGATTGATGTGGTTGTATTTGTCGTGTCCGCAACGAACCACTTCACCGAGTCGGCGAAGAACTTCATATTCAGCGCCGCCCGCGAGAAGGCCTACATGTTCATGGTGGTGAACGGGTTCGACGTCATTCGCGATCAGCGCCGTTGTCAAGAGATGATTCTGAAGCAAGTTGCTGGCCTCAGTCCGGCGACCTTCAAGGAGTCAAGCGAACTGGTGCACTTTGTCTCGAGTAACGCCATTCCCATGGGCGCAGGTGGAGGCTCGCCACCAGGTGACGACGGCGATGACGACCCATCAGACAAAGGAAAGGGCAAAGGCAAAGAAGCAGAGAAGATTCGCGACTTCGGTGACCTCGAGACTTCGTTACGACGCTTCGTACTGGAAAAGCGAGCAAGATCGAAGCTGGCGCCTGCTCAGACTTACCTCCTCAACGTTCTTGGTGACCTCCACAGCCTGGCATCGGTCAACCGTGACGTTTCTCAGGCCGAACTCGACCGTGTTACAAAGGAGATCGAAGCGCTCGAACCAGAGTACGAAGAGTCGAAGAAGGCACGCACCGAAGCCGGCGAGCAAGTAGAGCGAACGGTTGAGGACACAACAGCGGATGTATACAGCCACACACGCGACACACTGAACACATGCATTTCAAGGGTAGGGGAGCAAGACATGGGTATCGAATACCCTGGACTTCTATCCGCTTACCAGTACGCTGAGGATTTGAGAGATTCGATGCTCCACGAGGTGTCAGAAACAGTGCGTCTTTGCGAAGAGCATGCAAGAACCCAGGCTGTCCAAGGTTATAATAGCATCAAGAACTTGGGCATCCTGCACCTTGGTGACGACATCCACGCCGGTATCACATTCCGGCCAGAACGCATGTTTAAGAAATCAATGCACGCTCTGGCACGCCAGGTGGACATTGATATCGAGCTTTGGGACTTCTTCGACGTTGCCAGCCTCTGGGAGCGTCAGGAAAAGGTCGCAGGCACTGGCATGGCCGTCACAGTCGCTGGTGTCGTTGGTGGTAGGCTAGTCGGCGGTGTTGGCTGGCTCGATGGTGCACTCGGTGCCGCGAAGATTATGGGATCAAACAACATGAAGAGACTTCTGATTCCTGGTCTCATCGCTGGTGGTAAGTCTCGCTCTCACAACATGTTCAAAGTCGGTCCACTAACGCCCATGCAGTTGCTATCGGCATATCCTACGTCCTCGCCTCAGTACCTAAATCCCTCCCACACCGTCTTTCCGCCAAGTTGTCCCAACAACTCTCAGCTATCGACTACACTCACCAGAACGCTCTCCGCATCAGCTCTGAGATCCGCCGCGCGCTCAAGAGCCCCACGAATGATGTTCGCATTGGTCTGCAGCGCAACGTCGAGAAGCTGCAGCTCAAGAAGGAAGAGACAAGCAAGTTCAAGATGGAGGCTGAGGTCGCGAGGAAGTACTTTGGCAACCTTGTGCGTAGCAGCAACGACCTCAAGCAGACCGTGCAGAGAGTCGATCTAGAAGCTGCACCGCCAGCCTTCGCTCCAAGCCAATGAGCTTGCCTTGACGTCCATGGAGGTTTTCTTTTGGCATAGTCTGTATTCACACTTGTACTGTTGTGTATAAAAAGGTGATCATCATTGGGAAGGGCGTTCATGGGAGCTCGGGACACGCACGATACGGTCGAACACTACCCACCAGATTTTCATGATGGTTGTACATACACTAATTCAATACCCCTCCTGATCTTTGTACAAAATGTTGAGCTCACGATCGAGAACTTCATTGTAATACTCCTTGGTCAATGTTCTCAGCTTCCACCATACCTGTACTCCGAATCCTCCCCTAGGACTCCTCTGACCACCATGCCTGCGCGGCTCCCGACCGCCAGATCCATCACCGCCGACTCCATCACCGCCGACTCCACCACCGCCAAAACTACGGGGAGAGTTGGGCCTACCATGCTCCTCACCAGGATGTCTCCCTTCTAGGTCGTCTTCGCTGTCATAACATTCGAAGGCATGGTGTTATGTTTGTACCTCAGATTTCCTGGACCTTGAATTTGAAGAGCCATTGACACACGGAATTTTCCATTGCGCGAGGTTGGTATCAAAGAAGTGTGAAGGAGCTACGTACAGACTTCCAGAAGAAACGAGCGTGGGTTGAGTCTAAAGCTCTCTGGATATTCAAGTAGTAAAACGTCAGTCGGGCGTGTCTGCTCCATATTGCAGATTGAGCTATGTGTATCTATGTTCTAGGAGACAGGTCCCATGCCACCGTACCCGCCTCCATACCCGCCTCCATACCCACTCCCACACATCGGCGGCATCATTGGCGGCATCATACCTCCAAAATACGGCGGTGACGGCGGCGGCATCCCCACATACTCACCTGGCTTAGCTTGCTGCCCATCCTGTTGCGCATCTTGCTGTCCGTCTTAATGTTCACCTTGCTGCGCAATCTCCTGTCCATCCTGGCCACCTTGTAGACCTGCGCCCTGAGCCCCAAGCATCTGAAGACATCGCTGGCAAGCCGCGTCCGAAATCTTCAGCATTCGATATGATGTCAGGCATAACGATGAGCGCCTCGCGTAGCTGAAGAAGGAGTGGAGGGAGGCTGCGGCTGTGATGGCTGCCGTATGGGTTACCTAAGGGGAACATTGCAGATAGTTTACCTTGTTGTTAGTGTGCAGTTGTTGGGGCTACTGTGTGATTAGTATCTTGGAATGCAGGGAAGTGCGTTTATAGTGGGTTGCGTGTGGAAGATTGTGAAGAGGCGTTTGTTTAATGCGATGATGAGGCGTGAGGTTTGGCTGTCACATTGGGAAAGAGTGACGGATGTGATGACTTCGATGTGCATATCAAGCGAGTGATGTGTTTGCTGTGAAGTGACTGTAGTCCTGCGTGGGTATTATTGGAGCTTTGAATGGAGTTCAGGACGTGGCCTTAACAGCTGCTACAGGAGCGCAGGCAATAAACAACTCGGGTACGGAGGACCCCTCCATTATGCAGAAGAGACGATGCTAATGAGCGCCATGTTTGTCGAGAGGATCTTTATCACCTCCAAAGACAATGTATGAGTTTCCTTTCGGCGCGTCAGTACAGTTTCTTCAATTCATTCGATAGCTAGAGTGTTTCTCTAGCACCATCAAGGTGGTCTAGTTGATGTCGTCAGCTCATTCGCTAGTCTCCTGTCACCGTTTCACACATCATCCCTCCGTTTTTGCCAACAGTGAAGCGTTGTTTCACTCCAAGCTGTCATGTTTCGACTTTTCCAAAGCATGAAGCCATGCGGGTTTGATCTCCACATGTAATGTTCGAGACCGACATCCAAAGAGTGACAGGTGGAAGACACAAGGTTTGCACGACGAGACAATGACGTGGGTGTTGAGGGAGGGCCGAAGGTGGACCGTAGGTGTCGAAACGGGTGACAGAGGTTGAGTGTTTCGAACGCTTGGTGACAGGATTCGTGGCCTTGAGTGATCGAGTGGGTTTGGCTAGTCGTAGCGGAACCGACGAAGTGATTAGTGGTAAAGCCCGTAGAGTATGTTGATTGTCCGTCATATCGGTATTTTTGGTTGGTGCTTATACCGTCGCTGGCGTATGTACTAAAGGCTTACCTCTTGCTCAGGTCAAGTCCGAGCTGATTTCTTTCGTTGCGGGGCAAACAGAGCTCCAGTAGCTATTTACATACGGTACCAAGTGGTTATCATCTCCAGGAGTGAATGTGATGGAATACTTATGTGACGTTGCTGACTGGGTCATCGATAGTATGAGCTTGTCTGAAGGCTGTGGTTGAGCAAGGTACATAACTCTCTCTGGCCGATCATTGTGTCTTTGTTTGGCGCAGGTAAACACTCGAATCGTTCTCGCTGTAAGGATTCAAAGGGTGCACAGCGTCAGCCTTCCAAGACGATCTATGCCATCCCCTCCCTTGTCAATGCCAAAGATCAGCAAATTGCTTGTTCTCGTCGAAGAATGTTTGCTCTCTAAGATCAAACATCAGTGATATCTGGTTCGGCAGCCGGAAACCAGACAGGTGAGAGTGGAGCAACTGATCATCCACACGCATGGGTGCATCACCCTGGTCAATATACCGTCAACAATCCAATCTCCTCCGCAATGCGAACGGCGAAACCGTTGCCTCATGCTGCCTGCGGGAGCGGAGGATGCCTCGTCATGCCGCGCATGACATCTGTCGAACGTGAAACATTGCGTTTACTCGACGCTACGCTTAGATATTTTCGGTAGTGAGCGGCAGTGGGCGGCTGCGAAGGCTATGGTCAGCCCTACCAACTCGATGTCTGCTGTGTATAGAAGTCTGCCTTGACATCGGTAACAACGAGGCTGTAAGGTTTCAGGCGCCAGATGTGGTATCACGAATCCGTGGATTTGATGACGCAGCACGAGATTGTGTGAACGAGATGTGCTCGAGGCCTTCAGGCAAGGATCTCGAGTGCCGGTGCTTCGGAGAACGAAACGCAAATCCAACCAGGACCAGAGCACGTTTCAGACGCCAAATTGGGTCGAGAGTAGACAGGCGTTCTGCAGGGCGGTGCTACCGAGATGAGGTGAAAAGCACAGGCCGCCAGATGAGACGGTTTCAGACTGGATCAACAGGGCTTCCCCGGCATATGGAACGGAGAGCGAAGGAGCACGATGAGGCCACGCGAGCAGACGTTGACGTTGAGAGCGCGATGTTCGAAGGTGACGCGTAAGGGAAGGCGGTGTTGCGTGCCTCTACATTGTTACCCACCACCGCTCAAGTGACGCGTGTGAAGCTTACCAGCAGGGGAGGCTGCCGGTTCCGGACGGATTGCGGACTGCATTGCAGATTGCGTGTGGAAAGACGGACTCTAGCGAACCTCTAGCGAGCCTCGAGGTGCTGACAGCGACGGTCGACGGTTTTTGCCCAAGTGGGCGGCTCGGCGCAACGCTCGAGTCTCGTCAGCCTCGTGCAGCAGCTCAATGGAGACTTCGGCATGATGGCGGCAATGTTGGATAGCAGACATCCACACATACCGGTCCACGAAGACAGATGCTCATGTCTCGGTGAAGACGCATGAATTAAATTTAGAATCGGAGAGCAGCTGTTCGTGGCTGACTGCGGGCGGGAGGCGGCCTGGACCAATAGAATCGGCGAACAGAGTTGGTTTCCTCTCGAGCCGCCGTTAGGTCCAGTCAAAGTCACCGGCCGCTACGAATGACTGGTTGTCGTAACCAGACAGACGCCATCGTGGTGGTGGAGAGCGTCTTGCGGTGTGCGAAGGCCCGGCTGCTTGAGCAATGAGCGTACGCCGTTTTGATGGAATTGTTTGCAGTTGGCGTCCCTTGCTGGCACTGCTGGCAACTGCGGACGACTCGATGGCCGACTTGAGGTGCAGCTAGGGACTTTTGACAGCGAACCCTGGTGCACTATGGCAGCATTGGGCCGCCTAGTGTGAAAGGCCTTCAATTCAGCGCATCACAGGGCTTTCATTCTTTCATGGCATCAAAGAGCGGGCACTGAGCATGCTGCTGCACCAGCGATCGGCGCAGGATCAGGGCAGCAGGCGCTCCATCCCTCGACATCTGCGCATGGCTGCCGTCGTTTCAGCGTCTGCAGCGCGTCAGGGGCCATGTGGAGCTAGCCGTCTGCATCCTAGTCGCTCCCTGCACAAAGCCAAGACACCCAGAAGCCAGTAGGCATCAAATAGTCGCGCCCACTCGCTTCCTTCGTCTGCCGTCCTGTCACCTTTTCTCCTGGCCCCTCTAGAGCTCTCGCCCTTTCCCTCCGACCTCTTCACTCTCTTCTCTGCCTCAGTGCAGCTTCTGCATCTTATATCGTCCTGCTTGTTTGGACAGCTTATCCGCCACCACCTAATCACCGAGAGATCTCGAGCGCGGTCCAGTCCCGTCGCTCTGCCTGTGAGAAAAGCCTGCAACACGACCGCATCACCAGCCGTATCAACCGTTTGTGCATCCAGCGTGCATATCTGCTCCTGCTGTAAACACGCCTGCATCACGTGCCTGCCTGTCTCGCCAATCGCCCCTTCCGTCCTCAGCTAGACGCGTTGGACCCTGCCTTTGACAGCCAAACCAGCTAGTGGATACCGCGACTGAAGCACCCTTTGTTAATAGCTCCAACTGCATTGCATTGCCATCGGCCGGACTTCGATCATAACGCTACCTTACAACCACGATCAGTACGATCCTTAATCACGTAATCGCAACTCAATCCTTGCGCCCGTCTCTAGCGACTCGTTCGACTTGGGACATCACCTTCCATTCTATATCCTTTCCGGTGTGCATAGCACATCTTCCTTGTTGCAGCCTTACCCTTTGTGTTCGCAACCTTCAACGACTTCAAAATGAGCATGGACGCTGGCGGTCTTGCTCAAATGTCCTACAACAACTTCCAGTCCCAGGGCTTTGGCAACCCTACCTCGAGCTTTGCGTCTCGCGGTAAGGGTGCTGCTCTCAAGCGTCTCAGCGTTGCCTCCCCGCCCAAGGTTGCCTCGATCGCCGAGAACGAGGTTCAGACTCCTCGCACCAGCCGCTCCCATCTTCTGGCCGGCCTCCGCACTGCGCCCAAGACACCTTCGTCTGTCCAACCCCCTGCATCTGCGCCCTACAACCAGCGCCAGCACAGCATCGGCGGAAACCAGAACAACCGCCTCTCCAGGAACTTCAACCAGAACGGTCCCCAGACTGCCGTCGGTTCCGGCTTTGCTGGTGCCAACCAGTACAACCAGCAGCAGCAGCAGCACATGCTCTACGACCAGGTTCTGGCTCCTCCTACAATGCAGTACGATGACGGCGAGATGGATCCCGCTGTTGCTGCTCAGCTTCTCGCTACCGAGGTCTACCTTGCCCAGAGGCAGCAGCAGCTCCAGCAGCAGCTTCTCGCTCTTACTGCTCAGCAGTTTGGCAACATGAACATCAACGGCATGCGCCAGTCGCAGCAGTTCCCTGCCACGCCCTTGACCAACGCCTATGGGCAACAGTTCCAGCAGAGCGCTCCGGCTGTTCAGGAGACGGGTCAGCCCGGTGTCTACCTCATGTTCAACCAGATGACCGGACAGTACCAGTACGTCGTCGACCCCACCTACCAGCAAGAGGACAACCTGTCGCACTCCCCACCCCCGCCAACTCCCGGATTTGCGCCTTCTCCTCCCAAGGTCGACACACCTGTCCTCCACGTCTCTCCCCCCAACGAGGTCAACCCCAGCCCCTGGGCGCGCAGCACTTCCCCTCCCAAGAAGTCGGTGACACCGCCCCAGGACGTTGTTCCTCTTCCCCCACCATCCGCGAACGCTTTCCGTCGTGGCCACAAGAAGCAGCCTTCGTCGCTTGCGCTTGACCCCAGGGCTGAGATGCCTGAGGGTCCCAAGTCTGCCTTCGTCCGCTCTGTTGGCTTCCCTGCCACTCCCATGACTGGCACATTCGGTCCTGGTCAGGCGCGTGCTGGAGAGCACCCTGTCCGCCAGCCCCGTGGACCGCCTTCAATCGAAGAGCTCAAGGCCAGCCCCACCTCCAAGCATGAGGGTAGCAAGAACTTTGCTGCTCGCCAGCGCCGCCAGGCAATCAGCAACCTTGTTCGTGCTGGCATCGGTCGCCGAGGTCAGCGCAATGGCAGCGGTAGCGCTTCCCCCGACAGCGAGAACTTCCCCTCTTCAGACAACGATTCCGATAGCGTCCGCAGCGGCGGCAGCGGTAGCCTTTCCGGCAGGCCCAGCATTGGCAGCCTTCGTGCTGTTGCCAACGGCGCTATTGGCTCGGAGCGTCAGGCTTCGAAGGAGCGTTCTCGTGGAACCTCTATTGACCGCTCTTACACTGCCACTAGCGTGAGCAGCGAAGAGGGCTTTGTCGATGTCCGCCCCATCCTTGGCCAGCGCCGCTCGACGCCGAAGCTCATCTTCACCAGCGCTGAGAAGCGCAAGAGCACCATGTTTTAGATATCTGGGAGAATCCTCACTAGGAACCAGTTTCCTTTGTGCATATCACTGGGGCATCTTTACGATACCACAGCCTTACGGCCCGTTACGACTCTTTCCTTCTTCTGCGTTTGACGAAGTGCATACGGCGGGATTCAGATTTGCTTTCATTTTTCCAAATACTACGATTACCATTCGTCTCTTCTCTGGTCCTACTGCAGGACTCCAGGAGATCCTTTTTTAAACTTCTTGTGTTTCCGACCTTTACGCGAACTGCTTTTAATGAGCATGTGGATGACTGTATTTGTTATCTGCACGCTTTTGGGATAAAGTACATTGGAAACGGAGGGAACTATGCTTTGTGGACAACGAGCTCTGCGCCTGTGGCTGGAACTCATTGCACTCTCTGAGCTTTTGTTTGTTAACCAAGTGAAAAGGGTGTAGGAGGCTGAAGGAAGTACGAAAGTACAAAGGATGGGTGGGCTATATAGGATGAAAACCTAAATGTCACACTCTTTTACCAAACAACTCAATCCATCTGCATCAGTGACAAACCTGTGGACTTGCAAGTCATTGCATTGTAAACCTGCATGTTCAACGTTGCCCAATGAGCGTCACAGTCTTCGTGGGACCCAATTTGGTTAGCGCCGCCCATCAGCAAGGTAAAATGTCTTATCACGCGCTCGTTCTCTACACCCTCTTGCACTGAGTTTGTACTATCTTGCATACTTGAGGCTCTGTAAAATAGTCACGCGACTAGCATACAGCCTGAACGGTCGTGTACGTCCAATGGTCATCAGGTGAGTACATTTTGGTTCGATGCCCTCATTCTACCAAGGATCATCTCTTCTGCCGTAGTCGACGCCACTACATACTTGGCGTTGTTTACTCCTCCTTCTCAGATGAGTGGTCCTTGGTCCTGCGCTTGCCAACCTCAGCATGTCGAAACGCGATTAGAAGCCATGTCGTGTCAGACAACAGCATCACTTTACAAGGTGGTCATGAGAATGCAGCCTTGCCCCACGAAGAGCATCCCATCCCTTCAATCATAACCCCTCCTCGAAGAACCCATATTTGTATCAACGAGCCGCGCATTCGCTGCTACTACGTCTGATCTTCCATCTTGTCACTCATCTTCGTCATACCCACAACCATGGGTAACATAGGCAACGAGAACCGGGCTTACAAACCTCACAACAGTCCAAACACCGTTGGCGCGGGCTCCAGTCCGACGGCTAACCGCATACATCTCGATCTGCCAACTTCAAACGGCGACTCAGCACCCATGCTTCGGAAAGCAGCAGGAAGAATCCCGCACATCGGTATTGTAGGTGCTGGCGTAGCTGGCCTACGGTGCGCAGACGTGCTACTCAAGCATGGTGCTAAAGTAACGATCTTTGAGGGCCGGAATCGAGTTGGTGGGCGGTTCTGCCAGGGGAAGGTAGGCGAGCATTTAGTCGACCTGTAGGTTTGCTTTGTCATTGTGCAAAGAGGCGGTTACTGATCGACTACACAGCGGCCCCAACTGGATTCACGGGACAGACAATAACCCTATTCTCGACCTCGCCAATGAAACGAACACAACGACTATGAACTGGGATGGTCGGCAATCTGTCATCGATGCTCTGGGTAACTACTTGTCTGACAAAGAAGCAGCAGAGAACACGGAGCTTGTATGGTCCATCATCGAACAGGCGATGAAACATTCCAACGCAGAGTGCGCTACAATAGACCTAGAGAAGAGCCTGTACAACTTCTTTGAAGAAGCGGTGGGGAAGCTGTACACCGACGTGAAAGAGGATGAAGCGAAGAAGAAGAAGAGAGAGACGATTTTGCAGATGTCAGAGATGTGGGGCGCATTTGTGGGAAGTGAGATTCAAAAGCAGAGCCTGAAGTTCTTCTGGATGGAAGAGTGTATTGATGGAGAGAACCTATTCGTTGCAGGGACCTACAAGAAGGTGCTGGAGAAGATTGCTGAGCCCGTCGAAGAAGCAAGCATTCATTATCAGCACAGGGTGAAGAAGCTGATTTCGAATTCGAGTGGCGAAGGTGAAGATCCGTCAGTGACTATAGAGTTTGAAGGCTCTCGGGGTGTGCAAAGAGAGACGTTCGATGAGGTCGTTATGACGGCGCCACTGGGCTGGCTAAAGACGAATTTGGACGCATTTGAGCCGGCGTTACCGCAGAGATTACAGGAAGGCATTGGAGCGATTGGGTACGGACACCTGGATAAGGTCGGTCTATTCTCTTCTACATGTCCCCTGAAATCATGTCGCTGACAAAGATAGGTTTACATCACCTTCCCCACGGCTTTTTGGAACACATCCACCTCCAGCACCGATGCCTCCAATTCGCAGCCTGCGCCGACTTCTACAACTTCACCAATAATACCCAACGTCCCAGCAACAACCGTCCCCATCCACCAACTCGGCGCCGCCGACTCCCCCGTCGATCCGTCGCACTACGCCGGCTTCACCTCCTTCATCGCGCCCTCATACGCCTCGTCCACCAACCCCTCGCACTGGAATCAAGAAGCCGTCAATCTCGCTGCTTTACCTGGTCCCACTGCCCATCCTACCCTGCTCTTCTACACTTACGGCCCAACGTCACACCACATCGGCAATCTAATCGCCACGTCTCGCGATGCGGCAGAGGAAAAGCAGCGATTGACGGAGTTCTTCAAGCCGTACTACTCAAGACTACCAAACTATGATCATACGAACGATGATCATCAGCCTGCACACCTCCTCGCTACTGCGTGGGTCAATGATGAGCTTGCAGGCTTTGGGGCGTATGCGAACTTTCAGGTTGGATTGGAAAGGGGTGATGAGGATGTTGAGGTTATGAGGAGAGGTGTGCCAGAGAGGGGGTTGTGGTTGGCGGGGGAGCATACGGCGCCTTTTGTTGCGCTTGGTACGGTGACTGGGGCTTGGTGGAGTGGGGATGGGGTTGCGAAACGGATTTGTAGCGCATGGAAGCTGAAAGAGGGGAAGAGAGCGTAGAAAGAGAACACAGGAAGAAATGATAGAGTGTTGGGTAGTGAGTTAGTACGCTCTTGCTTGTGGTCGTATTTTTTTGGAAATCTCGGAATACAGTTGTATGTGGCAGATCCATTTTTTACAGTCTACCACCATCTATAGAGATGAGATGCTCGCCAAGCTACAAAGTTGTCCTTCACGACCCACCATGAGAGGCGTTACTACAACCAGTCCCTTAGTAGTCACCAGAAGAGCGTCGGCGAGGCCTAAACCCACCGCCACATCCTTCCATACCGCCGTAGCCTTCCATGCCCCCGTATGGCCCCATACCACCGTGACCCCCGTGACCTCCGGGTCGCCCATACCTGTTCTGCAACATCTCCATCAACTGAAGGACTCGGTTATGGATGTGTGGAGGAGGGAGAGGAAGATGACCACCGCGGCCAGGGCGACGAGGGCCATCCATTTCATACTCATCCTCCTCGTCATCACTATCGTAGCCGTACGGACCAGGCCTACGTCCACCTAGGACACCCAGCTTAGGGAATTCTCCCATGCCAGGACAGCCACCCATGCCGGGTCGAGATGGCATACCAGACCTAGGCCTACAAGGCTCATCGTCATCACTGTCACTATCACTGTCGTAACCTGTAGGACGACGAGGGCCTGAGAATCCTCCCATACCTGGATGAGGCGGCATACCGGGCATCATACCGGGAGGGAAGGGGAACATGCTGTGTCGGCGAGAGCGACTGTAGAGGTTGTGGGGGGACATGTTATCGGCATTGTTGATTGATTCAGGTCGTTGTGTTTTGGTCTCTGGTATTTCTGGGCACTTGAGTTATAATGACTTTCATAAGTTGGTGGACCCCCTCTGTCTAGAAACCATGATGTCATCTATCCATGAAGTTATTCTTTGGGCCAAAGAGCTATATCTCATCATCGTTCCAATTATCAAGGGGGGTCAGCAACTTGTGAAAGTCACCGATACTTCTGGTTGTCCCGTTGATGTTTTGCTGTATTCTGAAGAGTTGAGGGCGGGTTGGAGGTGCTTATATGGGCTGATGGTGTGAATTTGGGATTATGTGATATGGAAAACAGACAGTTGAATTTTTGCGACTGTGACGATCGTGAGTGGAATGTTGTTGTGATTTTGTATACTCAATGGCTGGTGTTTGTACCTCCGTGCTTCACAAATGAATGTCACTCACTGGCGAGGCATTAATACATATTGTATGTATATAAGCGTTTATTTCTCTCCTTTAATAGCCCTACAACACAACAACTAGTCCTGAATTACAGAACAACATCAACGCTGAATCAAAATCCATATTTCGATACAAATCTCCAAACAAATTACAATGTCAGACCACTGGACCATCAACTCCGACTCTATGCACGATCGTGATCTCGACTACGCGGAAATCTTCCGTGAAGCCCCCTACCATGGCAAGCACAGCTGCTGGAACGACGTCCTACGAGCCGCTTCCCGACCTCCTCTACGCAGGGGCGGATGGCGTCCTATCACTTCCCCACCTCCACCAGGCTTTCCCGATTTTAATGAGTTCTACCGGGGGGTTAAGCTAGATATCAATTTCCTCTTCACGCTCCCAGAGTTCTGGCACTGGGATCATCCTCAATTCGGATATGAGGTCGAGCTTCATGACATGGACCTTCTGCATTCTGAGAGGATGTCTTTGATTGATCTCTTCATGAGGGGTCCAGTGAGCCCGCTGTGGTACGACAGGCTGCATGAGGCGGAGAAGGCTCTCAGACGAAGTCATCGTGGAGCGATCCACAAACGTACAGTTCGACGCATCGAGCAATTAGAAGACGACCTTAAGCAAGCTAAGGACGAGGGAGCTGAGGAACAGATCAAACAGATCCAGCGACAGCTCCGGGATTGCCGGGCATCTGAGCTTGCTATCGGTCTTGGTCGCACAGTTCTGGTTAACGTCCTTGAGCCAACTAGATCTCCACACAGTCCCTGTCTTGGGCAGGTCGTCTACATCAACGAGAGACCACGCTCTGCTTCAGACGCTCACCTGCATCATCACTCACTTCGCCTGTCTCGATCGCGAGACACACCAATCCCACCGCGCACAATCCCTGTCCCCAAGCGCGAGCAGACAAAGCCTATCCCCACCAATAACCACTTCACGCCTATTGATATCGCCATCCACCGCCGTCCATCCTCGCGTTACGACAGGACAGAAGCCGAACGCCCATCGACGACCTCTTCTGCTATCAACATTGAAAATTCACGTTTCTTCCACCCACCAGCATTCATTATGTCCTTGCCATCTTTAGATGACATGAAGGAGAAGAGCCAGAGCGTCGGTCTCGATATCAGAGACTTCGTGGAGCATCTCGAAACCGACACCCAGGAGCTGGAGTGGCTGGCGAAGGGCTACAGGAGGAGCTATGAGAGAGTGCGTGCTGAACTCGAAGACACAGATAGATTCGGACTGGGAGGTGCGGATGTGGATGGTACGAAGTGGGAGTTCGAACCTCTTCCGGACTTGGGTGAGGGCACCAGACTGGGAAAGGAGAAGGGAAAGAGGAAGGGGAAGGAGCGCGCTAGGGATGTTTGAAGTGTAGATGAAACATCAGCGTGGAAGGTGTAAGATTGATACAAAAGTGTTGTGGAAGGTGAGAGGAGAAAGGAGGGACTGGGGGTTCATTCGTGTATTCGTGATCATCTTCCATATCTTACATACTCATAGAAGAAAAAGGAAAACGCTATCCAGTCCTTCAAAACCTCCATTCAAACAGTGACACAGGGTCGGAGGGGAGCTTTGCTCTGAATACCCTGCCTGATCAAACCATCCACATCCTCCTTGATGGTGAACACTTGTGACAAGGGTCAAAGAAGAGCCACGCTCTAACAACCCTGCCTAGTCACCACCCCTCCACACTCGTGATCCAGGGTTAAAGGGGAGCTACGCTCAGAAAACCCTGCCTGGCTCATGTTCACATCCACTACAACCTCAGTCCCCTCCTCATCCTCTTGTTCGCATTTCCGTTCCCACCCCCCGCAGCACCGCTCGCAGCGGGCTCCGCCGGTCCACCGTTGGGGTTAGTAACAGCACCCGCAAACCCCAATGCCGAGTTAAACAAATCCGCCGTACTCTTATCCCTGGTTCCAGCAGCCTGGACCTGGGCCTTCGCATCCTCACACGCCGCCTTCGCCGCATTGTTCGCGTCGCACACGTTGGTGAGCTGGTTGCACAACGCATTGGTGATGATGTTGGGGTTCAGGGCTTCTTGCTGACCGCCGCGCGCGAGGGGGTCGGCGATCTGGAATGTGAATTCGTTGGCGGGGCGCCCGTTTTGCCCGCCTTCGAAAATTATGGTCGGTGTGCATTGGCCGAAGTCTGCGCCGGCGGTGGAATTGTCGGCGGCGCTTTGGTTTGCGTTGCCAGCGTCCTGGTTGTTGTTACCGTTATTGTTTCCTGCGTTTTGGTTCTGGTTTTGGTTCTGGTTGGCTTGGTTGTTGCCCGCGTTCTGGTTCGAGTTGTTTGCGTTGCCAGCGTTCTGGTTCGCGCTCTCAGTAGCATTGTTCGCATTTCCGGCATTGCAAGAAGCATTTCCTCCTGCATTGGCGTTCTGATTTGCGTTGCCATTGCCATTTGCCTGCTGGTTGTTGTTGTTCGACTGATTCTGATTTTGGTTCGAGCCTTGGTTGCCGTTCGCCTGCTGGCTGTTGTTGTTGTTGTTGTTGTTGCCGTTACCGTTCGCCTGATTCTGGTTCTGGTTCTGGTTGTTGGCTTGCTGATTGTTACTACCAGCATTTCCACCCGCAGCAGCGTTCGCACCCGCTGCCTGAGAGACCACAAGATCACCTAACCCAGCCTGGCTCATTAGGTCGAACACACTCAACCCATCAGCGGCAAGAGGGTTCGCGGCTGAGCTGGCACTGAGCGCTGCAGCATCACCGTTGATATCTACAGCAGGATCGATCAAGGGAGTGATGCCCCTAAGCTCTGCGGTAGCAGGCAAACTTGGGTCACTGCAGACGTTCTGGACGTTGTTGTTGGCGAAGGGATTGGTATTCTTCTCGGCCGTGACGAGGCCAATGGCTGCGGCAATGGCGTCCGCGCCGCCACCGAGTTCGCTGACGACTTGATCGGCGCGCTGAAGCTGTGAGGATGTGAGCACGTTGTCGTTGCAGAGACATGGAGGAGAGCAGGAGTAGGCGTACCTTTGCGCAAGAGTTGGCTCCGCCGAGAAGATCACTGATAGCAGCGCCTGCAACTGTAGCAGCAGCTCCAGGATCACCACCTTGGACTGCAGAGATTGCCTGGATGGGGACCTGTTCCTGGCCGAAGCGGGCCCCAACGTGGGCGATGAGCGCCGTGATCAAGAGAGCCTTGGAGATCATGACGTCGTGTGTAGTGGTGCGTTGTAGTAGTAGTGAATGTATAAGGTATAGTGTTTAGCAATAATGAGCGTGAGACTAGCTCTTGGGTCGTAATAAGGGCCAGCCGGTGGCGGTAGAATAAGAATAAAAAAAAGAATGTGAAGCGCGAAGAAAAGACTGCTGCCGCTGTCTGCGAGTTGTGGTTGCTGGATTGTCAATGTAGAGAGGTAGTTCGGAGGCTTTATACTTCGAGGCAATTCATAGACCACCTTAACCAGGCGCCAGGTCTCGAGCATGACAACACATCGTCTCGAACCTCTATTCAGCCTGTTTAACCGCCTGTCGAGACCGGTAAAGCACTCAAAATATCGAAGCAGGATGTTCAGTCAAGCGTTCATGCCGAGCCGTAATGCGTTCTGGAGTGTTGCGGAACGTTTGATTTTCAGGCTGTGACTGAGGAAGTGTCCATTTCGAGAAGTCGTGCGGGGCATCGTAGGGCTGATGTTGGGGTGTTGTGCCTGCCTCAGTCAGTATGCGTTGCAGTGGGGTTTCATGAGGCAACATGACACCTGTAGCCGCCTTTGCAGCGAACACCACATCAATGCGTTTCTTTCGTCAACGAATACTATACAGCTGGTTAATACGAGTGTTCTCGACGAAATTGAGGGCGGAAACACGATGCAAAGCTGGAACGCGTGATTTCGAAGATTGCGTGCTGGTATTGGAAATGGAAAGGCGGGCACGGTCGCCGCGCGCCGAAAGATCTATGCTGGCTAGCACCAGAAAATGCCCAAGAAAGTGTATGCAGAGAGTAGGGGATTGTTCGAAACGCCGTGGGATCGATGGATGGAAAGATCCAGATCCATGCAACAAACTACAACCTATCCAGCTTCCTTCGCAGCAGACGCGTCCTCTTCATGAGCTTCTTGTACTTGTGCTTCTTCATCTTAAGCTTCCTCTGCCTCTTGACACTGATCAAGAGCATGCCGCTTCGCCTCCTCCTGACGTGCTCACGGAAGGTCTTCGAGCGACCGGTGTGGGTAGTGGGGAGGGTAATCTCGCATGCCTCCTCGGTCGCTAATGGGTCGAAAGGTACGGGCGCAGGCGGCGGCCTGAAGGCGTAGCTCTCCAGAGATTCTGGCTGTGCTGGTGCGAAGCTGTCGAGGTGGTAGATCTCCTCGGCGGCTTCCTCGAAGGCATCCATAGCCTCGTACTGGTCGGCCGAGGCCTGAACACGATGAATGAATTCGGCCAAAGTCTTGTGGGTGTTCACGATGATCTCGGACTCGTTGCGCCTCTGCGGCTGGAAGATAGCTTCGAACTGCTCCATGGAAGCCGCGACCGGCACAGACTGTTCAGCGGCTGGGCTGATCGAGATGGGTCGGTGTTGCGAGAAGAGGGTGGAGAGAACAAGGTCTGTAGTTTGTCAGCGTATGTGTTCTAAAATTAAACATCTTTAACGGCGTACGGTGCTCCATGAGGTGATCTGTTGGCTTCACATAAGGGATGTTGCGTGCTGCAGTTGCCGGCGCAGATGTACTGGAGACCTTGAGCTTGCTGCTCCTGCTCGACCTCTTCTCTGATGTCTTCAGCTCTTCCGCGGCATTCTCGGTCGGCCTCTTCGAGTTGTCTGGAGGTGTAGAAGGCTTTGAGGACGATAGGCGCCGTTGATGGCTCGGTCTAAAAGGCTGTTGCGCGGTGCTTATCGCAGCGCGACCGACAGAACTGGTCGGCACAGCGGTGATGGCGCTGGTTGAGCGAAAGGCTCTCCCAAGCGCAGGAGAGAACATGGCCAGCTGTGGAGGGGTGCTTGTGGTGGTGATAGAGGTTGACTGGTTGGCTGCGGCTCAATCCTGCTGCAGCGCCGTCACGCTTTGCCGCTAAGGACGCTCGGACCGAGCTTTCCACGAGGCGGGCGACTTCGGGAGAGAGCTCAACACTAAATGATGACGCTGCGCGCAGATACAGCAGGACACAACACAAAGCACTCTCACATCTAGCTATATAACATCTCGTGTAGCTAGATTTGATCAGCAATCAAAAAATTTGCTTCCTTTCACGTTCAAACAGCTTTTGTAAATACACTGGATGGCAGATAAATCGCAGAAGATCCCGCCCGCTAATGCCAGAGAAATGCAATCATGAGGCCCGAATGACCATACGCCAAGAGTGGAGAACACTTCTTTGAGGCCGTAGCTTCTTGTCCGCTTGCAGGCGTGCACACCATCAGTGACACTAAGTCCTCTTGTTCCTACTCCAGGGCGCCCACTTTCGTGGTTTCGCTGGTGCTGGTGCTGGTGCCGTTCCGCTTGCCCGCCTGCTCTTACGGCTCTGATCGATGAATTACGTCGTCAAGATCGTCTTAACACAAGGAGAAAATAAGTTACGCAGTCGAGATATCGTGGGTATAATGTTGGAATGAGGTGCTGAAGTCGCTTGGCAATGCTGGCTGACGCTGCTAAGAGGCCAACTAGCTCCGAAAGCCATTTCGTGATGCGTGTACTGTAACTTTGCGGTGACTTTCGGCGGCGCTTGGTAGAGGTACAGCTGAAGCTGACTCGACACAGCAGGGTCTGTCGATGGAATAGCCTGCTTGATTCGCCGAATCAGAGTATCAAGGCGTTCAAGTTGCGCTGGACGATCATATCCTGGACTGAGGCCATTGTCTTCTTCAACAGATCCGTATCTGTCGCGTTGGTGTAGTGAACGTAGACCTCCTTCTTCGGCTGCCGTACCAGGTTGCGGAACTTGTTGGCGAAGAACTCCTGGCCTGCCTCTATATCATTGGGGCCTCCGGTGTAATCTGGGAAGACTTTGTTGATCGGACTCATACCACCCGCAATCTTCTCGCGAAATAGATCGATCTTGTTAAGGAAGAGGATAAGAGCTGACTTCTCGAAGTATTTCGAATTCGATATCGACTCGAAGAGCATCAGTGCCTCGTGCATTTGGTTCTGTCACCATGTTAGCAGAGAGATGGCAGCGTTTCAATATCGCGCTTACCCCATTCCTGTCTTCCACCAGAACATGATCATAACCACTGATGGCCACCAGGAAGAGCACGACTTGTACGTTATCAAACACGTGTATCCACTTCTTTCGCTCTGATCGTTGACCACCAACATCGACCATCTTATATGTGAGGTTGCCCAGCTCGAAGATCGTCTCGGAGATACCGGTTGTTCGTAGTCGTGTGCGCAGGATATCCTGGTCTGTAGGGAGGAAGTCTTTCATGAATAGGCGGTCGATGTCTTGGAAGAAGCTAACGTTGTGTTAGCCATTGCCTGGGGGTCTGAGTCGTTTTTTTAACTTACTAGCTCAGGTTGTCGTGCAGCGCATATTGGTTGCCCTTCAGAATGGTCAACTGCACGCCCTTGTCGGCCCACAGGGCGTTGAAGGCATGCAGGAAGTCCTCAGGCATGGGCTCTTCGGTGCCAATATCTGGTGCAGAGTTGACCATCTCAGAGTAACGCTGTAGACACCGAAGTCAGTACATCTGAAGCATGAGCAGTTGAGAGTGCGCATATTGACTTACAATACACTCCTCATCTTCGAAGTCTGTGTCGTCCTCTTGCATCGCCGCGTAGATGGTCTGAAACGCAGACACCAAGTTGTTGAAGATGGTCGCACGCCATGTCTGGCGCTCGTGCTTTCCAAATCCACCAGCGTTGATGATGCGCATCTGCTTCAGCACTGTCGACTTTCCAGATTCACCGGCACCTGCGTCGCGGCTCAGTAAACTTTTCTCGCGCCTTCAGCTGTGTTGCATCATACCGAGCAGCAGGAGCTTCACCTCGCGCTCCGCCTTCTTCCTGTCCAGGCGGAGGTTCTTCTCGATATCCTCATTTTTCTTGGACTTGGGGTCGACGGGTTTCCTTCCAAAACACATTATCGCAGGTGCCATGTAACGCACTCAGATGAAGTCAGGGAGCAGCAGCAGGGCGGCCGGGGAGGTGTTGCGGTCCACTAAGTATGGGCTGCACGCATGCAGTAGTGTCGAAGCTTAGAACAAGGACCACTTCTAGACGTGGATCCAGGGTCTAACGTGCAATTGAGCCAGCGGCGGACGGTACCAGAGGCTGAAGGGGTGGAGCACAAACGCTGGACAGGGTGCACGCGATTGGCGGCGGGCGCAGCTAAAGACCTAGGGAGAATGAATGCGGGGAGAGCAGCAGAGGATGGAGGACGAAGAAGAGGCACAGCAGCAAGATAACGAGCGAGCGAGCGTGCTGCAGGTTGTAAGTAGTCGACAATACTAAAAAGCTACAGCCCTTGGGGTGGAAAGACTCTGGGCGGGCCGTCCAGGAAGAGGAGAGTTGCACGCAAAAGCTGCGAATTCGTTAGGGCGGCTCCCGACGATATCCCTGGTGTGCAGCAGGCAAGCTGGGGGAAAGCCAGCCGCAAAGTGAACAGCGTGAAAGTACCGCACAGGCTAGTGCTGCGAACCTTGCAGGGTCGCAGGAGCTGTGCTCAGGATGCAACGGCAGATTAATAAAATGTCTCTTGCGCGCCCACGCAGCTCGCACTGTTCTGGACACGATCTGCAGCTGCCCATGCCCAAGACAGCGCAGAAAACGTGATGGTCACCGACAAAACCACGAGGAGACACGGGAGCCCAAAGGGACAAAGAGGGCGCGCGGAGTCGGCAGCAGCTTCCATCGGACAAAGAGCATTAGTCTATACTGTTCCGCTGCTGTCATTCGCTGCTGTTTGCAGGTAACCCCGATCCACATGCTCCTTCTGCAAAGCGTGCGAAAACCGGCGTTAAGGATCTGGGATTTTTAATGCTGCTCCCAAGCCGCTTTCGCCGCCTGCCCCTGCCATCGTCCCCTGCATGTCGTGTGGTTTCACTGGGCCCGAGTCGTGCAACCTTCCAGCAAACGGAGATTGCTCGAATGTCACACTGGAAAGCGCAGCCACGCACAGATCCTCCCTTGCCTCCACCCTCCACACGCGATCTGTCTGTACCGCTGTGCAATTTAGATCACGAACTCCAGATCACGAAGCATTGCGGCGACAGCAAGCGATCTCGCGCTACATCAATTACATTTCAAGGCTCAGTTTCAGAGTAGACCCACTTCTGTCAGCCAAGTCCTCGGCTCTTCCCGGTGCCAGCCACACTTCAGCATCGGCTTGCTAACAACAGCAAGAGATGTCTTTAATGGCTGCAGCCTCTCTTTGAAGTATTGACGGTTAATGTGTAATTGCTTCTTCCTCCCGAATGGGCACTTGACACCTCCAAAATGACGGCTCCAGACCCGTCGTTCCCGTCGACGTTGAAGACTGCATCTCGACAAGTTCACGTCAAACGGCCACATCCCATCGATGGCGCATGAACACAAATGACTGCCGAAGGGACGATTGATGTACCATGCGATATGGAACACCTAGCACGCAGCCCTAGTCGCCAACCAACCTTCATCTTCGCTGACGATCAAGCCTGGAGCACCGCGCGGGAATCTGTACAAAGGATCCGTCACATTCTCCTCGGTCTCATTTTCAGGCTTCGGTGCTATTGCACTCCTTCCAGCGAATACGAGAACGTGGACGCTCCACGCCAAACTCCACTTCACCTGCACCCTCCGACCCGTTTCCTCGGTTTCGACAGACAAGTGGCGTTCGAGGCGATATTTGCTTTTTCTCTTGCATCCTTTTTGCAGTCCAGTCTTGGACTATGTCTCAATGCGCGAGTATCTGCTGGCTGTTCTTGTGTGCTTGCTTTTGCCGCCTCTTACCGCGGTAAATTGCGTGTAAGGTCCGCCAACGGCGATTCGTCATGTGTTGAGCGACGCGCAGCTTGCTGACGAAGAATGGTATAAGCGAGGTAAGCTGAGGACGACTCACTCCGTAGCTGAGCACTCGCTCGAACACTCGAAGCCCGGAACCAAATGTGTTGTCGAGTGTGTAGACCGTAGACTCGTTCGTGGTGCTCCACTCTTTTCGCATACTCACTACACTCAATTACGTGTATCGAGCAGCAATGCTACGCCTGGCCAAAACATGTTCACGTCTTCTTAATTGCAGAGACCCTTTTCCTGCACGCGTAAGTGCCAAATCTCTTCTCGTTAGTAGCCAGCTCGTCTCAGCACAACTTTCAGCGCGAAGTCTATCGAATGTCTCAAAGTCGTCCTCGCCTGTCCGAGCAGTAGTTGCGACCCTCACCTTCAACCATTCGATTTGTGCTTGAACTCTCTTGCATCCCGTCATTAGTATCTTAATCATCAATCACTCTCTGCATTGATGGCCGGTGCTTCTTCATCGGCATTTATCTCTACAGCCCTGTGTCTCAACTTTAGCACCCAACCAGGGCTAATGGGATTATCTCGTCAGAATCACGTACCTTGCACTGGTGTACTCGAACCTGTATGTACATGGCTCAATGCACAAGAGTAGGCATATGTGAGTCTGCGATCACGTCCGGGAACAATGAGCTGCGACGCCCTTCAAAGTGCATGTGAGTGTGCGTGGAGCTCACTTCACCATCATCGACTTTGGAGCTATACAAGCAGCTCTAGCAAGTTCTCTGCAGGTCCGCGGGCTGTCGGCACCTCGTTGCTGTCGCTGTTGCCCTGGTAGTCCGCGTGACTGCCCTTTTTCATGCCAAGAGCTTGCTCTCTCACCTACAACAACATCAAGCCAACACCGCACGGCCGCTCAATGTTGCAAATATCTTGGTCAGTCTTTCGCTCTCACCAGACAGTAAAATAGTCTTGCTAACTCACCGCCAGGACCCTGTGTATCGAGGCTCCCACAAAATTTGCTCACCGAAGGTACTGAACACTCCAGAGCACTCTACCTTTCTAAGTGTTCACCGTAGATCATTTACTGACACGCAGCCAGCCAACGTCCGCAGCAATGGCACCGCTAGCTATGGCATCTCCCACCTACGAGGGTCCAAAGGCGCTCGGCTTCTCAAAGTACGCCAGCCCCGCTCAGAGGAAGACACAGCTTGCGGCAGCATCTGAGGTACGCATCTCTGCTCCTTCCACTCCAGAAACCACTGTCGCGACCAAGCAGCAGATTGCCGCCATGGGGTCCACACTCGAGGCGACACCGCTAGCTGCGGAGCTTGCCGTCGAGCAGGGCGCAGCCTTGAAGAAGCAGGTCGATGAGCACAATACCAAGTTTTCCAGAGCAGTGTCTAGCGCCGTCACGAATACTCATCAGCTGTTGGGCCTCCTTCGTGAGTCCACACCTGGCTCAGAAGTGGTCGACAACCTTTGGCAGGAGCTCGAACAGTTGTTCGAAGCCGCAAACAACGCCAAAGCCGCTCTGCCAGAGTTCATAGAGAAGCAGCGTGACAATATGAGCCTCTACCATTCGTCAATGATGAACGAGACCATCCGTGAGACTCAAGAAGAGCTGAATCTCCAACACAAGAAGGTCAACACACAGCACTGCCTGATTCTTGAGCAGCAGGATGCCTTCCAGCACTACAAGGCGCAGACTAGCTCGAAACTTAAGGAGCTGGAGGGCCTCCAAGAGCGTGTCTCACGGCTTACGCTCGAGAAGGGTAACTTTCGATCCGAGGTCGATAAGTATAAGGAGCTTTTGGAGCAGGAGACCGCGAGAAAAGCTGAAGATCTTAAGACCGCCGATGCCTTGCAGAAGGAGCTTGAGATGCTCGTGACTTCAAAGAAGAACCTGCAGGCGGAGAATGAGACTCTTCGCAAGACGACCACTGACGTGCTCGAGCAGTTGAAGAACACCGAGCACAGGGTGACCGATCGTTTCACCAAAGAGCTTCAGGCCAAGGTGGAGGAGCTGCAGAAAGAGACAGACAAGATGACCTCGCTCAACACGCTAGTAAACACCTTGAAGATTGGAGAGAGTACCGCCAAGAAGGAGCTCGAGAAGCTCAAGACGGAGAACCGTCACCTCAGTGACAAGTACACCAAGCAAGCCTCAGAGCATGCGGCGGCATTCACGGTATGCCGCATCAGGATCCTTGCAAATGTAGACACGATACTGACAACGTGTTACAGAGGATGAATGATCAGACCAAGAAGATGGAAACACTCACCGCTGACGTCGACCGTCTTCAGAAGCAGGACGCCGATCTGCAAGCCAGGGTAGAGAAAGCTGCCGAGCTTGCGAAGGCAAACACAGAACTGTCAAAAGCCAAGAAGGATCTGATCAAGCAGTTGGACAGCTTTGCTTCGCAACTCAACAACGCCAAAGATGATGCAAAGGCCGCGCAGAGTGAAGTGCAGATGCTCAAGGCCAAGCTCGCCCCCAAGGATGCCACACCAGTTGTCAGCAACGAAAAAGCTCTTCTGGAGAAGGTCAAGGGGCTTGAGGAGAAGAAGAACACTCTGGAGGCTGAACTCGCAGACTGGACTAAGTTGGCCAAGGTATGCTTGTTCTTCACATACTTAGTTCCATGGGTACTGACAACCTCCAGCGCGCTTACAAGGAGTACAAGGACATGCTGCCCACATACAAGGAGGCCGAGAAGCACCGACAAGATGCTCGCGAGAAGGAACTACAGATCACCGACCTCAAGCACCAGCTCGCTGCTGCCAAAGCCTCTCAGTCCAACGGTGTGGGCGCTGCTGGTGTGGACACTGCCTACTGGAAGCAGAAGTACGAGACGCTCTTGTCGACCATTGGCTAGGCTCCTTTACACGACAAGATACCGGACGCTTTCGAAGTAGTGGCTGAGAAGGAGAAAATCACAGCATGGAAAGCGATCTTGACACTAAAGTATAGATGATAATGACTGTATGGAAAGGAGATAGTTTCTCATGCCACTTAAAGACACGTGAACATATTATCGAAATCAACCCGCACGCTGCACCTCGACCCGATGCCATCCCATATTGCTTTATTTGATACTCCTCACCAACTCCCTCAGGTCACCACCCTCAACCCACTTCTCCTCTCCACCACCACCAACGCCCAGTCCACCTCCGGCTCCTCCCCCACCAGCACCCCAGCCCTCTCCCACCTCGCCAACAATACGTGCAGGCTGCCCACCCACTACCGACCCAGAAGCAATGACCATGTTCGTGGGCACCACGGCGTGAGGCAAAATTTTGACGTTTTCTTTAATGATGGCGAAGGGTTGGATAGTAACATTGGCGCCGATGTGGACGTGTGATGAGATGGAGATGGCGGATATGGTGCTGTTTGGTCCTATAGAACGGTCAGCTTCCCAAGCATAACGCACAAATGCGCGAACCATCAAAGAGGTGTGACGGAGCATGTACCGACAAACACATTATCCCCGATCTTCATGGGATAGTAATGCACCTGCCCTCTACTTATCCTCGCTGGGGGCTTGATCACGCTGCCTGTCGAGATGACTGTACATCGGCCGATGTTGATACTGATAGGTGTTGTTTCGCGTCCAGATTGTGAGGGTGCGGATCTTGTGGGATGTAAATCGCCTCGCAGCTGGACGTCGGCCATTATGACGGTGCGTCCGCCGAGAGTGATGTTGGCGGTTCCGGTTATGGCGGCGCGCCGGGAGACTTTGTTTCCTGAGTCCTGAGATGGGGTTAGAGATCGTCACTGGAGGTACTGATTCACGAGCGTAGACTTTGAACGGGAAGGAGAACGCAGGTAGTTCGTGACAACGAACACATTGAGACGTCAAGTCATAACTTGGAAATGACAGGGCAACATAACATGTTCCAAGACCTTTGCAGCTGACACGATTTGCAAGGTAAACATCAAACGGAGCTATTCACTCACTGTCTCGATGTACTCGCCTTTCGGCGCTGCCTTCCTTGCAGCAGGTCGTGACATTGTGTTTGTGAAGTCTATACACGCGCTGGCACCCTATAAGATTGATTCTGCTGCGTTTCGCAGATTTAGCGATTCGATGTTGTTGAGTGTAAAAGTGACGGTGAAGTGAAGGTCTAGGCGCGACCAATGAACGCGTGAGCACGTGCGTAGCTTCGACTGCTGAACGCTGTCGCTAGGCGATCCAGCATCAGCGGTGCATCAAATTCAAAAGTTGAAACTGAAGTGCAGATAGGTTGTCGCTTTATGATGATGTGCAGCTATCAAACTAGTCCGAAATTGTATGATTCAGTCCTTCCAGATTCAATAGCTCTTTCTGCATCAGGCCCTGAATTGTAGGGGTCTTGCGAACCATGCACTGCAGCCGCATTGCGGCACATACAACGTGGACTCCATCATGGAAGGAATGATGGGTTCGCGCGTGTTGTGGAAGATTTTGCGTGGTGTTGAGGGGCACGCTGGAAAAGTGACGCGGGGCAGCAGCGTCCATCATCAAGGTGTACACGAAAATTCCAGACATCTACACCACATCTATCAATACACGCGCATACGCCTGAATAGCAGTCATCTCGCCAGTTCCGTATACCAGAATTATTCACGCACCCCTACACGTCAAGAGAAGCGCCCACAATGACAGAGCCCGCTCCTGTCCCCGCAATCTCTCCTCCACCGAACCCACCTACAGACCGACCACTCCACACACTTCCACCGCCCTTCTCACAAGATGCGCTTACACCGATAACCCAAGGCGCCGAAGCACTTGTTTATAAAACCAGCTTCCTCACACCCTCAACGCCCGCTGTCGTAAAATACCGCCCACCCAAGCCGTACCGACATCCCAACCTCGACAAGCGCCTCACAAAGTCGCGCCTTCTTGCCGAAGCTAGGAGCTTAGTACGCGTGAAGCGTGAAGGTGTGAATGTGCCTGGTGTGCTAGGTTGCGACGCCGATGCTGGGTGGCTGGTGCTGGAGTACGTGAATGGGCGGACGATACGGAGAGTCCTGGATTCGTGGGCTGAGGAGGCCAAGGAGCAAGAGAAGCGGGTGTTTACTGAGGGCGGCGATGTGCGACAACTAGCGCGTGCGGGAGGGGTTGAGAAGGATGAGATTATGGACTTGATGGGAAGGGTAGGAAGGGAAGTTGGCAAGCTGCACGAGCTGGGAGTCTGTCATGGGGATCTCACAACGAGCAATCTGATGTTGAGAGTCCCAGATGAAGAAAAGAGTGAAAGCACGAGACCGGCAGGGAGGATGACAACGAGTGCTATGCGCGAGGCGGCGATGAACGGAGAGGAGCCTCCGCCGCTGGAGATACCTCAGGAAGAGCCTACAGCCCCCGCGCACCAGTCGCTGGCTGGCGAGATCTACCTCATCGACTTTGGTCTGACATCTTCGACGATCCAAGATGAGGACCGTGCAGTTGACCTGTACGTTCTCGAACGCGCCTTTTCGGCCACGCATCCTGCTGCCGAACCTCTGTTCCACGAAGTACTGGAGGAATACGGCAAGAGCTACAAGGGCGCTAAAAGCGTATTGAAGAGGCTGGAAGGTGTGAGGTTGAGGGGTCGCAAGAGGAGTATGTTGGGCTAGAAGAAATGTTGAAGACCTATTATACCCAATCATCACTACGAGATTCACGACATTCGAACATCAGCGGAGGGCCCAATCAGCAAGCTGTCTTACGTATCTGCTGCAAAGATTCCCGAACGTCCCGTCTTCACCTTCGTGTGGCCAAGCTATTGTTCCCCTAGTATCCGCTTTCACCTCGCCTACCCAGTCGCCGTGTCAAACGAAGAACAATGGTAGCAGCACCAGAGGCAGATACTCTAGACGACAATGGCAGTCTGTAACAATATCACAAGGCCGTCGGTAGATGTCAGGCTCGATATAAATTACAGCAGTCTCGACTTCGATCCCGTATACCAAAACCCAGCATCTCATTACACTCTCGAACCCACACATCTCAAAGTACGTACATCGACATCTCGCTCGATCCCAACCGATCGTACGCATTCCAAGAAATTTCAGAACTCATCTTTCACGAACATACGCCATGGCACAACTCCCAGAACCAACCACCGTCCTCGCCGCGGTCTTTTCTTTACGCACGTCTACGACCACAGCTACAGGACCAGCCACGACATCTTTGAGCACTATGTCCACTCCTCTCACGTCCCTCGAGCACATTCACAGCTCCGTCGAAAACCACGTTCAAGCGATGTCCGCAACGACAACGACCTCTTCACCGACCTTAGAGTGCACCGCTCTCGAACCCGCAACTTCCACTGACTCGCAAGATGGGCACGATAAGGCTGTAAGAACAAACACGTGGAAAGTCAAGTCTGCACGAATCGGGTTGTCGGTACAAGCACCTACGGTGGCGATCGTGGGAGGGAGTACAAACAATATACGTGGTGTGCAGTGTGTTGTTATGTGAGGACGTGGTGGAAGAGCGCTGGTCGCTTGAAGTTGGCGTGCTGAGGGGATGGGTCAGATGTAAGTACGAAACTTTGTGGATTTCTCTGCCCATGCTAATGCTCAGCAGATTTCGTTGGCGAAACAGCAGCAAGATTGCGTCGCATTTCATATGTATGAACATATGAGCATACTATATGACCACGGCGACCTCTTTCATTTGATGCGTCGACTGGTTAATATGTGCCATTCACTGCTTATATCCATCAAGTCACTCACATCACATGCGCATATCTGTTCATTCACAACGTCATGCACTTCACTACCCACTCTCTCTTCTTATATCCTCCAATCGCCTCCTTCTTCCAGCCACACAATTGACCGCACAGACCCTTTCCATGTCCAAACTAACGACGCCTACCAATTCACCACTGACCACACTTCTATCCGTTACAGGCATCGGCAGCGGCTCAACATGGGGTGCTCTGACCACGACTTCGACTCTAGCCGAATCTGATAAGAATTCTTCGGCATGCTCGTCGCCGTCAGAACCTTCATCCTCTTCATTACCCGCATCATTCAGATCACTGACTTATGAAGACCCTGGAGCATTCAGTGATGATGAGTACGAGGATGAGGTAGAGTCGTCTGTATTGTCACCGGCATCTGATGCATCGGTGCTCTCTGGTGCGCGAAAAGGCAAGGTGTTGAATCCTGGAGCTCGAAGCTTCGTACCTGGTAAGGCTACGTACGGGCCTTGAGATCTTTCAAAGTTTGCAGTGGGATGTTTGGAGTGTCTGCAGCTTTTTCGAAAAAAAAAACGGAAGGTTTAATTGATTACTATAATGACTTAAGGAAACATGAATTGACGAGAACTCCGTAACACAGACTGCCCGAAAGTTCAAAAACATTGCAGGTGAAATGTGACTTGTGGTTTGACGCAAAGGCTATGAAGGTGGAAGACGTTTTCAGTGTTTGCCACATTATCTAGAGGTCACTATGTTCTGGACACCTTTTTGAAGCTCCTTACTTTCTGTTGATGGGTGCCAAACCTTTCCACAACAGGCAGTCAAAGCCACCAGCTTCATTTCGGCAGATAGAGCCTCCAAAACCTCAGAAGGCTGTTTTTTTTTACAAGTACAAGCTAGTAAAAAACTTCTCGACGCAAGTGCCTTTAAGAATAACAAAATCAGGACACAACAAACTCACGTTGTTGAGACACAGCAGGGAGGCCCAAAGAGGCAGGTATAGCCTCCATTACCTATTCGGGCCATCCGGCAACGCGGGGAGAGCTCCTAGCTACCCCTCACGCTCCTGTCAACAACCCCACTCAAGCTGTTGACGGGTCAGGCACAGTCGGACTTGCTCCGCATGGATACGCGAAGGAGTCTGGATCGTTTGGTCGAGGGATCGGTGATGTGCACAGATCAATTGAAGATGTCCTGATTCCTCAACTCTCCTTTGACGTCTCCTTGAGAACTTACTTGACTTCAATTGAACTGGATTGAGTGGAGAGCAGCAAGAGCAATATAAACGTCAAGATGTCATGTACGAAACTACCTTTACGCCATCCAGCAGCGCGCATGAGTTTAATACTGAGCACACCCAGCAAAACACTTCATCCACGACCCAACCCACCTCGTCAAGACCGCACTCCTTTCGATCCCCCGCACGAATCCCTCTGTCCGGTGCGACATCGAAAATAAGATCATATACACCAAAAATGCCAAATCGCAGGTACTTACACATCTCACACTCTCACACTCTCGTAATAAATCTGGCCTGCAACTAACACCCCCAGGTCTCCATTGTCTCCGGCGGCGGCTCCGGCCACGAACCCTCCTTCTCATCCTTTGTCGGTCCCGGCCTTCTCTCCGGCGCTGTGGCCGGCACAATCTTCGCCTCGCCCTCCGCCGAACAAGTGCGCCGATGCATTCTGCACCGCGTGAGTAAGGAGAAAGGTGTATTGGTTGTGGTGATGAACTATACGGGGGACGTGCTGAATTTTGGAATGGCAGTTGAGAAGGCCAGGGCCGCAGGGATAGAAGTCGATATGGTTGTTGTGGGGGATGATGCTGGCGTGGGGAGGGCGAAGGGTGGGAAGGTGGGGAGGAGGGGGATTGCGGGGACGGTGCTTGTGCAGAAAGTTGCTGGTGCGTTGGCAGCGAGAGGGTATGTATTGTCTTTTGAAGGTTGGGGAGGAGAGGGCTCACAGTGTGTAGGGCGAGTTTGAAGGATGTTACCAGGGTCGCGCAGGTTGTTGCTGATAACACTGTCTCGATTGGGAGTTCGTTATCGCACGTCCATGTTCCCGGGCGCAGGGAGCCTGAGGATGACGAGCTGAAAGAGGGTGAGGTTGAAATTGGCATGGGTATCCATAACGAGGCTGGGTCTGAGCGGAAGTCGACTGATCTGCCAGGGCTGGTAAAGACGATGCTGGAGCATTGCTTGAACACCGCAGATCACGACCGCAGCTTCTCTAGCATCAACGAGAAAGACGAGGTCGTGCTCCTAGTCAACAATCTCGGTGGTGTGAGCCCACTGGAACTGGGAGGTATCACGAACGAAGTTGTCGAGCAGCTGGAGGGTAGCTTTAAGATCAAGCCCGTCAGGATACTATCAGGAACGTTCATGACGAGTCTGAACGGTCTGGGATTCAGCATCAGTTTACTAAAGGTATCTGATATGCATCTCGGCGGTGGTCCTTCGCTCCTAGAGTTGCTAGATGCACCTGCTGAGGCGAGTGGCTGGTCTGCAGCCATTAGCAGCGGCACCTGGCAAAAGCGAGGACAGGCAGCAGAAGAGGAAAAGCAAACAGATGCTGAGGAGATCCAGCCAAGCACTTTGAGGGGTACGTTACACGGGCAGATGTCTGAGTTGCGCAGTGCTAACCATTCGTCAGTTGACCCTAAACAAGCTCAGTCAGCATTGAAGACTGCACTAGAAAGACTCATCTCGGTTGAGCCGGACGTCACAAAGTATGACACAATAGTTGGCGACGGAGATTGCGGCATTGGCTTGAAGCGTGGCGCGGAGTGTGAGTTGCCCATCACGTGGTCTGTTGCCTAGACTGACACAGGACAGCGATTCTCAAGATGCTGGAAACAGCAAAGAGCACCGACGATGTCCTGCTCCTCCTCAACAACATCATCCAGGTGGTCGAGGTGTCCATGGACGGAACTTCTGGTGCCATTTATGCCATCTTTTTGAATGCGCTCGCCCACGGACTGCGACAAAATGCGCCCTCGTCCCCGGGACCAGTCACTCCCGAGATCTGGGCCAAAGCCCTTGATTCATCCCTCAAAGCGCTTGGCAAATACACACCTGCTCAGCCCGGAGATCGAACATTGATCGACGCGTTACATCCTTTTGTCCAAACGTTGTCGAGGACTGGAAGTATCGACGAGGCTGCTGCAGCCGCACAGACGGGCGCGCAGGGTACGAAGGGCATGAAAGCGAGCTTAGGCAGAACCGTGTACGTTGGAGGCCAAGGGTTCCAGGAGGTTCCAGATCCTGGTGCTCATGGTCTCGCTGAACTACTGTTGGGCCTGAGTGAGGGACTGAAGAAGTGAAGGTGGAGGGTATCGCTTGATTGATTCGTTCGGTGGTGCTCGCTGGCGGTGCGATCGATATGTAACTTTCAATGCATTCCAAACTCCAAGATCGTGATCGATGTCGTATCCCAGATCTGCCACCGCCGTGCTCCCCATACGCTTAAGACAACAGAACGAGAATGACTGAGTCGCCACGAAGAAACCTGCAAAAGTGAGCAGCCAGCAGAACAAAGAATGGAGTGTGTCATACAGCTTCGAAATGAAACGGTCCTTGTTGACCTTCCTTCCCTGGGCGCCGTTCGCTAGCCGCGGGGTCTCAGTCCACATTTCCTTTGCATTTTCGAGAACCATGTTGCAGTGACGGTCGAAGGCCTTAACGCGGGCCAGAATCTTTCGGTTGTTCCGGCAGGAGATCAGGACTTGTGTGCGCGAGCGAACGGCGGTCTGGAGGATGGAGAGGGGTCCGGTGGTGAGCTCGTGCTCCTCGACTTGGGCGACTTCATACTCGCTGCACACATGTCAGTGTCTCATGCACGTGTTCAGGGCGCAGAATATACACACGTCAGTTCTGACCGCGGCTTCGACAGAAGCTCCCTGTGATGGATTAGCACATGCAGGTTGATGGGGGAGGGGCTACACGCACTGAATCTTTGCGTCAACCATCCTGTCGGACTATGAGGTTTGTCTGAGGGTATGCGATGTATAAGCGACGACCGGATCTTGAAGTATGTTAGCAGGTGCTGTTGCAGCTGCTGCTCGCAAAGGAGGGCCGTGTGCCGGCCGCAGAGGTGTCGCAAAGACCTGAAGCCCAGCGCACGTGACGCACAGACGGGACGGGAGGGACTGACCAGCTATACAAGAGCAGGATACCACGGCAACGCGCTTGGATGGAGTCGTTTCGGCGGTTGTAGGCGTCAGGCAAGAAGTTGAAGTCAGCTAGCTTCGACGCCAAGACAATAGTGGGGACCTTTGTCAGCCCTGCGCACCAATCAACGCGTCGCACCTCACCGCGCTTGTGCTTCTCTTTGAGGAACCACCACATCGTCATTGCGACGCCGTCACGCCCTCAGTCTCTGTCTCTACGCGTGAAGCTGCCTGCTGGAGCTTCTACTGCACCTGAAAATATGCCAAGGCCTCCACGGAACCTTTTATGACATCACTATCCGGTCTTCGAGAGCTTTATTCGCGTCGCGCGGTTCACGTCGCGTGCTCGAGCGATGATCGCCCAACCTCGCGTTCTCTAGTGTGGATCCCGCGATCCCGATTTCCACCCCTTCATAACGCGACCTCGACCTCGACCTCGACCCCTCGCCTTCTCCACAGCACGGCCAGCCTGCCCTCGGTCAACTCGTAGGCAGCCATGGCGACTCCATCCACCATGGCCGTGGGGAACGGTGCGCTGCAGCAGACGCCGGCGTCGCCTGCTGCCAACGACGACGGCAACACGGGCGATATACCGCGTCGTCCAATGCGAGGCAAGCATGTCTAGCACCGCTGATGGCTTCTGTCTAACCAAAGGGACCCTATAGTGAAGGTGCTTTACACGTTCGACGATCAGAACAAATCAAACTGCCTGGCACGTCTGCCAAATGCCCTCAGCATCCCTGTCGTTTCTCTTGACGAGGACACCCAGGTTGGTGTCATTGAGCTCAAGACATGCATTCAAGCCATCGTCGCTGCTAGGTATGCTTCTCAGACGGTGTGCTAGCGCTTCGTCGATCAGTACTCACCGCCATAGTCCCGAACTCACTGCCAGACTGGGCCACGACTACACCGTGTATGCATACGACTTCTCCGAGTACGAAACGCCCCTAGTCGGCCAAGGCATGCTCTCATGGATCCTCGCCTCCGCTTCAGCCACCCCCAACGCTCCCGCTGAGGACTCGCAAACGATGGTCACTGGACGCGTGTGCAAGAACATCCTCGGCCTTTTCTCGAATGGTATCAAAGAGACGTTGGAGGTGAAGCTCAAGCTCGTGCCTGTGCCTACGTCTATGCAGAAGGAGTATGTGGAGAACATGGAGCGCTATCACAGCCTGAGCCAGATGATGCCCGAAGGCTTCGACTACACCGCGTGGTCCGACTTTCTGAAGGAGAATCCCACCCTTGGTCAGCTGGCCCAACCGGGGCCGAACACCCCTGCACAGCCTCCGCACCGTTCTTCCACTGGTGGCTACGAGCCATTCCACCAGATGCTCACACGCCACAGTCCGTCCCAGGAGCCCGTCCGGACCGACTCGTTCTACAAGCAATCCAACGCATCCTTTATGTCTCAGCCATCACGAGCGTCCAGTCCCGCCCACAGCATCGCCTCCTTCCGCCATGTCCCATACAACCCCGAGCCCCGCCCTTCCTCGCGAGCATCGGTTCGAAGTGAAATGTCGACACATTCACAGCAGTGCCCGGCTGATCCACATTATATCATCGAGCTCCAGGAGGACGGGCCACCAAAGAAGCGGGCACGCATCACCCAGGCAACGAGACCTCGCAACACACCGCTGACAGCTCGCAATGACTCTTTGCACAAGACCGCCGCCACGGCCTCATCCGTCTGGCTCCACAGACCGATTGCTGCCAACACGGCTTCTAATCTTGCCGACGCCGAGATGCACCCTCGCGCGCCAACGCCGCGGCCAGGCGACAGAGCCTTTGGCGTACGAGAGTCGCGACGACTACCAGCCCCAAGCGCCTTGCGCCATGGGTCTATGGATGCAGGACGGCCATACATATCACCATACCACGCGAGCGCCTTTTCCGACACTGCTGCAGACTCAGGCGACGACGATAGAGACGGAAGTCCTGATGATACGCCCAGAGACATACCGTCCTCGCCGCCCATAGTCTCTCAACGCACCTCACCTACGCCCTCCAGCCCAACTTTGCCAACCTTCCCCCTGTTGACGGACTCGGGCTTCGTTAGTGACGTGCCGTTGAGCAGAGAGGAAGACAACATCGAGGACGGCAGTAGAGTACCGGATGGCAGTGACCTAACAGCGAGAAACGCAAAAAGAGAGGCGGCGAGAGACACAACGAGACGCCGCAAGCAGCTTGCTCGGATGGAGGTCACCCCTTACGACCGATCACACAAACCTTGGCAAGAGGTCACTCCAGGGCCCACAGAGCGGCTGCCGCAAACCTACGTTCCGCCCCCGAGGTCTTTCACACGTGATCCTTACAAGCAGGTCGCACAGAGCATCGAACTCGAGACGGGCAAAACAAAGCCTGTTCGGTCGGGTGCTTCAAGTGCGAAAGCGCCAGGCCTGCCTCGGTCACACACCCTACAGGAACGTTCGAACGCCGATGCGCCATTTGTGAGAACACGACAGCCGCCTACAGACTCCTTCCCTTTCCCTCCCCTCGAGCCAACGCAAACGACTGGGAAAGCCGGCTCGCCAGATTCCACATTTTCTCAAGGCTCCCCCGAAAGTGAAGCCGCAGTGCAAATTTACAGTCGCGAAGCTACACCAAATGCCCCAGCAAGACGACCTAAAGCGTCGAAGTCAAGGGGTCTTCCCAGATCCCACACATGGTCTGGTGCTGCAGAACCAATGTCAGACGCTCCTACGCCATCCGAGTCCACACCCATTGAACCTGAAGCTCCGCGAAGCGGGTCACACGCCAAGCGGAAGAAGTATATCAAGGAGAAGCTCCAGAATGCACTTGCCAGTGGAGATATGCCGGATCACTGTCACAACTGTGGGGAGATCGAGACTCCGACCTGGAGGAAGCCATATACTCGCATCGAGTTTGGTACACCCGAAGGAATCGTGCTATCACCTACTGGCATTGTGGCTTACGAAGTCATTGAGACAGATCCAGAAAAAGGCGGCGAGCCGATGTATCGCATCTATAGGAACAAGATCACGAACGAAGAGAAGCTGGCCAACATCTACGAGCCAATGAACTTATGCAACCCTTGTGGTCTATGGCTTGTCAAAAACGGCAAATCACGTCCACAAAGCATGTGGGACAAACCTTCAAAGGCAGCTTCGAAGGCAGCCCCTCGTAGGAGGCGTGTACCAAGTACACGCAGCAAATCGCAGTGTCAGAATGATGACATTGCATCGGATGCCGTCATACCACACTCGGACGCTATGGGTCCGGAGGAACAGCAGGCAGATGTTGCATCTTTCGATGGTCAAGCTGACAAAGATATGCCGCCACCGTCCGCCAGGCCACGCGCCTCAAGCCCTCCAACAAACGACAATGTTACAAGTCAAGATGAGGCCCGCATTAGCGCTGAGGCTGAAGCTGCGTTGCAGCGAGCCATCCAGTCTAGTCCGGCGGGTTTCCGAAGGAACAAAGACTCGTCAGTAGACGTCGATCCTGACCTGACCCCCAGACCTACCCGACGATTACTCTTCCCTTCCCCACGCAAGAATGGCGAAGTCAAATCACTTGACAATGTTACTGATAACAAGGAAGATGAACCGGAGAAACCGCGATGCGAGCGATGCAAGACACGTAAAAGAGGGTGCGATCGTCAGCGACCATGCGGACGTTGCGTTTCGCAAGGTCTCGGCTTCGATGATTGCATACCATCCAAGCCGGCGATGAATGTTTACAAACGTGTTCCCATCGTGCCTGTCGCGCCTGATGCGCCTGCAACACCTACTGCGCAAGATGCACCAGACATTCCAGATGTGCCAGCCGTGGATGCAGTGCCTACTGCGACTGCTCCGCCCGCCACACCCGCCCAACCTGATCTGCCAACGTCAATGACTGTAGACGAAGGCGAAATCGACAAAGAGAACTGCCCACCACCGGCGCCCTACGAGGAACACGACGATCTGGCGTACTTGTTCGAGACTCCGGGCCCTGCAAAGACCACTCCAAAGAAACTCACCCCAAAGAAGGACGACGCTCTCCCAGATATCCTCAAAACTCCTACTCCAGGCTCTCGTCGTCGCTTGCCATTGACCCCAAGACGGAGCGCTGATGACGTCAACCAAGTGATGACACCGTCAAGAAGCATTTTTACGCCGCGGACCATGCGTCCTGCAACAGCTGCTCCGGAGACCCCTTTCACTCGGCAGCTCAACGCGATGTTATCTGATGCCATGAACTCGTCTCCTTCTCAAGCCATCGACTTCTCCGCCTTTCCCGTGTTCGGCACTCCTGGCCGCACTAGTGGTGCGCAGTTCTCAGACCTTTTTAACGACCATTTCCTGTCCAGCGACATGCCCGCATCGAGTTCACCGGTGAAAGATGGCATAGTGGGTCTTGGTTTCGATCTATACGAGGATCCCAACACATCGTCTGTTGGACTGTGGAATGATCCAAACATGTTCAACAGCGACGCTATCATGCTTGATATCGACAACGATATCAAGGGGGGCTCAGATATGACTGACGGTACTGGTGCGACCGCCATGCTTAAGATGACTGTTGGCGGCATCACTGTAGACTTTGCCTCAATGATTGAGGAGGTTGTTGGCAACAACGACGAAAACACAGACACCATCGAAGCAGAAGAGTCCTGTCCTGGTGCGACTGAGACACAGCTGTGTCCCGAGATGACGAAGACACAATCGAACACAGAGGTCGCCGAGACGCAAACAAGCCCGGAAGCGACGAGCCAGGGTCTGCCACAGACGCCTGATGCCCCTGAGGCGGATTAGATATGATGACACGACTTGACGGCAGCTTGCCGATCTGTGCTTTTGGGATTTTGGAAGGCGTTATACAGCGATTCACATTTGCATAGCACGGCGTAGTCCACAAACGTGGAACGAGGCATGATTTGAAGATATACCAGCGACATTGCGAAAAGCAGTCGAACAGATAGACATGTAGCATTACTATGGCTTCCCTTACGGAGACCAACCACAACGAATCAAGACATCCATCACCTACCATCGATTGCCATTCACAGGCCTCCTCTGACATCGAGCGAAAGTATTTATCATCCTTTCCCAAACCACCTCCAGTTCCACGGCGTGATTACACCCACTTGTTCGTCTCACGTTCCTCCGCGAAGACCTGTTTCGCCGCGCTGGGCAAAAAGGGATGGGAAGAAGTCAGAACTCCTAAACTCCTCAAATACGATGGGTCCCAAGGAGATGATAAGCTCCGCCTTGTTCAGGCAGCCCCGAGGATCCCGTCGGACCTACGGCCACGGGCCTCGCCGTTATCACAGCTCGGTCTCTCTTCCAAACAGAACCAGGAACGTGGGTTCTAGAATAAACATAATCTCCACTAGCTGGGCCCTGGGTGCTGCCTGAATGATATCAGAGCGTTTTCTTGACGTCGGTGCTGGGGTCGTGGCATGAATTTGACAAGCAAGAAATAGCATTAGCGTGAGTGTTTACTGGGATTCGCAATGTCGGCTCCGTTTGCGCTTTGCCTGTTGTAGGGTAGGCGCCGTTCTCCTACTTTGAGCGCCCCGCTGCTTGGCACTTGCAGTTACAACTTGAAACCCCTTAGCGATTCTCGTGCCTTTTGTTGCTCACCACTGTCACATTTCTCAACCAACCATGCAGCCCGAAAACTCAGCACTCTTCGCAGGTGGGTGGAGTGCAGCGTTGTTACTGGGTCGGCGCTCGCACCATCAGACTCGTCACCATGCGGAAGACACATGATGAGATGGGAACGAGCAACTCGGCCCTACCCTGCGGCGCTCGCTGTCCAAGACGACGCCTCAACTCATCTACCAGATTTTTCTCCGCCAATGTCTGGAACGCGTTGTATCAACGCGAGGCTCCTGTGACCTCGACCCATGTGTCTTAGGGCTGGCTGAACCACGCAGATCATTGAGCTTTAAACTCTCTTCCGACGAAGGATGCGTGACCAGTTGACTTGACACCTGTAGCAAGCTGTAGCGCAGCTGTTGCCGGCGTTGGCGATTCACAACGACGGACAAGTCCGCACCGGGCCTAATGCTGCCATCGATAGATTAACAGGTCCCATCCCGCGTAAGCGTGTTCCCTGACAGTTCCACAAGCCGGACCTCTATTCGGCTAGCAAGCCACGAGTTTCCCCACGATCTCGGAGGGAGCAGATAATTTGGTGCGACAAGACCCGAGAGGCAAGGAGCGGTTGTTCCACCAATTCCTTTTCAGCAAAACTCATTTCGACATCCTGGTCTAGAATCCACGCATCTGCTGATTGATGGCAATGCCCCGAATTTGAAAAGCCACCGATCCTCGTATGGCCATGCCGCCTGGGAAGATTCTTTCCTTTTCCCCCCTCTTTTGTATTTCTGATATTACCGTTTGCGCTGCCGCCTATCCGCCTCTCATTCTTATCCTTCCTTTCTATTGACTTTTGTGTTTCGAATGGTTGGCGCCCTGGACCAACATGTAACTATGCTCTCGCCACGAAATCACGATAAAGATCACCCCCACGGTTACGTGAACCCAGAAGTACCATTGAACCTGGGCCTGTGGTTCTTATATGCTGGCGCTACTGCTTTCCTCGCGCTGCGCGTATGGATCAAGATCACCAGGCGCCATGGACTGTGGTGGGATGACTGGATCCTGCTGGTCACTTGGGTATGTGCCCTCATCGTGACTGAGCTCCACAGCAATGACTGACTGTCCCAAAGATCATCCTTTCAGTAAACAACAGCCTCATCACACTTGAATATGCGACAGGCTATGTTGTCGACAAGTGGGACGACCGCATGCAAATTCTTATCAACGTAACTTCTTGCGGTACCCTTATAGGGCAGGCCCTGAGTAAAACAGCTTTTGCTGTAACATTATTGAAACTCACCAAAGGCTGGCCTCAATGGATCCTCTGGTTCTGTATCGTCACCATGAACGCCTACATGATCACCAAGTGCATTTTTCAGTGGGCGAGGATTATCGACAAGCCAAGCTACGACGTCTGGTACCGACTCAACTTCCATTTGGATTGGCAATTTCGTGAGAATTTCAAGGAAGGTGGTAATGGTGAGCAAGCCCCCAGAACCTCATTATGGATCATCGCTAATACCACGATCAGTGTACAACATCATCATGGACTTCGTCATGGCCACCTTCCCATGGCTCATTACTTGGAACCTGGACATGCGCAAAGTCGAAAAGGTCGGTCTTTGCCTGACCATGAGCCTGGGGATGATCGTCGCCATCATCGCCGCAATCCGAACTGGCTGGAAAGATGGCGGTAACCCAAAGGATGAATGGTACTTCTGGCGCAACGCACACTCAAACGTCTGGTACTCTTCCGAAATCGTCGGCACTATCATCGTCCAATGCATACCAGTATTGCGCCCGCTCATCCGCGATATCCACACCTCCTTAACCTCAAAAAAACTCGCGTCGCACGCCGGGGACACCACTGCCCGCCGCAGCAAAATGCCCGCGGGATACATGAACAACAACCACAACGCAAGAGCGTACTCCGATGCGAAGGAGAATACTGTCAACGATGACTCGATACCGGATTCTTGGGATAACCAGGGTATATACACGAAAAAGGACTTCGAGCTTACGACAGTGGAAGCCAAACGCAGTCCGCAGTCGATGGTTTAGATACTCGATTCAATTCATTCGTTTCTCAAGGATGTCTCTCGCCCAACGAAGTGCGGGTACAGCGCTAACCAGCGCATTCTGCATGCTCAACAGTAGATGCGACTTTCACATGCCTACTTCAGCGACCCGACTCGCTCAGCTGTCGAGTTACATACATGCAGCACATCCCCAAAACTCTCCAATGGCTGCAGTGACATACAGCCAGCCACGATCAACCATCAAACCTCGAATGACGCACTCAAGCAGTGCCAACGCCCTGTGCAACGAAACCAGGTTTCAGGAACCCAGACGCCGGCCCACGGAAAACGCGTGAGAACCGGTCTGTGTAACGGCAGGCGACTCGATTGCGCAGGCGACATGGATCGGTAATGGGAGCGATGAGGTGACCCTGGCCCTCGCTGCGCAGACATGTGGGGCTTGGCTCCGTGCCTGCAGCGTGGCGCTGCACGAACAGGGAAGGAACAGGGGTAGGGTTGATAGGAATAGGGTAGCCTGGGTTCGAAAGGCAGGTGCGAATTGCGCTGTGGGTCCACTTTGCCTAGAGCTTATGTGCGTGCCTGCGGGCGTTGCTGTGCAGGAGAAACGATCATTATGCTGCATCTGCAATTCTCCACCCGTTTGCGCCTGTGCTAACCTCATGACAATTAACTATTGCAGGAGTATCAACTGGATAATCACGCTGGAGTGACGCAACCTACACAGAGCAACTCTGCAACTTACGTTGGAGAATTTTAGAAACGTCAACCCTACGCAAGATCCAGAATCCTAAGAGCCGCCTGTTACAGATACACACTTTCCGAAGAACTACCGCTTCTATATCCAGGTATATATCCGCGCGGAAGTAGGATGGTGTTCAAAGGATCGAAATGATGTACAGCGCGGCGGCGCGGAAACGGTGCCGCGGGCATAGCCCTGAGCTAGGGAAATATAACGCGGGTGTTAAGACCTTGGGTTGAGGTTGCGGCTCCGCCGTTGCTAAGAGGTATTCGGTGTAGCTATGAGCGATATGACAGGTGTTGCTGTTGTTGAGCTTGTGATGAGAATGGTCAATTTCGGTGGAGGTTCTAGAAAGGATGGAGCAGTCCTCAAGAGTCAAGGAACAAAACTTCCCCATTGGCTCCATGGTGAGAATCAAATGAACCTACATTGCGATGAGTTAATCGTGTAGCTCATCAATGCTTTCGGAGAGGCCGGAGATGTTGTCCAAGAACATCGAATAATACAAAAGCTATAAGGTAGGCGTCCCACTCTGCTCCTATTTGACGACACAAAGTTGGACCCCAGGAAATACATCACTTTTCCATCGAGTAGAACTCTCTTCAATGCCATCAAGGTCCTTGTTCGGCGCCAAAAACGAACCGTAGACGCAATCGCACCTTCTCTACCTCGAGGTGTCTCGCCCAACATCGTCCCCCTTGTCAGCGGTCAAATCTGGTGTCCCACAATTTTTTTCTCACAAAGCCCACAACAAATCTATCGCAACATCATGCCCAGGATCGCTCAGACTCACTACTCTTGATTTAAATCGGGGGCTCATCCTCTTCCATGACGTTGTTCCACGACTCAGTATCCTCTACCCGGACTTCTATATCTGCGTTGTTCTTGCCTATGGAGCAATCCTTAGGGGGGACCGGAGGTGGACGGGATGGAAAAGCCATTTTTGTAAGAGCGAGCGAAGCCAGCGCGGCAGGATTGTCACCGGATCTGTAATACTCAAGAAGATCTTGTAGCTGGGGCGCTGCGCCGCTGTATAGAAAGCCTCCTACTCGTCCAGTGTCGTGCGGGTTCTAAACAAAGTTTGTCAGGTTACGTCCCTGGGCTTGCATCCTTTTGGTACACTCAACATGGATTTCTGGACGCTGAACAAGAGAATAGATGACAGCGCTCTGTCGCCAATCTTTCATGCTGCTACTTTACTCGTAATGTTGCGCAATGTGATTGCAGCGCTCTCTCCAACCAGAGCTGAAATGCGTGCAAAAACCGTAGCCCCAGCCTGATCTTGACTGCGTCGTTCTCCCCGCCTTCCCTCTGACATGTTCCACAGTTATGTCTTGTCTCGTGATGATGGAGAAAGTCTTTTTCTAGGAAGTAGACATTCATGCATAAGCCGCGTTCAAACACAAATCTGCGTTCGTCCCGTTCGTGTATAAAAAATGTACGAACCAGCCTGAACTTGGAACAATGATGCAATCAGTACATCTGCACCATGGTATAGTACTTGCGGACAAGCTTGTGAGTGACTATTACCAACGTTGATGCCCTGCATGATGTCTACCAAGCTGTCACAATTGTCAACCAGCAATCAACAGCCACTCAGAAGCCTTCGCTTCTATATGGTGTAGACTTCAATAGCGAGCCAGATCCAGGGGGGTCCATACATTTTGGCAGGCACCGATATTACTCTTCCCTCTCTTTTTGTTTGAATTTTTCTTGCTGGTCGCCTCGAGGGAGCTAGAGAGCGCAAGGGAACTGAGCCCACTGCCGCTGTACTTGAGGGCTTCGTGAAAGAAGCTGACGCAAGCTGCGGATCTCCCACAATAGTTTGAGATTGGCCGGCTCACTTAGCGCCTGTTTCCGCACTGTAGATATTCGTCATCATCTGTAGTACTCAATCAACAGTTCACACCATACACCTATCATCAGAAGGCACGCCTGACACAGGGGTCTCGGTATATACACTCCCCATAAGAGAGCTGGACGAATTGATAGAGGCAGTGCTGTGAGATTGCTGCTGCGAATCAAGATAATCGTGAAGCAGCTTCTGGTCAAACAGTGTCTGTTGTGTGGAGAATAAAGGTGGATCACGAGATTGTGCAACTTCCTCGGCCCCAGGTGTGACCTCGATATCGTGTTGATGCGGAGCGGTGTCGATGTGGTTCAAAGACGCAGGCATGCTCGAGGTTGGGCGCTCGCCGGTGATTGAGTTTTGTCAATGGGTAGAAAGTGAGCAGAATCGTGATGTATTAGTAGCTGCTTACGTGGTGTTTATATACACAGAAGGGAGCTGTGGGCACTAGCCGGATAAGGGAAGGCGCAGAGTCTCTAGAAGAAGGGACGCAGTGAAGGTGCGTGGCTGACAAGTTTGCATACAGTTGTCTAACCAGAGGTAGGGAGCCCTCGCATGCCACGTTGAACACTTCCTCTGCTACGGCCTTAGGATCTGCGATACCTAGACTGATCGGTAATTCTTTGTTCACTGCAGCCTGGAAGCTAGCATTGACCATATCCGTGGTGCTCTCCGGATGTTCTTCGTGTTAAGATTAAAGATTATCATGTGAAGTGTGTTGATTGAGTGATCGGCTACGGGAGGCTGAGAAGCCGGGTATACAGGGACCCAGGTGACCTGACGTCACCTGACTCTATATACAAACACTTCGTCCCATCTCTTCGCGGATCCTTGGATCTCAGCTCTCAACCTTCGCTTTGTCTTTTCGTCGTCGGTCTTTGTACCTCGGCTCTTTTAAGTGCCCGTAAGTGCTGCACTCTGTAGAGCTCGGATTGAAGCTTTGTGGTTTTTTGCGTGTCTTTCTTTGAATCTTTCTGGGTCTCTGTCGAGTTGACCATCATGTCAAAAGCAGACTCCTCTGACAAGGCGTTCCAAGTCGGCGGCCTCTTCCTCTGCCTTAGCTGTCGTCATGGCCTCCATTTTCGATGTCCATCCAACGCCTGATTCTGTTAGCATGATCGTCATGAAAATCGTGGAATAGACCTACAAGGATCGGGAACGTCGATAGCACCAGGGAAGAGAGCACGGTATATATCACTCCACAGTCCCAGGGGTCTACCCCAGGGCTTCTTTGCAGTGTGAGATTGAGACTGACGTACAATCCATAGGCGCTCATCTGTTAAGACTCAACCGCAGCTTACACAAACATTAAGACCTGTGTCCTCATGAGGAGCTTGAGAGAGGTGGCGCCGCAAATCCGTAAGGGATGGAGTACTCAGGCCAGTACAGTCAGGCGGCTTCCCAGTCATCAAACAATGCTTCATGACAGGACATTCTGTGAGCAGTTAGAGATGAAATTGGCACAAGTGTATGTTATATTGTGTATTGTCGTGTGTCCTGGACTGAGATGTCCGTGATGTGAGCTTAAATACATGAAGTAGTGGATTGATTGGTCAGTGGGTAACCACATCACATACGTGGTGTCCTGGGCTTACACATTCGAAGTTGAAATTCGGGAGCAGTTCTTCTTTGAAATGGTGGAAATCTAGGCCTGCTGGACCAGTTGGTTCGATACTACTATGATCAACATGTGCAGAGCGAGGCAGCTCGTTGGATTGCATCTTTTCTCCCGCTTCTGTAACACGTGGACCCATCGTATTGCTCATGCACTATCTGAAGATTCTTTCGACGGCTATCGCATCCGAAATGTTTAGTGACTCTGGTGTAAGAATCAGCGAGGCAGGAACAGGATTGGAACACTCAGCTCTGAGGATCGAGGTGACATCGATGTATGTGTCAAGATCGTCAGGAGTAACTCGTGTGCAGTTTTCCACGTCAAAACCCACAATCTGCCACCGCACCCGCCCCCATGTGTTGCGGTAGATCATGAGTGATCAACGCATGTGCAGTTGCCATTCGTGACACTTACTACAGTACATTGGAGTGCAAATTTGTGTCATTTTGTTGAAGTCGTACTTTAAGCAAAGCTTGTAAGCACTATTCTATTGGTTCTTGGGGAAGAATACGGTAACAGAATTCCAATAGGGGTTGGTTGCAATGAGGAGTACAGATATTACATGTTGACAGCTACACAACATAGGAATTTCCTTGTGTATAGCTCCCCTCCGTAGCATGTAGAATAATCAGTTCAATCCTTCAGTCCTTCCCACATGTGTATTATCCAGGCTCCTTGACAATATCCAATGAAATATGCAAAGTTCATTGCCACTCCCTACTGGCTACAGATGATGGACGCGTCTTCATGGCTGTAATTTCACAATATATTTTGTAAAAAGCTGTGATTCTTTCACATACGACCATAGGACGTTGAAAACAAGGCTTCCCGTTCGCTCAGCCCTATTTAAGCAACGTACCGGCGGATTAGTAGTTAGGTGGGTGACCACTAGCGAATACCCGCTGTTGTATGTATTCATTTTTGCAACCTTCGATCTTTTTGCAGGACCGCACGTACCAGAGTCATTCCTTCACGTATGGTGGTCAGCTTGACTGAGAGTGGTCGGTGGTGCCGCCTGATTGCGTCCAGCTCAGCACGGAAGCCGACATCACGAACGTGAATACTGCAGACGGAACATTTTTCGAGGGTTATATCATGTAGCGTTCAAGCAGTGCTGCACCTCAAGTCATGCCTAGCGAACAGTATGGATTTGAAAGCAGTTTCAATTTGATAGAGTCTGTGCCAAACTACATCCAGCACTTCATTCTCGAGCTACACACAGAGCGACCCAGGATATCTCAGCCCAAGCCTCCGGTACATTGTCTTTTCCGTAGCCCATTCAATGTCCAACAGCTTGCAAATCTTTCCTCGGCCACAGTCTAGCACACCGGTATGCGCTTAGATCTGGAGCCTCTCAACCTTGTCCTTGAGGGTGCGGATCTGGCCCATGAGGTCAGAGGCCTCGTTGGTGGTGATCGAACAGGCGATGACGGCGCGGGCGACACCGCAGGCACGGCCGAGAGCCATCTTGGAGGGAACGTAGACATAAGGAACGTTCTTGTCCTCGCAGAGAAGAGGCAAGTGGAGGAGGATAGCCAGAGGGCTGGTGTCGGCAGCAAGGACGATGACCTCGGAAATACCACGGTTGAGGGTCTTGGTGGCCTCGTTCGCGCCCTTTCAATCGTCAGCATTTGGACATCAAGTTTCAATTCCAGGTGCAGACATACCTTCTTCAGCTGGCGGTAATGGGTAGCCTGCTGGACGAGGTCGAGGATTTCCTGGCTAAGAGCCTGGTCGGCCTGGGGCCATGCAGCGCTGGTGTCAGCCATCTCGTGGATTTTGGTGTGGAGTATTGGTTGAGGAAGGGTTCACTGCTTAGCTCGCCCGTAGGTTCACTGCTTTGCTCGCCCGGAAAGTATATGGGTGAAGTTAGTGGGTTGTGGTGGAAGTGCAGAAAGTTGAAGCTTTGCGATAGACCGAGGATTGGTGCGCGGACTTTTTTTTGGCGTAGTCAGCAATGCGCCTTGGCATACGAAAGCGCACCACGTGATGCAACTAGCTCGCATGCAGACTAGGGCGAAACCAACCAACCGCGCAGCAGTCTTCGCCAACATCGTCACCACTGCCATCGACACTCCAACGCCTTCGTCGCTGCATCCACCCCGTTCGCCCATCTCATCAACGATCAAGATCATCCTCTCGACCACCTGTTGATTCATTATACAGTCGCCAAAATGGTTTCGGAGTCTTGGTGAGTGCCCGTGGAACTCTCCTTGTTCAGGCCACAGCCAGCTTTGAGCTTGCCTCTGTGGCGATAAGCTCGATGCGGGAGGCGTGTTTGTGACATTGGAGTAGTCCTCTGTATGCCAAGTAAAGAGCAACAGCTAACATGAACTCCTAGTCCCGTGTATGCTGTAAGTTCGCGACGACGCCTCCCCTTTGCCTCTCTCCGCAGTCAGCATCGCGACTACCCACAACCATCGTCATACCTCGATGCATCGCCGGCAACAACGCTTCACGTGGTCAACAATGTACTGACCTCCCCTAGCCCTTCTTCGGCGCGATGGGCTGCACATCAGCCATCGTCTTCGCCTGCTTCGGTGCCGCCTACGGTACTGCCAAGGCTGGTGTCGGTGTCAGCGCTATGGGTGTCCTCCGCCCTGACCTGATCGTCAAGAGTATGTTGCACGCGATTTCTCAATGGGCTTAATAGAGCTGTCGAGAAGCCTCCTTACCGAGGTGGAAGTAGTTAACACAGCGCAGACATTATCCCCGTCGTCATGGCTGGTATTATTGGTATCTATGGTCTCGTCGTCTCTGTCCTGATCTCCAACGGTTTGAAGCAGGAGGTTTCCCTCTTCACCAGCTTCATCCAGCTTGGCGCCGGTCTCTCCGTCGGTCTGTCGGGTATGGCTGCTGGTTTCGCCATTGGTATTGTGGGTGACGCTGGTGTACGAGGAACTGCCCAGCAGCCCAGGTTGTTCGTCGGAATGATTCTGATTCTCATTTTCGCCGAAGTCTTGGGTAGGTCCTCCGATTCTATGGGCGAAGGAGCGCGCGCTAAACTAGATCGCAGGTCTTTACGGTCTCATTGTTGCCCTGCTCATGAACTCCAAGGGTGCTGAGGGTGTCTGCTCGTAAATACCTCAACACGAACCACGATATCAGCCAACGACAACCTATCTGCATCAAACGAACAATGGCACCACTTTGGCTCGATACGTATACCACACAATCACATCTTGCATGGCGCTCATGAAAAAGCATGCGCTGCATGTTGTACGTCTACCTTTTGTGTATCTTCTTAGCGGTGTCTAGCCACACCCCGGGGAATTGAGCGACGGGGAGAGTTATGGGGAAGAGGAGATAATGAAGTCGAGGGACAGCAAATGCGATCCATTTGACGATGTGTATTCTAGGGTCTCTTTCAATCTCATTGCGCTTAGAAATGAATGCATTGCTTTCTCGAAGGCCCTTCGTGCCAACTGAATGCCTGACTTGTACACATCTGACGAACCCAGATATTCACACCGAGCGTAAACATGCTGAGCTCACACTCGCTCTTCCACTTCAGCCTGCAGGCGCTCGACTGCATACGGGTCCACGTCATCTCAATGGCAGGCACACCGGTGGCACATCACGGAGCAGCTCGCAACAAACATTGCATATCATTGTAAACATCTACAAAATTACCCAATACCAATGCCATGGCGCCAACCGGTCATTCAAATCATAACATCATCAAGAAACCACTCTCAAGCCCCCAGAATCTCCCTAGCATGAGTCCTAACTTTCTGTTTCGGCACCTCAATAGTCATTACCCTCTTCGCCTTCACCGTAGGTGCCTTGCCAAACTCCTCATTGTTCTGACAAGGCCCTCCAGCAGGACAAGCATGATATATGCTCATCGCCGCCCATCCACCACACGTCTGATCCGGGTTGCCAGTGCACTTCATGACACAGGCGCCCATGATCCCATCTTTCGGTGCATATTTCGGATTGAGTTGGTTCGCGCAGAAACACTCCCCCTTGTACTCCAAACCGGCGTACGAGTAACCGCTGTCAGAGCAGAAATCGACGCAGTCTTCGACGGTAGTGTTTTGTCGCGACCAGGACTGGCCGGTGAATGCGCGGTCCCCGATGTTATCGCGGCCGCAGCCGATGTACTCCCATTTCTTGGTGGCTGTGAGATCGACGTAGTTTACTTTTCTGACACCAAGCTTAACGCCATCGTTGCACTGCTGCGGCACCGCGCGCCCAGGGCCATACGTGATGGGGTTACACCCAGGCAGTTTATCGAGATGCCCGTCGATGGCTTCGTCCACGTCCTCGGGGAGCCGACACGCCTGGCATTCCTCACCCGTGAACTGCGTGACTGCTGGACAGCGCTCGACGAGCCCTGAGTCGTCAGTGCATTCGTCGATTGCGCGCTGCAGCGTGGAGATGTTCCAGCCGTTCATGAAGTCGCCGTGGTATCCGAAGCCGGTGGCGTCGCCGTTGGAGAAGACGAACGGGTGCTGGGTGCCGGTCCATTGATCGAAGAAGGAGGCGGTGTCGTAGAGCACTTCATAGAAGATGGAGACCATGTGCACGGGGAAGTCGGGTGGGCAGGCGCCGGTGTTGTACTCCTGGCCGAGGGGGTAGGACATGTGCGATCTGTGGTCGGGCGTGTCGACGTCTTTACCGTTCCAGCATGCTGGGAAAAAGACCTGGGCGCGCAGGCCGCCTGGGCAATTGAAGTCTGGCATGCCATTTGTCTCAGGGAGGTTGGGGCCGCCAAGGCAATTGAAGGAGATGGCTTTCGCGGCAGAGTTGTTGCCAAAGCTGCGTGCGAAGGGGTCGCCGGCGACCATGCGGAAGCCTTCTGGGAAGGCGTAAAGTTTCTCGTTGGGGTCATCACCGCGTCGTTGGAGGTAATACACTGTCATTCCGCCGCTGACATCGTCTGGGTCGCCGATCTGGGGGACTGGCATGAACGTGTTGTTCTTGAACTTGACGTACAGCTGGGGCGTCCAGTAATTCGACATATCTTCCTAGGAGATGTCAGGGGCCGTTCGCTACATACTGGGGCTAGAGCGCACACCTTGATAGTACACGACGAGCAATTCGATGCTCGCATACCCTCGTAAGTCATTGTAGGCGCGAAAGCAGCTCCACCTGAAACTGTATGTACATGGCCGGCGATACCCCCCGGGGTGACAATCGGGTCAAGTCGCTGTCGAACCAGTCGACCTGGACATGACATGCGAAAGAACGCTTCTGATGAGCCCGAAAGGGCAGTGAGCACAGAAAGGTAAGTGATATGCATTTTTGCTTGCTTGGGTATAGCGAAAGGAGCTTGTTCATTGATCGATACGAACGGTTGATAGCCAGCGGCTAGAAGTATAAGTAGATGAAGTCAACAAGAGACAGCAGCGTGTGACAGACGTTCAAGCCTCAGGTAATGGGTGTAGACAGCCGCGCGCGTTCGTACGACCTATTGTCAGACTCGCGCATGGCTTCCCATACTCTGACCTCTTTGTCTTGTGGAGTCAATGTCCGATGAATTGACCGAAGGGTGCGTATGTGAAAGGTGCTTGTCAAGCTGGCTTCAGCAAGTCAAGTCAGGCCAACACGGATTCGGACAGGATGGTAGAAAAAGTGGCGGCTTTGGTACGCCTTGGTGTATTCATTCGTGCGGTGTGGTGCACCGATTACGCGAGTTTCTCCACCTTGCATTGCTATCGGCTGCCTCAGGGCAATGCAAAATTTGACTTTCCCTGAGAACTGGTGGTTGTTTGGGAGAGGAGTTGCGGAGATAGAATGATTGGTCCTCCTTCCGCGGACACTTGTGACGGGCTAGCGTGGTGGACTAGCTTTTGAACCTCACTCCTGGGCGGTAAGCGCAAGCAAGTACACCTACATATGGAAGGAGCAAATCTTTGGGCTCGCTGCATGCTCCACTGAGTTCGTTCACGTTAGACGCTTGTCATCTGTCGTGGCGTTGTAGTCCTTTCACCTTTGCTGCAGGAGTATCTGTGTGAGTTTGGATCAGTGACACAGGCTGAACCACCAAACGCCCACTGGTTTGCGGAGCGCGTCGAGCTGCCCTTAGAGACCACTTACAGCATCGACACACAGATTCAAGCCTTACTAGCGATCGGGAACAGCGACACCGTTAGCCGAAGCTCGATCGGTTGAATCTGCATGTTATGGACGCCCTCTCCCTCTGCTCAGGAACCAAGGAAACACTGGTCTTCGTGGCTGTTTTGGGACATTACCAACATCCAGACCTTGATGACTACCATGCGTCATTCCCACCATTAGCCTTTCGAGCAGCTCGGCAATGCTGTTTCCTTTCATCTTCGTTTGATAGTCGCACAACATCATGCAGTCCATCAACGGAACGGATTACCGGGTGCAGATGACATGCATAAGGCAGCAGACCAATGCGCGAACTTGCGCAGGTCCGCACGAGACTCCACGTTCCTGCTTGCCATTGTCCGCTTTCGTCATCTGATGCTCCTTCAAAGTGAGGACAATAATGCTTATGCAGACCTCGAATCCATCGGACGGTGCCGAGGTTACACAGGGCTGTAAGCGGACGCGAGACCAGGCCCGCGAGCTCGAAGGATGTTACACTGATGACGGCGAAAGTCTTCCAGATAGTTTGCGGAGGGTGATGTTAAGCGACTTCGACAAAGATGCTGAGACGGATGATGGGTGTGGCACCGGGAGCCACACTGCAGCCACAACCGTAGGAAAAAGCATAACAGCACTGCAGAGGATCACACGATCATGTTCAAGCGCAATTTTTTTGTAGTACGAGCTCATTGAAAGTCTCTTAGTGACTAAGTTTGAAAGCACTCCATGAAGTGGACACGGTAAATACTGTAAGTGGCGCACGAAAGCATGACCGTAGTCGAGTAGTCGCCTCGTAGTTTTGCTGTAGCCGTAGTCTGCATAAAACTGCAATGGCCGTATTCGGGTTCGGGAGCATGCGGTCTATTCGAACGTTGATCGGCGCTGCTCTATGATCGTCCTTTGTCATATCAAGAGCTTGTCAATGCCCAACTAGGAAGTGATCGCCGTTAGCTTCAACATACAACTACAAATGCATATCTTTAACCTATACTTCGACGCTGACAGCTACTCCTCAAATTCGAGGCATTTGTAATGTCGAGAAGGCTGCTGTGGTGTGCAGTGAAGGGCTGCAATGGGTCCTACGAAGATCAGTGACTATTGGAACCACTCTTGCTGGGGATCGAGAGTCGGTCTGCGCGGTTTACGAGACATGGAGCGTCATTATGGTGACCGTGCTGGTAGTTGGTATTTGTTATATTCGTTTAATGATATCAGTCGAGGTTGGCACTGCACTTGATATGCCGAACAGTCGAATCGTCCTTCACGAACTGACCCTTATTTCTCGCCAGGGTATAGCAAGCCGTTATCCTTCCTGACCTTCTCCAACACCCCCAGAATATCTCTTGACAGTGTCTCGTAGTGCCTTTCAGCCTCACGGTCCCTGTTGTTAATGACCCGCGCAAACTCTTCAGCTTCCTCTTGTAGATTGAGCTTTACTCTTGTCTCTGGGCCAGCAAGCTGCTCCCTCTTCTTTGTCCTGGGATCCCACAGCGTGACTGTCTCGATGTCTGTGATGGTGGGAACGATAAGTGTGCCCTTCTCGCCGTATACTTCTGAAGGAGCATCGCTGTTGTAGGTCTTGCTGTGGCACAAGTGAACAACGAAGTTGCCGTAGTCGAGGATGAGGCGACCACCACCATCTGCCCCCGTGGCAATGATGTTGGGCCAGTATTTTGCGTCTTTTGGTGCGCCAAAGAGGTCAATGGCTGCAGAGACACAGTACACACCCAGGTCGACAAGAGCGCCGCCACCCATCTCGAGGTTGAAGATGTTTGGCGTCTCGCCCGCGAGGACCTTCTCATAGCGAGAGGAGTACTGCGCAAATGTGATAGAGGCGCCAGAGATGGGCCCAAGGTTCTTGATCGACTTCTTTAAGGTCTTGAAGTTAGCCTCCTGGATGTGGCGGAATGCTTCTATGAGGAAGACATCCTTCTCCCGTGCAATCTTGAACAGGTCATCCAGTTCTGTGACTGTGCTGCATGATGGCTTCTCCAAGATGACGTTCTTGCCTGCATTTAGGGCGAGCTTGGCTTGCTCGTAGTGCAGGATATTGGGGCTGGCGATGTAGATGGCGGACAGATTCGAGTCGTTGACGAGCTTGTCCAGATCGGTGTAAAGCTCGACTTTCTGACCATCGTACTTTGCTGCGAACTTCTTTGCTGACTCTTCTGTGCGAGAGTAGACGGCGGCAAGATTCCACTTGCTGGTAGCTTGCGCGCACTCGATGAAGGAATCTGTGATCCAGCTTGTGCCGATGATGCCGAAGTTGATGGGTGCCATGATGATTGTTTGGAATTTACAAGTCGAATGAGGAGGAGGACGAGCAAGCACTGATGAAGCAGCGGCGAGGTGCGAGACGGACTTCTTATACCAATGCCTTGTCTTTATCTTAGATTTTCCGTTGAGCGAAGCTGTTGTCGAGGGGCACCGCGTTCGACCCCACCACGAAGCTTCAAGGATGTGATGTCAGGGCCGCGCGCAATTCTTATTGGCTAACTCAGCTTCAACTGCTACAGTTTCCACATTTGGCTACAGCACCTCGCCAAACACGAGGAAGGAGTCATGCATCGAATCACGCAAACTGAGCAAGAAGCGCCGAACTTTGCCAAATATTTGATATTGACGAGGCGGACATGAACCGAAACCCAGCCTATTTGGTACTTGCTATACAAATCCAGAGCCCCATAGTGAGGAGGGTATCATGCTGGGGACGACGTAAGCTGTCGTGAAAGTATCATACCATATGCGTGCAAAAGAGTCCGTGAGTCACCCCCAGGAATGAGTCGACTGGGGGTGCGGTTTGATGTGGACCAAATGAGAGACTGCAGAACCGCCCAAAGAAGCAAACGCAGAGAACACCTAGCTGGAAAGACCAAAACGCCAAATATGCTGTGATCCCAAAACTTCCAACCATGCAATGTATAAGCGGCTCGAAGCCACATGAGCAACTTCTCATCTCTGCCCGCAACACTCAGTCTTCCCAGACCGTGCCGAGCGAGAGGTCCACACGTCGTTCGCCTCCACAAACACTCCAGCGCTTCCTGGAGTCCCTCTTGCCGAAGTTGAAGCTGCGGCCACGACCTTCAGGCACGTCCAGACTGGACCTGCGAGGCTCTCCACCGTCTTCGCGATCAGCTGCTGCCTTCAACTGAGCAATGCGTTCTGCTTCGAGAGCCAGATCCTCCGCATCAGGGCTGTCTTCTATGGTTTCAAGGGATGAGATGGAAGGGCTGCGGGAGCGCATCGACGTTGGTGTGGACGGGACTGATGAAGAGGCGAAGGAAGACGGGTAGTGCTCGTTGAACTTGGAGGGCGCTAACATGGGCGAGGATGCTGCAGACGTCGGTGTGCTGACAGAAGGAGTGCTGGTTGGTGGAGCACCAAAAGGTATAGCGACGTGGTAGAGGGGCGATGCTGGTCGCCTACGTCTAGACAAGGAGCCAGTGCTGCTATACAGGCTGGACATGCTGCTGCTGGCTCGAGGTGTGAGCTCAAGCTCTGCATCCTCTGCAATGTCGCAGACGCTGGGTGCTCCTTCGAATGAGCCCACAGAAGCCGGGCGTATCCCAGAGCCATATCGTTCCTGCATACCTGTTGTCGACAGGCGAGGCTCAACTGTGCGTGGGCTTCGTGGCTTGGGCGAGCGCAGAGGAGATGAAGGTCGGTCGAGTGGCATGGGCGAGGGCGAAAGAGTGAGGCGTCCAGTGGCCTGCTGGATGCCTCCAGTGGTCTGCATGACGATAGGCAGTGAGTGCGCTCGGGTCATAGGAGGAGCGAGTGCGCTGTGGCCACTCTGAGAGCGTAGGTGTGAGCGTGCGTAGGGCGACCGGTTGTGTGGCTGCGTGTGATGATATGTGAAAGTGCTCCCGGGTGCAGGATCGGTCTGCGAGCGAGGCGTAGAGGGCTGCCGTGACGACATGCTGTCATCCGAGGTGTTGCTCAGCTGGCGGGCGAGTGTGTCTGTTTCAACCATGCTTTCGCTGTCTTCAAGGAGAGTGCCTGTCTGCTTGGCTGGTCGATGTGAAGGGACCCTGGAGGTAGTAGTCGAGTGGGACACGTCCTGCTCTTCCTCTTCCTCGTTGGGCGGAGACGCTGTTTTGCCGGAGAGTCGGTGTGCAGACGTCCTGGAGGCAGTCGAGCGCAGAGCTATGGCGTCTAGGCGCTGGAGGAGTTCGTCGTGCTGCGAGTTGCCCTGCGCTGCTGGCGAGGACGAAAAGTGTGCGACGGTCATGGCGGCGAGCTGCGAGAATGCATAGTCTGGCTTGCAAGCGGCCAGGCTGGAGGTCTTCAGACTTCGGATGTGGAGATGGCGTTGGCGAGCAGAGCAGGGGCTAGTCTGTGGTTGTTATGGACGCAGGTTGCTCCTTGCTCTTGTTTCAGCCGCCGGAAAGTGTAGGTTGGGCGCAACTATTGGCTGCTGACTGCCTGTCTGTTTGGCAGCGCTCGTCCCGCAAACACACAGCGAACAGACGACGTGCGAGGACAGACGCAGCTGTTGCTGGCGACGTCGGAAGCGTGAACGAGGTGGGCAGCGAGGCGCACGCTGATGCTGCACTGCGACTTGGAGAGGGGCCGTTCAACGGCTGTGCCTGCCTGCCAGGGCGCGCTATCGATTTCGTCTGGGGCAGGCGCGCTGGGCCGCGATTAAGTCAGACGGACCGCTCAACAGAGCAACCCTGCAAGCAACGTGAAGAAGACGAGTGAAGTACCGAGACAGAATCCACCTGTGTGCAGTTCACGGTGAATACATTCAGGAGAGCGAGGAACTGCTGGGAAACCGCTTGATGCGCTCTTCAACGCCGCCTTGTCCCCATGATTGAATTGCTGCTCAAAGCACCCTAACTAGACCCTGCATATCGACGTTTTCGGGCTAGCAGGGCGAATTCACCCTGGGCCCGGCAAACACATCGCCGAACGCGACCATGCCCACTTCAACCGCTGCCCTTCTGTTCCTGTCCTGTTCTCGCCCTGTTCTCGCCCGCTTTAGGATGCCGCTGCTAAATCTGGACGCTTGTCTGCCAACTTTGATAACTTGTGGGTGTTCATGCGGCTCCTGAGGCAATCTCCACCCAGCCAAATCAACATGTTGCGGAGAAATTGCTCGCGTCAGATCCTGCAATAAGCCTCTAGCTTGCTGAGCCACGATGAAGGGTCCATGCACGACTCTTGTCCCTTGCATCCCACATCACTCAAGCAATGCTGGCATTAGCGGATGTGCGGTTGGCTGGTAGCACCTTATGTTTGAAGTACGACTTTCCGTCGACTATCTGTAAAGAGCAGACATTCGAAACAGAATTCTTAATAAAGGCTGAGCAGGCGCCGAAGACAGGAAATGTGATCTATCGCAAAAGCTCAAAGAAGACAGACCCAAACAGAACAAGAATGACAAAACAACCCAAGCAGGATAAAGAGACACCGCCCTTTCCAAAGTGTCCCTGTCGAACCCCATTCCATACCCTTACATCCAGAACATGCCTGGTCGAAGTCTTCGTGGCAGGGGTTCAACCTCACCTTATCGTTAGAGACCGGACTGCTGTACCTGTACTTGCCCCAGATATTGGGAGTGCGAGCAAGCCGCAGTGCCTCCTTCTTCCACTCCTTGAACTCCTCGTTCGAGAGTGGGTTGCACTCCTTGTCTTTGATCTGACTATGAGTGAAGTCAGGTAGTTTGATCTCATCCTGAGTCCAAGATCGAAGGTAGACGCGCCCGCGTTCGCACAGTCGGTCGGCAACGTAGGCTGGCGCAGCGTAGGAAACAGATTTGGTAGCGGGACCGGAAGTGGTGCAGAGGGCGAGTGTCAATTCGGGGATGTTGCTGCCTAGGTCCACCTCATCGCGGAGAACGTGGTAGTGCGCTGGCTGTGCCGTGCCTTGAACAGCTATGTGAGACCGAAGGAAGAAGTTGTATGGCTCTGGGTTAGTAACCACGCTGTCGATCAGAAGGCTGGGCTTGAGGTTGCCGTTGACTCGGTTGTGATCTTGATTGGCTGCTGAGTCGTTTCATCGAACCCATTGGTTCTGGTGCATGTGTACGAGTCTTTTGCGGCTGTGGCTAAGAAACGAACATGGTAACATTTGCCAACGACGATGAAGGTGATATCGACTTGGCCGTGACCATATACACACTTGAATGCTTCTCTGATCTGGGGAAGTTCTTCGTCGACGCACATCTTGAACTGCGACTCGCTGACACATCGCGGTAGACGAGGATAGACGTCGGTTCACCCTGAGGGTTGCAGTCCTCATCGTTGTTTTCAGCTTGCCATGCTGATGCGTTCTTCAGTCATGCTAAGCATGTGCTCGTCATCGGTCTTCTGCAGTGGTGGTTGATGCATGTCAAACACGATGTTTGTCAAGAACAGAACGTACCTCTTGCCCTCCAGCATGCAACCTCATCGAGCCAGGGTATCGCATGAAAGTGCTGCCACAATACCAACCATGCAAGCAATACGAGAACTTTCAAGCCTACTCCCAGCGACCGGATGAGCGACGTCCTTGTTCCAGTCAGCTTCTTTCATGACATAGTGCTATGTTCCACTTACAATACCAAGTACGAGCGTCCCGTTACGACGATCCTCGCCCATGAGCCTATCGAGTGAAGGTTGATCGGGATAGCACAAACAGTGAATTGGCCGCATTGCAAGTCGCCCTTTCGTTTGATCTTCGAGTAAACGTTGTAATCCTTTTTCTTTGAGCAGAATCAGAGTGCAATCTTAATCCGCACATTTGTTGAACTTGACATCTAGCTTGCCGTCCAGGTTCGATCTCGGTGTTGCTTCTCGACTTTGCCTTTAGTATCCAGATCATACCAGATTGCTACAAGATCGTCGTTATCTCTTTCTGGATGTACTCCATTCGAGACTGTTGCGCTTCAGTTCTCCTGGACACTATTCAGTTCAAGAACATTGTTCTTCATCATAGCGTTGAAGATCTCACCTATCTCTCGTCGCTTGTTGAACTCAAATGACTTAGCCTTTTTCGTGGGACCAGTACGCCAACACTTCAGCGAGTAGTGCTATAGCTTCTTTGGAAAGGAGATGACTGGGTCCGCTCTTTTGACTCCTTCGGCTGCTTGCGTACAATCTTCCGGATCTGTGATGATCAGCCATCAATTGTCTGCGTGATATCGGCACTTGCCAAGATGTATGGACCCCCCTCAGTCTAGCACAATAGCCCTACGTCATACAGAAGCGAGAGTTTCCGAGTGGCCGTATGTCTTTGGTTCGACAGATGTGATACGCTGGTATCGATGACTTTCACAAGTTGCTGACCCTTCTTGACAATTGAAACGATGATCAGATATGGCGTTTTTGGCCCGAAGAACAACTTTGTGGGTAGATGACATCATGGTTTACAGACAGAGGGGGGTCAGCAACTTGTGAAAGTCATTATAGACCTACTGCAGGGCATACACGTGGACAACGACCACTCACAAACTTGTCCACACAGCAGAACCATGGTGCGCATGTACTGTCTATATCACGGTCCCAAATTCACGAAGGTCTATACAATTTGACAATCATTATATTCGTAATCAGAGCATGACACACCCAAACTCAGCCCAATAGATGATAAGGAGAGCAAGCACCATGAAGAGCTTCACCTGACTGCCTGCTGGACGCAACAATCACTGAATGTCTCAATGTTCCCGCTTCCTGGGTCGCAATCCGCCAACAATGTATCAAAAGACGACACCATCGTGATGCGGCAACTTGGTCATGATGGATTGCATGTCACACGGCAAGCATCGAGCAGGTTCTAGTGTCCAGTGGAAGTGCATCTCGATCCCTTCACTACCCTGAAGTGGTAGGATGGATATGGCGTTAGATCAGAACATCTGCGCTCACGATAGGCGGATATGTACGAATGTCAGACTGGAGGTTGCTAAGAGCATCCTCGTTAACTGTGGCGGCGTGGGCCGCTGTAGAATATTGATAGCTACGGTAAAAGATAACGTAGAACTATCGGGTCGATGGAATACTGCGCTGAGTTGCTATCTAGTCAGGAGAAGACGATATATACTGGCCCTGGAACGTGCTAGTCCAGAACAGTCTAAGCAAGAGTCATCGGGTCTCCACCGCAACATCAACGATAGTCAAAAGCGGCTTGAAGTTTGCAATGGTGTATGACAGTCTGATCGCATGGCACTCACACACAAACTTTGAGCTGCCCAGCTTGACAATTTGCCTTCTGCTTAACGACAGCTGACACCTGGAGCAACCCAGATGTAGAGTTAGTGGCGCAATTTCCACTGGCTAGTGAGAGGGCACGGAGTGCCAGCGACAAGCTATTCGATTATCCCATTTCCTCGTTGCTTCTATCTTTCCGTGTCACAAATACATAAGAAGATCCATTATAGCGCTCTTGATAATGTTCATGGCCTTTTGGGACACAGTTTTGAGCTCCACGAATGCAAAGTTGTATGGAAGACGGCTCATACCGAATATCGTCGACGACAATGCGAGGTAACAGCCAGACCGAGCATGTTTCTCGTTCCCCATATGCTATACGAACCTGCACCATGGCTTTCAGGATGTTAACTGGCGATGCGTGAGCATAATGTGCTTCTGAGCGGGCGATACTGATCACTCCAGTTCGCTAATGCTATCAGCAGGATGGCACGTTTCCTCCATGGTCAAATTGGGTTGAGCTTTGAGTTCAAAACGGTCATGTACATGGGTTTTCCAAATCCTCGAACATATATCGTTCTTATAGCCGCGTAAGTCCACACCTAATTCAACACCGGCGACGTTGTTCCCAAGATCGTCGATGCATCTGACACCCTCTTGTAGCATGAAAACTGGTCACAAGGTACTATTCCATTTCACAAACAGTGACCGTATAGCCATCAGACGGAGCTGACTGAAATAGGTAGTCTTCAGCTCTCATTGAAATCGCCTAGCGGGGCATGCGAACCTCATCAGGCAAACCAACTGCACCATCCTGCTATACACAGCTGGCTTTCCTGTGTCAGGCATTCATGAAAGATCTCGGCTCGAAGCTGTGCGAGTTCCAGAGCTAGCTACGCTCCTTGACAATTTTCTGTACGAGTCGTTTCCGTACGGAAAGACGTATGAAGAAGCGAAGTACGATCCATGCTTCGTCATGCACACTTCAGGATGGACCGGCCTGCCCGCACCGGTAATGTGTACTCACTGATCGATCAGCACCACCTTGTGACTCTTTTGGATGGAAGGACTTTTGTATTGGGCGCTCTTTGCGACGCCAGGCGTCGCAACTACCTGGCTTGGCCAATCTCTTCGAGCTCAGAGATCGGTGCGGGCATCACAGACATCTGCTTCAACAACAACATCACCACTGCTCTTGGCACACCTGAACAGGCTACTGCAGAGATCACGGATGAAATGATACGGGACGCGGACATAGACTTAGCGAGTTGCGTACCTGCAACACTGGAGGACCTCGCGAAACACCCGAATGTTCTAGCAAAGATGCGAGGACTGAAGCACATCGCGTATGTTGGTGGTAAGAAAGGTCAGTCAATTCGAAATGACGTATGCTGACGCTGTGCAGGATCGCTCTCTTAACGCGCTGGGGATATTGTATCTCAGCATGTCCTACTTGTGTCCTTGATGGTATCAATCGAAACTGTCACCATAGTACAGCATGTCACCGACCATGAAGATTGGTCATATGTATGCATCAATCCTATTTTGAACGACATAGAGATATAAAATAGAGATACGACCAGTTGCCAAACTCTTTGAACTCGTCTACGTCAGGAGGCCAGAATGCGCAGGGTTCTAGGGGTGTTTAAGGTCTTTCCCCACCTGCTGGAACATTTAATGTGCGACCTGTACATGAAGCATCCGACGAAGCCACATCACTGGAGACACGAAGGTCGGAAAGACGATATAATCGTTTTCAAGAACGGTTCGAATACACAAAGGAATGATGGCAACGCATCCAAAAGTACATGCCTGCCTACTGGTTGGTACTAATAAGGACAAGCCTGCGGCAATCGTTGAGTTGCATCCACAGTACTATACGGAAGACTCCTTGGTGCAGAGAACCTTTACAAAGGAAACCTGGCCACAAGCTCGCAAGGCGAACGATGTAGCAGACACCTTCGGTCAGCTCGAGCAACGCTACGTCGTCTTTGCTAAGAAGAAGAAACCGTTTGAGATGGAACTGAAAGGTACCGTACAAAGATACGCAACTACTCGTCTCTACGCCCAGGAGGTTGATGATCTCTACACTTCAATATTATGGTTTGCATATGTTCTGCCCCCCCCCCCCCCACATGAGTTTGGTCATATGATTTTAGTGAACCAGAATGCAGAGAAGTGCCGCCTTCCTCTGCACATTATGCAAGACACTCTGGCCGCCTTAAACAATGGCTTGGGTAATAAGACTATTGCAAGACGTCATTGTGTCAAAAAGAAGACTGTACAGCACACGCATCGCTTATTACAGGCCCATGAGAGTACCCAAAAAGAGAAGGGATGACATCATTTGCTCTATATTGTATGAGAGAGGGGGGGGCCACAACATATGCAAAGCACCGATAGCAATAGGAGGCCTAAGCACGCTTTTCCAGACTGAGGCCCTGATAGCATAAGAAGTTCACAAATCTCCGCTGCTGCTTCTAGTACGAGTTCTTCATCAGGCGCCAACCTCTGCAGCACCTCGCATACCTCGCATACTATACCCACTGTGTACTGCATATAGGGCCCGCTGATAGGCCAATCGCCCTATACTAGGCTTCCTTCGGCAAGGCTTTGTCAGCTCAGGAATTCGGGTCGATGATAATGCCGACTCAAGTAGGTGGGCTTGTGGGTCCTTCGCCGAACTAACTACTGGATTCGCGAGATGTCAGCGGGACAAGAGGGAGTACAAAGTGTGCAAGGATGCAAGCTAATACTGTCGTCTGTCTGAAGGAAGAAGTATAAGATCAGCTACATGACTCTGCTGCCAGCTTCGACAATCATCGCTCCTTACACACCCTACTAGTGTCAGCAGGTCCTCTAAACGGAAGTCAACTTTACACTTCTATCGCGCAACACCAAATTCGATAGCAAATATGGCGCCCAAGTCGTTCCAAACCGTCGCCCTTATGCCCATCATCTTCGGCCTCAAGAATGCCGCCGCTCTGATCCGCAAAGGCGAAGCACACGCCAAAGCCAATAACATCGATCCGGCCAACTACCTCACTGCACGTCTCCACCCCGATATGGACGACTTGTGCTACCAAGTGTACCGCTTCACCGAAACAGCGAAACACATCGTGGAACGCTCCAACCCATCAGCCCCAACTATCAGCCTGACTGATGACGAAAAGACCTTCTCTGAACTTCTAGCGCGTATCCAGAAGACCCTCGAGTACATCGAGAGCATTGAAGTTGAGACCCTCGATGGCAGGGAGGACCATGAGGTTGTGCTTCATCTTGCAAAGCACCTGCCGAAGGGTCCAGCTGAGGTCAGGTCTACCGTGTTCGAGTACGTGCTGCGGCAGGCGCATCCGAACTTCTGGTTCCATGTTACGACTATGTATGATATATTCAGGCACAAAGGGGTTCCACTGGGGAAAACGGACTTTTTGAATGGAGCGGGACTGATACCAGTCAAGTGGCTTGGAGCGAACGTATAGCTCGACATCCGGTGGATACGATGCTAGGTCGCAGAATTTAAGCACGCGAATGTACGAAATCAATAATTGCTAGTACAGTCCACGATCACCCTCTATGACTATGAGAACGCCGGTCGTTAATAGAATCATTACTTCATGACCACCTCTCTCCGTGGTACCCAATCTATACTTCCCGGTCACAAAGAGATGGCAGCAACAAGCGCATCCATCGCACTCGAGTGCGTACTCGCATTTGCCGGACTAACAAACGGCCCTGACCAAACCACACTCAAAGTATTCCCCTGCTCCTCATCCCGATTGTTCATCCAAATATTGTCAGCATTTGTACGAATCGAATCAGCAAACACATCATCCGGCGCTACTTGATGCAGAAGCTGCAGGTTTCGCATGAAGATGCCCTTGAACTGGTTTCCATCGCCGCCGCACCCGGGCTCACAGCCATCGTGAATGACGCCATTGTCGTCTGAGAGCTCAGTGATGGCGGCTTTGGCGATCTTCGCGGCGAGAGGAAGGTATGTCTCGTTTGGAGCGGCTTTATTGAGCTCGACGAGGCCACCGAGGATTACGCCTTGATTGTAGGACCACGTTGCCTGAAAAGCTGTTAGTCTGTGTTTGCGCAAAAGAGACTGTGGAGGTACTCACGTAACCGTTGTTCTCGCAGCCCTCTGTCAAACCGTCGTTTATGGTGCCTTGCTCGTTGATCATTCCACTGTTCAAGAACCACTTCAGCGTTAACTCCGCCCATTCGATATAGGTATCCTTGTTCTCAGCCCGGTTTGCCAGGTGTGCTGCGGTCGACAGGAACAGCTCATTAGCGATGGCGTTCATGTAATCTTTCTTCCAGGACCAGAAGATGCCGCCATTGCCACAGCGCGTTGGCCAGGCTTTGGTGACTTCACCGAATATGCCTTCCGCCAGCTGGAGGTATTCAATGTTCTGTGTCACGTCGTAAGCGCCAACCCAGGCTAGTGCCCACCAAAGATCGTCATCGTAGAAGCCGTCAAGCCAGTCTTCGGGATTTGGGGATGTGGCGAGTGCGGCTTGGGTAGCCGCGTCCTTCGATTCTGAGGCGAAGCTAGGTAGGCTTTGTATGTCGACGTACTGGCCATCATCGGCGTCCCAATCGGTGGGAAATGTTGTGATTGGTTCGTGAATACCTCCCGGGTTGAGACTCTTCGAGTATCCAGATTCCGTGCCAGTGTCGTTGAGTAACAGTGTGAAGGTGCCATTGCCTGGATCAACATCTCGCCTCCTTTTTGCCTCGTTCTCAACACCGGGCTGTGGGTTCTTCGCAGGCGCCTGTAAAAGTGTGTTCGCAAACACTCTCGTTGCGAGGTTCTGCAGTTGCGCATTGTTTGGGTCGCTCTGTGCGAGGTTTGCAATCATGGTCATGACATTGGCGCTATTCCACCACCCTGCTGTGTCCCATAGGCCTGTGCCTGCATTGTACCAAATCTGCAATGTCGAGAGGGCGAACTCGGCACGCTTTGTGGGATCGGTGACTGAGTCGTAGAGGCTTTGTGCGAATGCGTTAGGGATGTAGGGTACGCTCAGAAGTAGTAGCGACTGTAAGAAGGCTGACGGATACATAATGATAGTAATGCGAATCCCTCCTGGGTGCAGTGTTCGATTGACGACGAATTAAGATGCGTATTAAGGATATCAAACAGCTCAACGCAACTAAAAAACGAGTGTGAGAGGGGAAAAGCCTCGATACATCTCCAACGGAAACTGTAGCGCGACATCTTGTAGCAATAGCGACGCATCGATGCTCTTGCTCCATAATTTCAAGGCCTTAGGCATCGTACCTGCCCACCATCCGCTCATTTACTCAGGAACAGTCGAAACAGCCACGCAGTGTCGAATCGCAAGCTGAGAAAGGGAAGTGGAGGTAAGATGTCAAAAGTTGCATGGCATACCTTAGTGCTATTTTTAGGGGTACCTGGTCTGCGACGTGGTGTCGTTTCACCCCTGAAAAGTCCTGACCCGCAATTGGAGCTTGATGGAAACGGAAAATTGTGTTGATTTTTTTTGGCGCCCATCGATATGCACTCGTAGCCGCAAAGGCTAGCACGAGCCTCGAGAGTATGATGTGCATTGCTAGGACGGATGTGCCTGGAGCTAGTGCCTGTCAAGGCGGAAGCGATAAGCGTGACGCACAGCCAATGTACGTATGCGGAACTGCTATAGGTGTCTGTGCTTCAATAGTACAGTATTCCTTTGCGATTGTTGGCGAGTGTAAATCATCACAGGAGAGTTGCGCCTAGATGAAGTCGAGCGTAATACCCCACCACTACCAAGACCTTGGAATCTTAGTTCAGCCACGCACATGCAACGCTGAATGCCGGATGTTATCATCTTTTGTCGGTATTCTATTTGATGTTTTGCCACGTGCTCTGAAAGCTTTTGAAGCGCAAGTCGATAGTGCCGTGACGCTGCAAACTACCGAAGACCAGCGTGACGCATCGCAGCATGGCTACCACCGCGCCGCAGTATCTGACGACTCGGGTGCATTTTGCATGTGCTCGGTATTAGAAGGCTTGCTTCATTCGGTAAGGTCAGCAGTGGTGGCGAAAGGCTGTGCTTCAGAAAGGAATGAACTCTCGATTGCGCACAAGCCGAGTCTAAAAGACCAGCTCTGGAGACCATGCTCACGCAATCAAAATGTCGGTGCCCAACTCCTTCACTTCGTCAACCCAGCAGTTGTCCGCGCCTGACTCTGCTCTATCCTTGCACAGCCAAATGGTTTCCAGCACCCTCTTGACTGTGTGCAAGTAACCCCAGTACATCTCGCTGTACAATATGTCCAGCGTGTTCATGATCCACTCGCGTTGTGTAGGATCCTCGGACTCGGCACCAGCCAAGAACAAGGGCCAACATATGCACTTGAAGACTGCATCACCAGGTTTGAGGTGTGAGATGTGATGAACGACGTCGTTGGCAAGGGTTGTCAAGTTGACAAGAGCCGTATCGCTCGCAGGATCGAGGAGTGGGTGAGTGCAGGGCAGCACACGAGCTAGGTAGATGCACACAGCAGAGCGATGCGCAGAAGCGATACGCACACGCTGTTTGAGGTCTTCGAACGGTGATGCAGGTTCAAAGTCGCAAGACCAAGCGATAGGATCGAAGTCGAGCGCTCGTTGTAATAGTACACCCACCTGCTCCTGGATGTGCCCTCTTAAGTCACCAGAAGCTCCGTCGCGGGAGTCTGGCAGCTCGAAAGACTCGAGCATGATGCGAAGGAGAGGTGCAGGACATGATAGGTAATTGTTCGTCTCTGCGTAGCGTAAGATCGGCTCTAGGTCAATAGTGTCCGGCACGAACTTGGACATCGTTGAGAATGACAATGTAGAACCCAGAACGTAGAAAACTAAGAGATCGGAGAGAATGGTTAGACGCAGTCTGCTCATCGGTTGTTGCAGATAAGGTGGTTCACCCAGGAGTTTGATTAGAGACAGCGCACCATCCATGTGCACTTTCCACTTGTCTTTTCCAGACTCCACAAGGGTGTAATTGACGAAGAGCAGAATAGTAACCAAGACCAGATCGATGTTGGATGCAGTTACAGAAGCCACGTTCTGTGCTAGTAATGAGAGTGCATTAGTCTTGGCTGTCAGTGCATCTCGATAAGAGGATTGAAGTGGTCCACCGAACCGACTGACTGCTTGATAATATGCGACAAGACAGGAGCTTTGCTGCGCCTGATATGCTGACTGACCCATTGGATTGCGTGAGATGTTGAAAACATGGAAGGCCGAATTGGCAACGATGATGTGCAGCAGTAACGGGTACGCAGATGTCGCAGGTATGAGATCGCGGATAGGGTTCTGCCCCGGCATGTCGTAAACGACCATGTCCTCACATAGTTGTGTCGCGAAATGATATAGATAGTAGCGCGAATGACGGTCTAAATCGTTGACCAGTGGGTCGACTAAGGGTCGGTGGAGGACCATCGCTGTGGCATCTTCTTCAGCTTCTGAATTGAGAGCGGATTCATTCTTTGCATCTTCGGTTGGCGATCCGTCCGCGGGCTCCGAGGACGCTGGTTGTGATTGTGCGACAACAAGATCAGATTCCCATGTGATGGCAGGTGCATCGTGAGTCTTGGCTTCCTCTTTCGTCGACAATCGCTCTTCATACGATTTTCCCATCATCTTCCCCCGACTCGCGACCCCGCGATTCCACACAAAGAGCTTTCCATATCCCAGGCAATCGGTACCGGATGAGAGACATTTGTGGCAAACCGGTGAAGAGCGGTCGCACTTCCAGCGACGTCTGCGACAGTTATGACAGGCTTTTGTGGGTAGGTTGAGCAATGTCGAGTTCATTGGACAAGCGCCATGCAAGGTATGTCGAGTATTGACCGTAAGGGGCTGTAGATTGTTTGGAAGATGCAGATATGCTCAGGTTATTGACGTTTGTTGTTGCGCGCCCTATGCTAACGGTCTCCAGAAGTCCACGTTGGCCGCTGATTCCGCCATGAAAACGCTGGGGATAAATGTCTGTACGGCGGGGCGGATCGGCCAAAGTCGCGATCCTCGGATCCATCCACCACTCAGAGCTGCCCATTCGCTGACAAAGGTACGGCTTAGACGTTTTCTGTGCGTTTGACCTGTTTGCGTCGCCTTTGGCTTCGGACAGTCGTTCTCCCTGGGCACGCTAAGCCGGACGGGAAGCCAAGCCTCATCTCTTGCATTCCCTGCTCCACTTCGTCACCACCATTTGTGCGAACGTCACAGACGCAATAGAACAGTGGTGGCTTTATAAGGTGGATTTCTCAGCCGAAATGTTGTGCACGTTGGACTCCAGTCATACTGCGGTCGTCACGGAGGCCGATTGCCACACTATAGAAAGAGGTGCCCTGAGCAACCAAGTCAGCCTCAACTCCTGAACTGGTCATACGAACATCGACTATCGGCCATCATATCCCAACAGCGACTACATTATTGACAGCTGTGATAGCGCCCATCACACGTTGTTTGGCTTCAGCTTTCACCTCTTTCTTGATAGCAATCTCCCTCAAGCCTCTATCACGGCTAGATTTATTGATTTCTCAGATCCTCAGATCAGCCATCCGTGTCACCCTCATCTCGTTGAACGGTCATGACCACTTCAAAGGACTTCGAGAATGGCTCTCCTCTTCAGGCGCGAGGAGGATACAGCGCTTCTGAGATTGAACGATTGGGACGAGAGAGGCCAGCCACTTTCAAGTCGATATGGGTAGAATTTGGTTTTTGCTTCGCTCTCCTTGGTTCGATGTTCATTGCCGAGTACCTCATCTCTGGTTTCAACATCCTCCTGCCATCATTGACTCCCGCGCTCAACATCCCAAAGCAAGCGGAGACGTGGCCTGCTAGTGTCTTCTCTTTGGTCACTGGTGCTTTCCTTCTACCAGCCGGCCGACTGGCTGATATGTATGGCGGGTACATTGTCTTTGTCAGTGGTCTTGTATGGCTTCTGGTCTGGACAATTATTGCGGGGTTCAGCCAGAATTACATCATGCTCATCTTTTGTCGAGCACTCCAAGGTTTCGGTCCTGCAGCATTTATGCCATCTGGCATCATGCTTCTGGGTAGCATTGTAAGCCTACAGCCTTGCATGTCAAAGGAGTCCATAAGCTAATGTGCAATAGTACCGTCCAGGACCGCGAAAGAACCTCGTCTTCAGTCTTTACGGCGCGTTCGCGCCTGTTGGCTTCTTCACCGGCATCTTCTTCGCTGGTGTGTCCGCACAATTCACGACATGGCGGTGGTTCTTCTGGATCGCTGCTTTCATCCTCGCCATTGTAGGCATGGTTTCATACCTCTGTATCCCAAACAGACCCGAGGATAAGCATGGCAAGGGTGTCAAGATGGACTGGTTGGGGCTGGTAACCGTTGTCCCGGGTCTCGTCCTGGTCATCTTTGCCCTCACGGACGGTAGCCACGCTCCACAAGGTTGGGCCACACCTTACATCCCGGTCACATTCGTCCTCGGCTGGATCTTCCTGGGCGCCTTCATTTACATCGAGGGTTGGGTCGCCGAACAACCACTTCTACCTGGGGATATGTTCCATGTCAAAGGTATGAAATGGCTTGCAATAGCCCTCTTCTTCCAGTACGGTACATTCGGTATCTTTCTCTTCTACGCATCATTTTACATCGAGCAAGTCGTGGGCGCCAGCCCACTCCTCACCGCTGCCTGGTTCGCACCAATGTGTGTTGGCGGTCTCATCCTCGTCACTGTTGGAGGTCTGGTTCTCCACCTTCTTCCCGGTCGAATGCTCCTTCTCATTAGCGGAACTGCGTACATCCTCTGCACTCTTCTATTCGCCATCCTACCGGTCAAGTTCAACTACTGGGCCTACGTATTCCCATCGATGCTCTGCGCTACCCTTGGAATCGACATTACATACAACGTCAGCAATATTTTCATTACAACATCAATGCCCAAGAATCGACAAGGCTTGGCAGGTGCCTTCATGAACAGTCTGTTGTTCCTTGGCATCGCTGTTTTCTTGAGTTTCGCAGACCTGGCAGTGAGTGAGACAGAAGATAGGGGATTACGAGAGAGCTACAAGATCGCCTTCTGGCTCGCGACTGCGCTATCGAGCGCTGGTCTGATCCTTATGTTCTTGGGTGTTAAGATAGGCAAGGCCTCGAGTGATTTGACAGTTGATGAGAGGCAGGAGTTGGAGAACGAGTTGACGAGGAGGCATACGAACATGAGCGCGACATGAGTAGAATACTCGCAGATTCATTTTAAGTTTTCATCTGTTTTGTAAAGAGGTACCCATCTCGGATATATAGAAGCCGCAACAAGCAGTAGAGCGCAGACGCTAGATTGCATAATTTATCAGATCTATTACATCTCTCTTCATCACTTGGCCATAGTTCAGAAGCATATATTCAGATATAAGACAGCAGTATATCTAGGTCTGCTCCTGTTCAGCATTGTCCGTCAGCTCTGCGGGCGTTTCATGCTTATAAGTCCTGCTGGCCTTTCCGTAGTACACCACCAGATCTCGCGGCAGACCTAGTCTCACGTTGATATCGTCTTGGATCAAGCGATTACGAACTGTCTGTGTCACCACCACGCATGATCTTCCGCTTCCGACACTCAGCGACAAGCTCTCCGTACTTGTATCCGGAGTAATCCTTGGCACCCGAGCTGGGCTTCAAGGGGACAGTTTGCGATATTCGTCGATCCTACCAGCCTCATAAGCCCTCAACGAACTTCAACATCTCCTTATTTCGCTTCTTTTAATGTCGATCTGCCGTGGTGAGAGCGGACATGTCAGGTTGAACACCAGTATAGTAAAAGTGCGTTCCGAGATACTCAAGTGTGTAATCCCTATCTTTGTCGAAAGGCTTTATCAGCTTAACAGCCATGACTTCGTCATTTCGACCGTGGAAAGGAAGGTCTGCAATGTGTGCGTCCATCAAAGCGGCATCTCTATAAGCGTGCATATCACCACAAACAGAGCGGAACTCTGCGTTCTCGATAGTAAATTCGAGCTTCTTAGACGTCATGTTGTAATCCATGGTGGTTGATTTGCGGAGTAGTATGAGTTGAGAAATGAGGTTGAAAAAATGTTGTGGGGTTCTAATCGTCTTATGATGTGCTATGTCTTCAAAGCATTGTGCTTCTACAACAGAAGGTCAACAAGGGACGTTGTGAAAGGGCGGCCCGAAGGCTCTGACCTGAGATTTCCTAGCCTCTTTGTGTCCAGTTTGGGCCCTCGAAAGCTGAACAACAACCGAAAAGCGAAGCACCTCGATGCAAAGTCGCAAAAACACTGTGTAAGGCTTGATGGCTCGAGCGAGTTCATGTTGACCTCTTCTCGAGTTTCCGTGGCTGCTTCCTGGTGGGGGCTGGTTTGGTAGGCGGTGTGTTGCCGTTGTCTGACCTTGACTGCAACTTGCGCGGCTTCTTGCGACCTTCTTCAGTCTGTACTGCGGCGTCCTTGTAGGTAGATCGAATCTCCTGAGACTCTTCTTGCACACTATCGGCATGCTTTGCCCCTTCGCTCTCGTCCTGATTATGCGAATCGCCGTGGATCTCTCGCACATCGTCTTTGGACTCGTTTTTCTCAGCCTGCAGTCCCTTTCGCTCCTCATTTGTAGAGCCTTCTGGCTTCGACAGCTCTTCATGATCGCCTCCTATTTGGTTTTCTTCTCTTGTAGATTTTTCTTGCTTCTCAGACTGATCTGAACCCTCCGTGGAGGGTATTGACGGCATGGCCGACTTTGCGCTCTCCAAGGTCTCTTTTTGATCATCGCTGGTACTCTCACTTCCCCAACTCTCCAGCTCATCTTTGCTGGGTGCATCTTGCTCGTTGACCTGACCGATCATCTTCTTAAGTTGCTTTTTCTGGCTCTCAGTGGCCTTCCAACCTGGCAGATTACCTGTGATCTTCTGAATCCCTTTGCTTGCTCCCTTTCTCATGTCCCAAAATGGACCGTGCAGCGCACCAGTAGCGGCACCAATGCCAGCACCTAGCCCACCCAACGCAGTCGAAGAAACACCACCGACCAATGTTCCTGTGATGGCACCTAAAGATGCGCCAGGTGCGATACCGAGACCTGCGCCAACTGCCATGCCTTGGAATGTACCTGACCGCAGATATTTTGCTGTCTTGCCTAGAGATTTCGATTGGATATGCTGTTCGAGAGCTTCTTCCATAAGCTTTTGGCGTTCTTCGGGGTCATTGGCAGCCGTGGCTGCTTCCATGAGCTCGGTGGCTTTCTTCTGTGCTTCAGTCGCTAGTTTTGCGACTTTGGACGACTCCTTCCGCGCCTCCTCTTCAGACACCCCATTTTTGCTAGACTCCTCGGACTTCGCATCCTTCTTTTGGGCTCCCATAATCGGTGGCTGTGTGAAGTCTTCTGTTGTGTTGATGTTTTGCAAACAAGATACCTCAGAATGTACGTCATTGGTGCCAGATTCGCACTAGCCCATGGATTGCCTGCTCATCACGATGGGGCGAACGACAATACAACCGAATATTCAAATGGTATCCGGAACCAAGAGTGACTTGTGAAGTGATTGAGCGTTGCATGGGAAAGATGGAGAGAGTGTGTGGACCAAAGCTGGGTAATCAATTGAGCGTTCAATTTAGGAAGTCACCTCCCGTTCTCGCAAGAACCTCGTCGTAATACCCTTGAAACGCAAGCCACCCTTTTTCTGGTGTACCTACTTGCTTGTAGCTCTCGGCAGCTTCCTCCTCAGGTATGGTTTTCGGCTTGTGCCCACTACCAGCGGCTGCAGCATCGATAAGCAACTGCGCCTGACATGTCTTGTCCAGGCTTAAGAACCAGAAAGCCGCCTCATCAACACTCTGTCCTACTGTAAGGATACCATGGTTCTGCAAAATAGCTGCTTTACCATCGCCGAGAGCATCTGCAATCCTGTCGCCTTCATCGCCTTCCAGAACCACACCACCGAACTGCTTATAGACACCATGACTCTTAAAGAACCTCAGTGAATCTTGCGTGTACATATCGAGCTCTCGCCCAAAAGCACTCCAAGATTTACCATACACGCTGTGCGCATGGCACGCTGCGTGCACATCAGGTCGCCGCCTATGCAGTGCGCTGTGAATGGCAAATGCAGCAGCGTTGATTGGTTGATCTCCTTCCACAACCTGCCCTTGCTCATTCACCAGGATCAAGTCTGACACTCTGATCTGAGAGAAGTGCGTGGACAGCGGATTCAGCCAGAAATGATCCTCTAGGATCGGGTCTCGTACGGATATATGACCAGCGACACCCTCATCAAAGCCACGCATTGCGAAGATGCGGTACGCTGCGGCGAGATGTTGCTTTCGATACATACGCTCTTCCTCGAGCGAAGAGAAGGTCGGGTATTTGCGAATCTTGAGGCGCAAGCCAGAGGTAGTCAACCCCATGGCGGTGACTGACTGATTGTCGGTATGATCATTGTGATTTACAGTCTGGCCTGGTGCTATCGAGGCATTGCGAGGCTTCGTCGAGGTTGTGAGGGCGCGAACCGGGCTTTGTCGTAGATATGATTGAGGTAATGCGGATTGTATACTGATGCGTCGAGTTGAACGTACGATTGAACGCGCTGCGAACATCTTGAGTGTTGTATGTGATTATTGAGGCATTGAGAGCCTCCAGAGGTGAGGACAACAGCTCCAAAGCTTCCCCGCATCAACGACCAGACCGGAAATAACACCCTTGTATTATAGCCATAGTCGGCTATCATGTCCACATCTTGCATCGCAAATGTCCTGGTCTTGCTATGCACTCCTTGATGCGGTGATACTCTTGCGATGTTGAGTGTGGTTGCGTCCGACCTGAGCACGTCCAGTGGCCGTCTACGTCACGAATTTTACACTTTTCACTACCAAGACTGTCAATCGTTATGCAGATATCTGAAGCCACCAAATGCACCTTCAATAGCTTTGGGTATGTGTTGGAACATCCTCTCTCACCCTTCCTACGGTCCTACGCAGCTCTCTCAATAGCCCGTTCGTTGATTACATGACTACGGGTGATTTTCAAAATACCGTCGACCATAGTTGTCAACAATCAAATCAATCAATTCTGACCCCTCGGCTTGAATTGAATTGAGACATCTTGTCAGATGCTTGATTTGATTGGTGATTAGGAAGATTGGATTGGTACCTATGCCTATTTAGGTCTGAGAGGCCCACTCATGAGCCCACTCAGGACCGAGGCTGATGTCATGTGCTTTCTCCCCAGCCCCTCCCTCTGCCCTCCCCCACACTTACTCAATACCTAAGCAAATCAATTCATCTAAGTATATCAATCAAGTCCTGCCTCACTGGCTTGATTGAATTGAAAGATAGGATTGGGGAATTGAATTGATTGAATTGATTGCAAATCTCAATTCAATCAATTCAACCAGATCAGGTCGATTGTTGACCACTATGGTGTTGAAACACGTGATTTAGCGTTTGGCAGGACGCCGGCAATGTCAATGTCTCTAAATAGTACTATTCTGGCTGTAATTGACTAACAAGCAATCCTTCTACAGTGCCAGCATGAGGTCGTTGCTACCATCTGTTACAGCGCAACCTTTGGGGAGATGGAGAAGTATCCTATACAATCAGCTGCTGACACCTTTGACAATTACAAGCTCAACAACCTCACAATAACAGCTATTTGGCAGTGTATTGATGAGGTTGTTGTCAGCCAGATCGACCGCCGCATCAACGTCAAAGTGGCAACTCTGTCAGCAGAGCTATGGCACGGTAAAGGTACTAACAAGCGCAATAGGCCAGTCAAACGTATTTGAAAGGGCAGTTGCATTGACTTTGAAGCGCTGAAGGACCTGGCAAAGTCAGTTGGTTGCAACATCAGCAAGTAGCTTTACATAGACATCAACCTTTATCTTCCTGAAGACTTTGTGTGGAAGGATTGAGATGATTGGGTTGATTGATCTTGAGAGCTATTGGCTGGAATCGATCGAGACTATATAGTAGAAGGGGATAGCAGTGAAGAGTTGGGGAAGCAACCCAAACTAACCGAATGAGCTGGACTATCAGTGCAGCGGGCCGTTGGCAAACACTGCAACGGGCCGCTGGTAGACACTGCAACGGACTACTGGCAAACACTGCAACGGACCGCTAGCGAACACTTTGTCACCATGTTGCAGCTGCCAGTGCCGCCGCCTCGCTCCTCTTAGCCGCAAGCTCGTAGAGTGACAGTCATACAGGAAGAAGGTCTGGCTGGTTTTGTAGCTGCCGAAGCTATGGGTGCTGGAACTGCTCTTGTTATCAAGGACACTTGGCAACGTGAGGATAAAGATTACCGCAACCACCCATACACCTGCTGGTTACTGCGCACAGGTTTACCAAATTGGTGAAAGAACCACCCAGTCGATCCAACTAATTATTTCCAGAATTATTTAATTGCTTTTGTGGGTCAAATTGAAACAAATTGCTGATAGTGGAACCTCCTGGTGATACAGTTGGAACCAAGGTGCAGCAATGGAGGTCTTTTGTAGGCGTCGTGGTTGATTCTATCTATATTGAAGCTGAAGGTATGATAGGGGCTTGGCCCAGGGGTCAGACCTCTTGCCCTTGCTGATTGGCTGGAGGCCCGCCTCCTCCCATCCTATCTTTGACAGGACTAGACTGCCCCAGCTTCAACCGGTTGCGCAATACTTTGTTCAAAAGTTATCCTCATTCTCTACTGTCTCAGGATTCCCCTGCACATCCGCCCATCCCTTTGGCCGGTAACCACATATCCAGAACCAGCTTCTGCAATCAATATTGCGCATTGCCCATTCAATGGCATACTCTAATAAGTAGTAGAAGTTGTCAAACATATCCTGTTCAGCCACATTCCTCTTCATCCAACTCTTCAGCTGCTTGAAGCTCTTCTCAATAGGGTTGTAGTCTGGAGAGTATGGTGGAGGGTACTCTTGTTGCACCTCAGCCATTGCACAGAGCTCACAAACTGTGACGGTTTATGAAGTAAGGAGGTCATGTGTACCATGTGTTTTGGTGCAGTGTTCTTGGCTCGTTCCAACAAGCACCTTCTGTCCTTGGCTGCACGAGACATACGTCATGTAAACAGACCTTGCTGAGGACCCGGTGAGAGGCAATCACAGAACAAGAAGAACAACACAATATACCGATTTTACTGCTTTGCGTGCCCCCCCCCTGACTGACTGCCCTGCGCGGTTACACCTTCATTTATTGCATCTACTGCAACATAAATGCAAGGTAATCTGTGAATTGACACATTTTTAAATAATGTAACTGAGGATCCTGGTGTTGTGACTGGCAACACCTTGCAGATGAGGAAGTCCTACCTGATCTCCGACGTAATTGAGCCTTGGAAAAGTGTGTAATCAAGGTAACCGTCAACAGTCATGGCAGGCAAAAGCGACCATTGATCACTCCTCCTGATGCTGTATGTGCCAGCAACCGGTGTTTTGATGCAATTCCATCTATACTTGAGATTGCCTGTACGCCCTTTGCAAGTGCTTTCATTAATTGAAATAACTTGATACGCTTTGTATTGACCCATCTGTGCTCTGTACACACAACGGAGTGGCTCGCTCTGCTCCTTCGCTCGCTTTGTAGCCAGCTTTCTTGAGAAGTTGAGCCTCTCCAGAGCTTGCTATAAAATTGGGAGAGATGCTTCTATATCAAACTCTTTGTATAAAAAGCCCTGCATCTCTTTGAGATAAGCGCTAGGCTTGCCTTGTAGGTACTCCTCCAGCGCATCCAGCTGCAATCGCTGCAATAGCGGAGGCCTCCCCAGCTTGACAGTTGGTGGAGGATGTTGCGGTATCATTGGTCCGTACAAGGTCTGGCTATACCCGTAGCAGACTACACTAGTCTAGTGTGTCACAGGTCAGGTATACCACACCTTAGTATTGTCTTCCCCTGCTGCAATATGAGCCATTATCGGGCCTTGCAAAAATGTGCAGACCCTCCTGACCTTGGTACTGTGATGCGTACAGTAGGTATGTACCGTGGTTCATGAGGGCGGACACCCTTGTCAGTGGCCGTTCACCACGTTGTTGCCCTGCAGGACATGTACCTGTTCGCCAGCAGTCCGTTGCAGTGTTTGCCAGTGGTCCGCTGCACTGGCCGCCCAGCTCATTCGGTTAGTTCAGTTTGCTTTCCCCAACCCCTTCTACTATATAGTCTCGATCGATTCCCGATATAGCTCACAAGATCAATCAACCAATCAATCTCAACCCTTCCACAGTACCAGACTACCAATTATGCCAACCAAGGTAGAAACAGCCACTTAGAAGCCTTCATTCTTGCATAAGTAAGTCTGTCGCAATAGTGAAGCAAGTTCAGGGGGGTCTGTCGCAGTACAGTAAGAGGTCATGTTACAGCACTGTATGAGGTTGTGTAAAAGGACCGACTGGACCAGACTCCTTCAAACAGTATCAGTAACATAACAGCTTCACGGTCAGTTCTTCTTTCCGTTCATTCACAGTATATAACCATACGGCTTGAGTACAATACAACTTCAGTGAACCTCAATATCCATTGCCCAATACCGATTATCTTCAGTACCGTCACAGGGTCTGTAAATTCCTGCAACCACTATACAGCTTGCTGAAGATGGGGTTGAAGGTGGCGGCCGGTGTTGACCATAGTAGCAGATTGCGGGTTGGCAACACCAACAAGATGTCGTGAATGTGCAATCAAGCTTCAAAAAAACAGCTTACAAGAGACTCAGAGGTACAAGCAACAGCTTGCGGCATCAAATTGTACTCAAAAAGGGCCTATATGTGACGACGCGGAGGTTTCCATTACCACTCTGCCCCAGTAAACTAAATCCTGAAAACCGTTACATAACCACCAAAGCTTGATTAATCTTGAGCGTCGGATCGTATCGAAGTAATTCATTCCCTTCTCCCACGAGAGCATGACGTGCATAGGTATCGGATTGATGACATTTACCGACTCAAGGTACAATCAGGCCGCTTTGTGCAAAATCAAATAGGGTGCATTTTGGTGAAAAGGTTCGCTGCCAGACGCAGACTCCATTGACTGAGCTGCTCAGTACGTGCCTCGCAACAGTGATCCGCTCTTAAACTTGCCGTATGTTGTCAATTTACGAGATGCGTCATATGAATTAGTACTACACACAGTCTCGACTTTTCACTGTGCTCCGCGTTCCTCATATACCTTTGAGCATTGTTCGTTGTTACCATTACCCTGGTCTACCATTTAAATCTCCTTTCCACCGTTGAAAATTGGCACAGGATATGTCTACCTCAATCATGCTGATAGTGCCCTACGCCCACCACGCAGACTCATTGCCAGACCCTAAGTTCAAGGTGTACAATCTCAATCCAGCGCTTCTGACTGCACCCTACTTTCTGTGGCAATGCCACGAGCTCGCATACGACAGCAACCAGATTATCGGTGTGCAGGAGACAATTGTTGAGCATTTCGACGTGTACGAGCACTGGCTTTTGACGGGTGAGCTCCTACTCACCGGCGAAGTAGGCGAAGCCAAGATGGTCGTTCCTACCCAAGGTAAAATGAGTGCAGGCTATGACAAACTACTCTCATGTTGCAGCCTCGCTAGTGTCCTCGGCGATGACATCTTCCTTGACGCCCTCGTTACCCATCTCATCCACTTGCTCCGTCAAGCCAAGGGCCTCCAGTCTCAATTTATCCGTCTTCTCACGCACGGTCGTATTGAACAGATCATCGCGGAGGCTGGCGTGGGTTCAGGTTTCTTCAAGTTGGTTGCACATGCTTACGCACGCTTTGCTACTGTCGACGAGATACGAGTGCTTGCATTCTCGAACTACAACATGTACTTCAAGAGCCAGGTCATGCAGAGCATGGCTGGCATGCGGACCCATCAGCACATGGATGGGAACGAGGCGAATAACTTCGTGGTCGGAACTTGTCATTACCACACTCACGGCTTCTACGAAGCTTGCACTCAGCCCAAGAAGTGAGACCATTGGCGTATGCGTATGCGATAGAAGCACCACGGGACATTCGCGTGCACAAGTGTTTGTTTGAAGATGTTGGAAAGGTTTCACTTCCATTGAGAATGTAGAATTCATGTCCCTTCTTTGCCTCGAAAACTATACCCTATCAATCAGACTCGAAGCGAGTTCACATTCGCCTTCAAGAACTCATACGTATCCGCCCTGAAGTTATCATCCAGCTGATCATTACTGTTCGCCTTGAACTCCATCAACCTCTTACTCGTGCTCCACTGTGGCCAACTCGGCAGCGAAATACCCACGTTCGGATCCAAATTATAAATAAAGTTGTAGTAGTACCCTCTGATCGACTTGGCCGCATTGTTGGGCAGGATACCGTAGAACACCTGCAACAGATCCGAGCCGTGGAACGTGCCTAGGATCGGGGTGCCGTAATCGTAGGTAGCAAGGTAGGACCACGACTTCACGTCGGGGTTGACTTGGGAAGCTACTTCGAGGAAAATGCGCCGTGTGAGTGTGAATGTCAGGTCGCCGAGGATGGCGGAGATGCGCTTAAATTGGGGGTACCAGTTGTTTAATAGCCCTGTGCGGAAGGGACTGCCGTCTTCAGTGATGGTCTGATACGTGTCGATGAGTTGGTCGATCTGCGTAGATTGTGCGTTATTGAAGAAGACAGTCGAGAAGTATGTAGATAATTCGCGGGTGGTGGTCAGGTTTGGCGTGAAGAGGCCGAAAAGCGTGCCTTCATCTTCTTGGTCCCCGACAATGAAGGGGACTTTAGCATATTTGCCAGATGCGACCAGAAGCTCAGGGGACTGAGTGATCGCTGTGCCGTCCGGACGTGGCAGGTACGATAGATTGACGGTGAAGTAGCTGAGGATTCCAGGAACGGAGTTGGCGGCTTGTAGATACTTGTTGTAAGGGACTTGACGGAGACAGGCGAGAGTGTCGGACGAGCCGGAGCAGCCAGCTGCCTTGACGACCTTTGTACACGTCAGTGATGGCTAAATACATTTCGGTGATAGTGCGCACCGTATCGTAGATTAGTTGCCCCTTCGGGCAGTCAACAGGATCCGCAGGCACGACTGAACCACTGTTCATGATACCAGCTCTGAAAAGCGGTTTGCCATTGTAGGTGTGGTCTCCGTTGTATAACAGCATCTGATCCATCACAGAGATCGCTCCGGCGCTTTCGCCCCAGATAGTGACCTTGGTGGGATCACCACCAAAAGCTGCGATGTTGTCCGCGACCCATTGGAGACCTAATCGCTGATCAAGCAAGCCCAAGTTAGAAGAGCCATCTGCAAGGATCTCCTTGCCAGGGAGGAAGCCGAAGCCTCCAACACGGTAGTTGACAGCTACAAAGATGACTGGCTTTCCCTGAGCAACAGAGTCTGCTACAATGGACGTGCCATCGTACATTGCCGTCCTGGCCACTGATAAGCATGTGTGTAAGGGATACCATCTACAAGGAATACTTACCCGCCCAGTTCAAATCCTCCACCAAAGATCCAGAACAGCACCGGGAGGTTGGCATCCGCCTTTGTACCTGCTGGTCGTTGTACGTTGATGGTCAAGCAATCCTCTCCAGCATCGGAGACGGCCTGGAAAAGCGGCGTGTTCAAGATGGTACCAATGACATTGGTGGGAAATGCCGCTGGATCAACTGAGAAGAAGAACTGAGGGCAGGCCCTGGCAGAGCCACTGCCATCAATGGTACCCAGGCTGGAGGTCAATGGCTGAGGTGGCTTGAGACGAAGCTGTCCGACCGGCGGCTGAGCGTAGGGAATCGCATTGAAGGACTCTATGTTGGAGGCGCTCTTGCCGAGCACTGTGGCCTGTGGGGAGGGTGCAACGACCGTAGGTCCAGCGCGTTTCTGAAGGTGTGCTGGAGCAGCAAAAACCAGGGGTAAGAGAGAGAGGAAAGTGGCGACCTTCATGATAACGAACGATGCCCAAGTCTCGACTGCCGAGTAATAGTGGATAGATTGCTACGGTGGCAAGCTGGAGAACAACGCCCGCCCTTACACCAGGCTTAAATATCGTCGATATGGTATCTTCACGAGCCAAATACCTTCAAATCTCCCTCAAGTCGCTCGGCATGTAGACAAAGGCCTGGTAGATTCAGGTGACTGATTTCTCACGAGCAAATCCCTACGACCTCCGTGAGCGCAGAAAATTCCGGCTAGAACAGCTTTTCACTGGTCGTGCATCGAAGATCAACTCCATTTCCTATTCGTGAGCATCGAGTCGTCACTCGGAAATCTCCATTCGATGGTGGTGGTAAGCCCATTGACCTATAAGGATACGAGTTACAATCTGGGGATACCAGGGGTAGCAGCCAAAGGACGAACGGCGGAGAGAGCGGCCCTTTAGTGCCCAAAACACTAATTGTGAAGGTCATGAGGAACTTCCATGGTTAGTCCACCGGTGAGACTGCCGGACGAATCGAAGCAACTCGTACCTACATTGGTGCTGCACTGGGTTCGTGAAACGTGCTGCTTGCGGCTAGCATGCCCAACGACACGTTCGTCTTCATCGTTCAGCCTTGCTCATCCAAATCCCGAGTAATCACAGAGGTCTTGCGATGGCTTCGTAAACGCGAATGCGAGGATTCGGTGACGGCATTGCGTGCAGACTAATATAAAAGTGCCGAGCTCGCCGTATAGGATACGGCTCCTTCAGCCTAACGCCTGATCGTGAACCCGTTCCTATGGTGCAAAGCTTCGGAGGTACTTCGAAAAAGGTATACTGGCAGCCCTAAACGCCGGTGATGTTGCCGCTCAGGGGCTCTGCGTGCTTTGCGGAGAAGGGAAATGCGGGGTATCGATAACGCAAGTCAGCTTTCTCAAATCTATCACCACACCCTTCATCGAGGACAATTGTGTCCAGCGAATGTGGATTCAGTGCTCAGCCTCGGAAGAACATCGCGATCGACAAGTCAACACCGAGTTCTCATGTGAAGACCATTATACGTCGCAGCACTATCGAAAAGTTGCTTTTCGGTAACTTTGTGGCTTTGCCAGGGGTAGGAACGAACTGCTCTTCGACGAGAACGACTGCAATACTCAGACTTTGGGCTTCGTGCGTGGAACGCCCGATCACTGGGCCATATCGTACGATGAGGTCGAAGAAGCGCACGCTTTGTGCAAACAATGAACGGTGGGACGATGGCGGGTGCTGACTTGTACTCTCGATGCACACTCGGACGGCCTGGAAGAGGAGTCGACGACGGCGGTCCTGTTGTACGATGACAACGTTGCCGATGGACAATAGACTGTGTCAGTGTCGCGTGCTCAACGGGATCAACACGCGTCGACGAGAGTGTTTTTCTCGCGTCCTCACCTGACGAAGCTAAAACGGCAGTTGAAAGTGGATCCTTGCTCCAGCTCGCGGCCCAACCTCCACAATCCGTCAAAGTAAGCCATAGATCTATGATCAACACCTGGTCCTGTCCTCAAGCTGAAGATACGTACCATCCTTCTTCTGGTCATGCCTGTTGTGTATGTTCTCGAGCATGTAGGCAGTATTCACTCCGGAGACTCCAATGGTAGACCATATTCGAGCATGCTTTCGAATCTGCTACTCAGAATTGACTGCTCTCTGAGAAAACTACATGTAGACAGAAACCACCAAGTCGTGACTTCGTGTTACAAGAGACTTGATCAATATGACTAATGACAACTATCAAGATAAGGCGGTTATTAACGGCGCCGGTATCTCTCCCGAGTTCGGCGAATGGCGAATGTCGATGCAACCTCACAGAAGAAACAGAAATTCGGAAGCACAAACTTGACAACCACCCACCAACTTTCTAAGGAATCCTAGAAGACCAAATCCAAACAATCCCAGAAGACCAGCTCCAAGAGGACGAGATCAAAGGATCAACTGCATACCATGGCGCGAACCCTCCACATAGCCATCTTCAACACAGACATCCCCGTCCCTAACGTTTCCACAGAGCGCGCCTCCAGCTACGGCCAAATCTTTCATGAGCTCCTTATAGCCGCCGCAAAACGTACTTCTCCACAAACAATCATCAAGAGTACAGAATACGACACCTGCAAACTTGAGTACCCATCCACCCTCTCCGACGTGGACCTGATCCTCATAACCGGCTCGATAAACTCAGCATACGACGACATCCCCTGGGTGCACCAGCTAGAACAGTACATCATCGACACCTACAGAGATCATCCGAGGTTGAAGTGGTTTGGGAGCTGTTTCGGACACCAATTAATCTGCCAAGCGCTGCTGAAGGGGTATGGCGTGCGCGTTGACGCCGATGCGCGGGGGTTTGAATTGGGTGTGAAGGAGATGGCTATGGACTCCAAGTTCCGTTCTGATTTTGTTAAGCAAGGGTTCGAAGTCCCGGAGAAGATGAGGTTGCAGTTCGTGCACGGCGACTTCGTAGTCATCCCAGACATGGATGCGCTGCCGAGCAACTGGTCGGTGTTGGGGAGTACGGAGTGGTGTTTGAATCAGGGGATGATGGAGGTTGGGCGGGTGCTTACATTCCAGGGGCATTTTGAGTTTGATCGATTTGTGAATAGTCAGACGATTAAGACGTTTTTTGCGAAGAAGGCGCCTGAGTGGCTGGAAGAGTCACTGAAGGCGGTGGATGCGGATGATGATGCGGAGTTGGCGGCGGACATGGTGCTGCATTTTGCTTTGCAGAAGACGCCAGCGGGGCAGGGTAAGACACAGACGAAGGTTGGTGGGCTGGTCACGCCGCCTGAAGAGGAAGTATGAAGCTTTTGATATTGTTCATATACCGTTATACATCTTAGATGTAGATCCACGAATGTAGATCGTAGAAACAGCCGCCGGTGTGCATCCCCGAAGCACGACAACAGCGAACCCTGTCTCCAGACCGAATCACCGCTTCGCCATATTCCACCTTCCTACCGTTCTGACTTACAACCGCTGGGGAAGTCAGACCACCGAAATTCACTCCAGTACGCCACGCTAAGCCCGGACGAACATCTACATATACTTGCAGTCCTTGGATCGCAGATCTCCACCAATTATCATCGATCGTTCGGCACACAGTTCGGGTACGGCGTCTGTTGCTGAGACGTGCCTGTCAAACCATGCTTTTCATCATCTCCAACCTCGTTCTGAGGAAGCTCGTCGTAAGGCAGAGATTGCGTATCCGGAAGCCTGGGGTTGCGGGTGCAGAAAGCAAAGACGATCAGGCCAAGACAGGCGGAGGCACCGATGATGCACACCACACGCTGGAAGACCTTGAATGCTTCAATAACGGCGTTGCGTTCTGCCGTGCCGGGCGGGAAATTCTTCAAGTGATCGAGTGGTTTGGCGTACCATTTGTCGGCTGCTTCCTTACTGAGTCGTGCCCTAAGCTCATCGTTTAGGACCTGAGACATAGTAAGGCCTGCGACTGCGTTTCCGAGCGCAGTACCGACGTTGTATGTAGCCAAATACAGGCCAGTGACGACGGCGACGTGCTCGTGACTAGTAGCGGCCTGAATGCTGGCTTGAGCAGCATAGGGGAAGAAGCCACCGGCAATCCCAAGGAGGATTTGCGCTCCAACAATGCCACCGTGGGTGCCAACGCCGCCGCGGTAGTAAATCATGAGGCCGAATGCTACCAAGAAGAGGCAGGTACCGAACAGGATGAAAGGCTTGAGGCGTCGCACACGGTACACTGCCATGCCAACGACGATGCCGGTCAAGGTGGAGCAGAAGCTGTACAGCGCAGCAATGCGATTCGCGGACTTCTCGCTTTGGTTGAAGGCCACCCGAAGAACGGAGAACAGGAACTCGCCCTGGCAGCCCCAGGCTGGAGGTAGTCAGTATGATGAAAGTAAGAGATAGTAGGCTGGAGCTTACCGAACATCAGGAAGAACGCAATAGCGAGCGCACCCCAGACGGCGCGGTCCTTGAGCAGCTGCGAGGTAGTCAGCACTTGTCGGTTGCCAAAATCGTAGATTTCAACTCACATAGAACGGGACCATAGGGTGTGGCGCAATGCTCTCCCACCGTATCCAGACGGGGATACACAGCACTCCAATGACGAGTGGCGCGATGAACTTTGCCTCGTCCCAAGTTGGGTTGGGACCCCCGTTGATGGTGAGAGGTACGAGTATGAAGCCGAAGACGCAGATGGCAAGGATGATACCGATCACGTCGAGCTGCCAGAACAGTGCCTTGACAACCTTCCAGCCACCGTGCTCCTGAACTGGTGTCTTGTAATGCTGAAGGGTTCCAGCCCTCTTCGCCTTGCGGTTGACCCACCACAGGGAGCTCAGAAGTGGGAGAGCGGAGATGGGATAGGCGATACACCAGACCCAGAAGCCGTAACGCCATGACTTACCCGCTCTAAGAATCGGAAGCACTTCACCACCAATCCATGTGTTGACAACAAATGGTGCAGCTGGAATGTAGGAGAAAAAGAGGCGGGAGCGAAGGGAAGTTGTGTCAGCGACAATAACCTCCACGATTAGTATGGTGGCCGTGTAGCCGATCTGGTAGAAGAGACTGCCGACTGCGAACGTAGCGGGACAGTTCGCGGAAGCTTCAATAGCCGTGCCTGCAGTGTGTTAGCAAAGTGACTTTTAAGTGAAGGGGACGCGTGGAGGCAGTCGCCATTCCAAAAACAGTAGGGGAGTGAAGACATGCCAGCTGCTTACCGAGAACGTAGAGCAGAACCGAGACCAGTAGCACTTCAATCCTTCCAAACACATCCGCAATCTTCGCCACCGTAGGCTATACACAATCAGCTTGCGTTCCAAGTTTCCCAAGGAGTCCAAAACATAAGTCGTTCACATCACTTACCTGAGCAGCAGCGCCGATAACCGCCCTTACCACCGTAACCGTAGCCAGCAACGAATGCGCATTCAGCGCATCGACCGCAATAGGCTGATACGCGACCCTGAGCGTGCTATCCAAGCCATAGGCCCAGGCGATAAGCAGAACGCCGAAGAAGATCCACACGCGGTTGGCAAGCGTGATGTGCTCGGCGGTTGCCTCGATGCGCGCAACGCCAGGAGAAACGGTGTCGAAGGGGGCCCGGTTGGGTTGCGAGGTGGTGCTGTAGCGCGGGGAGGGTGGGGCTTTCTCGTCGAGTTCGGGCATGGTGGTGGTGAGTGCTGAGAGAGTTGAGGTACTGGAAGGAGGGGGGTTAGGTGGGAGGGGAAGAAGAGCTGAGGAGAGGAAGGTAACTGGAAGGGAAAGGGGAAGGCGCGGTGTAGATGCCAAGACGCGGTGACTTCTACATTCACTTCACAGTGAAGACCGGCACGAGACCGTTTGCACGACGAACTGACCCATGACCAGGGTCCGAGATCGGTTCGTGATGTGGACAGGCGGCGACTGCACGCACTCTAGTCCTGGTACTTCACTTCGCCGAATACCTCGCCCGTCAGCGATCTTGAACATGTCAGTAGCAGTGAATGGCCTTATAAGCACCGAATGTCGAGAAGGAGAACTACATTCCTATTACTCTAAGACTATACTTCGTGCAATCAAGGTCAATGTTACATGTAAATCCCGATCATATCAAACCCATCACATTGATCACTTGCTTCCCTCTCTCCCCATGTCACCACCCGCTTTCCTTAGCGAGTATGTCCCAACCTACGAGTCTCCACACCTCCTTCTTGTACCAATCTTCTACGTCCTTGTCTTCAACCCGTGCAACATTCTGTAAGGAACCTAGCCGCATTGATGGCATAGGTTTTGTGAGGACATCGAGAAACTCGTCGTCAGCCTTCTCGCCATACATGCAGGCAACGAGCGTCCGCTGAAGGCGTTCCTTGGCGACTGGGCTCAAGCGCGCTTTTGAAGCGGCTGGTAGGTTCTTGAGACTCAGAGTACGACCCGGCTTCTTCTGATTTCGACTGACGTTGGACGTCTGGGGGTTCATGTGATTTGGCGCAAGCCCCATAGCGCGCTCAAGCACGAGAATGAGAGCCTTGACTTCGAGGTGGGTCCCGAGAGCTTCAGCTTCGCGCCTCTGAGCCTCTTCCGGGGTCTTGGGTTCGGGTATCGGTTCGATATCGCCTTCCACTGTGCTACTGCGATGTCTGCCAAATGTACAATAGAACAATCGCCGTCCCACGCGCTCAAGCAAGAGGTACACAAAGCCGTCGAATATCTGTTGATGTACGGGATTTGTCTTTTCAAGAAACCCGAGAAGACCGATGAGCAGATGCGCCAGGGCGCGAGCGGGCACAGATTCCTTGACCACTTTGGCGGGTGCCTTTTCCTTCGATTTCTTCGGCTCGAATACTTGTAGTGGCGGTTGTTGAGCAGTTTGGCGTGCGACAGACTCGATCGCGATAAGCACCGTCTTGAACATATCGGCCAGTTCGCACACAACAAGGCTGGAGAGTCGTGGATCGTCGGTAGACTCGGTCAGCTTAGTGAGACCAACGAGCACTGACATGAAGCCTCGGGCGCAGATTGTCATTGCAAGCGCGAAATTGGACTTGTCTTGGTCCAGAGATGCCGGGCCAGACGTTCGCCGATCTTGTCGCGAAAGTTGTCCATGTCTGTGAGCGACTAGACGTATGACCTTGCCCAGTGCATTAGATGCCCGGACCAATGTGAAGCATAGCGTATCGACATCTGTGTTCGTCATACGGCATAACTTGTGTGTGGTGAATAACGACTCGGTAAGGTTAGTGCCTTCTGTCCATTGCGCATCAGTATGTTGACAAACCCTGAGTGGAAATGTGACTTACCCTGCCCCAAGCGATCGAGGAAGTCCATGTCATCGTCAATAACTTCCTGGGTCTCAGCTACTGAGTGTTCAAGCTGTTGGTTCACCTTGGGTCGCTTTACATTCCTTACTGGCGAGGCTGCTCGCGCCTTCCGCTTCGACGTATTCATAGCATTGGTGTGAGCGAGATCCGACGCGCAGCTTGTGCGGTTTGTCAACATGTGATTTGAGCGCTCGAGTCTGCTGTTCTCGCTCCGCAGGTCGTCGCATTCGTCTTGCAGTCTCCGGCACTGCTCCTTCCAGTACGAAACGAGATCGAGGTGTTCACCGTGCTCATGGTGTTCGGACGCGGGTGAAACAGGTCGTACTTGTTCTCGTAGCTGTAGGATGTAATCTGTTTGGTTAGTGGCAGTATTGTTTATGAAAAGGGCAAGGCTTACCTCTGGCAGAGGTGCCGGGTGGCTTCGCCCTAATAAGCGCGATTGCTAGTGCAATATGGGCGCTCGATGGCGCAAATGGATCTGGTGGAGGCTGTGTTTTCGGTGGCATATCTGCGGATTGCTTTGCGCAGGACAGGAACGGAAGCACGCGATATCGAAGGTTGCGTGCGGTTGTGAGTGAGGCATGCGTGGTGAGGACTGCTGTTTCAAGCCGCTGCGATACAAGGAGCGTGATCTGGCATTGATGTGCGCAGCGGACTGGGAACGAACGACAGGAACAAGTTCGCGGAATGTAACATGAGAGCGAGCGGCGGAATGAGATTGACAGGGATCGAGTTGTTCAAAGGAAGGTGGGGGAAACGTGGAGTGCTGAAAGGACGAGGAAGGAACGGTCAAGTTCAACACCACACGACCAAAACTACAACGGGCAGTGCTTTCATCGACCAATATGTTACTTCTGCAAACTGCAGTGTATAGTACACTCACCATATACTTACAGCCATCTTCCTCGCTAATTCAACACTGAGTATAATCGTACAACCGCTCTAACGCATGCGCTCCGTCCGCCTCTTGTACGGCAGCGGCTCGACCCTCTTCCTCTTGAACTCAATGCTGGCCTGGTCCTTCAATCCAGCCCGCTCCAAGACACCTGCCATGCTCTCGTCCCACTTCGTCCTGAATAACGTGGCGGTGAGAGGCTTCAGCTTCTGGGACCCAACAAAGCTGCGAAGGTTGAAGCCATCGCGCTCAATGGTGCTGAGCTTCGAAACGTCGAACTTCTTCGCCTGGTCCTGCTCAAGCACCACGACAGCCAGACGGTGGTAAGGTGCGCCCTTGTGCGCCCATGGTGCAACCCACGGGAGAGCAACCTTCTTGTCGTCGGTGCTCTTCCTGTCATCCTCAGCAATGCGCTGCAGAGGGATCGAAGTCTCGCTAGGCGAGATGCGGATGTTGGAGGCGATGAAATGGCAGCGCGTGGTGAAGCCGTCCTCCTGTGGTACAGGGACGTCTGCATCCACGACCGCGACGGTCACCAGCTTCTCACCGGGGGTAAATGTCTGCACGTGCAGAGTAGGCATCTTCTCGCTGATGTCGGACTCAACGAAGTCGCCGGGGGCCACGGTCTTTCGCCCAAATGACAGGTCGATATCTGCGACGAGGTCCAAAGATCCAAGTAAGTCAGGGACAACGGATAATTGAGTAACGCGCTGCTCGAGGACCTTGCGCTTGAATTCACGCCACTTCTTCTCGGCCAAATGACGATAGATGGGCTTGTTCATGTCGCCTGCATGCATGTCAGTCCTGTTTCTTGCGCGCTCACTGTCCTAACATACCTTGCCCGTCCTCGAACTTCCTCTTCACTACAGGGTCGTTGATGTCCGCCGCGATGATCAGGTCGTTCAAGTGCATCTTCATCCTCGCTATCCGGTCCCTCTTTGACTGCACGCTAGCATTGGATTCTGCAGTAGCTTGTATGCGCTGCTGTTGGGTCTTGATCTCCTTCAGCTTCTCCTGCCTGTCCTCCTGCAGGAACTTCCTGGCCTCCTGGAAGCACTGGTACGGCAGCTGCTCGAAGGGGATCTCCTCGGTCTTGCGGACAGCGGACATTCGCAGGGCCGCACGGCGACGACGAGAACCCACAGGCTGGACGCCTTCTCTCCTCAGCAGACGGCGCTCCTGCTTCTTGTTCTCCACCGTCTCGGGGTCTAGCTTTCCCCACTTCTGCATGAATTCGGGGACCTCTTGCACGGACGCTGCGGAAGCATCTGAAGCGGACTGGGGCGGCGGCGGAGGAGTCGAGGAGGCAGTCGGCTGGGCCCGCACTTCTTCACGGGCGGCGGCCGAGGACGAGAGCAGGCGTTGCTGCGCGCCATTGGCCGAGGGAACCTGTCGAACGCATCGCAGACACGTGCTGAACTGCCGCATCGACGGCGTGAGGGACGCCATCTGGTGTGTTGGAGGATGATGACGGGGCGTGCAGGGAGTGTGATGGTGTCGGACTTGGAAGAAATGTCGATGTCCGAGCTTTTCGTGAACTTCTGCCCTCCGCAACACCTCCGCGACCACCTCCCCAGCACATTCACAGCCCGCCATGGCGACCACAAGGATATCGGTGCCGCTGCGGGGCGTCTCACATCAATTGAGCCGGCTGTCGATACGGCAGGCCGCGCTCCCTGCTCGCTGCACAGTTGGTTGCGCGCTTCCACGCCCCCATGCATCGTCCTAACAGCTGCATAGAAGTCAATCACATCCTCCTTCGCCCGCCCAATCACCACTTCGACATGCTCAAGAGCCGCCGTTTCCCCCATCGCCGCCTCCGCCGACACTTTTGTGCCCGTCAAGCCGTTCGAGGAGCAGACAGTGCTTGCGACCATCCACCAGTTCCCTTCCCTCGAGCCACTCCGGTTCGAGACATTCCCTGCGAACCACCTGCACCTCCCCACACGAAAGGACATCCTGCACCGCGCCGTCATCTACGAGGGTGATATGACACGACTGGGTACCGCCTCGACCAAGAACAGATACGAGGTTCGGGGTTCGGCAAGGAAGATGCGCCCGCAGAAGGGTTCAGGTCGCGCTCGTATTGGAGACGTCAAGTCGCCCGTCATCAGATCTGGAGGTGTTTCGCACGGGCCCAGGCCCCGCGACTTCTCCACCGAGCTCCAGAAGAAGGTCTACGATTTGGCATGGAGGACAGCGCTTTCGTACCGCTTCCGTAGGGGCGAGCTGATCATTGTGGACAACGCCATGGAGATTGAGAGCCCCTCGACAAGGCTGCTGGAGCACGTCTTGAAGTACCAGGCAAAGCAAAGAGGTGGAAAGGGCAAGAGTCTGTTGGTCACACTCGAGGAGCGGCCCATGCTCGAGCTGGCGCTGGAGGAGCTGGAGTCTGGCGACCAAACCCTCCTCTGGGACGAAGTCGACGTCAAGAACCTGCTCGAGGGCTCCCGCGTCCTCATCGAGCGCGCCGCGCTGAACAACATCCTCCTCTCGCACCAGGAGGATCTCACACACAAAGCCATCCAGCCCTGGCACAAAGGCCTCGTTCGCTCCTCGCCAGCAGAAGACCTCGAGTCCACCATCGGCTGGGCCGAATTCCGCGGCCTCATGCTCACCCCGCCCACCGAAATGGACGCCGCCCGCGCCGACGCCTACGAGAGCGTAGCATCAACCCGCTACGCGTACGCCGAAACCCTCCCCTTGGGCCCCGCGCGCTCCGAACTCATGATCTCCGCATACAACCTCCTCGCGGAAGCCAAGCAGTACCAGTTCGCCCAGCGCACCGGCATGCCGTTCGCAGACTACACGCGCATCCAGAACCGTCGCAACGCGACGAGCCACTTCCCCCGCATCCAGGCCCTCGACTATCAGATCACGACCAAGACACAGCTCGGCGGCACCGCAGAAGAAACCTCGCGTGTGGCGGCTGAGACGCACTACGTCGAGGTGCGCGAGCTGGAGGTCGAGAAGCAGGACATCATCTTTGAATCCGCGCTGCTTGCGGCACAGGTCCAGGAGCACCTTGCTGAGGCGCACAGCCTGGCGGGCGATGTCGCAGCTGCAGAGGTCGCTCTTGCGCGCGCTAGTGTGCAGCGCACAAACGTTGATACCCACGAGCTGGAGCAGCTGTCTGCTCGCGTCGAGCTCGCGAAGCAAAAGAAGTCGCTGGCACATGCAAAGGGGGACTGGAAGGCGCAGCAGGAAGCGCAGGAGGAGATCACACTAGCCAACCAGGCGCTCGAGACAGCGATGGCTGAGCAGGAGGCTCTCAGTGAGGTTGAGGAGGTGGATGAGGCACAGCGTGAGCAGCCGGCCGAGGAGAAGAGGTAGTATCTGGATTTAAAAGGTTGTATTATTGTACATTGTATGTGTAGACGGTCTACGTAGCCAAGTGTATGATACCGAGCTACGGGCTTTTCGCTTCATGTCTGCCATCCCTGCTTCTTGCGTAGTGTTACATAATCTTACAAGAGGGTACAGTGTAGCGGGGGGAGTATGCAGGACAACGAAGAGACTTCTCAGCCTTCGCTTTGTGTTCGCGAATACCTCTCGCGGCTTGGTGATGCGCATTGCGGCCTAGGCTGGGCTCGAGACTCGCAGCTGTGCCTCGGTCTTCTTCATTCAAGGGATGGAGGGATGGATGGATGGGTGGATGGATCTGATCCACCCCAAAGTTCACCTCACTCCTCGCTCTTCTTCTTCTTCTTCTCGTCAACCTTCTTCTTCTCCTCGTCAGCCTTCTTCCCCTCAAACACAATCGTCAGCACCGCCCCCACAGCCCCCTCCCTCTTGACCTCCTTCGCGCCCTTGCACTCGTCCGCCGCAGCCATAATAGCTTTGTGCACCGCACTCGCCTCCTCAGCCGTCGCCTTCCTCCCCTTCTTCTTCGGCCCCAGGAGCACTTCCACCCTCCGTCCCTCCAACAAGAAATCCTGCAATTTGTTCAACCTGTGCTTCAGATCGCCTCCCCCGATGGCCCAGTTCAGCTCCAGGTTCTTCTGCGGCGGGCCCGTGATGCCCTTGGCTTGTTTGCGCGCGGCGTCGACTTTGCGCTCGTGTTGGGCGCGGAGGTCGATTTTCGAAACGACACGGCATACTGGCGGGTGGTCTGGGTCCTGGACGCCGAATTCATCCACCCTCCCCGGCGTGACTTGCACCAGGTGATGTGTGACCTTGTTGAAGCTGTTCAGCGCATCCAGCGTCGCCACATCCTCGAAGAACCTTCCCTCCGCATCGACGAAATTGACCCGCGGCGCTGTGATGGCGCTGTCGATTGTGTAGTAATCCGAGAGGGCGTGGCGGCGGGTGTCTCTCTTTGCGTAGCTCTTGTTCCGCACTTGGTTCTGGCTGAGAGGGTTTACGGTGATGGACGGGGGGCCGTAGGTGGGCGCGAAGGCGGGCGCGAACTGGACGGGGATGCCGGAGGTGGTGCTGCGCAGGTTGGGGAGGACGAAGACGCGGTAGAGGGCGCGCGAGGTGCTGGATATGTGGTGGGTTGGCGGCATGGTGGTGGTTGGGGTGCGGTCGATAGGGCGCGATCAATGGGGTGCGGTCAATGGGGTGGCGGTCAATGGGCTGGCGGTCAATGGGCTGGCGGTGAAGAGCGATTGACCAGTGGCGGCAGAGATGGACAAGGAGGGCAGATGCCGCGTGTTGTATACGTGTGTGATGGCAAGAGAAGCTTCGAGTAGAGCATGCGACACCAACTGAAGCTTTTCGAGTGCAAGCACAGACGTCAGCGAATCGGAGCTTGAAGCCCACCGAGCCATCACCCCGCTGCCTTGCTCCTCTCCGCGACAGCTGCAGCCAGCACCCTGGTGGTCTGGACAACACTATGAGGCTGGAAGAGCAAGCAGGCCCACGACGAGAGACTGCACTGCTCCCTCTACCGCCATGAGCAACCCACTCGCGGAGTACCTCTCTGCGCTGGACGCTCGCGATACGCGCGAGCGTGCGCACGAAGTATACAGCAACGCATGTGAGCAAGTCCTCTCAGGCCACAACCTGCCTCGGAACTAACAGTATATAGACACCAAGCTTGCCGACCGCACAGCAACACAGGCACTCCAGCATGCATCGACATCAACAGACGAACACAGGCCTACAGCCAGCGACTCTACCAAGACCATCAAGGCTGCCACAACTCCGGCCAAGAGCTCGTCCGCGCCTCAAGACACAGCGTCAGCCGCAGCACTCACCCAGCTCCGCTCCGAACTAGCTGCCACCCAGAAAATCCGCAGCAGCCTCGAAGCCGAGCTCAGCACGCTCAACACCAACCTCGCAGCGCTGCAAGCATCAGACGCGCAGCAGAAGCAGCGCATCGCCCAGCTCGAGAAGCACAGAGCCCAGCTCGAACGACGGGGCAAGGACAGGCAGGAGGAGCTGAAGGGCAAGGGCCGCTTTGTGGAGGAGGTGCAGGACGAGATGGTCGCGCTGAACCTGCAGCTTAACATGGCGGAGCAGGAGAAGGAGAGGCTGAAGAAGGAGAACGAGGAGCTGACGAGACGGTGGGTGAGTAAAATGGAGGAGGAGGCGAGCAAGATGAATGCGGAGATGGGGTGGGAAGAGCAGGGAGGGCGGAGGAAGGGATCGAAGGGCTAGTTGGGTAGAGCCGTCTTTCCGTAGCACGATTTCGTCCTGGGACATGTCTCCCGACCATTCACTCTCGTTTCGTGGCTGACATGTGTGGATCCCTGCTCGCTGCAGCCTTGCAGCTGCTAGCGCAACCATAGCTCAAGCTCTCCACCTCCACCGGACTCGCGCCTTGACATCAACCGCCAGCAACATTTCTCACCACGCCTTTCTCCCCTGCTTCTCGACCATGGGGACCGCACTCAAGACCTGGGGTATGCTTCGCCATTGCCGCTCTTCCACTCTTCCTCTCTTCCTCTCTTCCCCTCTTCCCCTCTTCTGCTCTTCTGATACTACTCCTGCCATCCCCGCATTGCCCCGCCATACATGCTCCAGCTGCTGACAAGCACCAGAGCTCGAGAACTCGGTGCAGCTCGTCGACCCCACCAAAGACGCCCTCTATTCCTACTCTGTCCCGGCGCAGAAAGCCCTGGACAACGCACACCCATGGCGCACCGATCCCCACTACTTCACCTCGGTCCGCATCTCCGCAGTGGCGCTGCTCAAGATGGTCATGCACGCCCGCTCCGGCGGCTCCCTCGAGGTCATGGGCCTCATGATGGGCAAGATCGAAGCACACACGTTCGTCGTCACCGACGCCTTCCGCTTGCCCGTCGAAGGCACCGAGACACGAGTCAATGCACAGGACGAAGCAAACGAGTACATGGTCGAGTTCCTCCAGCGCGCGCGAGACCAGGGCCAGCTCGACAACGCAGTAGGCTGGTACCACAGCCATCCCGGCTACGGCTGCTGGCTCTCCGGCATCGACGTCAACACCCAGAAGACACAACAGCAGTTCTCCGACCCCTTCTGCGCCATCGTCATCGACCCCGACCGCACCGTGTCCGCAGGCAAGGTCGAGATCGGCGGCTTCCGCACCTTTCCGGACAGCTACGTGCAAGACAAAGAGAAGGGCGCGACCATGAAGAACGGCGGCGGCGGCGTAGAAAGTGACGGCTTCCAGACCATCCCCCTCGGCAAGATCGAAGACTTCGGCGCCCACGCAAACCACTACTACCCGCTCCAAGTCTCGCACTACAAATCCACGCTCGACGCCAAGCTGCTTGAAGCCCTGTGGAACAAGTACTGGGTGCAGACGCTCTCCTCGTCGCCGCTGATGACAAATCGCGAGTACGGAACCAAGCAGATCAGCGATCTGGCGAGGAAGATGCAGCAGGAGTCCGGCAGCAAGCGGTTCAAGGGCGGTCCAACTGCGTTCTTGGGCGAGAGCAGGAAGGATCCGCTGCCGGGGCTGGGCGCTGCGGGGAGCAAGATTGCGAGGGAGGAGGAGATGGGGCTGCTTGCTGCGAAGGTCAAGGAGCAGGTGTTCAGCTTCAATGGCGGTGGGCAGCCGGCGGCGGAGAGCCAGGAGGTGGAGATGAGATGAAGAGCTGAGCGAGGACACGAGACTGCAAGAGACTTGATGAACATTACGACACAACACACGACTAAGAGCATGGACGGGCGATGAGGCGCACACAGAACCGTGAGCGACACGGAGGCGTCCAGATTACGCTCGACCCGCTTCTGCAAAGCCGTGCTGGCGAGTGAGACACATGGCATGCGCGATTCGTCCCGTGGTCTGCCACGAGGCTCATAGATAGATAGATAGATAGATAGAGAAATGCCAGAACGAGGTTATCTGCACAAACAACTTCAAATCTGGATCTGGTCATACTTGCATGTTGGATCTGGTCATACTCGCATATTGCTTCTCCGCCGTTCTTTCTCCCGGCTTGGGTATCTCACGCTCACACACGGTATATGTATACATGTATCATACAACAAATCCCTTCCTCCCCTAAAGTTCTTCCTCCTCAGCCCCCAGTCTCGCAAGCGTCTCCCCCCGCCCCAAAATCAACATGATGTCATACAACCGAATCCCCTTGTCCTGCCCCGTCAACGCCAGGCGCAGATAGTGATAGACGTCCTTGCCTCCAGCTTTGCCCTCGGGCCGCCCGTCGATGATAGTCCGCACCTGTTCCATCAGGGTTTCGCGGTCCCACTCCTCTTCCTTGATCTCAGCAAGCATCCGACTCCGCTCAACGACATCCTTTGGCGTCTCCGCGGTCAGGGACGCGGTTTTTGAAGGCCGGAGTGGGGCAAAGAAGAACGAGTTGCGGTACAGGAACTCGTTCGCGTTCGTAAAGTTCTCCGCATCCACCTTGACAATCTTCTCAATGTACGCGTCCGGACTCGGTCCCGTAATGGGCCGCCAATCGTCTGCTTGGTAGGGTGAGTCTTGGGCCATGAGCAGCGCAGCTACATTGTCGACGATCTCTTGTAGCGGTTGACCGCCAGCGGCTGCTCGCAAAGCTGCGTGTTTGCGCTGTAGGAAGTGCAGCTTGCCGAACGTGACAGTTGTGTTGCCCTTGGTGAACTTCAGAGAGAAGTTGTCAATGAGTTGCTGGAGAGGCAGGACGTCGCTCTTTTCCTTGTGCGACCAGCCGAGCAGTGCAGCAAAGTTCGTCAAAGTCTCAGAAAAGATCTCCATGTCCTTGAACGCGGTGATGTCTGTGTCGAAGTTGCGCTTTGACAGCTTGTTGCCGTTCTCGTCGACCAGCAGCCCTACGTGTGCAAATGCAGGCGGTGTCCACCCAAAAGCCGAGTACATGGCGATGTGCTTGGGTGTGCTGGGCATCCACTCGGAGCCGCGGATCACGTGGGTGATCTTCATGAGGTGGTCGTCGACGACGTTGGCGAGGTGGTATGTTGGCAGGCCGTCGCTCTTGAGGAGGATGGGGTCTTCGTACGAGGATTCTGTGACGTGGCCGCGCCGCTTGAGCGGTCTGAAGGTGCCGTAGATGAGGTCTTTGTAGGTGGGGTACTGGTCGGGCACTTTGAGGCGGACGACGTGCGGCTCGTGTCTGTGGGCGCGGTCGTCGGACTCATCTCTGGGGATCGACTCGCATGTACGGTCGTAGTCTGTCGCGAGGCCGAGCTTGTGCTTGTGCTCGGCGAGGGCGTTCAGGCGCTCGGAGGAGCAGAAGCAGCGGTAGGCGTGCCCCGAGTCGAGGAGCTTCTGCGCATGCTCGCGGTATATCGCGCTCCGTTCGGATTGCTTGTAAGGCCCGTACGGCCCGCCGACTTCTGGGCCTTCGTCCCATTGCAGGCCAGCCCATCTCAGGTCTTTAAAGAGGCGTTGTTCCGCATCTGCTACTGTTCGCTTCTGGTCTGTATCTTCTATTCGGAGTAGAAACTGGCCGCCTGTGCTCTTCGCGAGTAGGTAATTGAAGAGTGCTGTCCGCAGCGAGCCTAGGTGGAGGTAGCCGGTCGGCGAGGGCGCGAATCGCGTGCGCGCTGGTGAGGATGGGAGCGCCGCGCTGCTCTTCTGTTCTTTGGCTGTCTTGGACGAGATCGTCCGCCTCGACAGTCGCGCAATTCGAATGAGGCAGGAGTGACACGTGTACGCCGGTATTTGTGCACGCTGCAGTACTGAGAACGACATGATGGGCGCAATGAAGAGAGACAGCCCTGGTGGTTCGTTCGACTTTCAGAGGCAGAACGCAATGCACTGCTACACCACCAATCAGCGCGTTTGGAAATCTGAGATTCACCGCCTGCGCCCGGCTAACCCTGCCGTCTTTAGACTTCGACATTGCTTGTCATCATCCGGGAAGTCTGCTCAACTTTTCTGAACTGCGTTGCGCCGCCTCTGCCTTTTGTTCTGTACATACCCTTTTGATACCCAACTTCTGCAGTTACCCCAGACCTAACAAACAGTAAGACTGCGCACATCACTCACACAAATCTTGCTAATCACCTGCAGTGAACGACGTAGAAGAAATCGACCTCTACGGTATGAAACAGCACTCGTCGCAAACGAGGAGCAATACTGACGTTGTGCAGAGGTCCTCGGCATCGGCAACAGCGCCAGCAAAGTAGAAATCAAGAAGGCATACCACAAGGTCCGTCCGCCCTACTCAACCTGCACCCCCGCCATTCTGATACGCAATCCCAGGCTGCACTCGCACATCACCCCGACAAGGTCGCTGTCGAAGAGCGCGAAGAGGCAGAAATCCGCTTCAAATCGGCCAAACAAGCTTACGAAATCCTGTCCGACGATGACAAGCGTCATCTCTACGATACCCATGGCATGTCTGCCTTCGACCCCGCTCGAGGCGGCGGCGAGCAACCAGACATGGACGACATCCTCGCGCAAATGTTCGGCGGGATGGGCGGCTTTGGTGGAATGCCGGGCATGGGAGGCTTCGGCGGCATGCCTGGTGGGCCGGGCGGGCGAAACGTACCCAAGAAGGGTCGCAGCGTGGAGCAAGAGTACGAGGTAACACTCGAGGAGCTGTACAAGGGCAAGACGACCAAGTTCTCCAACACCAAGAACATCGTCTGCAGCCAATGCGAGGGCTCGGGCGGAAAGAAGGGGTCCAAGAGCCATGATTGCGGGGTCTGCAATGGGCGCGGTATGCTTGTTTCACTTTTCTTCGCGTCTGGCTATCTTGCTAACTCGCCACAGGCGCAAAGCAGGTCCTCCGCCAGGTCGGCCCCGGCCTCGTCACCCAAGAAACCGTCGCCTGTTCCAACTGCCAAGGCTCCGGCCAGATCATCCCCGAGAAGCAGCGCTGCAAGAAGTGCAAGGGCAAGAAAGTCGTCGAATCCAAGAACGTGCTCGAACTCTACATCCCCCGCGGCGCACGACAAGGCGAGCGTATCGTTCTGCAAGGCGAAGCCGATCAGCTACCAGACCAGGAGCCCGGCGACATCATCTTCACCCTGGAGGAAGCCGGACACGAGACATTCGAGCGTGCTGGCGCCGATCTGCGCGCAATGTTAAAGATCTCGCTCGCTGAGGCTCTGACAGGCTTCAACAGGGTGGTTCTGACACACCTGGATGGCAGGGGAATTCAGCTCAACGTCAAGCAACCGAACGGCAAGGTTCTACGACCGGGCCAGGTTCTCAAGCTCCCTGGCGAGGGTATGCCGATGAAGCGCAGTGACGCAAAGGGTGACTTGTACCTGCAAGTTGACATCGAGTTCCCTGAAGATGGCTGGCTCAAGGACGACGCGGCGGTGCAGAAGGTCAGAGACGCACTGCCAGCGACGAAGGCGTCAGATGAGAAGCATGAGGATGTTGAAGAGGTGGAACTTGAGTTTGAGGCTGACATGGAAGACTTCGGCGCTGGCTCAGGCGACCCACGAGCGGGCGGTGCCGAGTGGGAAGACGATGAAGAAGAGGAGGGTGGCCCCCAGTGCGCCACACAGTAAAATTTCGACCGTGGACGACAGGTTGAGGGCTTCTGATGAGAGAGATGACATTGTGAGCGGTATATGACTTGCATGGTTTGGCGTTGGTGGTGGCTGTCCTTTTACGGACACGGATACAGCAAGATCTTGGAGGCATAGATCTAGTCACGAAACGGTCGCACACGCATTGCATCTGCGCATCGGTCGCTATCAACTTGCTCCCACAGCTTCTACATGAGATGCTAATGGCGAACAGTAGAACCAATGTCCTGTGTAATTCGTCCGCCAGCCGATTCTCATCACCCCCTACAGTGTCCTGACTCCGAGTCCCCTCCCCGGCCGACAGTCCTGATCTGAACAATTGCAGCGCAGAGCAAGCGATCTTGGTGTTGTTGGCCGAGTCTTGGGTTGCGTTGCCAACACCACACTAAACAGCAACAGGACCTCCGACAGTGCGGGGGAACCTGGCGGTCCCAGGCCTCACTTCCTTGTACTGGAACCATACGGAGCACCTTTGGCCCAAGGCTGCAACCTCCCGTCCTCTACACAGCTGACCTATCAGATCAAAGTGTCGCCAAGATCTCCGCTGCCTACTACAGGCGCGATCTCCAATGAGGTGGCTGTCTAACACGGACGGAGTCGGAGGTAATACCAAGTAGCGTCCTGGTTCACAAGCATCGGCCTCCGATGGCTTGGGAAGGATCAAGCACGCGATGTCCAGGAGCTGCAAGAGGGCTGCCTCTTCATTATGGGCAGCAGTCTATGAGAAGTACCCCAGAGTCTCACTCCCAGACTTCCCCACGCATCCCTGAGATCGTCTTAGAACTCTTCAATTCTTTTCTGCCGGCATGATTGCCTTCTTGAGATGATGGGAGAAGCCTATAGAGATGCAGATCGAGCGAGCCGAAAGCGTGGTTGTCGACGATGACCACCCGACAAAGCCAGTCCCTGTCGTGGAGGAAGTCGACTACTCAGGGTCCCACGAGAAGACTGACCCACGCGAGATTGCTCTGGTGAAGGAAGCTGGATCTTTGGATCATGGTCAGCTACATTCTCTACACTTCTCTACAGATTACTGGTGTTCTGCAGCCGACGTTGTTTGCGATGTACTTCCTCAACTATCATGACCACAACCTAATTGCCCTGGCTCGCCTCAATGATGGCTTCAAGAACTTCGTAAGTCGCCTTTGCTTACATAGACGCCCTGATCTACTGCTAACGACACTATGTAGTTCCCCACGGTGGTCAAGACCCTTGGCCTCAACCGCACAGTCACCCTCTGCTCACATGTCCTCCCTACCTGATCGCCGGCTTCATCACCATCGCAGTGTGCTGGTCATCTGGAAAAGTCAACGAACGCACGTGACACATTACTGTCTCCAAGGCAGTCGCAACAATTGGCTTCATCGCCGCCTTCGCAACCGTGAACCTCGCCGGTCAATACGTCGCCATGGTCATCTTCACGATCGGAACCCACAGCATCAACTCTGTGATCCTTGGTTGGTGCGCCTCAGTGTGCGGACAGACGAGGGAGAAGAAGGCAGCTGCGGTGTCGATTGTCATGACCGTTATGGTTTCGTCGACCATCTGGACTCCGTACTTGTGGAATCCTGCTGACGAGCCGAGATACGCCTGCGCTTGCTTCGGGTGCTGGGTTCTCTATGGTTACCGCGGCTTGTGCTTGGGTTGTGAAGTTTGTCATAGTTCGTCGCAACAGGGTTTTGGGGCAGAGTGGTGACGAGATGTCAAACTTCTACGTGCACTGAACGAAGTATGAGTGGGCGAGCTTTACAAAGTCGTCGCCAATTTGTGTCGCAGCGAAACGCTGTGGCTTGATAGAGTTATGCACAATGCTGGTAAGAGTTTGAGGCAGTTGATACTGTACATCATTCCCCACGGTGCCGTGCAGAATGTACTTCCTATACTATCTCTCGGATATGATCAAATCCAGCTGCGGCAAAATCACTTCTGCATTCTTCTGCTCACTCCTCGTTCTAGTGTCTGCCCGGAAAATAATCATCGTCGTCGTCGATAACATTCCCAATACTAGGAAAATTGTCCCGGACGTTAGGGTGCCGCTCCTCCACACGAGAACGCCTCTCCCCACGATCAGCCATACCCCGTCCCTTTCCAAGATCAGCCACACGTCTCTGGTCCGCCAACTCAAGCATGCGTCTTGCTTCACTCTGCGGGACAAGCACAGTCGACCCCCACTCTCTTGCCGCATCTGCGAAGTTGATTATCTCCACTCGTTCAGCTACAAAAGTATGTCAGCATAATCCCTCCTAGATTTGCATCACACCCACCAGCAGTCATTTCCCCCTGCCTATTCAGTGCCTCACGGTGATTCGGCGTAACCGGATTCATCGCCATGAACCAAAACGGGTATCTCTGCTGCCTCCTCATCCTCGCCACGATTTCTGGATACATTTCTGTGTAGCCCATTTTAGTGGAGCCTGCTATCTTCGCCAGATCGTACGACGAGTCGTAGGGATCGAGGAAATGGTCCAGCCATCTGATGTCATCGAGGCGCTCGGGATAGGAGTCGAGAGACTGGATAAGCTTTCGGGCTAGGCGCAGTGCGAAGAGGCAGACGATGAGGAAGTCGGGGCTGGGGGGTGGTGAGGCGCTCTGTAAGGGAGGTGCTGGGCTGTGCAAGGGAGTGATTTGCGAAGCTGGTGTCGATGCCCATGCTGGGTGAACGTCTGGTGGAGGGTAGGGAGTGGAATTGTGGCACTGCATTGTTGAAGATTATCAAACTGCCCGTTAAAGGATCTGGATTGGAGATATGAGGATAGAAAAGCATACTTTCCTCAGGAAAGTGTAAGTGATGTTCTTTCCAGTCGCCATCTTATACCGCCAGGCGCGATCGACTGCAACGTGAAGTGCGTTCGTTCGACAGTGACGACACAGCAAACGAACCCGGCAGGTGCTCCCGAGAGCCGTAGTTTTTTTTTTAATAGCTCAGCAGCTCGAATCCTCAATTCGTCTTTCACTTGCAATGTTTACGGTGTTGTACGCCATCAGCCATGCCTAGACTGCCAGTTGCTTTCACTTCCCCAAATAAGGTCCATACACACAAGCATATAAAGTCAACGCAGCCCAACGCTCTTAAATCCTCAACCACAACACCTGCCACGACAATAACACCCACAACTAAGATGCGCTCCCTCATCTCCATCGCCCTCGCCCTCTCCACGGCGACCCTTGTCTCCGCGGCACCCACCATGTCCGTCGACCTCTCGCCCCTCAACTTCCCCGCCGACAACCTCAGCGCCATGCTCGACTCAAATATCATCTCCATGGCTCATGGTTGCCCCAGCGCCGACAATAGCTGCGGCATCGTGACCTTCAAGAACGGCCAGTACACCTCCTTCGGCCAGGGCACGTGCATGCAGCTCGGCGGTAATGTGGCGTCGATCTATGTTGCCAAGTGCTTTTGTTCGCTTTGGAAGTAAGGGTCTCCCTAGCTTCTATCTCCTTGCGTTGGTGGATTTGCAAAGGGGTTGATTTGTGGATAATACTAACATACAACAGCTCCTGCACCGGCAACTCTGGCAAGGACACCTATGTTGGTGGCATGATGATGTGCGAGAAGCCAAAGAAGGTGGAGGATTTTAACAAGGAGGTCACATACATTTCTTGCGGTGGGATGAACTAGACAGCGAACTCCTGCCTCCGCCACTCTTCACTCTTTGGTGAGGTATTGGTGTTTGGCATGTTCGACTAAAGCCGTTCAATACTTGAATATTACGGGTTTGCGTGTCTGTCAGTCCTTGTGACTGATGTTGGCATAACCTGGGTGGTGAAAGAGTAGTGTCAAGGGTTTTCACAGTTTCGTTCAGGGTTTACTGGTAGTGAATCGAGAAATAGCGGGAACAACACCTACGATGATCATTGTCACAGTTTGATGAAACATGTCTTGATTGCTGCTTCCCTCACTAAGGGTCGCCTACGTGTTGATGATCATAAAAAGTGATGGAGCTTTTCAGTGGCCTATAGCCTTTACAGGGGGGCATGTTCCAACGCATTTCCTTGTGTGCATGCGATGGTTCCTCCCCATATTCATGCTCTTGTCTCACTCGCCCGGTCCCATGCCCAGCCTACCCCTGCTGGCGAGCCAACTCACTCGGACTCGGCTTTCGCTCATCCTTCTTCCCAATCCTCTTCAATGTTTTGGGCTTGAAGATGGTGTTCCCGTATCGCATCTCCCCCTCATGCACCCTCGGACACCGTGCGCTCGTACACGTACCCATTGTAAAACTCAGACACCTCGGGCGCTCGCAAGCCTTTTGTGACCCGATGCAGTTCAGGCACGGTTCTCTGGCGTCGCAGGTTTCGTTCCACCAGTTCTCGTGGCAGTGCAGACAGACAGCGAGAGGTGAGCCGGATGGTGCGGGAGTCGAGCGTGCGGAAGGAGCGGGGGTCGAGCGTCCTGATGATGGTGGCGCCGGGCGCTTGCGTGATGTAGGCGGGTGATTTGGAGCGGGCTGGCTTGAAGCAAGATTGGGCATGGTGGGTGCTTCGCTGGACAGGCGCTGGTGAAAGGTAGGCTGACTGTTGCTCGGGCCCTGCGCGTCGAACAAGTCTCCAATTGGACCTTGGGTATCACTGTTGAAGAGTAAAGCTGGATTGATGGCGTGTTGCAGAGGTGCTTGTTGTGGCACGTTTCTGTGGGCCTGCAGGTGGTTCCATCCATTCGAGAGCTCTTCACTCGTCTGCGCAAAAGCTTTTGGAGGGAACGAGGCGCCAGTAGTTGCCGGGAAACCGTCGAGGCTGAAGTTGCTCCCAAAATTCTGGAAGTTGATGTTGCCGAAAGAAGGCCGTCCGCTGCCCACGCTGTAAGACTGGCCCTCGTGCTTTGGCGTTGGTGATGTCCAATCGTGGACTTGTGCTTGGTCACTAGAACCACCCATAACTCGAGCGCCCTCAGAATCTTCGGGTGACGGATACATGCCTGCATCTTGAAGCTGCGATGACAGCTGGGCTGCAAGGTCCATGTCTTCAGCTCCGGAGTTTGTCTGTTGCGGTGTTGCCTGGGTGCGAACTGCGTCGTTGAAGAACATGGCGGACGAGTCTGCGTTGTGACCAGCCGTCAAGGTAGGCATCAAGCTGTCCAGACCTTGACTTGATATCGCAGGCGACGGCAAATTTCCCTGGCGAGTTTCACGTTGTACCTGCGGCTGCTCGTGTGACGATTGGATCTGTTGTACAGACACGGACCCAATTTTCCGATTTGATAATGGCGATTGCACAGTAAAAGATGCGAACGTTTGTTGCCCAAACGGCGGGGATACTGGTAAGAATGGCGACCGAAGTTCAGCTTGTGTGCCCGTTTCTTGGCTGAGAGTTCGACCCATAGATACAAATTGCTGCAGCGTGGGTTGATGGCCGTCATGACTGGGCATTGGGCTCGACGGTTGTTGATTGGCTGCTCGAGCCATAAAGTTGTTGAAGGCGGGCAATGCTTCTTGGGGGCTAAGCTGAGGGTACTTAGCCTTCACCCTGCTAGCGTTCAACTGCTGGAAGAACTTCTGGAAGAGCTGTTGACGTCGAAGAGCGCTTTGAGTATGCAAGAGTGATGCCTGTGCTGGAGACTGGGGCTGTTGGAAGGGCTGAAGAGGGCTTGCGTGTGTGTTCAAGTGCTGATGCTGGCGGGATGTTGTGCTCTGGCGAGTAGGGGTCACAGGTTGCTGTGAAGACTGTGCATGCTCTCTAGATGTGCCTGGTGCCTTTCTCTTGGGCGTGGTAGCTGGGGCACTCGAGCCCATCGAGTTCTCACGGCTTCGCTGCCGGTCTGGCGTAGGAACACCAGAATTGCTGTAGACATTAGTTCGATCACTTGCGCTTTCGATAGTGATGACTTACCCCATGGAATCCAGCCTTCTGCGCTTGTTTGGCGCTTCCTTGACCTGCACAGGACTCTGTCGGGGCAAAGGAAAACCGGCATGGATGCCTGCGGCCATCTGTGAGCCCTGAAGGCCTCCACGCTGCGCTGTCTGCTGTTGAGCTTGCGTCTTGTGCCATTCCACCATTTGCAACGCTTGTTGAAGCTGCTGCTTCAGGCTCTCGTTCTCTGCTTGACTTGATTGTTGTGCCGTCTGGATTTTCTCCATAGCCGCCTGAGATTTACGTGAAAATACTTCACTCATCTGCTTCTTCATCTCTGCGAGACGCTTCTCACAGTCCTGGTCAGCTTGCTTCCTGGTTTGCGTCTTATCTGCTTCAAACTTGACCTGTAGCTTTTGGACAGTCTCTTCCGCACTTGTCTGCAAATGGGCCGTGGCTTCCTTCTGTTGAGCGAGTGCAGCTTCCAGTCCAGCGTTGGCGGTTTGCATCGCCTGGAATCGCTCGTCATAAAGTCCAGAACATTGCGCTTGCGCGACGCCCAACTCCAGATACTTGATGGTCTCCTTGTAGCTGCAGAAAAGGGTAGAGGCCTTCGTCTTGTCGTCTTGCCTTTCCAACGCTTCGTTCCTAAGTGCTTGTTCTGCGCGCTCGGCGCGGCGGTTGGCGTGCATCATGTCCTTATGGCGCCTTGCTGCTCGCTTCACTGCTGCTTCCTTCTCGGCCCTAAGCTCCTGATTGAGGCGTTTGAGCTCTGCGATCTCTTCGATTTGCGACATGGCGGCAGTCTGTAAGGTATTGACGGGGTTAAGGATAACTGCGGATAGGATTTGGCTAATACAAGGTGGGGTATTCGGAGTAGACATTGTAGAATGAAAGACCGGCCAGCGGTGCTATCTTTGTGCGTTCGCTATACTGTGGTCGCTCGCGTTGAGAAAGTGTGTAGGTATTGGTGGGGTAGTTGTGTGTCGTGAAGACCAGGTCGGCAAAGGTGCGAAATAATCGAATGCCAGGATCGGAGGTGAAGGAGATATTGTGAAAGCATTCAGAATAGGGCGTAGGGGGCCACAGTTGACACCGACAGCGCCCAATCCTCGAAGAAAAAGAGCAAGCATGCGATATGTGTTGACTCAGAGGCCCTTAGTTGAAACATGAATCGAGTCTCCGCAGGACAACAATGAGCTCCAAAACGGTACAATTGGCGGAAAGCGATAGCGGAGACATGTAGAACATATTGTAGTCTTCAAAGATCTTACTAGGTTGCAGACATCCTGCAAAGTAGGACTGACTACTCCCGATCAATTTGGGCTTGTATCCGGCTTTTTCTGTTTATTGAAATAGAAGGGGTCTGCTGGATGAGCAAAAATGCTTTTTCAAATAATGCAACGTAGAACCTACCCTCGAGAAAGACTTTGATGATGCTGAGTGAGTATTTGTAGGATGATAAGAGATAGAGCGTGGAGTATTAGAGGAAGGGGGCGTCGATTGTACCTTGGAAACTGCGTAAACCTACCCTCGAACAGCGCTCTTCGTAGTCTTCCCTTTCAGTCGATCCTATCGTCTCGATCTCCTATCGGTAGGAATATGCAATTCGGCGTCCAGTGCACACTTGTGTCTTGCGCGATTGCATCCACGACATGCTCGCCAAGGTCAGACAGCCATCTTCGTTAGTCAACAATTTCCATCGTTACGTTGATCTTCTCTATACGGTGTACACGGAAACGTTGATGGATATGTTGTCCTACGCCGAGGGCTCCGTGAACGTGTTGTTAGAATTGGCATAATAGGCACTCTCTTACAGACCAATGCCATGCTGCCAGATCAGTAGCCCAGTCTAGCGCTTGTTTCAAGGGTTATAATAACGTGCGGGGTATGTACTGATGGGTAGAGGTTTGCTTAAAGGAAGCCTTGATTGTGCACGAGGGGAACGAGAACGAACGACGCCAAGTGATCCGAAAAGCCATGAAGCGGAGCCGGACTGAACGTGTTCAGTTATCACGCTGCATACGTGACGCCATCTCCAATTAAGAGTGAAGTAATACCTTGCACGGTGACACCATGCATCCGCGTTGTTGAGGAGCTTGCGAAGGGACCCGAGGGTTGGATGAAGAGGAAGCAAGCATCGCAAGCATCGACGCGAAGCGCCACGTGAGCGCCTCCCCGAAAATGTGCCACGGTCTCCACATTTCCCCGCAATCATCTACGTCTAGCATTCTTCAACACCAACCCTCTCCGGGTATCGTCATTCGTCATGATACCACATCAGTCTTAGCTGCAGCCTCATCGATGCCTGCCAAGCGCGATGTGAACACGCACTATACGCACCATACGCACCATACGCACGCCAATCGACGCCTTTCCCAAGCCATCGCTTTTGATTCTCAAATATCGACGAATGTCAACCGCCGGCGATGTCCATTTTGTTAACGAATCATGACCATATCCTCTACACCTTAGCTTCTGCACTCTCACGATGTCTCGATTTGACGCCCATGTGATATGGTTCTGAGCAAAATCTGGTTCTCTCGCCATGTGGAGGGCGAGTCGATATACGCTATACATACCGGCATGGTGCCGGGAGGTACACAGTGACGACGCGGGGTAGGGTGCTGTGAATTGTTGTGGGAGAATGTATAAAGGCTGGTGTATCGGTAGCAGCATCAGAAGCAGCAAGATCGCGATTCGCGTCTGAAGAGCTCCTGCAAGACTTCAAGATGCTGCGAACATTGCGTTTGCTCGGTTATGTCGCGGCTGTTACAGCCCAGTTCAACATCTCGCATACTCAGTATGACACAAGTCCTCCAGTGTACCCGTCGCCTCAAACCAATGGAGCGGGAGGTTGGGACGCAGCACTGGAGAAAGCTCAAGCATTTCTGGCTGAATTGACACTCGAGGAGAAGGCTCAAATGGTGACAGGTACGCGACGCCTTCATCACCCCTGATCGATGGTATTCGAGGAACTCACTTCTTGAAGGCACTTCCGGGCCCTGCGTTGGCAACATAGGACCAATTGAGAGACTCAACTTTACTGGTCTATGCCTACATGACGGACCACTCGCCATTCGTCAGGCGATCTATGTTTCCGTCTTCTCCGCTGGTGTCTCAGCTGCAGCTTCATGGGACCGGCCCCTGGTCCGCCAACGCGGGGTGTACATAGGCGCAGAATTCAAGGGTAAAGGTTCTCACGTTGCTTTGGGCCCCGTCATTGGTGCTCTTGGCCGTTCACCGTTCGCCGGACGCAACTGGGAAGGCTTTAGTCCAGATGCCTATCTCTCTGGTGTGCTTGTGGAAGAGACCGTTCACGGCATTCAAAGTGCTGGAGTACAAGCGTGCACCAAGCACTACATCGGTAAGTCAAAGCTTCATCGTCGCTTGTCCACATTCTTACATGTCTAGTCAACGAGCAAGAGATGCAAAGGAACCCTTCTGTTGTCAACGGAACCACCATCGAGGCTATCAGCTCCAATGTAGACGACAAGACCATGCATGAGACTTACCTTTGGCCTTTCGCAAACGCTGTGCGCGCCGGCACATCTGCAATCATGTGCTCTTATCAGCGTATCAACGGTAGCTACGGTACGTTTCATCGAGACTTCTTTTCAATAGCTTGCTGACCGACACACTCAGGCTGCCAGAATAGCAAGACCATCAACGGTCTGTTGAAAGACGAACTGGGCTTCAAAGGTTACGTGATGAGCGATTGGCTTGCAACTCATTCTGGTATTGCTTCCATCGAGGCTGGTCTGGACATGAACATGCCCGGCGGTCTCAACTTCCTCAGCCCCACACCGTCCTTCTTTGGAGGTAACGTCACGACAGCCGTGAACAATGGATCTCTTGCACTCGACCGAGTGAACGATATGGTTCTTAGAATCTTGACGCCGTATTTCCATTTGCATCAGGATGTTGACTTCCCACCAGTTGATGGTTACACTCCACGCCTCGGGTTTTTTGGTCCTGGCCCGTATCCATACAACTTCACCCTCGGCCCCATTGTTGACGTTCGTCAGGAGCAGCACGCACAACTGATCCGAGACCTTGGTGCAGCCGGGACGGTATTGCTGAAGAACACTAACAGAACTTTGCCCTTGAAGGCCCCCAAGAACATTGGCGTCCTCGGCAATGATGCAGCTGACTTCAGCAAGGGCCAATGCTCACTTGTCATCAGCGGCACAAACCTTGGTGACGGTGATTACAATATTGGCACTCTTGCCGTTGGTGGCGGATCTGGCACCGGTCGCTTCCCTTACCTTGTGTCCCCTTTGGAGGCCATCAAGACTCGTGGTCGCTCTTATGGAGGAACTGTGCAGTACATCACTGACAACGATTACATCGTTCAAGGTGGTCTCGCTGCCCTTGCGCCTGTGCCACCAGATGTTTGCATCGTATTCTTGAAATCCTGGGCGAGCGAAGGAAATGACCGCTCAACCCTGATCGCAGAGTGGAACTCCACTGCTGTCGTCAACCAGACTGCTGCCATCTGCAACAACACTGTCGTGGTGCTTCACGGTGCAGCACCGAACACGATGCCGTGGCGCAACAACCCCAACGTTACTGCTATACTGGCAGCGCACATGCCCGGGCAGGAGTCTGGAAACTCTATCGTCGACATCTTGTGGGGTGATGTTAACCCTTCTGGCAGGCTACCGTACACTATCGCTAACGAAGAGACCGATTACGCAAAGAATCTGATCAACAGCACGGAGCTTGTTACCACAACCGATCCCAATGCCTGGCAAGCAGACTTTGTTGAGAACAACCTGATCGATTATAAGGAGTTCGATGCACTGAACGTCAGCGTAGCTTTCGAGTTCGGCTTCGGATTGAGCTACACCACGTTCAACGTTTCCAACCTACAGATTGAAGTCAGCGCTAGCAATGTCTCGAGGACGCCGAATCCCGCCGCCCCAATCCAACCAGGTGGTAACGTTGAGCTCTGGGCAACACTTGCTACTGTTAGCGTGACTGTGTCCAACACGGGTTCACTTTCTGGCGCTACAGTTCCTCAGCTGTACCTCTCGTATCCAGAGGAAGCCGATGCACCCGTGCGCAGTCTGCGAGGCTTCGAGAAGATTGCACTCAGTGCTGGTACATCTGGAACCCTCAACTTCCCGCTCACTCGACGTGATCTGAGTTACTGGGATACGACAACGCAGCAATGGGCATTGCCGACTGGTGATATCCGTGTGTATGTTGGTTTCAGCTCGAGGAACTTGCCTCTCCAGGGCAGTCTTACCGTCTAGATCTCACATCTATATCAACAAGACAACAACAGGTACGACTGTTATATACCAACGAATCTTCAAGACCTCATAGAACTTCGACATCTCAGATTCATCATTTGTTGTGCCTAACTCTCTTTCGATCTCTTCACTTCATCGCAAGTTTGCTTACTCCACCGCCTTGCAACGTGCAAAAGTAAAGCTCTTCAACTTGCAGTCAGTCTTACGATTTCACGGACTTTGCCATCAACCAGCGCTACTCAACGGGACGGGACGCCTTACGCACAGCCATGAAATGATTTGACATTGTATTCGGCCCTGTAGGGTTGCCCCTTCCCCACACATCGATCGCGACCAAGCTTTTCGTATTTTTCCGCAATCACATTATTGGTATGCCCGCGTATACAGTGTTATCGATATCGAAGAGCTCTTCACGCACCAGCATCACCACGTTCGCGATGTTGCAGATCAACATAGCCACTCCAAGCGTTTCAGCTCTAACTGCTATTCCCGCCTTGGACCCACTTGGGTCGATGAACGGCGACCTAATTTAAGATAACCATGTCGAACTTGCGCGTTGTCGCGCGCCTTAAGTTCAATTCGTGCTCACCTCATCCTCAAGTGTTGCCTCGCTCATTCTTGACGGATCCAATTTGTCGCCATTCTCGCCATGTTGCGCACATCACCTATACTGATAGCGGTCTTTCTCGCGTGTGCATCAATCGTTTCCGCCGACTTCGATGATTTCTACTTCGCCAGCAATGCGACCCAATATATATGTCCTGGAATTGGGTTTGGGTGCATACCGCCAATGATTTGTGCGCATGAGTCTGTCACCGATCTGTACTATTGTTGCATGCCCGGCGCTACGGATGCAGTCTGTTGGAAAGGAGCATCAGCCTGCGATGGTGGTAGCAGTAAGTTGCCTTCTGGGAGCCAGCAATCATGCTCCAGTGGAGACAACGCGTTCTGTTGTTTGAAGTCTCGGTGAGTCCTCCCTAGGTCAACGGCAGACAACAAACGTCGAACCTCAGTGTTGGCTCCTAGCACATCTGAACAGTACTAACAATCACAGTGAGGAGTGCACAGCGACTAAAGACCAGATCAATGTCTGCTGGTCGACCGTGGACAACCCAGTCGCAAACCTCTCCGACGTGAAAATGAACGATACATTCCGCTCTCTCTCGTCCGCCAAACCCAGCGCATCCAGCTTCCCGATCTCCCTCGCGCAACTCCAAGCAACTGCAACCCCTACGAGCTCCCTCCCTCTCTCGCTTTCCGCATCCTCGCTCTCCAGCGCCACTCCAACCGCCTCTCCAACCGCCTCGGCAACAGCGTCTTCCATCGTCACTGACCCACCGACTGCCGCCAAATCAACCGAGGAGAAAGGCATATCCGGCGGCGCAATCGGCGGTATAGTAGGAGGCGTCGTAGGCGGTCTGGCACTTGTCAGCCTAATCGGTTTCCTGCTCTTCAGACGCCGCAAAGTCAACTCGAAGGACGGGCATGCACCAATCGCCTCTGGATCGCCATCTGAGCATGAAGAGCACGGAAACCCGTACGAGCTGAATGCGTACCAACAGCAGCACACAGGATTGGTAGAGACGCCAGTGCCGACGGAGAAATATTCATATAATGTGGGTGCTGCAACAACAAGTCCGTATAGAGATGTGCCTGAGGTGCAGGGGAGCCCGGTGGGAGGGCAGGGTGTTCATGAGATGCAGGGCAGTGCACCGGTGGAGATGGATGGAACTGCGCCTGTAAGGAGTGCGTAGTACGATGACATGAGAAGGTTTACGTTGGTAGAGTTGAGTAGTTGTAAGCATGGGGTGTCACTAGGATTGGGTCTCATGTATGAGTGTATTGTTCTGTATATGTACAAGTGTGCCATCAGAGCTCTAAAGTAGTTGGAGGCATTAGTCATGCCTGCAGAGCAGTCATGTGATGTGGTCCTAGGCTTACAGTAGTGGAGTTTGATACCCTTTGCTAATTCATGAAGTTTCGCACGAATATGAAAAACCATATACTCCTGCAGGTCTTTGGTCGAAAGCCGATATGGCGCCCCTGACGTCCTTCACATCAATTTTCCCGGTTTCTTACGTGCTGCACCTCCGCCTTCTGCACCTCAGTCAACGCAGCCCAGACTGCGAAGCGCCTCGTTCCATCGACAATTCCGAACCACCTAATAAAATGCTTTGACCAGATACCAAACTTAAACTCGCTGTATACGTACGGCAGGTATTGCCTCTCTGCACGGATCTTGCGGCACATTCTTGCGGGCGCAAAAGATTCTTCGAACTTGCGGGCGGACCTGTAACTGATGGATCTGGCTGTGCATATCCATATGCTACCCTTGGTTGTGTGTTTGTGACGGTTTATGGAGTAATGGTGTCATCTGTGTTGGTGCAGTGCTCTTGTCTGTTTCAACAAGCACCTCCTGCTCTTGACTGCACGAGACATACGTCATGTAAACAGGACTGCCGGGTGAGAGGCAATCATACAACATTGAACAAGAACAACACAATATACTGATTCTACTGCTTCGTGCGGTTTTTCCCCTGACTCACTGCCTTGCGCGGTTACACCTTCATTTATTGCAACTACTGCAATAGCGTTCGATAGCCACGATCTCCTGGCCGCTGAAGACGTACGTGTAGGTCTTGTTGCGGAGCTCGCCTGGGAGATGGAGGAGGGGAGAAGCGGACTGGTCTGCGGAAGTGGACGCCTGATCTTGGCCAGTGATGCTTGCACAGTAGTTGTGTTAAGGTCGCGACGCACTTGGCCCAGTACGGTCTCCGATGAAGTAGTGAGAGTTGAAAAGAGTCGACAGCCTGCCCCCGATTTTGCTGACTTCATAGCCTATCAGGGTTCTTCGTGGTATCGAGGTAGCGACGTCCCATATCCTGTGCTGTGTGAGACGCAGTTGTGAGCAGATCTTCCCAGTACTCCTGGCGGTAAGCCAACATACAGTCAACAGCGTACAATCGGGGAAGCTTGATCTCAAAAATTGTTCTAGACCGGCTGACTTTGTCCCATCGAATTTTGTCTCTTGCATACGACCATTGTGTAACGTTGTGGTATTAGTCGGTCCATACAAGACCCTATTACCCTTGCTTAGATTGTTAGGGACTAGCAAGTTCCAGAGTCACTATATAGTCGTCTTCTCCTCACTAGATAGCAACTCAGCGCAGTATTCCATCGACCCGATAGTCCTACGTTATCGTTTACCGTAGCTATCAGTATACTACAGCGGCCACATGTAACCCTAGACATTTGTCCATCAGACTAATACCAGACCTCACTATCAGGTTTAGTCAGGTCGGCATCGCTCCTGATGAGGGATATTCCTAGCGAATCTGTCAGAGTTCAGTGAACTGAACGCAAAGGAAGAAGTTGAAGATTGTACTGAGGTTGTATTGAGTGAAGCTACGAACAGTATATATAGGTGAGTAGCTATAAACAACGCTAGTGTGACGTGGCACTCTCATGGCAGGTGAGGTTCAACTGGCAGGAGCACCCTGACCGTGACAAAGAGACCCCAAACCGTGACAGAATCTTTGAACGAATGCGTATCGTGTGAGAGAACGGCATGGAGTCTGAATCTGTCCAATTCTTCGCCGTAGATCCAGAACATTGAACAAAAAAGAATGTCGTCGTGCTTCCTCCTCAAAAATGGCTGGAGTTTGACAAAGGGTTGAAAATTTAGCCGCTTGTTCCAAACATGCTCCCACAATAGAATTCTTTCATCTGCTCGCCTTGCTGCTCTCCTTACGGCATTGTGAAACTGACGCGCGGGACGACCTCAAATAGTAGATGTATCGTTTCGTCCCTACTACTGACCGCATGCTTGAGTATTTCCCGTCTCGGCTAGTTCAACGACTTGCCAGTTGGAGTCCCAAGCGCTGAAGTGATCTCCTATCCTCCAGAAGAAGTCCAGAGTAGTCTCTTCGTAATTGACAGCGAATGTGAGATTGGGGCCCGACAAGAATAAAAGGCTGTAAATGCGGTCGCGGCTATCCGCGCACTGGGTGTGACGGTGTTTGGCGATGAAGGGTCCAGAATGTGTAGAACCCAACTGTGCCTGCACTTCTACCAAGGCCACCACTGTCGCATTGTCGACAATACATCTGGCCTCAAGTACAAATCCCGTAACTCATAAGTCCTCCAGCCTCGTATGCGAACAATCAGACTGCCCAAGCGCGATTCTTGGAAACTAGACTATACAACGTTTTCTTTGGCTAGAAGAATCTCTTGGACAATCACGTACGTTTCCAGTAAGGATTCGTAATGTAATATCTGATTGCATTCTTTCCGGTTTCGGAGATATTACTCTGGAGTTCTTGGTAGTACAGGTCGAACAGAACAGCAAGTCTCTCATCGCAACCGAACCAGATCAGAACCCGCGATGCTTCCCGATAAATCTCACCCGAGCGCTGAACTTGATGACTGCGCTCGGTGAAACTACCCTGGTCTATGCAAAGGGTGTCAATCCACAATGACTTGTTGGCGAGTTTCTGCGCCGCTACCTCCAGAAAGGTGTGCAAATCCTCCCGTCCAGAATACACTTGATTGTTCACAAGAACCTCATGGCCCTCGTCTGGCTCACCCCACATGTATGGCAGACATTGGTGCGAGGCTGGTAGCATGGTTTTGTACAGCCGTATTTGGATGCGGCCATTCAGCTTGTCCGGAAGCACCTCCAAGAGGCGAATGGAGGAGTCCAAAGAGGTATACGTGAAAGTTGGCATTGTCGTCCCAATCTCTGATGACATGGTGTCGCACTGTATTAACTCATATGTAGGTTGAAACAATGGAAAGATGAAGTGAGGTCGATCAGTAGTGCGGCTGAATCCAGCGCCTGCCAACTGATCATTGAAGGCAACAGCGAATTGTCACGATAATAGGTTGGTACGATGAAGCTTTGTTGAGATTCTGTTCTCATTGAGAAACATTATGATTAAGAAATGCTGACAACCTATTCCATCTACATTCCTCACCGCCACCACCTTTTCTCCACCCCAAACGCCACAATACCACACACTCAACCACTTTACAAAGCAGGAGCGTTAGGGTCCATCATGCACTGGTCAACACGCATAAGCTGCTTGCCAGTCGCCTTAGCAATCTGGATGAACTGCCTTAGGTAGCTGACAGTAGAGGGGTAAAGGTAGTGAAGCACAACCAAGTCACCACCCTTGTTGACATCACGCTGGAAAGCGGTCAACTGCTGCTCAGGTGTGTCGGTCTCAGCCCACAACCAGTCCTCAACATCAACGGACCAGTTGGTAATGGTGGGCTTACGGCCAACAGCCTTGGCGAGACGCGAGCGCATACGGGCACCCTCGTTACCGAAGGGAGGACGGAAGTAGGAGGTGTCATAACCATTGAACTGGCTCTTCATGGCCTTGATGTCCTCGTTGTACTCCCAGTCGATAGAGGAGTAGTCGGGGAGACCCTCCATCTTGGGGTGAGTGAAAGAGTGGAGCGCGAGCTGGTGGCCGGCGGCCTGCATCTCCTTGTAGACGTTGGTCAGGTTCGTGGTCTCATCGAGGAGGGGTGCGCCGACGGTGAAGAAGGTGACCTTGATGTTCTCCTCGCGGATGATCTTGAGGACTTCCTGAGCGAGATCTGGGGTACCATCGTCGATGGCAAAGGCGAAGGAGTTCGGGCGCTTGCAAGCGAAGACAAGGTCACCAGACTCCTCATCGTTGGGGATGGTCGTACCGGCAGGAACGGAGGAAACGATCTCAATGACGGTCAGTTTGACGGTGTCCTCGGAGTAAAACCCCTTGAGCGCGAAACCGATAGCCTTGGTCAGGTCGATATTGAAGTGGCTGATAGGGATGTAGATATGACCATCCTTAGCGTAGCGGGAGGCCTCGACGGAGTCCCAGGTGAAGGGGTAAGGAGCAATCTCGGAGTTGCAGGCGCTGTTGTGCTGCTGGAAGGCGACAGTGAACTTGGTGGAACCGGAGTAGGCAATGTGGAGGTAAGAGCCCTTGTACTTGCTAAAGTCACTGCAGGATCCGGAAACCTGGGTGTAAAAGGAGTAGTCAGCGTCAGTGGACTTGATGGTAAGGCCTCCGCTGTAGGTCAGGGTCATGCCATCGTCACCTCCGTGCCAGAAACCCTGAGCGTTGCTATCAGCGCTAGCGAACTTGTCAATGACGTACGCGGCAGCAGTGCCAGAGGGAGCAGCGACAGTAGCAGTAGGAGCGGAGTTGGGCTCGGTAGTGGTAACGATGTACTCGCCAGAAGCGCCGCAGTAGAAAGCCATAGGACCGAATGAGACAGTCTTGGTGAAGGCAGAGAAGAGGATGGTGGTGAGCTTCTCGGTGTCAAGTCCGGAAAACTTGGAGAAGGGGATGGTGTAAAGCTTCTCGGTGCCATCGAAAGTCCAACCAAGCTGCGTCGAGGTCTGAGTGTAGCTCTGAGCGGCGGTAGGGTCGCAGCTGCTGGAAGAGTCAAGCTCGACGGAGAAGGTAGTTCCAGCAGGAGCCTTGATGCGGAGTGAGATACCGGTGTGACCCTTGGTCTTAGCGTTGAAGCAGCCGAACTGGGAGTAGAAGTACGAGCTGGTGTCCGTGGGGACGATCTCAACACGGTTCTTGGAGGGCTTGCCAACGGTGAGGGAGGTCATGGTGCCGTCCGAGGAGGAGGCCTTGTTGAGAGCATTGTAGAACAGGAAGGTCAAACGGGACTGCGATGTCCAGTCATCGATCAGGGTAGCAGCGCAGGTTCCGGTGGGAGCAGCGGAGGTAGCGAGGGTGGTGCGAGTGACCGAAACAGCAGAAGCAGTGCTGGGACGAACGGTGGAGCTAACGGCACCAGTGGCGCCACCGCAGCCGAACTGGATATTGCTCAACTGCCAAGTGGCAGTGGTGGAAGAGAATCCGGACCAAACAAAGCCTGTGATAGCATTGCCATTGGCGCCCGAGAACTGGCTTAGAGGGATGGTGACGGTCTGGGTGTTACCAGTCAAGCCGGTGAACGAGGTGTAGTACGAGGTGTACGAATCGGCCGAGCAGGCCGACTTGGTCTGGATCTCCAGGGTACCAGAGCCTCCAGAAACGCCCTTGATGGTGAACTGGATGGAGTTGTAGTTGTTGCTGGTAGCGGCCTGGCAGTCGAAGGTCTCGTAAAAGTAGGAGCCAGACTTGGGCTTGAAGGAAAGGACTCCGTTGGCAGCCGAGATGGAGGTCATGGAAGCATCGTCTAATGCCGTCAGTGGTTGTCATATGAACAGTGCAATATAACCGTACCGCTAGTCCACGAGCCCAAGCTGTTAGTGTTGCTGGAGTATTTGGAGAAGTCGTCGATCTTCAGCGCAGAGCTGCAAGCAGCGTAGGCCTGGCTAGCAAAGCCAGCGGCGAGGCCAATTAGGATTGATGAACGCATATCAAACGTAGCAAAGCGAGAGTATGGGGAACGAATGTACGGAAGTCAAAGACTTCCAAGCTAAAGTGTCGAGACTCAACGGATCGACAAGGTGATCAGGACGATAACTCGTGCAGAACCACCACCAGCGGGCTGCACCAAAGATATATCCATGGGCGGTAGAGGGACGTGAGCCATGACACGCGCGAAATTTGCCTAGTTTGCTGGGCGTGCAAGCCTTCGCGAAGCAATCCTGGTGTTTCGGAAAGACATGCTTCTATTTAGGGTGGGCAAGCGTCGATCTATCATTTGTTTTGACCGTTTTGAGGTTAGAGCGTGCTGACAGTTCACACCCAACAGCGGTTAGGGCAGCAAGGCCCCTGAACACGATGTTTCGTTTCTGGGCGTTTGTGGAGCAAGCATCCTTCCAGTAACAAGGATACTGAGAGGCTATCTCAAGCACTCCAAGCTCCCGCTCGAGGCGATAGCATTGTTGTGCCCTTTGCCTGTGTATAGGCCTGATGCAAACCATCAATTGACGCTATCCCCAGGTGCGGTCGAGGCACGGCGGGACAGCATGACAGCAGCCGTGCTGGGGTATTACAGAAACAGTGACCTGCCCATGTACCTGGCGTGAGGCTCACAGACTTCCGCGGTAAACAACTCGCGCTCGTGCGACGAAGGAACACGAGAGTTGGATACTTGGCTGGGCAAACGGGACTGCGGCGCCCTTGGCCCCCACTGCCGAGAATTAAATGCGAGTGCCGTCAGCACATCATGCCTTGTTGATGTTTGAGGGTGTATTGACGGATACGAGAGGCAACAAGGCGTCCAGCATGGAAGCAAAAGAAGAAGGTCACGTTGTCCTTCCAATAAGATCGTGCAGACACGAGGCTGTCGCGTAGACATCGCACAACGTGCGTGATGTTTGTGTAACCGCATGGGTCGTGACGTTGGCGATCATGCCGTGTAGCGAATCAGCACACCAGGGGCGGTCATGAATTCCAAGGAAGCCAATTCTGTCTTCCATCGCTGCTGCCGTGATATACCTGTACACCTACATCATCCGGACCTCGTGGCTGCGCTATTAGAGTCCCATTCTGCTGTCGCGAATACAATTTTGCGAGTGGTAATTTCTTTTCTGTCTTCCAGCCAAGCTGCCCCTGCCAAGATTATGTTGTCAGCCAGACGGCGGACCGCCACAAGCTCGTCGTTTCAACACATCCACTCGCTACCGGTATAGTTAGCCTCTAGGGCTGACGGTTCGCACGAATTGTTTCCGACAAAAGTCTCTTGTGTGGAGTTGTACGTCCCGTTGCCACCAATATCGATCATGATCGGTAATCCTGCTGTAGGAGCCTGTACCTTACTCGTACTGCGAAATGAGCTGCATGTATCCACCTCACGCCAATCAGCTTTCTGCACATGTACCTTTTCTGTAGGAACCTGCATTGTCGTTGTCCCCTAGGAGACGTGAGCTTATTCTCGTTGAGCTTTGAGAGCTTTGATGGGAAGGTTTAATCTTGCCAACCGCCACAACACAATTGCCAATACTTCTCCCCAATTAGCATATACCTCGATGGTACAATCCAACGACAATGATGTACCGTGGGTAAGGATGACCGCTTTCATCACGTCCAAGACGAATCTTGTCCCCATCAAAGCATAGATCGATCCTTGTCAAGACCCTTTCGATCAGTACTCCTACACTGCAGCACATGCTAAAAAGCTTTTTAGTGACCTCGGAAACACTATGAATACATGAAGATTCATGTTGAGCATTTTAGGAAATCTAAGAGCCTGAAGTCGACAGCAGGCAGTGGCTTCCAATTCTCGATGGTCAAGACACTAGTGAACATCGCACGCAATTGCCTGGATCACATCTTGGAACGCTCTACAGTCGCCTTCTCTTCCTCTTTGACCACCTTGAACGTGGAACATGAAGGCAGGCGCACTGGACTTCTCAAGTCGTAGCTTCCCCGCACCTCACTTCGGCTAGCTCCGGGTCGGCACGCATCATCACTGCTTGGCTGAACCTCAGCACCTTTCCTTCGGACATGTAATTCTACTTCTGGTCTTTCCACAATGTTTTAGTCACCAAGTGACTATCAAGGAACAGCACCAGACACCACAACATGGCGAACAACAGCGAGTCCGCACTATCCTTCCACTAAACTTGAAAGTATACTCATCAGAGTTGCAGCCTCGTAAGGCTTGCACAAAAGCTTGCCTCAAAAGGCCCATACAAAGTCGAGCATACAGCACGTCGAGTACGAGCATTATTCAACGGTAAATACGTCATCGACACAATACAAGCCTACCACGTCTGGGAGCATCCAAACTTCCCCCAGTACACTGTCACCAACCACACGCATATCCGCAAATCTAACACCATACAAGATTCTACGTCCCAAGCTCCGCAATCGTAAATGCCACCGACCTGCGCATGTCTCACAGCGCCATCGAAGGGACCGACTCCCACGTCCACTTCGGGACTCTGACCATTGGCCGACACTCCACTGACCGCATCCTGATCTTCAAAAACACCATGAATAACCTCATAAAATTCGATTTCCATGCCATGGACCAGTGGTTCGAAGAAGACGTCCCCGTTTACGGACATCCCAAGGACCCTTACAAACGCATCGACATCCTCCACTCGACGCGTAACGTCAAGGTAGGTATTGACGGCGTGACACTTGCTGAGTCGTCAAGCCCGTCGTTTTTGTTGGAAACGACGCTGAGGACGAGGCATTATCTGCCGCCTACAAGTGTCAACTGGGAATACCTGAGGAAAAGTGATACGGAGACGCTTTGTCCGTATAAGGGAAGAGCGAATTACTATCATGTTGTGGTTGATGGGAGAGAGTATAGAGATCTGGTGTGGTACTATAGGTACCCTACGAGTGAGAGTGCACCGATTGCTGGGTACATGTGCTTCTACAACGAGAAAGTTGATGTTTGGGTGGATGGGAACAAGGAACAGCGATAGGAGGTATGTAATGCAACAAAGGTCAGTAAGCGGCGAAATACACATCATCTGACTTACAGAAGTGCTTTTTCTTCCTGAAAATATGTTCTCGACTTTCTAGAGTGCTCTTCTTTTCACGACTCCAGCTGATCACGCAGCAATACCTGAAGCGCCTGTCATATCTCAGATGTCGACAATGCTACGGTATGAAGTGCCTTTGACTGCACCATGTCAATACCCACGCGACGACATTATGGAGCAACAGTAATTGAAAGGAACATACCTATCATGCATACACAACGACACAGGCAGCAGAGTTTGTTAGCGCTCACTCAACTTTCCCTCGCTCGCGCGCAAAAACCTATCTGCGCATGGTGCTCCCCACCATTACAGCGACCAACGACGACGACGACGCCAACAACGATTAGCTTTCATGATCCGCTTCAAGCAAGCGCTCGCCTCTGCGCGGGAACGCGTTGCGCGTCTTGTGCCGGGGCGCAATCCACGGCGGACCTCCACGCGAGAAGACTTCTACCGGCAGCCGCTACAGTCCATCGAGTCGATGCACTCATCGATCTCTTCTCGAGGCGCTGCACTCGCATTCGCACCCGCATCGGTACCCTCAGACTTCTCAATCGACACTCCTCAACGACCCACCTCGTCAGTGCCACTCACCACCCTCCACAAAGTCCCTGCAACCCTCACAATCACGACCCACGCCGCTCACGTCTGTAAGTTCTCCCACGGTTCCGGCCTACTTGTATACATCAACGGCGCACTAATGAGCGCTGCACGCGTAGCTCTCAAGGTCAACGTCGCCACGCTAGAGTTCGTCAAGCGGCTACCACTCGACGAGCTAGGCACCATTGGTGTTTGTCTTGGTGCCGCTTTTGCGAACGATGATGATCAAGTGGATATCACCTGGGCTGAGGTGGGTGATGAAACGGAACAGGATTGGCGCGAGGCGGAACAGGATTGGAAACTGTTTGCTGGGGGGCCGTTTGAGGCCGTTGAGCTGGAGGGGTATGGCGAGGAGTCTTTCTCGCGGCGGTCGATTTGCCAGGAGGAGGAGAGTGTGCGGTTTGGGCAGGATGGGCCAGTGAGTGGAGAGGAGTGGGCGGCGTTTTCTAAACGTCATTTTCCATTGCGCAGCGAGGATTCGGTTTCGCTGTGCCCTCAGCCTGGTGCCTTTTCCTCATCATCCCAAGATGCTCCTAATGCTGGCCCTTCCCGCACCTTCTCTTCAAGCACTCGAGATCGACCCTTCATGACGGCGGCAGAGTTTGCTGCTCTTCCAGATTACTCCGAATCTTTCAGCTACCACTCATCTTCGTCTGAGGACCAGGATGCTATCCAGTTGACCGCCATCAAGCGGCCGATGACTCCACGGAAGTCATATTTGAATCCGTCTTCGGACAAGGAAAACACCCCACTGCTATGGTCTCCAGGTCGTGGCAATGGGCCTATCATGTCGAGCGAGGAGTTCGACGCACTGCCAGACTAGTCTGATGTGGAGGATGATCCGAGGGGGAACAGCGCTGTGAATGAGATGGCTGAGCTGGACGAGCTCGTTGAGCTTGACGAGGTGGTGCCGGGACGCATTTGGTGAATGAGCATGACATGAGAAGACGAGACCTTTTGGCGCCAGAGTGTTGCAAGGTAGAAGATGAGCCACTGCTGCAAGCAAACAATGACTATGTTCATGTCCAATACTTCTTGCTTACATATGATGTTGTAGTTGAGGGCCACCACAGCCGTTGTGCTGTGTCGTGATGCTGCATCTGTTCATCATAAACGTAGTGGAGACGTGCCGATGTAGAGTTGAGGAGTGAGAGATGTGAAGTCGAGGAGTGAAAGATGTAGTCATTGTTGGCGTTCCTTGCTCTTCTGCTCAGGCGAGCTTGCCGTGTGTTCCGTGTCTTCAGCACAGCCTCAGCAACTTCAACACATCTTCAATTCGAATTTTACTCTGCCCTTGTTCTTCCCATCGTCTTTCTTGCAGTGTTGTTTTGATAAGCTGCAGCATCGCGCACGCACTACACTGACTTCTCCAAGCTCTTCAGGATGCATATTCCTGCTCTCTGTGGTCGACACTATACCATGGCCAAAGCGACGACCCACTTGTCACCAAGGCTGTAGGTACTCCCAGAGCCACAGTCGATAGAACGGCGGGTGTTTGGTAGGTGAGAGGGTGACAGGAGGCTGGCAGATGTCACCCAAACGGGGAACGGCAAGCGCGTCCGGCCACCTTCCTCGATCAATCCATGGCGTGTCTCGGCTGCGCGTCTTTCGCGGCAGAGTTCAGGGAGCCGTCTGGACCCGTTGAACTTCGGACTGTCAACGCTCTGCACCAACACGTACGCATTATCGCATCCACCCCACTGCACATCGTCGACCAACCATCCGATGTTCCAGCGCAACGCCCCTCGCTCGTAATCCCTCAACTCCCCTAGGGCTGCACATCCCCCGCGCCTGCTGATATCCTCGTAATCGACATCCCGCAGCGCACCACAGCATGGCGACGCTGAATGTGCTGGCGGGCCGCCTCTCCCGCCGCCCAGGACGGATATTGTTCCTCGTTGTAGTACTTTTCTTCTTTGCATACACACTCAAGGGCCGGAGACCACATGCGCCCCAGCCTGTCCACAAGGCGAAGACAAGGTCGTTCTTCCCGCCGCTCGAGCAGAAGAGCGCGAACAGCATTGAGCTCGACTACTGCCAGAATTTCCCCAAGGACCTTCTCAATGAGGTCCAGGTCGTCCTCAAGGTTGCCGCCGGCGAGACAGCCGTCAATAAGGCGCACCTCAACACCGTCACAAGCTGCATCACGAACCTCATCATCGTCAGCGAAGCCGAGGAACGGCTGGGCGACCGACAGGTAATTGACATCTTGGCCGAATTGCCTAAGAGCTACGAAGTCAACAACCTCGATTTCCAAGCATACATCAACCACAAGAAGGCGCACTTGGAGGGCGAGACGGTGCAGGAGTCGCAGCGCAGCTTCAAGCTCGACCGCTTCAAGTACTTGCCCATGATCGATAAGGCATATGTCTCAAGCCCCAAGGCGAAGTGGTATGTCTTCCTCGAGTCGGATGTCTACTTCTTCTGGGACACGCTGTTCCGCCTGCTCAGTCAGCTCGACCCCACCGAGCCACACTACCTGGGTGCGCCCCATAAGGGCAGCGAAGGCCGCTGGTTTGCCTATGGCGGCGCAGGTTTCGTCATGTCGAACGGCCTGATGAAGCAGCTGATCCCAGCCAAGGCGCCTGGCTCCACTGAAATCCCCCACGAAAACCGACTGAGCGTGAGATTTGAGAGCTGGGTCAAAGAAGAGGCGCGCGGTGATGCCGTCCTCTCTTATGCTATTCAGAACGTCACTGGCCACAGACTTGAAGCCTTGGACCCTACATTCACCAGCGATGAGCTTCGAAGGATCACAACCTACCGTGATCGCTGGTGCGTGCCGCTACTTTCGCTGCACCAGCTGTCACCTGAGCAGATGGAGAACTTGTGGAAGTGGGAGCGCACACGGCCTTATAACCTGGTACATCATGGTTCCACAGACAGAACATTTACATCGTACTGACCATGTGCACTTAGAAACCCTTCACCTACTCCTCGCTCCTCTCCTACACACACTCATTCCTCGCAAATGGCCCCTCCCGCGAATGGTGGGACAACCTCTCCGAAGCGCCCGTACCCAACGATCGCCCCGCCCACCGCAATGCCGGCATGTGTGGCTCCGAATGCCACAACGACCCCAACTGCCTGCAGTGGTCATTCTCGCAGACCGTCTGTCGTCACTCGAACTACATCAGGCTGGGCGACGCAGTCAATAAGGAGAATGGTGGCCAGGGCGAGTTCGTCTCTGGTTGGGATACCGAGACTTTCCGCACGCTGGGCTTTGGCGTCTCCGATGAAAGGGGTGAAAGGAAATTCTATGAAGGTTGCGATGAAGCCACATGGCTCAGCCCAAGAATGTTGTAGAATGACCACATCGTACCGCACACCGCGATACAACTTGCGCACGGTGCGAGACACGGTGCGCACACGCTTTTGTTTGAGTAAGAGCAGGACGATGATTCTGATGGCGTTGTGGTGGTCAATTATGCATGGCGTTCTGGATACACACCACTGTTGAATACGAGCGAAGAGCATGGGAAGGCAGTTATTTGTTACGTCACAAAGGACAGCTTGTGTGATAAGAAGGGAGACGCAGCGCGAGGCGGCACGAACTCGCGCACACATAGTTTGGGCACAACGCAGCATATCGATTACATGATATCCGTTACCCGGGAGAGGGTATGGGAATGTATAGCTTAATCAACCGCATTATTTGCACGACGGATCAGAGGTTTCGATTCGCGAACTTATTCATTCTATCCCATCTTCTTCTAGAAGTCAGTATTGGTTGGAGCATTGACGTCTGGACCTTATAAAGTCGCTCTTTCTGCGGCTCCTGCTCGGCCCCTCCCGTTCTCTTGGCTGCGACTGGCTGTTTGACGGTCACTCTCCCACCGGCAACGCCGAATGAGGACTCCAACGGACGAACAACGCCTTTCGAACATTCTTTTTCTACCGAATAATGCGTTCCCCGAAGGCTGAGATGCATCTCGATAGACAACTCTATTTCCCGGGTAACTCAAGAGTCGCATATCTCGACCACGGCGCTTGGAACAACAAACACACGGTCGACGTGCGCAGTATCTTCCAAAGGCATGGTGCCGGGATAACGGTCCGCTTGGCTGCGCATTTACCCCAGAGCCTAGATTACAGAACGCCTTCGCCTCATGTCACAGGTAGATTAGCCCTGCCTTGTACTAACATGTACCGACATTACCTTGGAAAATTTCACAGGCAATCCGCTACGGACCGAACGAGCTGTTTAGATGAAGGTTATGATCCCCATATTATGGCTTTGGGAATGCATGGGCAACGAACCGGATGCGCGCGCATCATCAGGTACCATTAAGAGTGACTGCTGGAAGAGATGAGCGCAAGGAAAGTAATGGATGAGTTGCATGATGCGATCGCCATACTATAAAGCACCTCGATATCCTCGAAATCCATGCCAGTCCAGGTACTCGAACCAACCCACCCACAGTCACTCTTTCTCCACCTCCTATGATGTACACCACTTCCCTTCTCGCCGCGCTGCTAACGGCCCCCCTCGCCCTGGCGGCTCCTTCCCTCTACCAACACATCTCCCTCCGCGCCCCATCAGACAAAGTCAAATGCCCCATCGTCATTGACGGCCGCGTCCCCACCAACCTCTCCAGAACGCCCACCGTCTTCGATACCTCCAACGCGCTCTTCAACCCCGATTACGTCAAAGGCAACAACCTCACCTGGTCGCAGATCCTAAAGTTCCCCGCCACCGAGAGCTCCCGCTTCGACGGCGCAGACCACGCAGCTGTCGAGGTAACCATCTCAGACCTGTCCATCTTCCAGAAGCAGGTCGGTTTCCGCCGCGCCGGGTTGCAATTTGCGTCCGATTCGCCCCAGGACCCGAGCGACGAAGGTGTCAAGACGCTGCACTTCAGCGTCAAGCAGGATCCTGCGCGGCCGCTGAACTTGACACACGAGTATCTGAATGTGTGGCACGAAACAGCAGACTACAGCAACAACCAGATTCAGTTCAACGTCGGCACTTTGATCGACCAGCCTAGCAGCAAGATAAACAACTTCAAGATTTTGGATCGGGCGGGGAAGCAGATTTGGGGTATCCCAATTGATTACAAGAAGTGGCAGAACTTCGCTATCAAGTTGGACTATACCAAGAAGTACGCCCCATTTCCCTCTTCTTACTGGATTCGGAGCGCGTACTAACATTGACAGCCAAACAACAATCTACTACTCCACCGGCTCCGCCAAACTCGCCCGCGTCGTTGGCCCCTCGAGTGTCAACCTTGCCGGCGGCGGCCAGTTCCAGATCGGTGTCTTGAAAAAGCCTACTGGTACTTCTGATGTCGTGAACGCGGGGTACCAGTCGCCGAACCTGAATGAGGGACAGATCTATGGTGGGCTGTTTGTTGAGGATTCGGCTAATGGCTGTGTGTCGCTTTGAGCGTGTTTTGGATTATGGGTTTCTTTCCGATGTCTATGACTTGGTGGTTTGGTGGGTGTGAGTGAGTGTATACAGCACCAAAAGGCACATGTGTGTACAAGAGAACTTCATATCTTCGGCTCAAGAATTGAAGAAATGACAGCAGTGTGGTAATCGTGCACCGATATACTTGTCATTGACCTATATGTGTCTAACTACTAAACTTACTCCTCACAGACACCGGTGTCCTCCGCTTCGAGGAACCTCTCTTGGAATGACATGTCTTGGTGTTTGGTGGCTCAAGCCATGTGTGACTTCCAACATCCACCCTTTGAGGCTTTTCGGACGAGCAGGACGCGGATAGCGGGGAGTAAGACGCAGGCGAACGCCGCAGTGATAGGGTTCGCAGACGGATTATGGTAGTTAGGCATCCGCTGAGAAGTAGTTAGAACGGTGCTTTTGTGAAGAAGATTGTGAAGAGGCACTTACAAGCTCCCAATCAAAAACATGATCGTCACAACAATCTTTCTAGATCTCTTCATCTGCAGATTGCGTAGGTAAGACATCGGTAGCACAACAAGGATGACGTCTTGGACGATTGCGGAAATGCTGTTCGCGTAGCCCCACATTTGGATGTCCATACACTTTCGGCAGACTGCCAGCACACAATTCGATAATGAGGGTGCCACAGGATCGCTGAACTTGCCCTTAAGATGTTGCGATATCAATTGGTCCGTACAAGGTCTGACTATGCTCGTAGCAGACTACCCTAGTCTAGGGTGGTACAGGTCAGGTATATAGTCGTCTTCTCCTAGCTAGATAGCAACTTAGCGCAGTATTCCATCGTATTCTACCAGCGACCCAAGCCGCCACATAACATCTCGGTTCCAGAAAGCGGACACAACTGTGCACGCTCAGATCGTCAAAAGAAAGATAATGAGTGTGGTGATAGTGATGTACCAGAACACAATCTAGTCGATGATCCTGGAAATCTGGGTTGGGAAGACGTCAAGATTCAACATGATCAGCGAAAGCTTGATCAGACCAAGAATGGCGACATATAATGACCATGCAACGTAGATTAATTGTGCATCAGTAAAGTCATGCGCAGAGGTTCATCTGAGATTTCGACCCACAGTATCGTAAAATCAGAAGAAATACACCGTCATCGAGGTTCCGGAGGTGCTCTCCAAATCTAATCTTAGCCACCATTGTAATTACATCAGTGTTTGTATCGTTTTGTGAACGTGTCAAACTTACTGGCAAGTACACATGCAATTAGGACTGCTGCCAGCAGTACAGCTGCCACGATAGGGGGGTCGTTCCAAGCCAGCCTTTCCGAAACGATCTTGCCGGCGATACGCAGTGCCTGTAGGACTATCGGGTCGATGGAATACTGTGCTGGATTGCTATATAGCTAGGAGGAGACGACTATATACCTCACCTGCAACACACTAGTCCAGGGTAGTGGTCAGAGGTATAGTCAGACACTGTACGGACCAACCGATACCGCAACACATTTGATCTTCGCATGATGTTAGATCAATGCAGTGAGGTCTCAATGCAAGGGGGTTCTTATTCCGCAAGGAGGAATATCTGCTATGCCCAACTTCCTGGACTGAATCGTTGACCTCGCGGAGACATTGAAAGGTGAAGACTTCTCAATTCTTGGTGTCAGTCCATTCGCGAGATCAGGTGTTGCTGGACGAGCATGACTGAAGCCCAAGATGAGACTGGGCAAAAGCCATGCAGTGAATGTCGGTGTTCTCATGATGCGGAGGGTCTGCAGAATGGAGATGGACATTGTATAAAATTGCCATCGGGTGCTAGAATGACGACAATGTCCTTAAACCTTGTTGTTGATGGTATTGCTTCAGGTTGAGGGTCTGGGTGCATGAAGGCGAATCACAGGCGTGCGTGGCGTTCCCCGAATGTGCTGAGTGGTGAATCTGCCACGGTATCTTATGGAGCTCCTGTGCGAAGCATTTAGGGTCTAAAACGACGTCTTTTGGGACTTAGTGGTGAAGTTCGATTGCACGGTGGAGTACTTCAGTTCCTCGTTTTGGTAAAATGCAAAAGGACTGAACAGGCGACAAAGAGGTGGGTTAAGGACGATTTAATATATTGGAGGTTATCGTGAATGTGGCAGATTGGGAAAGCCATCGCTATAAATAGTCAAAATTGCTTGCCTTCATACATGCCTCAGCAATGAATATGAGAAGGGGAAAGTGAAATAGGTGAACCGCGGAAAAGATGTGTAGAGAGATGAACATTGTAGAGACAAGTAAGAAGACAACCCACTTGTCAAGATATGTAAAAAACACCAGAGCGACATCTGAGCTTTCAGTGCTGACATGCGGCTTGTGAGGCTTCGCTCAATCTGGCCAAGGCGCTCCTGTTCTTCCTCCTCAAACTGCTGCACTCGATCTTGATGAGCACTCACGATCGCCGTACGTGACTGGGGTTCGGCAAATGCGAAGTCGTTCTCGGGATGCAGTGCTAAGATGTCTGGAATCTGGCTGATGGATAGTCCGCTGTCGGGCACTTGGTGGTAGATATAAGATTCGAGCTCTTCCAGAGGCCAGTACGACTGCATGGCAATGGCAATAAACAAGCATCCTACATATCGTTAAGTCAGACAATGAGATGAGCACGCTGCAGTAACCGGCTCTCATGGCAAGTCCAAGGACGCTTGTAGTCGGTGAGGTTGAGTGGCAGCGACCAACCTTCTTGCGTAATTGTGTACGCTTGATGGAAGCGAATGATCTTCGAACGCGCATTGGCGAAGAAGTAACCCTTCCAAAACTTTTGGTCATATACTGCTGCTTCAGCCAGTATACGAGGGTGGAAGAAGAGGTCATTGATCTGGTTGCGCAAAGGATTCACTGCGAAGGTACCAATACTGTGACGTGGTTGCTGTGGGACCTGGAGAAACGCGAGCGTGGATAAATCACGACGACGAGAATAGTGATTTCGCAAAGGTCCGGTATAGTACGCTCGGGCATCAAGCCCATCTGATGTGACCCTAAGGGCAGCGATGTGTATTGCTTGCTCATGAGATATGATTGCTTCCTCAGCGAAAGCCATCAGATAGATCTCGAAGTACTCTCGTTTTTAGAGGCGACCGTTCTTCGCTAGGAACAGCTGAGTCATGATGACTTCGCAATCCTCGCCGCCCAAGAGCCTGCGTCCCGCGAGTGCCAGAACAGATCGTGCAGGTTTGAAGCGGGCGATCCAGTTATGTTCAGGGACGCCTAGCTGACTTGCTTGGACTTGGACTCCATCGAAATTCAGAGTCAAGTCTCGGTCACTTATGAGGTATCGGTCAAGCCGCTCAAGTGCAAAGACATCTGAGTCTCACGATTCAGTTACGCCCCGATAGGCGAGATCAGTGATAAGCTTCCGGCGCTGGTAGCCCTCAATGGTGTCATTGGCGGTTTGGACTGGCTGCTTGCTTTATCCGTGGGTGGTACTTTCGTCCACTAGGGGATCTGCTGGTCGCTAGTTCTGGGATGGTGCAGACCGCCAGTGGATACTTTGTCGAAGATATCACTCGCATTATTTGATAAAGGCATGGCCGAGTGAGCAATATCGCACTTTTTTTTGGCGGCTCGAGCTCGGGGCTGAGTGCTGTAGGTGTAGTGACCAGGGGCCAATCGCCCGTGGGCTCAAAGGCGCCCGGTGCTGGAGAAGTCGTGGACAGAGCAGTATCGCATGTGGGTTGCTTGGTCTAGGTCAATGGTACATCGAGCGATTCGCAATGGTCAGTACTTACCTGCAGTTCCAGTAATCGCGTACTAGACTGCTCATCATGGGAAGATGCTGGCGAGTACTCGTCTATACTGCGGCGTCGGTGAATCGAATGGACTTTGCTGATGCTGGCGGCAATGTGACTTTACTTGCTACGTCTGAGAATCAACGAAAGGCTGGGTGTGTGATTCTCGTGCGCGGTACTGGCCATCGTGTCGGGTATGGACTGAGTAGGTGGTAGAGAAAAACTTTTTAAACTCCATCGTCGATGTGACCGAAGATAAGACTAGCGAGCAACGTGGCAGCAGAACACTCATTGTGATAACCAGGGTGGGCATGTGGTCGAAGTCTGGGTTGTTTGTGGGTGCAGGTGGCTAAGTCCAGTGTATGTTGTGAGGAGGCGGACGCGAGGGTGGGGCTTTGTTGTTGAGGCTGGCATTCAAGGTGAAGGAAGGAGCTGTTCTCGCCATTTGGTCCATGCGTCTGCTTCGACCGTGAGTGAAAGCCACAGGAGTACCATCGATAATCGCTGATCCATGTAGACGTGCGATTTCACTTTTATCACCGTCATTGCCCCCTCTTTGGGTCGTCGATGATCCTGCATAAACCGTAAGAACTGAACAAGGTTGCAAAAAGAGACGTCTGCGAAAAGATGCAGTTGAATCCATTGGGCCCATTGGGCCATAGACCATGGTTGATGACCTGGAAATGTATACGAAAAGAAACAACCCATATTGACAACTCCATCGCTCGCTGTGAGTACAAGAAGAATAATTGTCGGACCGGTGGACAACATCAAAGCCACGCCAGACCCTACAAGATGTCCAACTTCTTAATGACCATGAAGAGCAACATGGCGATGACGCCCCAGATGCAGGTGTCAATCCAGGCAAGCGAACGGTCAGGGCTCTGCTGGACTATCTGCTGTAGAGGTGTAGCTGGTACTGTCCTTGTGGGCCTTGGGGTGGGCGCAACTGATGCCGCCGGTGTTACCGCTCGTGCCGAAATTGCTGGCGCAGCTGATGCTGTAGGTCGACTCGATGCATCCTGCTGCACCTCTGACTCGATAGCTCTGCCTTTCCCCTTATCCACCTTTCCAGCCTCAGCCTCCCCTTCCTGCCCCAACTCATCTCGATAGGCAAGTCTCAGCTCCTCAGGAACCTCCTCTTCTTTCCTCCCGCCCTCTTTCTCCTCGATCTCCTTGACAGCTTGCTCTCTCTCTTTCATGATCTCAGCATTGCTCTTCCCACACCCAGCACACATCCACTTTCCACTGTCTCTCGCCATCCTCTCCCTCGCATCCTTGCTGCACTCAATACCACCCAGCTGCCCCTTTGCATCGGTGTCCATGAAGCTCCTGATCGCCACTAGCGCCGTTCTCACGCCCCAGGCTGGCTGCCACGTCTCTTCATGATGTCCAGAGATACTCAGGCAGATTTCACGGTTCACCTCGAATCGTCCCGTGGGCGTGAGAAATCGGAAATTTGGCGGTCGTAGAGGGTACTGTGGCGGCAGTATTATGCGTCCGTGGTAGATACCGCCGGCATATGCGGAAGGGGACTCTGGGCCTTTAATTGTGAAGTGCCATTCGAAGATGTTGTCTTCTAGCGGTTCGGCATGATAGTCTGGAGAGGGAGAAATAGAGAGCTCAGAGGCTTCCTTTACTTGAATCGTGTTAGGAACATGCAAGGGGTATCGGTATGAGGGCTGAGCTCACATATGCGCTTGATGGTAGGGTTCTTGGTGTTAAACTGCCCGCGGGTGGACATGGCCGCGATGTAAGATGAGGAAGGAGGCTACAACAGCTCTCACCGGCGGCAGAAGTGCTGGGAGCTGTCAAAGTGTCTGTGGTTTGCTGTTCGGTGGTCGACTGCCGAGAGCTGAAACGTTGACGTGGATGTTGCGACTGCGCTCGGTGGAATACCGGCCGTGCGTACCGCTATCGATAAGCTCAATCGACCGCCCCACCTGCACCCCGCTAGCATTCACTCTGGGGTACATGTGGGCTTGTACCGCGGAATGTCGACCAAATTTATAGATGGAAAATTAATGCAAATGAGTATTTCCGCCACATAAAAGCATTCGAAGAAAGATGTTGAAGTCATAACTATACTCTTGTATCTTCACTCGACGTCTCACTTAGTACAAGCTAGCGGGGACACAGCCTGGAGGTATACAAGTCAACACAGTAGATAATGAGGCGTGTGACATCTTGGTATATGAAACCATGGTAGAGCCCACGTTTAGCTTTTACGCTATGCCTGTCCATGATATACGAAGTAAATCCACAGTTGTAGTGCTTTTGGTCTTCACATCAGACATCGTCCCTGCGCAAAGTCGACTGGTCTTTCTCCACGCTATTTGAGTACGCCAGCGCCGGTAGAACTTGCTCCCCTTGGAATAAGCTGGAGAGCACATGCTGCTAACACTGCACGCCTTCCATTTTTATACAATACAACTCATGGTCCGTCTGGCCAAGCTGCTCCCTTCGGCGCCGAACAGCACGGCCCCTGATCTCTACATTGTCAGCCTTAGCCGCGAATCGCAGTCCTCCCACATGCCCAGCGCCCCATGATCCACGGCTCGCATCCGCGAACCCTGACGATCACGTTTCTCCATCATCCTGCTCTCTTCTCTGTATCCTGTTTCAACTCCATCGTCACGTTCACGCGGTCAACGTCTGCCTTCATCAGGTCGTGTTCCACAGTGGCGAATAAATCCCTGACGTCTCGAACGCCACTCGCTTGCATCTAGGCCGCGTGCAGGGCCTCGGGACAAAATGACACCATCAACCGATCGAGATCGCGCTGCTTGTCTGCCTGCAAGACCGCTCGGTCCAGGCACCGTGTGAGTTTACCACGAGACGTGACATTCAGGCTGTTATGCGCGTGTGCTGTACGCACGCGCTGGGTCTAAGGGGTTCAAAACGGTAGTTCTGCAGTCGACCGTTGAGAAGGGCGTATGAGAAGCTGTGCGCCGCTGCGCAAGAAACGCCTTTGTTACAACCGCTTGTAGACTGTACCACACATCGTTGACCATGTTGGAGAGCGCCAGAGGATTGCCTGTGTCCTTGGCAGGCGAGATCAATGCAGCAACACGGTATGCTTGACAATTAGATCGATTAGTATCTTGCGTATACTCACAGCATGCATAGCACACTACATACCAACCTCAACCGTCTGATAACAAGCCGCCTCCCCCTCGGCCTACCATCACACACGACCGACTCAACCCTCTACGCAACCGGCCTCCTACACTTCGCGCACATCTACCTCACCTTCGAGAGCTTATGGGCAGACCTAATAAGCGTCCATGCTCGCCCCACCTCATCGTCCGAATCTACATTCGATCCCTCTCCAGCCAGTCAAGCAACATCGCCGCTGCTCTCATACCTCCTAGTAAACCCCTACGACTCGCCCTCCCTCTTCACATCCACACTCGGCGCACCTACACGCCCGTCGCCACAGCTCGCCTCCTTCCTCTCCACACTGCGTCCGCAGGGGCTCCCCCGCTCTGGGCGTCTGAAGAAGGATCTCGAGTATCTGCTTGGTCTGCACCCCACAGATCTCGAAGTTCTGCTTGCAAAATACCCTGGCGACAAGGTAGCAGCTTTCTGTACACACATCCGAAAGAGCGTACATGAGAGGCCATGGACGTTAGTGGCGTATGCGTGGTGTTTCTACATGGCCGTATTCTCTGGCGGAAGGTGGATAAGAGCAGGGCTGCTGAGAGCTGGTGACGGCTTTTGGCCCGCAAGAAGTGCAGAAGACGGCACTGGCCTGGAGGAGAGAGGACTGAGCTTCTGGCACTTCCCTGGCGCTCACGACGGCGAAGATATCAAGGCTGAGTTCAAGCTCAGACTTGAGGACGCGGAACACATATTTGCACCTGACGAGAGGGTGGATGTCATCGAAGAAGCAAAGAACATCTTCCAGCTTTGCGCCGAAGTCGTCTACGAGCTTGATGACATGGTCGGCTCCGCTCAGGTTGCAACACCTCAAAGCGAGAACCCGGTAGCACAGGCTTTGAAGGAGACGCCGAGCGAGAAACACGTCCTCATCGAGCGTCCTGTTAGTCATAAGTATGTGTTCGGTCCAGCCAAGTCACTGGCCGCGTTGTTACGGCGACCGGAGATCACAAGCAGCTTGGTGGCTTTAGCATGTCTGGTCTGCGTTGCGCTGTCGCCGACTTTGGATATCAATTTGCTGCAGGACTGGTAATATCCTTTCGTGTGCATTTTCTCGCATTAGTATGACGGTAATGGGTGCACGTTTTAGTTGCTTCTTGGTCTCGTCAAGTGTTGGTTTTGAGTATGCATGGCAAGGAGCAAGATACCCTAGATGCACTTTGCAGCCTTAAAGATCTACTCAGTCAATATAACATCATTCTTTCCTAGTGTGATCAATTTTGAGATGCTCGCGCTGGACACCGCATGGTATCGCTCTCGCTCTCGCTCTGGGAGAAGACCGAGGCACGTGCTAATTACATAACACAGTTTCTATAAGCAGCCTTGCCAATCATCTCTTCACATTTGCATCACCGATTGATCTCGTCTCATTAAACTACCATGGCAGAACACCCATCTTTCACGCTCGCTGGCCTTCGTAAGCACATCGCTTTACATAGTGTCTAGAGGTCCAAACGTTGACAAACAATGCAGTTTCGGCCGGCGGAACAGCCGGCTACCTCCGCACACGCTCAACACCATCTCTCGTTGCAGGTCTTGTGCTCGGTGCCTCTTACGGTTACTCTGGTGAGCTTTGTTCAAGGCTAACTTCTCAATCAACCCTCACTGACATCGTTGGCAGGCTACCTGATCAGAGAGAACAAGGACTACGGCACAGAGCTTGCGCTGGGAAACAGCGTAGTTTTGCTCGGATCAGCGATCCCAAGGATCATCAAGACGGGGGGACGGGCACCTGTTCCGATTGCGCTCGGTGCTACGGGGCTGCTCGCGACTTATTACTACCAGAAGAAGGTGCGAGAGTTCAGGTACGGTGTATGAGCACTGTAGAGACGATATTACTTGTACGATAGTGTGCGCTACCTTTGTTCGGCCAGCCGCTCTTCCTATGTTCGTAACCACTGTATAAAGGCACAATAATGAAGCGCAGCTCCTGCCGACCTTCAAACTCTACAACCTTTGGGCGACCTTACTCTTCTGATCTAATCTGGTGCTCGCCGACTGACACCGGAGGTAGCTCCGTTGCCGAATAGGGCACGGCATTGCATTGCAGCTCTCTTCTTGCCTGGACCTCAATCTCTTTGCTATTGCAGGAAGATTTGCACCTGGACGTTATTGTTCAGTTGCTAATATGCTTAGTACCGGAAGTCGCCACGTCATGAAATGAGGCCCTGAGTTGCCGCGATGCCGACCAGCAAACTACGACTGCCGTCTGGCAGATCACCTCGTAAACACAGGAAGCTTCAGCGCACAAGACATCTAATCCAGAGTGACCACCAGACATCACGAACAAACCAAGCGAAACGTCTGAAGAGGACCTGAAATGATCAGACGAAAGACGCAACGCTCACGCACAGGCTGCGCAGATCCACCACAACGTTTTCTGAGCAGTGACATTCACCATGGTCACAAGTCAAAATCAGTAGGGGTCATTACAAAGTTTCGACCATGAATTCGGTGCTTGCACTGCCGGATGAGGGCGGCCCGCATTAATACCCGAGCCTAAACTCGAAAGGGTCAGAGCAGATAGATCGTCACCATTACCCTCTGCCCAGAAGGTGCGATATGCAAAGTACGCGACTCGATGTGGAGGGGCATAGGGGATCTTATATTCATCTGAAAGAACTATTTTAACCGAGGACATGGTAGAGTGCATCCTTACACACGATCATCACATATGCCTGTCGACTCATATTTTCAGCAGGTTGACAATGTTGACAGAAAGCTACGATTCGCTCTCGAAATCCGATGAGCTGGGCCGTGGCTCCCTATCGAGCAAAGCTGCAGGGCAGAAAAGGTGTGTGAATAGGGCTCGACGGCACCCTGCATCCTGCATCCTGCATGTCTGCACGGCGAAAGGGGCCTCACTCATGGTGTGTCGATCACGGTACACTGCCGTGCACCTCGCTCTGGGATATAAGGCTGCGGAGCTGTCATAATCCACAAAGCTCGAACTCACCCTTTCGAGACTCTGCTCCGTCACATAAGTTTGCCGTCACTCGTTTCAGATTCAGCAAAGCAACCGTGGCGATCGGACATCGTGCCACCGAGCTCATTCAGGTTTGCAACCATAACTTGATCACCTTGTATCTGACTATCAGATGTAATCAGATCGAGGGGTTCTTTCTCTCTAGGGCATATATAGCTGTAGCGTTGTGATTTTATGTGCGCGCATTCATCGTCAGAGCTTTTGGCTGGGATGATGGGTGGATGCTGTTTGCTCAGCTGATGCACACCATGAAATCAACGTGCGCTATTGAAGGTGCCTCTACGGGCACTGGGAGGCTCATGAAGGATCTCACCCCTGGTAGTATGATGATGGCGCTGAGGGTATGTTAAACTTTTTGAGACACTTACCAAGGACGTTCCGAGGCTGACTTCCCTCGCCTCCAGTTCTGGTGGATCTGTTACTTCTCGTACTGCCTGACCATGATTGACGCCAAAGTCTCTGTTGGCCTTTCGGTCCTCCGCTACATACCCATCACACAAAAGTTCTACCGCTTCATCACTCACGTTGTCATATACACCAGTATCGTTATGGGCCTGGTCTATGGCCTCCTAGCAACATTCCAGTGCAATCCCGTCCCTTACTTCTAGACGCGAGCACTGAGCGTAACAGGTACATGCATCAGCATGGACATCATCGTAGCTTTTACATATATGATGTCTGCTATTTTCGCAGCTTAGCTTCATGATCCCTCCGGTCTTTTTCCATCAAAGGCTTGAATATGAGCAAGAACCCGAAGATCGGTCTTGTCCCTATCCTGAGTATGGCGTGCATGTAGGTAGTCTCAAGCCTCTCGAAGCATGGCACCTACTAATGGTTTCGGCAGTGCAAGAGCAGCAGTCATCTTCCGCTCAGCCTACGTTCAAACGTTCAGGAACCCCGAGTTTCTCTACGCCACAGTCCCCATCGCCATCCGGTCCAAGGTTGAGACGAGTCTTGCCATCACCGCCGGATCTCTACCCATCTTGCGTCCACTGTATCATGTCGCCGACAAGAAGTCCAGCTGGAAGACCAGCTTATTCAGCACACGCCGATCGTACAAGTCAATAGATGCTGACCATGGCTCCAAAGCGATTGCGACAATAGGCAGTGCCATTTTCAGGAATGAGTCGAAGTACACTTTCTGCTCGACGTCTGAGCGCAAGATTGTGAATATCGAGAGCGAGGAATTTGTGCTCGAGGACTGTATGCCCATGACAGGTGGTAGGTTCATGGGTATCAATAAGGTCACCAATGTTTAGGTTGACTATGAGGGTGGCACGGAGTTGTAGTTTGACAACGATCCCGCAAGGGCAAGAAGGACTGACAAAGCAGCGACGGATATGCAGTCGGTAGTAAATGACGCCTCTCGTACGAACACCTTGAGCGATCCCGACCACGTTCCTCGCATTTCCTGCGCTGCAACTCATATTCAAGCAACATAAGATGGGTGTTTGACCTACTCGCAATAGGCCAGCCTACTCCGCTGGCCGCTAGTGTACGTTAGCCCGGCGGGTACACACTCCCTATCAGGACAATCATGTATCGTCAGTGCGCCAAGTGAGTGTAAGTAAAGAAGATACGAAGCGTACGGCAGTTGATTCTACATTCGACAGCAATAAGAGAGGCCGAGTCAGACTCAAGATGCTGCTGCATGCAAGTTCCCTCTTCAACCTGAGCGTGTTAGGCTACTCAGCTGCCTTCATCTTAGATTCGCTGATTGTTCAAACTGTCTACCAACTCTACTTCCATCCACTGGCATTTTCTCCCAGCCCACGCCGAGCTGCTATCTCAACCCTGTGGCTGTACTCCGTTAGTAAGCAAGGCCGACATGAGACCTTCGAGGGACTGCACAAGAAGTACAGTAGGTTCCACCGCGCCAGTCACAACGACCATTGGCTGACGGCCATATCAGACACGCGTTCGCTCCCAATCGCTCCAAACAAGCTTGACCTCAGCGACTCGACCTCGTATCATACCATGTACTCCCAGCATCGGACTTTGACGAAGACAAGTCGTTTTACGATGTCTTCAATACTCCACACACTATCTTCGTGGAGCTGACCTGGAGTTGCGCCGCCAGCGGAGGAAGGCCTTGAACTCCTTCTCGAAGTCATCGATTCAGTCGATGCAGCAGATCCTGTACTCGAAGGTGACCATCTTTGCAAGCGACTATCAAATGCGTAAGACGTGTACCATGCATTCAGTGGGGTAGCACGACCAGGTTGCGAGCTCGAAGTTGTCTAAGGTGAATCTAGGTGCCTTACGGTCGACTTCATCACCCAAGTCGCGTTCGGTAAATCATTCGGCCTTCTCACCAAGTCCGGCAGGACTACCTTCACCGCACCGTTTCTCCAAGCCTTCGATCTGGTCGCAGAGTCTTTCTAGGATCTTCAATACAACTTGATTGTACGATGGCTTATCACCAATATCCCGACATCCATCGCAGAAAAGTTTAGCGGCCCGGCTCGGTACTTCCACCGTCTCCTCTGCACGACCAAGAACAATATCGATGCTTACAAGAAGCGAAGGACTACGGAGGAGGAACTTGATCACGAAGTGATCTTCGACAAGATATTGGATGTAAACGATACGGAGTTGCTGGCTGATGCTATAGATATTCTGGCCGCAGGTTTGGATACGACTGCAAATACGCTTGCAATTGCGCTTGAACAGTTGATCAAGACGCCTGAGCGTTTCGTGAAGCTGAAAGAGAAACTTAAGGAGGCTGGTCTGGGCACAGAGCAAGACTATGATTAGGTGAAGAACGAACAGCTGCCATATCTTGTTTGTATTCGAACGTGAAACAAAGAATTTGATGCTGATGACCCCAATCTACCTCTGTGAAGGAAGTGCTTCGCTACGCGATGCCGGTTCCCAGGCGCCTTTCGTGTATAGTTCCCAAAGCAAGTGCCGGTGCGGATTCACTGGTCGTCGATGACAATGTCATCCCACCTGGTGTAAGTCTTTCCTCTCCGATCTCTATAATTGTCACTGATCACAAATCAGGTTTTGGTAGATATCTCCACTTACACAGTGCACTTTGACGAGAAGACCTGGGGCTCTGATACCAGAGCTTTAAATTCTGAACGCTGGCTCACTAATGATGCAAAGCATCTGGAGAAGTATCTTATTACTTTCTTGAAAGGGGCGAGGCTGGGTCTCGGGATCAATCACGCATATGCTGAAGCTACTTTGACGCTGGCTATACTGGCGAGGAGGTTCAGCTTTGGAAGAGATGAAACGATGACGGACTCTGATCTTGAGCAATTCGACACATTTACGATGGGGGTCGGGGGAAGTGGGTTCCGTGCGCACGTCCGCGAAGTCTCTGCATAGAGACAAGGTCCATTGATGGATAGTCAAACTTGATAATAGTCTATTGGAGATTGAAGGAACGAATCAAAGCCAGATACCAATGGTCCTTCAGATTATCTTGCTACCAGGAGTGGAATACCCTTTTTGAATCGTCTATATATCTGCTTCCAGTTGACTGCATGGTTGCTGACCCTGCGGCATCTGCAAAAAGCATCGTGCGATGCTTCGAGAAATGCTTCACCACGATACCTGAGCTTGCAGGATCTTGTGCGCCTCTGCGAATAACCTGTCTCGACTGATGACGCTGTGTAGAGGACCAATGCCAGTGATGTGCGGCATCTTACGCTCCTCGCTCTGAATTCATGCATCTCTTTCAGTCTTGTCTTTCAGCTTGTCTAAGCCGACAAGGTCCCCTGTTGACTTGGGATGCTGGACCAGTCCGTCATTTACAAGAATGTAATTAAGCGTGATGCAGAATGATAATGGAATACAGCATACTGAGTGCCGAACAGCACTTAATACGGTGTAGATTTGAAGAGCATGCCAGAGGCACTTGCGAGTCCGGGGCTGATGTAATTGTAAACAACTGTCCAACTTGTTTAGTGATAGCTGCATCTCGTTGTCGCTGACTTGCCATCCAACGGCAGAGTAGAGTAGTTGTAGAGCGACACTTCTTCAGATCGCAATGACGTGATGTAGGATCGTATGTTGTGGCTCAGAGCCTCTGTTCGTGGAAGCAGCATCGATAGCATTGTTGATGGTCGAGGGCAGAAATGCATGCGCTGAGTTGGTGGATCTCGTCGCACATACCGTCGACTGCATTGATTCAGCTCCTGGGTCGCCCACGGCTGGACCTAATTCAAAGGCCGAACATCGACCCCAGCAGCCCCGTCGATGCTAGTCATTCGGATTAGTCTTTCTCCTCAACGTAGAAACCGTGTCGAGCGCATGGATCGCCGCCATCACACCTCATCTTTGCAATGACACAGGACCTGCAGGCTTGTTTCCTTGCACCATTGCGTTACGGCCATTTCTGTTGCGTATGGATAGCTTGGTGACAGATGAGAGTATCGCTGCGCTGTTTGAGCTCAATCCAAATCTCTGCTTCAAAATAATTGCTTACGTCCTGAAAAACCGCTTGGAGCAGACACTGGCGTTATATATGGGCTTTACGGGTGAATGCATTATTACATTGCCGACACTTCAAAGCACTTTGGCGCACTGGCATGGTGCTCAGATGCTCACCCAACGAGGTTCATTGTGTTGTCAATTATCGATGACGTGGTGGACAACGGCTTCTCAAAATTGACCGAGATGGGACACGCACGTTCCACGTGGCATCCTCGAACTCTCCTGCAGCACTACACCATCACGACACCTGTCGAATCTACCCCGAATCGCTGTGAGCTATCCACAGTCACAGCGCGACGAACATTTATGTGCTAGCGTTGTGTAATCCTGTGGCTTGCCGACGACGCTACCATGCACCCTGGGGGTTCACGCAAAACTTTAATGATGCGATGTCAGGAGCCCAAGATGCATATTTCACATGAAGAGATATTCGAAGAATGCTATGGCCGCCTTTTAGTCAATTGGTGGATTCTCGTGACAGCGAATATGCGCCACAAGCAAGATTTCTGCATGACATAGGCGAGCGACATAACGCACAGGCAGATGATCAGATGCAGAAGTAGCGCGCACATATCCGTCGTGGTTTCCGGATAAAGGCAACGGTCTATCTCTCCAAGTGCCGTACGAAGCCTTGCGAAGCTCTGGTTCGCGAGCGTCCCATTGGTGGATCTTGCAAATGCGCAACTCTTGGCTTTCCCCATACCCCAGACGTTACCCCGGACCTAAACACGGGGAACATGGGGTTGAGAGTATTGCTTCGTCCGTCTGTCATCTTTGCCCCTGACGCCACTTCAGTCAAGCTGCAAACCTGGGGGTAAATGCATATCTGGCGCGCCTCTCCGCGGTGCTCACTCATGATGCATAAGTACTTTGGCACGATGCATGCCCACTTCAGCAATAAACTTACAGTACTTAAATTCCCAGCCGCGGGTCCCCATTCTCGCCCAGCGTGTGCCTCGGATCATCTCCTGTCTGACTACTGGGCGGCATGATGTGGGCTCTGTTGTTCAGTCTGTCCTGTGGTCTTGTATTCACTACTGCTGCTGTTCAACAGCCAGTCGTGAAGTCGCAGGCAGGTATCTTCCACGGTCGCTACCTTCCTGGGTTTGAGCAAGATCTTTACCTGGGTATCAAGTATGCGCCAACGCCAGTACGCTTCACTCCCGCCAAATTGAGTAATGATACACCAAAGACGCACTACAATGTGACCCAGTATGGTCTCGACTGTACAGGCTATGGTTCAGATACAACAAGGCTGGTCAAAGAGGGTTGGACGAAGCTGGGAGAAGACTGCTTGCACCTCAATGTCGTAAGACCACGAACGAATGAGAAGAACCTACCAGTACTGTTGTGGATCTACGGTGGAGGATGGCAACAGGGTGCTACAAGCGACCCACGGTAAGCACAGAACTCACAATCTTGTCATTGCTTGGAAGTCTGACGCTCCCTTAGATACAACATGAGCTACGTGGTCGAGCAGTCGGTGCTGAACAACAAGCCCATCATCGGCATCTCCATCAACTACCGCATGGCCGCATTTGGCTTCATCTCGAGTGACGAGGTCAATGCAGAAGGTGCACAGAATCTGGGTTTACGCGATCAGCGTCTCGCATTGCAGTGGGTGAATAAGCATATCTCCTCGTTTGGCGGTGACCCAGCAAAGGTCACCATCTGGGGTGAGAGCGCAGGTGCATACTCGGTTGGTGACCACATAAATGCATTCGACGGTGAAAACGATGGCCTTTTCCGTGCTGCTATACTGGAGAGCGGTGGTGCGGTAGGCGCGCCACTGAATGGGACGGATTGGTACCAAGGCATGTATAAGAACCTGACTGCCTCGGTCGGCTGCTCGAATTCGACAAACACACTGCAGTGCCTGCGTGAAGTCCCGTACGAGAGAATCGCACCTTACGGATACGTTGGCCTCGAATGGTTCCATGTCATCGACGGTTCGTTCGTCCCTCGATACGGTCAAGAGTCGCTACTCAGTGGCAGATTTGCAAAGATCCCCTTGATCTTGGGTACAAATACAGACGAAGGTTTTGGTGTGAACGGTGTGAACACAGACGCACAAGCTATAGAACAATTGCTCACTTCGAAGAGATGGAATATTGATGAACAGCAAGCTCGCCGCATACTCGAGCTCTACCCCAACGACCCGACTTTGGGAGAGCCATATGGTTGGGGCAACAGGACATGGCCCGAGTACGGGTTGCAATACAAACGATATCAAAGCATCGCGACCGACTTAACGATGTATGCGCCAAGGAGGCTTCTAGCAGAAAGGATGAGTGACTACGTCGAAAATGTCTACTCTTACAGATGGGACGCACCCAAATTTAATACTACACCAGCTAGTATAGGGGTCAATCACTTTTCTGAGGTATGGCATTTCACTTGGCATGTCGTTCTTGCTAACCTTTAAATAGATACCGTTTGTGTTCGGCAACACCGAACAGCAGATCACACCACTTGGGAACAGTACTGCAAACTTGAAGCTCTCAAACTTGATCATCAGGATGTGGGCATCGTTCGCACACGATCTGGATCCGAACGGCCATGGCAGTAGGTCGCATGCGATTCCGACATCAATTGATTGCTGACACGTAACGTAGTCTCAAACATCGACACGTGGCCGCAGTACGGAAACAGCACATCGAACTTTGTCTTTAGAGCGGATCAAAGTTACATCGAGAAGGACAAAGACAGAGCTGAAGGGGTGGCGTATATCAACACCATTAGGCGATAGGAAAATGGATGTACACAGTAATATTGGAACAATAGACCCACCAAGTGCCTATGCTGCAAATGGACACCAACTATGGTAGCTTATTTATTTGACAAATTTGACCGCCCTGAAATAACATGATTGCGATTGATTGATTGATTGATTGATTGGTTTAACGTCCTATCTGAGTCTAAGACTATGGAAGACGAGAGGAGCAGTAGCTCCTCTGGTAATGCAAAGATTTAGTTACATGAGAGTGAAGTCAATG